ACAACAACAACAACAACAACAACAACAACAACAACAACAACAACAACAACAACAACAACAACAACAACAACAACAACAACCACAACAACAACAACAACAACCACAACAACAACAACAACAACATCTTCATCATCAACAACAACAACCACAACAACAACAACAACATGAATTAAAAAATCTGATAAATGAAGATGTAATACAAGAAATGCAAGAAGACAATAAACAAGAACTTGCTTTAATCAAATATATTACCCCATCTAATGAAGAAGAAGACATGGAAAACTCATTCATANGCAACAACATCATCATCATCAGCAACAGCATTATTATGATATATTAACAGGAGAATCAATAATTCTCGACTGGGGTGATGTTTTGGACGAACAGGAAGATGAAAGTCAAGATCAACAACAACAACAACAACAACACCAATTGCATTATCATTCATTATCAGGTTCAGTAATTATTGATTTNACATCCTCAACAACAACAACAACAACATCCTCAACAACAACAACAACATCATCATCAGCAACAGCATTATTATGATATATTAACAGGAGAATCAATAATTCTCGACTGGGGTGATGTTTTGGACGAACAGGAAGATGAAAGTCAAGATCAACAACAACAACAACAACAACACCAATTGCATTATCATTCATTATCAGGTTCAGTAATTATTGATTTGGATAATGTATTGGACGAAGAGGATGATTATGTAATGAACACAGCACCTTCAGTTGTCATGGAAGAAGAGGAAAGGAAAAGTTACATTAGTTTTAGAAAATTAATGAAAATTGGTCCAAATATCAAAAAGAAAATAGTAGCAGTTAAGGACTACTATAAAAAAAAATATAAAGTTTTAAAATATACTATCAACTTTATTCAAAGACAAAATTATTAAAATTTGATTTAAATGCTGTTGTTGGTTAATCTTTTTTTACAAAATCAAGATCATTTTTAATTTACATTAACATCTTCAGAATTAAAATATATCAACTAATAATATATTATCATATAAATCATCATAACAACAGTTTTTGCAATATAGTTTTATGTTTCATAATTAATAAATCAAATTTCATCCTCATCATCAAGATCACAAACAACCAATTAAATCATTCATTCACACTATTCAGTTGATTTTACAAAACAACAAAAATATTAAAAAATCAACTTCTAATTTCAACAATTTTTCTCTTTTCAATATCAGCTAGTACTTTTTATGGGAGTAAATCATTTTTTTGCATTAGTTAATAAATTAAAAAACAATATAAAAATAATATATCAATTAAAAATCAAATATCATTCAAAATTAATTTTTATCAAATTTATAATGACATATACACATGGATTTAATACGGAATTGGCCAGCCTTATTGGATTATAATTTTATGCATTTTAGAAAAAAAAAATCAAATATTCACAATCACCAAAAAAAATTATTTTGTTTTAATGATTTTCAAATTATTAATTTTTGCAGCTTTTTTACAACACCATTAGTTTTATTTTTTAAAAGTTTTTGAATTTGCTAATTATGTTTTTTATATTTTGTTTTTGTATAATGTTTCAAAAAAATTCTCAATGTTTTTTATTTTATCTTTGTAGTAATTATCTCTATCTCTATCTTTAATAATGAACTAGATAGAGTTCAAAAAGTTTAAGTAATAATTAATTAGTCTTAAGAGAAATCAATTTTATAGTTTGTGAATTTAATTGAAAATATACCAGATATTTTTATTAAAAATTTGTAAGATATAAATATTCTATATAGCTATAAACTATTCTTGTCTATTAAATTCTTTTTTAAATTATTCTAATTTATTAGATCTTGTCTTTTCAGCATAATTTAATAATTTATCATAAACTTCATCAACCATTGCATTGGGTTGACTGTTTTCAGACTCAATCGATCCTGTTTCACTTATTAATTCATCATTTGTAGGTGATTTGTAATTGGTTGCTGGAGATGTTGAAATTTTAGGTGGTGATTCTTGTGGAGGTGGTGGTTGATTCTTATGATTGATTTTATCTATTAGGTCATTTACATTTTCTATTCCCTTTGCTGCTATTATTGCATCTCTTAATTCTGAACCTGATGGTAATGTATTTAACAATGGGAAATCTTTTTTATTCAATTCTTCATCATTTCTCAGTTGCATAAAAAATCCAAATTTATGAAATTCACCTTCTTCTATTTCTTGTTCTTTTGCATGTAAACTAGATTGAGATTTAGATTTCATTAATACTGGTCTACCAGTTAATTTATCAATTATAATATCACGACCTTCGGAATTGGCTTCAACTACAACTTGGTGTGGTTGTAATAAATTATTGGTGTCATTACCTTGTGGGAAATATGAAGTTAATGGTTGATATATGGATGATGATCTTGGTGATAAGATTGGACCTGCTGTGATTAATTCATTGGAGCTTTGATGTAATGTATCATCGTGATGGTGTACGTTTCGGCTGTGGTTGTTAACATTTTCTTCTTCTTGTGGTGGTTGTTGATGATTTTCGATTGATTCTAACATTTGAACTAATTTTTCCAAAGTTGAATCTAATAAACAAAATCTAACAAGATTCTCTTTACCTTCAAATGATAATTGACCATTTGATCGTTTAGCAAATAATCCATCAATGGTAGTATGAATTTCCTTTCTTATGCTCTTCGTCTTTTCCAACATTGCATTAGATATAATTTTATGTATTTTCAAATCAATGAGTTTATCATTTTGATCAACTTCACTCAACAATTTCTCAGCTGACTCCATCAACAAAGAACCATCAAACATTAAATCTTCTTCTTTTGCATTATCATTAAATTCAGATGGATATTGAGAATTTAAAGATTGATCCATATTTCTCATCAAATAGAAAGCAATACGTTGAGAAATTTCATCACCAATTAAATCATAATCTAAATCTAATGCAAATAATGTTGTTGATTGTTTGACTGCTGAATATAATGTTGCAGCTACTGAATGGGTCAAGTTTTTGTTACCTAATAATGATAAGTGAACCAAATGAGGAACTTTTGATAAAAACAGTGCAATTGAACCTATCCCCTTTGCTGTTAATTCATTGAGATCTAAATGTAATCTCCTTAAATTATTATATTGTGGTAAATATTCATCTAATGAAGATATAATTTCTGGAAAAATTTTGGGAATTGAACTTAAATCTAAAAATCTTAAAGTTTTAACACTAATTAAACTCCTTAAAAATTCAGAAGCTTCTTCAACATCACATAAATTTGTTGAATTAACAGATAAAAACATTAATTTTGCTTCACCATGATTGAAAGCTTGTATAAATGGTCTTAATTGTCCATGACTTAAATCATTAAATGCAATATCTATCCCAACACAATTTGATTCAGGATCAATTACATAATCAGCAACAATTTGAGCTTTTGTCATATTCATTTCTATATTAGCAACTCCTAATCTTCTTGTTCCAAATTTAACAGCTTTTGCTATAAGTCTATTAAATACATCATCAGTTAATTTACAACCATTTATAACTAATTCTTCAATTCCACCTCTATAACTTAATGATTCTATTATTAAATCCCAATTTAAATTTCCACGAATACAAGTTGGACTAGTTTCTGATTTTATACGTTGTTGTGATATATCTAATTTTTTAACCGTTTTATTGACTGCTAAAAATGTACATAATAATTTCCAGCCTTGATGATCAATTGCAACATTTCTTAATGATAATTTTTCCAACGTATTACTTTTAATTAATGATCCTAAAATAATTTTCAACATTTCTGTAGTCATTGTTACATTATCAAATATAACTGTATTGATTGGAGTTATTGCAATAAAATCTGAGAATGATAAAATATCAATTAATGTAGGTTTTGGATTCAACATTTTTAAGACTTCTAATGGTGCTGTTTTATTTTTTAATTGCTTTAAAGTAGCTGGGATAGGTAATATTTCTCTTAAATGACAACATCTAGTATATATAGTTTCTAATGATGGATATCCCTTATCTGAAAAATTTTCTTCATCTTCAAAATGTTGTTCATGTACATGTAATGGTTGATCAATAGTTGCATCATTTATAAATTTCTTAGAAACTTTTGAATCAATATCAGCTTCTTCTTCTTGTTGTTCAACAACTTCATTTTCTTTTGTAGTTTGTTTATTTTTTAAAGCTTTAAAATTTGCAACTTCAGAAGCAATTCTTTTAGCTTGTAAATGAGCTTCATATTGATGTTTTTCAGTTTCTACTAAAGCTCTTTTTTGTGCTTCATAAGCTAATGATATTTCTTTTTCACTATATTGTGATGAATTGATAGATTTTTCATTTCCATCTTTATCTGAACTTACTGCTATACCTAAACATACTCTTGGTGGTGGAGCATTTAAATCTTGTGGTATTAAGACATTTCCCTTTTTAGGTCTTCTTGATGGAATTTGTTGTTGTGGATCATATTCTAATTTATCTATTGCAAAAGTAACTCTTTGAATTTTAACATCTTTTAGATCTCGTAACGGCAATTTTATTCTATCCTTGTTCTTATTTAGTATCACTCTAGGTGTCGAAGTCATTGCAAAATTATTGAGTTTTGTAGTTGATGATTTTCTTCTAAAGAAATTTAAACTATCATTTGGTGACACACTTATTGGATTTTCATCTTGATATGATTCTTTGAATATACCACCACTTGTACCTTTTTGAGAACTTGAAGTTCTTCGACGTATTGGGATCCCAGCTGGTGGTTTATCAATTTGTGAGAAATCCTCATCTCTATTTGGGTTTGATGCTGAACCAATTAAGTTTGGGTTTAATTTTGGTGATGCCGGTACTTGTTGTTGTTGATGTTGTTGCTGCTGCTGCTGAGGTTGTGAAGGTTGTTGTGGTGATTTGAATTTTGAAGTTAATGAACTAAATAATCCTTTTTTACTATTTGATCTAGATATATTTGGTGATGATGCTGAAGAAGTATTTGGAGTTGTTGCATTTGATTTTTGTGATAAAAGAACTTCATCATGATCATTATATACTAAATCACTTGTTAGTGAAGGTGCAATAAAATTAAAACTACTAGTACGTCTCTTTGCTGATTGTTGTTGTTGTTGTGGTGATGGGTGTTGTTGCAGTTGCTGAGGTATAACTTTTGAAGCTGATGAAGATCTTGAGCGACCAATTAATCTATCCAATTTTGATGACTTTTCTGGTTGCTTGGGTGAGGCATCCTGAATATCGGTTGTGGGTCGCAGTTGTTGCAATTGTTCTTGGGTTTGATTTTGTACTTGTGGAGGTAATTGTTGAGTTTGTGATTGAGATTTGGGTATATTATGTGATTTTCCGTTGATATCTTGATTTTTAATTGTTTCATTTGAATTCCCATTAGATAGTTCATTACTACTTCCATTACTTTTTGAATTATTTAATGCATTATTTGATTGATTATTATTCCCATTTAACCCTATATTATTATTAGTTGTAGGATTACATGTTTGCTTTTTTGCTAATTTTTTAGATTTTCCTCTAAATAACCAATCAACATCACCATTTGATACACCTGTTTCTATATTAGATTGAGGGTTCGAATTTATATTTGCATTTTGTTGTTGTTGTTGTTGTTGTAAAGAAGTTTGATTATGATTAATTTCCATACTATGATATACAAACCTTTATTCTTGAATGAATAAAAGGTAGTAGAATCTTGATTAATTTAATTAGTGAAATATTGATAAACCGATGATCGCTATCTTTTAAGTTGATATTATTATTTTTGAATTGACCCGACTTTTTTAACTAAATAAATGAATGAATTATAATTTTAAGACTAATGAATAAATGATACTTGACTACTAATAATCAGCAGTTAATGATAAAAATTGAAAAAGAATGAACTATAAATATGTTGATTGTAAAAATTTGGTTGTAAAAAATTTTATATAAATTTATTATAATTGATAAAATATAGATTTGATAATAATTATTATTAATATATAATAATTTATAATAAAAAGGGTTGTAAATTATTATTCCTTATAAATTATATATTATATTACACAAATTAATATTGAGTTATATGATTAGACCAAAAAAAAAAAAATTGCCTCGATTTATCTTTTAATTTAATTTGATTATATAAATTTCTAATATATGATGATTATGATACTAATATGTAAATAGATAAGAGAATTAAGATAAATCAAGTTATTTCAATAATTGAATTATATAATTCATTAGATCTATTATAAACTTATATATTTATTTATACAACATCAAATAATTATATATTATAAAAATTTTAATATAAAAGAGATATAAATAAATAATCATAAAATAAAAATTTCTATTTATTTAATTTAATTTTACCCCAGATATATGTAATAGATTTTATATTTGAAATAGTAGAAATATTATTATTACAACAAACTTAATAATCTCTTAAAATTAATATAATCTTATAACAAATCGTATATTTAATTCATTAGGAATTATTAAGATTAAGATTAAATTCAAAAAATTCATTCAAAAATGATAAAGAAATTTAGTAAACTGAAATAAAAACTCCGAATTTCCTTAGTATCTCTATTTTGTTTTTGTTTTATTGATGATGATTATTGTTATTGTTTTATTGTTTATTAAAAAGTAAAACAATACGAGAGAGAGGAGATTTTTTATCTTATAGAAATTAACGTTCTGATTAAAATTCTTAAAACAAAATCTATACATTCCTTTTTCATCCTTTTTGTTGTAACAACTTATCAACAACCTAAAGTATTAATTGATTTAAATAACTGTAAATTCTTTTCTTATACACAAAAAAATTGTTAATCCTTGCACGTGTTCCCTTTGAGGTTAATCCTTATTTAAACCTTATTATGTAATTAAATAGATAAGGTACTTGGAACATTGCTTGATATAAACATCTTATAATAAACCTAAAAATATTATTATTTATACATATTACAAGAAAAGATAAATTATGTATGTGATGTTTTATAGTTAAAATGATTATCAAATCAAAATTTTGCCTTAAACTTTTTAAAGTATGTAATAATATCGACATAAAACTTAGAAGAAACTTTTAGACTAACTCGACTTAAATTAAAAATCTCGGTCGAGATAGGAGCTTAAAAGATTATATAAGTTTTGCCCATAAATTCCACCAATACTAATATAATAATAATAATATTAAATATCTCATTTGAGTTAATTTTCCATTCCTCGGCACCGTTAAATTATTAATTTATATTAACTGGTAGCTCAGATATAGTTAACAAAATTATTATTAGAATAGATTAAATTGATAAGGGTAAAAAACAAAAAGAGAGTAGTGTAACTTGTAACAAATAAATGACATCAATTATAATAATAAAGAATAATAATTAAAAAAAAAAAATTAAATTTTAGTATATAAATTAATAAGAGGAGAAATTTCATTAAGGAATATTTTCTTTTTTACACCCTTCTTTTCTTATATAAATTTGCATTTCAATTTTTACTTAATTAATAATTGTTCCTTATTTATATATCATTAATACAGTTTTAATCAATCAATTAAATCAAATCAATTATTAATTATTATTTAAGAATATCAAATTTTATTAGTATAATTATTCATTAATCAAATATATTATATATATATATACATAAATACACTACTATACAACAAGATGTTATCAAGATCAATAATTAGAAATTCAAGACAAATTATAAAATCACAATCAAATAATTTACTTAAATCATCATCAATTATACTTCCACAAATATCTTCTTCACAACAACAACAATTCCAACAACAACAACAAATAATACCCACCACAATAATTTCAAAAAGATTATATCATGAAAAAGTAATAGATCATTATGAAAATCCAAGAAATGTAGGAACATTAAATAAAAATGATGAAGATGTAGGTACTGGATTAGTAGGAGCACCAGCTTGTGGTGATGTAATGAGATTACAAATTAAAGTTGATGAAAAAACTGGTTTAATTGAAGATGTTAAATTTAAAACTTTTGGTTGTGGTTCTGCAATAGCAAGTTCTTCTTATGCTACTGAATTAGTTAAAGGAAAAACTTTAGATGAAGCATTAGCTATAAAGAATACTTTTATTGCTCAAGAATTAAGTTTACCACCTGTTAAATTACATTGTTCAATGTTGGCTGAAGATGCTATAAAATCTGCTGTTAAAGATTATAGATCTAAAAGATTAAATAAATCACCAACTTTAGGTCCTGATGCTGTTACTGCTAATACTAATGAAAGTTCTAATGCTACTGCTACTGCTACTGCTACTACTGCTTAAAATCTTTTTGGTGGTTGTTATTTGGTGAACATTTTTTTAATTTTTTTTCGGCTTTGTAGAGATTGAATTTTAGTACATATATAGCGAATGAAATTTTATACATGTTACCCTTTTTAGATTTTTGGATTTTATCTAATTTTGTAGTCAATTTTATAAACTCTAACGTTGAAACTCCATTAGAGTTGAAATTTTCAATGGTCTATATCAAAATTTTTGTGTTACTTTTGAATTTATATACATTACAATTAAAATAATATACATCAAAAACTCAATCTATAAACTTTCCCTAACTTCTTTAGCTTATTCATCATCATTAACAAATCCACCTTCTTTACATAATGCATAAAATAATGATTTTTTATTCTTTAATAAATTAGAAGGAGTATCAAATTCAGCAACTTCTCCCTTTTCTAACACCAAGATTTTATCAGAATCTAATATTGTATTTAATCTATGAGCTATAGTTATAATAGTTTTATTTTTAAATTCTGTTCTAATAGTTTCTTGAATATATGAATCTGTTGAAGTATCTATAGAACTTGTTGCTTCATCTAATACTAAAATATTTGAATAATTTAATTTTAATAATACTCTACCAAGACACATTAATTGTCTTTGTCCAACTGATAAATTAGATCCACCTTCTGTAATTTTAACATCTAATGGTGTATTTATATCTTCTTCTTTTTCACCTAAAACATCAGAAGGTTCATTGGTGTCATTAATTTCTCTTTCTTTAAACATTTTTTCAACATGATCTTTTAAATGTGATAATTCTAAAGCTTTATAAATTTGATCATCTGAATATTCATTAGTTGGATCAAGATTTGATCTTACTGTTCCTTCAAATACTTGAGAATCTTGTGGTATTATTGATAATTTATGTCTTAAATCAAATAATCCAATAGTATTTGTTTGTATACCATCAATATTTATATCTCCTTTAAAAGCTTCTATAATTCTAAATATAGCTAAAGTTATTGAAGATTTACCAGCTCCTGTTCTACCAACAATTCCAATTTTTTCTTTTGGTTTAATTTCTAAATTAATATTTTTTAAAACTAAATCTAATTCAGGTCTATATTTTGTTGAATAATTTTGAAATTTAATTTCTCCTTGTTGTGGCCAATTTGTTGGTGGTCTATGATTTGGAATAATTTCTGGAGCTTCACTTTTTAAGGTTGAATATTCAAGACATCTTTCAACTGCAACTATATTTGTTTCAACTTCAACTGTCATTCTAACTATCCAATTTAATGATTGAGTAATTTGTAATGCATAAGATACTGATAAGCCAACTAATCCAGCAGTTAAATGTCCTGAAGATAATGTTAAAATAGATAATCCAGCAGCTCCTAAAATAATTATTGATCCTAAAAATTCTAATCTTACAGCTAACCATCTATTTGCATTTATAGCAGGATGATAAGCTTTCATATTTTCATCAACTCTTGATTGATTCAAAAATTTAAAACGATCTTCTTTACCATAAGCTCTTATTGTTGAAATACCAACTAATGATTCTTGAAAATTTGCATATATTGGTGATCTTGAAACTGAATCTAATCTTCTTAATTCTCTTGAAGTTCTTAAATAATATTGTTGATAATATATATATAATACTCCTAAAGGAATAATTAAAAATATAAATTGCCAAGTTGAAAAACAAATAACTATAATTGTTAAAGTTACTTTTATCAAATTACTGAAAAACATATTAAATACTCTACCAATAACTTCATCAATCTTGTAAATATCATTTGAAAATCTATTCAAAATTCTACCAATAGGAGTAGTTTCAAAAAAAGTCATTGGTGCTCTAATAACTGATATTGCCATTGAATTATGTAACTTTTTAGAACCTTGAATAGTACATAATATCCATAATGTAATATTTTGAATTAATGAACTAAATGAATAACCAATACCTAACAAAAAATATATTCCTAAATAAAATCCAACATTTGGATTATATCCATATTTTGTATTAATTTCAGACCAATGTTCTAACCAAAAAGTAGATCCAACATTAACTAAATAAGATAATACTGCACAACCCAAAAATATCAATACGTGGAAAGGACCACATGCTTTAGCATATTCTTGATAAACTGTCCATTTAACTTTCCCTTGTTCAATATGTTCTTTTCTTGCAATTTTATCTTCACTTTCAACTTCTCCTTCTTCCAATTCAGTTTCTTCTTCAAGATACAATTGAGTATCTCTTTCATCATCTGGTACTAAAGAAACTTCAGAAGCTCTTCTTAAACTTGTAATTTCTAAATCACAATCTGAATCAAGGTCTTGTAAGTTGACATCATCTTTAGTTTCATAAACATCTTTCTTATTTTCTTCTATAGTAGTTTCTCCATTAGTGGTAGGTTTAGGAGATTCTTCTCTTTTTGTACCAAATTCTTCAATTATTAATTTTAATTTTGAATTTTCTTGTTTCATTATATCATCATATGTTCCTTGCTCAATTAATCTTCCATCACTTACCATATTTAAATTATTTGCAATACTTAAAACTTTAATGTTATTAGTAGCTAATATCTTACATTTGGTTTTTAATAATCCATTAGGTCCTAATACATGATCAACTAAATGTTTACCAACATGTTCATCAACTGCACTTAATGGATCATCCAACAAGTAAACATCAGCTCTAGCATAAACAGCTCTAGCTAATGATAATCTTGCTTTTTGACCACCACTTAATGATATTCCTTTTTCACCAACTTCAGTTTGATCTCCCTTTGTTAATATAGCTAAATCAACAGTTAATGCACAAGCTTTTAATACATGATTATAAAATTCTGGATCATATTTATGACCAAATAAAATATTTTCTCTAACTGATCCATTCATTATCCATGGAACTTGAGCAACATAAGCTACTTTACCATGTAAAATAACTTCACCATCTAATTTATATAAATCACCTAATATAGCTTGAATTATGGATGATTTTCCAGATCCAACTTTACCAACAATACAATCTAATTCACCCTTTTTAGCATCTAAATTAATATTAGATAATGCAACTTTATAATTTTGTTCATTTTTAGATTTTGACCATAAAAAAGTACCATTTTTAATAGAAACTGCAACATCACCAATTTTATCAGCTGGTGCTTGTTTTGAAACAGCATTACCTTGTAGCTCAGAACTTGTTAAATATTTAGTTAATCTACCAATAGCAACTTGAGCTTCAACTATATTTGTAATAACCATTGGAACAACAGCTAAGGGAAAACTTAATAAATTAAATAATGATAATGCAGGAAATACCAAATCAGTAGATAAACTTTTCTTTTGAGTTAATACAAATACTGCAAATGTTGAACAACTAACTAAAAATGGAGCTAAATTCCAAGTAAAATTTGAAACTGCCATAAAAACACCCATTTTTTTTAAATTATCTAATTCTAAATCATTACGAACATAATTTAATCTTTGTAAATAAGGTTGTTCCCATCCATAAAGTTTTAATGATTTAATATTATTTAAAATTTCATTAATTAATCTTGATCTTTTATCTTTATATTTCATTTGTGTCTTTTGTAATTTTTTTTGAGTTTTGGCAATTACAGCATTTAATGGAATCATAATAATCATTATTGCAACACCTGCCCACATTGAATTTCCAATTAAATTATTTAATGAATAAAGACAAATAATGATTTGAAATGGTCCTGACCATACAATTTGTAAATTTTGAACTAAATCTTGTAATCTTTGTACATCAACAGACATTAAATTAACAATATCACCAGTTGAACTTTCTTGTTTGGATTCACTTGATAATACAAGAGATTTATCATAAACAGTTGAAGTTAATGCACTTTTAATTTTCATACCTAAATCAAAAGCTCTTTGGAAATATTGATGTAAACAAGCTGTTTGTATGATGGAAACTAAGAACATAGATACAGCAATCATTAAACCTCTAGTTAAAGGTAATGGTTCCCCCTTTTTAACTGATTGTGAATAATCATTAACAAATTTAATTAATAAACGTAATAATTGTGGTTGAATAAAAGCTAAAGAATCTTGAGCAGCTTTAAAAACACCTCCTAATAAAAATTCAGATCCAAAAGCGTTAGATATAGCCCAAAATAAAGATTTTTTAGTTGATGGTTGTCTATTCCAATAATGATTAAAATCTTTATTAGTATTTTTAGCTTTTAAATCTTTTGGTAATGGAGGTAAATCCTTTTGAGTTAAATAATTGTTATAACCTTGTTTCATTAATCCACCAATCCAATCAAATGTAATACGTGAAAAAACGTTAGCTCTATCATAAGGACTTACAGTTTTCAATCTTTGATAATAATTTAATGGTTTCATAGGTAATAAAGTTTCAATTAATAAAATTAATAATGAATTAGTAGTTATTAAAATCACTAAATTACCATAATTTGATCCTAATTTGTTACGTAATTGTAAATTTAGTATTCTTGCTAAATTTAAAATGATTTGAAATAACCAATAAAATAATAATACACCATTTGGTATAGCAGATTTAAATTGTTCTAAATAATGAATTCCTAATGCAATTAAAGTTGATCCAATATTTAAATAATTTGAAGTTTGTATAATTCCACCGGATCCAAATGGGAATGTGAAAACCACCAAAATTTGAAAAATTAACTGTAATACTACTAATAATAATTTAGTATAAAAAGTCCAATTAATTCTATTTGCAACTGTGATTTTTTTTTGTCTTAAATAATGGATCTGATAAGACCCTATGAAAATCATTAATAATGAAGATATTCCAAATAAGACACCCAAAAAACATGGAGTAAAATCATTATATTTGGCAGATAATGGACCCCAAGATTCTTTAGTATTACAACTGAACCAACTGGTATTAGATAGAAATCTTTCCTTCTTTGTTAAGTTATGATATGCGCTACTTCCATTTTTAGCTGTGAAGAAATTCAATTGACTGACCAAGTTAAGTCCATTTATTATAAATGGATTATTACCATTTGAAGAATAATCAATTTGATGTTCCATTTATATACAAAAAATAATAAAAAACCAGAGCAAGAACTTAAATGATTAATAATAATTGAATTGGAATTAATGAGTAATGTAATGATAACGGTTTAATAATGTTAATTGTATAGATTCAAGTAAAAAATTAATCTTCTTTAATACTTCTCTAAATAAAATGGCAACTTAAAACAATGTAGCACTAAATAATTTGAAAAATGCAAGTTGTAAAAAATTATATGTAGTTCGGTTAGGTTAAGAGCTACCAAATACGGATTTAATTATTACCGCCATTTGGAATATTTTTCCAGTACTAACAAATTTTATCAGACTAGCATTAAAATAGATATGGAAATGTAGCAATATCAGTATGAGAAAATCAGAGTATACAAACACAAAATATTCAATAATACAAACAATGCATTTGTATACTATCAACATTGACAATTACAAATTCTATTTAACTATTTATTTAAAAAATTTCTTTAATTTTGATCTTTTACTAGTACTTGAATTTTTTGAATTTGTTGAACCACTCAATACAGAATCATTATCTAAAAATTGTTGTTGATTAGCAGGTGAATTTTTCGTAGAAGATCCTCTTTTTTGATAATGAGATTGTGAAGTAGGTTGATTATGACCATTTTCTGAGTTTATTCCATGAGCTTTGGCGTACATTTGTTGTTGTTGTTGAACCTGTTGTTGGAATGATGATGATTGTCCAAATTGGGGTTGGTTCAATTGTTGTGGTGGTTGTGATTGGGGTGGTTGATGTTGTTGTTGTTGTCGTACTATAGGTTTGGGAATACCTGAACCATCATTATATAAGAATGTTGGAATATCATTTGATTTTTGAGATTCTTTATAAATATTTAAATCTAATGTTTGTAAATCTTTATTGTTACCTAAATTTTGTAATCCAATTAAAAAATCTCTTGGTTTTAATATTGATTCAGAACCAATATAAAATTCTTTATTTAATGAATTAGTTAATTCATATATTGATCTTATTTCATTATATGTAATACCACCAGCTACAAAACAAAAAATTCTTTGTTTTTGTTTTGTATTTGATGATGTACCATTATAACTTGATGGTGTATTTGTAGTTGATGCCCAACTTGCTTTGATTCTTGGGTTCCTTAATGATCCACTTGTTGATAGTGGTTGTTGATCTTTCTTTTTAATTGGACCATTCAAAAAATCTTGAGTTTGTACTTCATCATCTAATGGCATATCTCTAAAATAAGGAAACCATTCTCTATCTAATGAATATTTTGCAACATTTTGCATTATGGTTTTTATACCTGGAGTAAATCTACTTGTATTATATGTACCTTCATTATTGATTGTATGAAATTGTTGTTTGACAAATGGTTTATCTTTAACATCATTTTTAAAAATTAAAAATCCCAATTTATCAACATTATTGAAACATTTATCCATTAATCCTGAAATATGTCTTGGATCATTAACACCACTGAAAGTGACTAATTTTTCAAAATCTGATCTAATTAATCCACCTCTATAAAAAGCATAAATTAATACTAATCTAATTTTATCATTTATATGTAAATCATTTCTTGCTAATAATATTATTAAATCATCATGTAAATGTTTATTTCTTTCACCTTCAAAACTTACACCTTCAGCACAACATGTTTGTTCAAAATCTGCTGCAAACTCTGCTAATTTTCTAGTAGCATTTATATCAAGACAATTATCTATAAGTGTTTTGTGTAATGTTAATTGTTTCCTTTCTTCATCAAATCCCTTTAAATGAGCTACTATATACATTAAATCTGATGATGTATTAGCTTTTGATCTATCAATTAACAAAGGATTGTTTTTTATTAAATCTGTGATTTTGTTAACTATTAATTCTGAACTTTCAATAATATGTAAATGTCTTAAATTAATCCAATCTTCATCATTCTCATTTTCTAATTGAACTTCAACGTCAGAAATCTCACCTTTTTCATTTTCACTTTGATATTTAAATTTCCCTTCTTTTTCTAATGATTCAACTATATCCATTGCCATAGCTTGATAAGTAAATTCATGTAATAAAGGAGCATATAAATCAACTGTTCTATCAGTTATCAACAACACTGATCTAACTTTTGCAGAAACTTCAGGTGATGGATAATTTTGATTTTTTCTACAATATTCATCCATTTGTTTTTGAAACAGATCAGCAATTAATTCAGGTAATCTTTGAGCTTGATGTATTCCATCTTTTGGTTGATAAAATCGAATGAAAGGATATTCTTCCATTGATATCATTAAATTTAATAATGATTTTGCAACTAAATGAATTTGAGGCATTATTAAATCAACAGCATTTGAATTATAATAAATAGGCATTGAATTTGGAGTTTTATCATCTGTTAAAAACACTCTTGTTTCAATGGGGTTATATTGAAAATTTAAAAATTTTATATTAGAGAAAAATGAATCAACTTGTGGATTATTCAGAAATTTATCATGAAAATAATTTGTAATTCTAGGTGATATATCATCATCTAAATATGAAAATAATGCTATCCCATTTTTGTATCTTTTCGTTTGTATATCTGCTAGAATACATTTGAGATTGTAAATATTTATTTCTACGAGATATATTCCTGTCATATATGTATTCTTCCTTCTTTCTGAATCAATAACCTCTACTGATGCAACAATTCGTAGTAATTGTTCTTTTGTAAAAATCTTATATATCAATGATTCAATATTTTTGTCAATAATTAAATTATAAATTTCTTTTGGTTGTTGAACTTCTTTTATTTTTCTATATAGATAATCATGTTGAATATTAAATAATGAATTTGGATCTTTGTTCTTGATCATCTTTGTGAGTGATTTAAGTAAATAATGAGGCAGGAGTCACAAATGAAGTATAGTGGTTGATTTATTGATGGATAAATGAAAGCAAATAATAACCGATCTTGTTGAAAAAAAATATGAAATTAATAAATGATCTATGATTCTATATTATGTTGAATAATTTTAATTAATTAATAATTTGAATTTACTCTTGATCCATTTATAATTTCAATAACATCAAATATATATATATGTAAATAAATGTAATTTAAAATTACTTTATTGCTTTTTGATCGTTTGTTTGTAGAATATTATTAATATTTATTATTATTATTCTTTGACATATAAATCTGAAATTATTATTCTTACATAAAAAAATAATTTTTTACTTATTTCCTAATTAAGTTTAGTAAGTTTGTGTTAATAGATTTATGTGTATTAGTACTATACTTCAATTAAATTATTGTATTATAATGGTTTTTTGACAATGTAGACTATTCAAATAAAGATGAAGTAATATAACGTAAGTAAAGTGGGTCAAATAGAACTCAAATTGAAGTATTACGTTGAATCTTGCAAGATTACATTTAATTCTTTTTGAGATAAAATTTTAAGTTTGTCGAAATAGGTTTTAGCTAAAAATTTTTGTATCAAATTGAAACCAAATACATGAGTTTTTCATATTGCTCAGTACTACTAGAGAAAAGTTAATCTAGGGCCTGGTACGGATCCTTTTTATTGTTACAATATTCTTTTTAACAACTAAGATTATTTTTTGTGAGAAAAATAGTCTTTGAATGCATAAACTAGTTTTTGCTCGATTTTAAAGTTCATCAACAATATATTATATTATAGCCTTTGAACCAGGTGGTGAAGATTCAAAAATCAATCGAGCCATTATAGGCTATATTAAACTTCAATATCACATGAGTGCTCGTTTTTTTGTGAAAGATACGTCTTAATATACTACAAATTGTTATCGATAATCAAATCTGAAACAAATGTGCGAAAAATAATAATAACCTTAATTAATTTACTTAAAATATTTAACTATAAATTAGAATATCACCGACGCCATTTTCAAAAAATTTTATACTTTCTTTTATCTTTTTTTATCAATCTAATTCAATTTATTTTAATATATACTCCAAGTTATGACTACAACTAAGCAACCTAAATCTGGTGAATTAAAAACTTATGATTTAAAAATTGATGATGATACATCAGATTATCAAGATGAAAATTTAACACCAAATCAATTAAGAAACAGATACGTTAAAATCTTGTTAGAAGAAAGAGAAAGTAAAACAATTCAAGGTATAAATGGTCCAACTTCATTAGTTTCAACTACAAAATTAGAAATTCCAAAATTATTATCAATGTCAAAAATTTTAAGTGAATGGTGTAATAAAATGGAAAAGAAAAATTTTAAAAACTATGATTTGTATTATAATGGTTACAAAATCCAAGAAAATGATACTGCTAGAGCATTACAATTAAGAAAAGATGATATTATTTATGCTATTGCTGATAAATCACGTAAAAAGTGATTATTTTTATACAAAACTAATTAAATCTCAATATATAATATATTGTTGTTTCTAATTTGCATTTTAATCTTTTGGCTTTATGTTTGAAGTACGAGGCTTTGAAAATATATAAAGTATTTTAGATAGCATTGACCGTTCATTAAATGTAGCAGTTCATAGCGGAGAGTTTGCAACTTAAAAAATCAGCTTGTTTGGTAGCACATATTTTTTTTAATTATCAACTTCTCAAAAAGGATTTTCCAAGCTGAATTTTTTCAATTATTTACGCTACAAAATTTAATCAACAAGATAAAAATCAATTACCAACTAGAATTTTTTGATGGATAAAAATTGACCGAATTTCAATTTTCAGGTGTGACATAAGCTTATTTTGGCTGATAAAGCTTAATTTATTGAGCACTAATAATGCAACGCCAACGTTAATAATAGCAAAATTACTTTCAAAACCAAGCAGAATCAAACAGGTGTCGTGATTCTATAGGTTGATTATTACTTAAAGCATTAACCAGAAAGATAATGATATATATTAATGGGAAGATGATGGGTGGATAATGGGTAGAGAAGTCCACTAGAGTCTCTATGCAAACTATATAATTGAGGTAAAATAAGAAAGTATTTATATCAAGGTAAATGTGGTGATTGTGGCTAGGTAATTAAGCTTAAAATAGGTTATTAAGCATAGCATAGCTCATGACCATGACAACAAATGGATATTTATAAAGGATATAGTAAGATTGAACAAGACGATAATTTGATCTCAGTCTTTAGCTAATAAAATATCGTATTATATGACGGTTTATTAAATATCAATGTTAATGATCATGTAAACAAAGTTTGGTTGGACTTGCAAATTAAATTAGTTCCAAGATATTTTGCACGTTGCGATACAATGCTTCCAACAATGTAATCCACCTCTTTTGATACCTCTTTGTTTTTAGTTAATTTAATACCCTCAGAATGGTTTGTTTCTGACATCATCTTCAACTTGTTAGAGGTCGTTATATATGACATACTCGACCACTACGAAATTCTCAAAAGAGGTGAAAATATGAGAGACATATTTACAAGTGACGTGTCAACATGAATACACGATATACAATTAACATTTATTAAAAAAAAATCCATATGGATACGGTACTTAACCCTAAGAGTATCAATTTTTTTTTCTCAGAACTCCTCTGCAAGACAATCTTTTACAGACATTGATTTCAAAGGATCTCTCTAAAATCGCCCAATCTTGAAAATTTGAACGCTTCTTGAAGTAAACCACAATAATGTCCTAAAAAAATTTGTAAATAAAAAAGATGTGACTGAACTTCAATGATCTAATCTACTTTCTTGCTCGCGAGCTGATGTTTCTTGAAAAAGAACAAATTTGAATTGGCTATACTGTAGTAATTAAAATATTCTTTGTTTAAATATGTTTCGAATAATAATGAATAATCGTATCGATCTTCTCTATTAATTTAAAACAATTTTAACCATCCTTGAAAAATTATCAGCTTTAACGTTGATTCTTTCTCAAAAATGGCAGTTATAAACAAGGTTTCTCCATCAATAAAAAAAAATTCAAAACAAAATCTTGAAATATACAACCTAAAAATATTAAATATTAAATATATCTTAGTGAGCAATTGATTGCAAGTAATTGATTTATTTTTTTAAATTTTCGACTTTTTTTCTTGAATATTAATCATTAATCATTAATCAACAAAAAATAAATCAAAGTTGGGTTTCAAAATTTATTTTATATTTTATTAAATTCTTATTAGCTTAGTTCTATTGTGCGTGTAAATGTTACATTTTTAATATTCTTTGTTTTGAATTCAACCTAATTAGGTAATTTTAAATGCAAAAGATATAATATTTTATCATTAATAGTTTAAAAATTATGAAACAAAACCCTTTAATAATTTTTAACTTTTTCTATTATATTTTATTGTTTTTAAATAATATTAATTGTTAAATCTTAAATCACAAATCAAACTTTAGCACTTCAACATGTCAGATCTATCAGATAATGATAAATCCGAGCCAACTTCGGATCAATGCATGGAAGCTAATGCCATCAAACTCCAAAAAGTTCAAGCAATACAAGATGGTGTTATCATCAATAAAAAAGTAGGAATAAAAAGCTATGACTTTTATCAAAAAGAAATTCTCAACCTTCAATATATTTTAAATGATAAAACCAAATGTGAATCCATTGAGGAGTTACAAGAATTCTTAAACGAAGTAGAAGAAAAATTCCATGAAGCTATAGCTAATAGAAAAAATTTAATGAAAAAATTAAGTACAGTAAGGGAAGAATTATTGTACGCAAAATTTGAACTACGTCATTTAGGAGTAGTTTGGGATGGAATAAAACCAGTCAATATATTGAAACTCGCCAGAGATCAATATCCAAAATCTATGTAAATTTGTACTACTAAATATTCTTGGATTTTTGCTTAGTTTTTAGTCTTAAATAGTATAATTAATGCTTTTTTCATGTAATCGATGCGTCTTTAATAATTCCATTTATTTCCTTTACCTCGAAAGGTGATGTTGAACCCATTGCCATTGCCATTAAACGCAATCACCAGGATATTCAATTACATGGTTGTTACATCGAAAAAATAGATTTTGGTATAGAGTCAGAAGTTTAATTTGAAGGTGTAGTTGTAGTAGCTGATTGCAGGTAGGCAAATTTAATATAGATATGTAGTTGTAGTGTTTGATGAAACTATGTTAATCTAGATTTAAGGTTCATATATTTATCATGATTATAATTTAATGGTTATTTAGTATTACAAATGTATAAACTATAAACATAACCAATCTGAGTAATTGTTGACTTGAATGTAGACATTTGCTGGTAGTAATATGTATTTCTATTTTGATTAATCCAGTCTTTTTTAAAAAATTGATGAGGGGAACTAACCTTATTACCTGAAGATGGTACAGTTTTTATGAACAGTCGTGGACAAGATAATGAATTTTATGGCTTAATCAACTTGATGGTAGAACAGCTATTAGAAAATCAACTAATGTAGACTCGATTGACCAATCAGAAATGGTAATGATATTCCAAAATCGGAGTCATTTGATATTTGATGGTGTTGTAGACCTCCAGTAGAATTATTAGTTTTAAAATTTGATGACGATGAAACAATGAATGTGAAAATTGCTAGTAGTGATGAAGAGCTGTCTGACAATTGGTTCATTTTATATCTATTTTGTATAGTCCTTTTGATAGATGACATTATATCTCCTCTCTAATATTGATAAAAAAGATTAATTTAATCACCTGCTGATGAATGATAACAATGGTAAGCACTTGATGATGAACAGTAATTACGGTATACCTTGGGTTTGATAATGGAACAGCTTTTACGTTAAATCCTGGACATGATGATGACAGTTTTGTGGTACATCAACTACTTGACAATAGAACAGCCACTAAGTTTACCAATTAATGAAGTATATGGGATATTAGTTTGATCAATTGAAAATGGTGATAGTATGAGATTTTACATTTAGTTAAGTTGTGGACCTTAAAGTAAATCTAGTAGTTTTGAAATTTGATGACAATAAAATCATTTCAATAGTAAAGTTGAATCCCAGAGGAAGATGGAGAACTGATGATGGTTTCCAAGTATTGATTAGATTGGATATTGAAATTAAAGTTAATTAGATCGTGAGCTCTTAGTTAATTTTTTCCGAGTTTTTTAACAAGGTATCGATTACCGAAAAACGGGTAGTTCCGAAGTAAACACAAAACTAGGTCGAAATGAGAACAATAAGTAATACGACAGTACGAGAGTAGATAATTCCAATGGAATATTGTAGAGGGATGAAGAGGAAGGCATATGTATAATAAAATATCATTTTATAATCTTTCTTGTGTAACTAATTTACAGCACTTGATCATATTTTTTTACGCTCATGAGAAATATGTGTCCATCTAGCTTGCCAAATATATAGAAATAAATTAAATTTGAGAGGGAGAAAAGTTATATAAATTCTTGGTTTAAAAAGAAGAAACTATTTGATTAATCGGTTTAAAGCAACGATTTGTAATTTATTAACAAAAATTAAGTAACGATCTGTTTTTTATTAACAAAAATTGTGTTGTCCTAAATCGTTGGTTCATCATTTTAACTTATTTTACACAACACGAGAGATGTTTTATTCGACTGATTTGTAGAAATAAATACTGTAAGAAATTCTTGTTTATGCAAGCATGTAAATTCTTGTAATCACCTGGTTTTTCCAATTGTATACTACTGTATATATCTCTGTCTATGATGATTGTAAATTTTCATTCAACCATTAGGTACAGGTTGTAACTCAAGTGTAGTAATCTAGTTTGACAATATTAGAGAATTTAGAGAATCAGATTTACAAATAAAACAATTGATATCATATTACTAGATAAAGCACTAAAAATATTTAACATAGACACCATTATATGACAAAACTTAATTGTCAGATTCACTTTATTTGATTAAATCTCCCTTCGACTTTTTTATTTTAGCTAAATCATCAATTTTTTCTTTAGTTTTTTCAACTTCTAGTGATACATAATCTCTCTTGGTTCTTGAATGCATGGTTTCACTAATTGTACTTTTTGTTTCCAGCTTGTAGTATTTTAAGTTTTGATCAACATCTAAATACTGTTTGTGCTTCTGAATCAAATCCTTTAAATAAGCATTATCTCGTTGTCTTTTAGTTTCATCAGTTGAACTTTCTTGAACAAGTGGACGGTCCGAATCTTTTTCAGACATGATTGTATTTTGATTAACTAGATCCAAATTAAAAATATAAAATAATTACTTTACTTTATTGCCTTCAAATTATTTATAAAGTAAATTTATATACAGCTTTACATAAAATACGCATAACAAAAAATGAATAAAATTTACAATTCCAATTCAAAATTGTAATTTGAAGAGTTAAAATGTAGAGCAAACTGACATTTTACAAAAAATTCAATTTTAAATTATGATTGTAGATCTTTTATGCATTACGAGGTAAATCAGCTGTTTTGTGTATGATTTCAAAACATGGAAATTTGTGTCGAGTTCAGTCAAATCAAATCTTGGCATGATTGAAATAAATTCAAAAATAAATGTAACTGTAAAATTTACTAAAGAAAACGTTTACCCCATTAATGTGGTAATTCTAATTAATAGATTAAACTGACATCTTATCTTCATTGTTCAAAAGAAATAGAAGAAGTTAGTTGAAGTTTTTTTGCTCAATCTATGTAACAAAATTGTAACAAATTGGTAAAAATTTGAAACATTCTTAATGAATGATTGATCAAGCAAAGTCTCAAGAGAAAACAACTAATGGTCAACATTCAAGAGAAGTAGTCGACTGTTTAAGAAATAAATGAAAGTTGGGTTAAAAATTTGTTTAAATTGTTATTGATTGTATGTTGTTAAAAATTTATAGTTATTGTATTGTTATTTCAATTGTGCTTGTAAATGTTACATTACTATTATTCTTTGTTTTGATTTCAGCCTATTTAGGTAATTTTAAATGCATAACATATAATATTTTATTATTATTTTAAAATTATAAAACAAACCCTTTAATATTTTTTAACTTTTTCTATTTTATTTTTTAAATTTTGATTGTTAATTCTTAAATCATACATCAAATTTAAGCACTTCAACATGTCGGATCTTTCACAAGAAGATCAAGAATACTACGAAGTGTTAGATTTAATGTTCAATATTATCAAAGAAGATCAAAATTTAGATCTTGAAAATCCAACCGAACTTCAAAAACTTCAAGCAATAGAAAAAGCTCTTGATAACAATAAAGATATTATTAGACAAAGCAATATTGAATTAACTGAATTAAGATTAATCAACATAAAAAGTAGATTAATGAAAGAAACCAATTGTAATTCCACTGAAAAACTACTAGTATACCAAGAAGGTATGAAAAAAAAATGGGAAGAAGCTAAAGCTGAAAACGAAGTTCTTAAAAACGAATTAACAACTTTGGAAAATCAATTAAAAGATTTAAAAAAAGATTTACTCAATCATGGTGCAATTTGAGATAAAATAAAACCTTTTGATTATTCGATGCTCAACTTTGATGAAGATCTCAAATCTTTATAATTTTGCTGTACTAAATATTCTATATAATTATGTTTACTTTTAAATATTCTTGGATTTTGGCATAGTTTTTAGTTTTAAATAGTTTAATTAATGTTTTTTTACTGTAATTAATGAATCTTTAATAATTTTATCCAGTTTCTTTACATCAAGAAAGACGTTGAACCCATTGCCATTGCCATTAAACGCGCTCACAAGGATTATAGCATCAATACCAATTACATTATTGTTACAAGTAGTAGTAGTCAATAAAATAGATTAGAAGCTGAATGTGAATGTAGTTGTGATAATGGGTGTACAAATTTGATGTTTTTGTGTAGTGGTGGTGCTTGATGAGTTTTTGAAATAAATTCTCATTTATAACCGTAAGTAAAGAAGTAGTCACAGAAAGTCAGTCGTGAATATCTTACTTAAAGTTGAATAAAACCCTTCGTCTTTATCAATGATGAATAGATATTACCAATTCGAGATTAGTTCGACGTTAACCTTAGACGGTAATACAACGTCATTAACTATGCTTCGCACTAATTTTTGTGTCGACACCGCACTGTCCATTTTGTACGAAAATTGGAACGATTTCTCAATATTTTAAATCTCGAAGCACAAAACAGCACTAGCTAGTGTACTGTTGATTGTCGCCTTACTTAAATATGAATAGAATTAAGCGTACATAATTCATTATATCATAAATTTCGATTCGTGTAGGTTATTCTCAAAATCTGAAACATCGCAAAATGATACAAAGATAAACTTTCTCTTCTTTCCTTATTAAATTACACAGCGAAATTTCGTGCGAGTAGACGTGTTTTATTTATTTAATAGAATTGAAAGAAACAAAAATTATATTAAACTGAGACCTGAAAAATCAGCATATTTAATTATGAATGATTTGATAATTTTCAAGGCTAAACATTTGAGTCAATCTCAATGATTATCATGAATTTATCAACGATACAAACTTAATATGAGTAAGAAAGTGATGAAAATGAAGCAGACCTGCCAATATAAACTGCATAAGCAAATTCATCGAAAGATACAGAATGTCAAGTAAGTAGAATGGTTTTTAGTTTTGATAGAGACTTTTGAAAGTATTAATCTCACTTGGATGCAAATTGAATTTAGATTACTTTTACAAACTCTTTATTTAACTTTTTTGACACCTTCATTAATTGTATAAATTAAGGTTATAACTTATATTTTGATAACCGGATATATCCTGATTTCAAAAGGTGAATTAACTTAATAAAAGTTATTATGCACTTAAATGTAAATTTACGAGAGAAACACCTTTCTTTTTCTTTTTTGTATTTAAGAGTGTGTGTTAAATATTATTATTATTATTATCTTATTAAATAATAACCATTATCAAATTAGTACAATAGAAATTAAATATATTTCAATTAAATTATATACCAATTAAATTGAATAAAACCAACATATAGTAGAATGACATCATCACATTCTACGCTATCTATAAATACAAACACCACCACAAATTCAATTACCAACAGCAATAACAATAATAATAATTCAAATTTTAAACCAAATCATAAAGCAAAATCATCATCAATATCAACATCAACTAATCCAAACCAATCATTCCCACACCAATCAAACCAACATCATCAATCCAACTCGGATTCTATTTCATCAACAGCAGTACAAACTCCCACATATTCATTAAATAATAATAATTCACCAATATCACCATTAAATACTCCAATTAATACATTTTTCAATAATAAAATGCAAGATGATGAAGATAATCAAGAAAAAGAAGTTGAAGAAAAGGGAAATTATAAAAATCAAACTATTCAAGCTACTTTATATATTTTAGGTTGGTATTTTTTTTCATTAAGTATATCATTATATAATAAATGGATGTTTGGATCATTAGGTTTAAATTTTAAATTCCCCATATTAGTTACAAGTTTCCATCAATTATGTTTATTCTTGTTAAGTTTTGTGATATTGTTTGTAAATTCAAGTCTAAGACCTTTGAAGAATTCATATAAGGGGGGCAATTTTTTTAAATTTAGTAAAACAATGTTATTTGTTGATTTTAAATTTATACTTGTTAATATTTTACCATGTTCTGTTGCATCTGCTGGTGATATTGGATTATCTAATTTTGCAATAAGTTTAATATCATTAAGTTTATATACTATGTTAAAAACTAGTTCTTTAATATTTGTATTAATATTTGGATTAATTTTTAAATTAGAAAAATTTAATTGGAGATTAATTATTATAGTCTTGGTTATGTGTGGATCAGTTATAATGATGGTTGATAAACCTGAACCTTTAAAAGAAGATGATAGTGTTGAACTAATAGAAGAAAAAAATTCAAAATTTGGAATTATTTTAGTTATTTTTGCTTCATTATTATCAGGATTACGATGGTCTTTTACTCAAATTTTATTGAAAAAAAACCCATATACTTCTAATCCAATAAGTACAATATTTTATATATCACCAATAATGTCTATTGTATTATTTGTATTGGGATTAATTATTGAAGGTTGGGGACCATTTATTGAATCTAATATTTGGGAAAAATTTGGAATTTTTAAATCTATTATTTTGTTAATTATACCTGGTATATTAGCATTTTTTATGACATTATGTGAATTCAAATTATTAAAAATTGCTCAAATTATAACTTTATCAATAGCTGGAATTTTTAAAGAATTATTAACTATTATACTATCATTTTTGATATTTGGTGATAAATTAAATTTTATAAATATTTTAGGACTTATAATAACTTTTAGTGATATATTATGGTATAATTATTATAGATATAAACAAAATGAAGTTGAGGGTTATGAGAAATTAAGTAGTGGAGAAAGTGATTTAAATGATGGTGTTGAATATGTTAAATTAAATGATTTAGAAATTAATGAATATAATAGATCTTAGAAATTATTGTATAGTAATAAAAATTTTGGGATGTAAGGGTTCTATATTAAAAGTCTGTATATTTTATGATTTTGTCTATATTTAAAAAAACGGTATTCATAATAAAATTAAACCAATTCCTAGCACTATGAATATAATAAAATAATTATATAATTGTTGATTGGTTTTGGAAAAATTAGGTGAATTAAAATTTAATGAATTTGCTAATCCCAGTGATGTAGATGATCCTAAATTGTTTAATAAAGAATCAGAATTTGTTGAATTACTACCAGTAACCATTTGATTCCCACTTAAATATATGGATCCACTTCTTATAATAGCACCACTTAATCTTGCTGGAATATCTAACACCACTGAATTACCTGATTGTTGAGATATCTGTGAATATGATAATGTTGCATTACCTGAATCATAAGTCATTGGTGTTGCAAATGGGATAGTACCTGATTCAATGTATGCGATTGAATTATTACCAGATGTTGAAGTTTGATTTGTTGAATTATAACTATCATCATCTTTTATAATTTCTAATTTATTTCTAGATAATTTATTCAAATAATCATCTTCATCTATTGTTAAATATTTATTTGAATTAGCTATAGCTATTTTTCGATAATCATTATCAACCACAAGATAAATATTTTTCAAAAAAGGTAAACCCAAACTATTAAACCCAGCATTATCAGTAGGTAAAACAGTTAAATAACATGCTTTTGAACCATCTTCAAAATGTAATGTATTTCCTTGATATATAGCGTCAACAATTAAATCTTTAAAAGGTACTTTAATTTCTAGGTCTGAACCAATTTGAAAATCTAAAGTTGCATTACCACTACTTAATAAATCACAACTTACAACCCATCTTGAAGCTTCCAGTGAATAATAAGCATTAGTTTGTATAGCTAAATTCACTAAAATATCAATAGGTAAATATGAAAAAACTATTCTTGAATCTAATAATACAGGTAATGCATTATTAGTTGATTTTATTGATAATGATTGTCCAGTATCTAACCTTTCAACTTTTATATCATCTAAATTTATAATAGGTAATATTAATTCGCTTAAATCTTGATTTGCTTGTTGTTCATCTGCATTAAATCTTATACCTTGATGTGGTAACATATCAAAACTATACAAATTCCCAATATAATATTTTTTATTAACTATTCCAGGTATTAATTGAGCTAATGAATTATTATTGTATGTATCATTATTAAACCATAATGAATAACTTTCACTTTTGATAATATTTCCTTCAACTAATCTAGATAAGAATCCTGTACCCTTGGGGTGACCAGCTAAACCTAACCCACCAACAAACATATTTGTATCATTTGCATCCAAAAAAGTGAAATTAGACATTTGATAATTATATCCATTAGTAATATTAAAATTGAAATCATCAGTTACAAATTGTCCAAACGCACGAATTTGATTCATATAAGGTATAAGATAATTATCACCATTTGAAACTGAAACATCAGATGGTTGTGGTTGATTTAAAGTTGAACTAGTATACATTCCTCTTTTAGCACAATTATCAGTATAAAAACTTGCAGTTGTTAAAGAAGCTGGTAAACTTGAAAATGTCAGGTATTCACTAGCATAAGAACTAACCCATTGATATATTTCAGAACATGGATTAAAATTTTGTTGATTCATTACCCATATATTAGGTTGTGTCAAATCTAATCTTAAACCAATATTTTGAAAATTTTGGTTATTACTATTATTATCTCTTTGTGAATTTGCACCAAACTGAAATCTACCATTATAATAAGAATCATCTGATCCTATTGTAAATAACATTTTGAAAACTTCTTGATCTTGAGAATTTTCACTAGTTAAAGATGATGGTATACTTGTTGAAGTAGATCTATTTGATGAAGTAGAAGAAGATCTATTTCCATTAGTATTAGCAGTTGTTGTAGGTACTGTTAATGTTAATCTTTGAATTTCATCATTTGTTGAAGATAATTCTCTTGTTGTTATAGATGTAGTTGATGGTGATATTGTTGGATCTATTATTATATTTGTAGGATTCTGTGGATCATTTTGTACATCATTGTTTACATTATTAGATGATCTTTGAGCAGTAGGCTGTGCTGTGGTAGATAATATTGATGCTCTTATTAGCATTCGTTTATCATGATCATTTTTCAAAGCATGTATTGAACTTAAATTTGATATTAAAAGTAATGGTATAATAGGTAGTATAAGTAATTGATTAATTATAAGTAATATTAATGATGATGATGATTTTTTCAGTGGTAGTAGATCATTAAGCATGTTGGCTATTTATAAAATAAGGTATAAACACTAAAATTAAAATATCAATTATTTTTATGAATAAATTGATCTTCTTTTTCAAAATAATTCATAGAATGGTAAATTACTATATCATTTATTGAATATATCTTAACAATTGTTGATAGTATAATATTTACAAATTTTTTTAATTTATTTGTTTTGATTATAATTTTGGTTGTAAAAAAATATAAGAAATTTTAATAATATTATATATTAATAGTTAATAATTTTATTTGGTCTCATAAAAATTAAACGTTATTATGCATATAGTATATAAAAGTTATTAAGAAAAAGATAATAAATTATTATTATTTCAACTTTTATTAAGACAGAGAGTAACTTGTTGAAACTAAGAAATAAGCTTATTCAATACTTAACATCAACTTTAATTGAGTATATGATGTCATATAGTATTTGGTAGATTTATAATTCGTTAAAATAAACAAGATCTCAATTTTGACTAATTTTTATAATTATTTTTGTTTTCGTAAACTCAACCGTAAATGAAATATAAATAGATGATCATTTTTCTTCAAATAAAACACTCGATTGAGATACTTTGGAGAATGTATAATGACTTATGGATTAAGGTCTCAGTCAATATCCATTCTATTGATGAAAGATATTTGGTACTGCTAAGCCAAATAATTTCTATATTTCTATTTTTAAATATAGTGTCTCACTTTTATCAAATAATTTTTCTTGAACTACGTCATAAATTTGATTTTTCTTCTTATTGTTAAACTACTATTTCTTGGTCTATCGCTTCAGCGTAAAACTTTAATATGCTTAAATATTTATCAATAATTATCTATATAAATATTAGAATCTTCCTAGCTTGTTTTCATGACAGATACTTAATCTTTTTCTTAGAAATGAGTCGATTTTCTTAATCAATGATATACAAAAACCTGTTCAGATTTATTTATTTATAGTTCCATCTTTTTCAGGGAATGATAGAATGAAGGATTTGGAAGACTCTATTTTATATTGTTTTATCTCTTAGTACTACATCAATTAATCCTAGCTTTGTTTTGACATTCAGTGTCATTCAAAAATCTGAAAAAAGTTCTACAATAATTGTTATACCCATAAAGTCATAGCAATACAGAAGTACATCACCAAAGAGGGGTAGTTTTTAGTGGGAACTATGATAAAGTAATAACTAGTCAAAAACTAACTAAGATTAGAAAAATTTCATAACAATACTGTTTCAAGTAATTTGTTCGAATTAATTACATTCAAATTCAATTTGATACCTAAATAGGTCACAAAAATCAACTAAAACTTTAAATAATTTAAACTTTGAAAATATACGAATTATATAAATGTTTCGCATCGGTCGTAAAAATAATAATAATAAATTAATCACCGACACCAAGTTCTATATTTCATGCACATATTCTTAATTTTCATAGAAGACCTAAATTATTTAATAAAAACGTCTCTGCAATCAATTTACTAATTCATAACCTTTAATAGAACACCGAGAGGTTTGGTATTAAAATCTCTCAGATTTATAATTGTTGGTTTTAATACAAACTTTGAGATCTTTTTTAAAACCGCTAATTAAAACCGCTCAATAATCTTCTTTTAATGTAACCATTAACTAAATATTATTCTTTAAGAGAAGGTTTTGAATTATAATTTAGACATCTGGTTTAGCCACTAGATCTTTTAGGCCGACTTGGTTCATAAAATCATACGTTAAAGCTGACTAGTTTCTTTACAATTCTTAAGCCTCGAAATACGTGATAAGAGTGTTTCATGTACTTCTTCCTCAGTTATTGCTCAAAATAAAGCAACGGTTGTTGTCTTTATCGCTGCAGATCAATCGAATCTTGGCTCTTATGGAACCGTTTATTAAACTTACTCAAACGTTGATAGCGAATATCCCGTTTGCTTGGCAAGAAGTGGATTTTACGGTATTTGATCAATTCGGACTTGACTGAAGTATTAATGCGGTATTTATAAATGAGACGTTAATAAGGTTCTTAGTTATTCTTTAAATAAATCTTAGTTTGGATATAGCATGTAATTGAAGTTGAAAATTTATTGTAAAAATTAAATTTACGAATTTTTTTTTGACTTCATGTAGCAATTTGAAACATTTCGGATAAAAAATTATCAAAAATTATTTAAAAATTATTTAAAAAAAAAATCTGAGACACTTTTTTAATATTGATCAGATAATATAATTCTAATTTGCTATAATTGAATATGACGTATTGAAGTTGGTTTCCTAACTTAGAATGTAGATATTTTCACATGTTTGCGGTACAAATTGTTAAATTTGCTGCAAAAAGTTCGAAATGAGTATGTTGATCTAGCTATTTCTTCAAAGTTCGGTGATAATGAATTTTGAGAACAAAATATTCTTTTTGGGCAGTTCAATCCTTTTGACGTTTTCGCAATTATACAATTAAGTGGAAGAAAGTAGAAGTGTTAATATACTCTTGATATAATGTTTAAAACGAAGGGCTTTATCAACAATTCTAGACTCAAGTCAAGAAATTTAAATTTGTTTCCAATTTTTTCTAATTTTCAAAATACTCGACATAAAAATTCTTGACTTGATACTTCTTTGAACGTATCATCTCCAAACTAAAAGAATAAAGAAGAAAAAAATCTTAAGTGAAATGTTGAGATTTATCGCGGAAGTGGAAAAATTGTGGAAAATTAAGCAAACAATAAATAGACCAAAAAGGATTCTTTAGTCTTACCATTGCTTGAAGTTTGAAATGGATGAATTCTTGATCGGGAATTTACATAAGATACTTTTTCAAATTGAACTAGAACAGAAAATTCAATTTATTCTTCCTCTCCTCCAAATACAAATTGCTTTATCACCCTATGTTCAATTTGCGAATATGTTTTCTCAAAATAAAGCAATATTATAAATTACGAGGGTGGAAATATGACAAAATCAAATGGAAGTTAAATTTAAAAAAATCACATTTAAGTGGCTTTAACATATGTCAAATATAATTTTTGTGGATTGTTTTTTTCCATCTTAAATATTCTTTTTACCTAATAGTTACAAATTCTTAAAAAAATCGTATCAATACGTTTCTAGAATTTTAGCGGTTATCAATAATAGTTTGATAAATAAACATCTATGAAATAAACTTTTCTTAATAGATTGTAGATCTTACTGAAATAAGACATTCTTAACGCAACTCAAATAAGATCAGAGTAATGTAAAATCTTTCTTTGGTCTTCGATTATAACGTTTTTTATCAATACTTTTATTCATAATTTTGATCTATAGTTCTTATTTTCAATAGAAATATGCAAATGCATAGAAGATCCTCGATGGGTTTGTACAGTAAAAGACTATAGAGCAACGATTTATTTTTTTGTTCAGTTCGGAATTCAATTACTGAATAGATTTTTCATATATCCATCTCGAATTATCGAGTTTTTAAATTCGAAAAATAAAATACGTAAGATCAAAATTAATAAAAATCAAATTTCCATCAAGACTATTGATCGCTTATTTTACAATTTTTAATATAATTTCCATCCAAGCAATTCTAAAAAAATTACCGTTATTTTCAAAACAGTAGAAAATTCTAAAACATTTAAACTTTAAATGATGAGATCGAAATTTAAGTTTATATAATTACGACTAATATATTTTTAATTTTTACTTTACAACGGATAATTATTATAGTTTAGAATTAGCCATTTTGAAATTTTTAATTTTATAAAGCAAACAATTTAGAAAAAGGATTTATTAAGTTTCATAAATCCGAGAGATAAACTTCGGAGTTATCAAATTTATTTATTATTTTAGTTTCCATAGGGCTTTTTATTGAAAAACTTCAGCCATATTGAACTGTCAAATATAATGTGTAATAGATGAACTAGTTGATTAAACCAAGCATCAAGTTTTGTTTAATTGGGTTGAATTACCTCATCAGTTCCAGAAAGTATATTCGGTTTAAATGTTCTATAAAATGGATTGAGATAGAATTTTTGTTAATTAGTTTTGCTAGGCTTCTGAATTTGATTCCTTTAACTAATGTTTCAAAGAAATAATTGAAGATTGAAAATGACGTATTCTAGTATTGTAAGAGTAGATTTAAAGAATCTAGAATTTGTTAATTCTATATTCGATACTCTTGGCTAATTAACTCAGCCGTATTTACAAAAACGACAAGAATCTGAACATAGTTTCAACTTTACAATGAATATGAAGATATCGGGAAATAATTTCTTTCACTGATTTAAACGAACTTAAATCGGTTAACGTTGTTGAGTTAAAAGTTGAGTAAACTGAGCAAATATTTATTTATTTATTATTAATTTTTGGTTGCAAAATAACATATTTGTCAGATTGAATAAAACTTCTCGGGTAAGGATTTAAAATTTTTACAATCATCATGAAAATTAAATATGATACGGATATTAAGAAAAATATAATTTGTATTGAAATTTAATATTTAATTACTAAGAAAAAAGATTTAGTACAGTTTTCAATTACTAAATGAATTGAAAAATACCTAACTTCTTTTTGATCTTTTGAATTGTAAAATTATCTTGATAAAACTCAAGAAATTTCAATATGGATTAATCATTTAAATTATTTTAACTTATGATCATTTACGTCTTAATTATTTCTATTGAAATTTAAAATATTATAGTTCATTAAAATAAATTAAACAAAGCCCTTTTAAAATGGAAAAATGAATATATTAAGTTGTACGAAACAGTTCTCAATAAAACTAAAATTCAAATCGGATATCAATTAAATTTAAATAAAACCGAATATTATATTATAAATCAAATTTATATGTACAAGTTATTAAACTTTATTTTAATATGTAAATGGATATGTTATATGAATTAAATTTATATAATACAATAGAATGTAATAACTCGGGTCCAATGTAAATGTTTCTTTCAATTTCTTTACTATTAATATGTTTAATAATACTTGACTCATTTATACTATATAATTATATTGTTCTAAATCTTATCCAAGGAAAAGAACATTCGATTTAAAAGATTAATAAGGTTAGAGAGAATTAAGTAGAAAATTCATTAACTCTTTTTATTTTATAATAGTAAAGCAAAGGTTATTCAAAGTAAAAAGGAAATTATGGGAAATAAATGTAAAAATAAAAATGACATATATCTTTTTAAACTATATTAATAGTTGAAGCACTGATATATAAGTTATAGAAATATAATACTACGTCAATTTGTAAAAAATTATTATTAGAAATTTAGAACCGGTAGAAAATTTGATTTTATATTTGCGATTCTAGAGTGGAAACAATTAAAATTAAAATAATTAAATAAATTAAAATTAAAAATTTAAAATTAAAAATTTAAAATAAAAAAAAAAAATAAAAAAAAAAAAAATTATATTTTTTCTTCGGTTATTAAAATATTACTCACTATGAGTAAACTATTTGTATATATGACATAATACAATAATAATACAATAAATAAAATATAATTAGTAATAAAAAATTTAATAATATAAATATAACAATTAATTATCATTTTTAAAATTTTTTACAACCAATTTTTTTTATAACTTCATTTTCAAATAAAATATATATCATTAGAAGATTTCATTTATATATTCATTAAACATATCTTTGGGTTTTGACATTTACTCCCTTATATATACATTTATACATTATCTTACATATTAATACTATTACTATTATTACTACCATATATAGATTCACATAAATCCGAAACGCGATAAAATCTCAAATTATTTTTAGAATTTTATCTCCTATTTCAATTAATTTTTACGACCAAATTTCAATTTTGTTTCATTAATCATCTTATTACTTATTACTTTATATATATATTCAATTACAATACCTCAATTTCATTATAATTATCAAAAATGTCATCACCACAAACTATGTCATTTGCACAAACTTATATACTAGCTTCAAAAGTAAGATCAAAATTAACAAGAGAAGCTTCATCTCCAAAATCTTCTTTAAGAAATTTAGTTACTCAAGCTAATATGTTAGATAATTTAATGGATTATATAAGTGAAGAAACTGAAAAAAGAAATCAAGATAAACATTATAATAATCAAAAAGAAATCAAATTTAATGTACCTTCAAAACAGAAAAAACCTAACAGTACTATAAATTCACCATTATATAAAACTTCAATAACTGAATATGAAATTGATTCTGATTCCGAAAGTGAAGATGATTCTGATTTTTCAGACTCTGAAGAAGAAGAAGAAGAAGATGATGATGAAGAAATTGCAACTACTACTACTACCACCACTACAAATGAAATTCAATTAAATGACGCTATATTCGATACATCTAATAGAAATTTATCATTTACAAATATTCCACATATAACAACAGAAGAAGTAATAGATAGTGATTCTGATTCAGAAGAAGAAGATTCACAAGATATAGAAATAAAATCAGGATCATCATCAATTTATTCATCAAGTGATTCAGATAGCGAATCAGAAGACGATGATGATGAAGATGATTCAGATGATTATTATATTTATTCAGATTCAGAAGATATAGAAGAAGATATATCAATAAATTCCAAAATACCAAGATCAATGAATATACAAAAACCAAAATTTAGACAATTACCTTCATTAAATTTATCATCAATTGAAGAAGAAGAAATAGAAGAAGAACAAGATGTCAATGATCAAATGATTGATGATGAAGATGAAGAAGATGAAGATGAAGATGATAATAAAACAATAACTAATGAACAAGAAAGTTTACAAGAATTTGAAATGCCAGAATTATCACATACAAATTCAATATCAGATGATGATGAAAATTATAATCATTTTGAATTTATAAATAATAATAATCATTTAATTATGCCATGGAATAATGAATCTAATGATAAAACTACAGAAATAATACATCACAATCATAGTCATCAACCATTAAGTTTATTTAAACATGAAAATTTAACATTAGATCAATTAATTTAATATTATTTGTTTATTTCACGAATTTTATGATTTTGCTTTTTTACTTTTTATGATTTAACGGAATATCTATTTAACGGTGTGCTTTATACAGATACTTTTTATGATTGCTTGTTTTTTTTAACTATTTCAATTCTTTATATATTTTTTTTATAGACTATTTAATTCAAATGATATCATGAGATTTAGAAGTAATAAATTGTAGAATAATATTTTTATTTTTTGATGTCTTAGAAAAAAGCAAAATTAAAGTTAAAATAAAGTAGACCAAAAACTTTAATAAATTACATCATATTTTGTATACTGATCGCATTAAAATTGCTGAATTCCGTAACACTTTCACTTCACATCTAAATTATGCGCAAAGTATTAAACTAAAATTTATTTCGATGCGATTTTTAAATTTTTTTTTTTTTTTTTCTTTCCTTTCAGATTTTTGAAAAATTTTTAATGCGTTATTTCCCCTTTTTTGATATATCCGAATCTAAAAGGATTTAAAATTTATTTAGTTTCTGTCGTATTGGATTTAATTTATCGTTTCTATTGAACATTAACATAAAAACTTTAACGATATCGTCTTTGATTGAGTGTGGTTATTTTCCTGAACGATATATGAATGACTTTTCTACGTTTCAAAGTTTGTATATAAGTATGTAATAGTTAAATGGTTTTTTTTGAAAAGTTTTTAAAGTTATGGTTATATGTCAGGTCTTTTTTTTTTAATTTCGAGTTTTCTTTTTTAAAAAGTTCAAAAGTGGTTAAGTTCCTAACTAATAATTTCTAATTCTGATAACTTTATTTTAGCTATATATCAATTTTGATAAGATTTTTTTAGTAAATTTAATTCCAAATTCCAATCCTTCAATTCATTACATTGTGATTAACTGGATAAAAATAAAGTACGATCGTTAATTTATTCTTTCAATTTAATCGTATAAAATAATCTTGTATCTCTTTGAGCAGATTTACAAAAAGATCGTTTGATAATCTTTATTTTCAACTTACCCCACGAAATAGTTTAAAAACTTTAAATTCGTATAAACTAAAATCTTGGCAACGAAATAGTTTATATTTTTTTGACATATTTTCTAGTATGCATAACCGGTTAAATTATAGTTTTGTTCTCGCGCTTGTTTTTTTATTGATCGGTTCTAAAATTATTTATATGAGTTTTCTTCTGATTGTGAATTACTTTAATTAGAAATTGTAAGGTTTTGAGTTTTTTACTTACCCCAGATTTATCATAGTTTGGGTAGTTTTACTTGTTTGGATTTTATTACCGATTCAAAGTTGGCTCTCGAGGCATACAATATTAACTTTCAATTCTAAAAGTGTCTTAGATTTTGAGTTTTTTTACCCCAGATTTTAAATTTGGTTTGGATTATAATGTTCACTGCAGTTTTTTTGCTTTTTAATTGCCGATCTAGAGTTAGTTTTTCGAATATACTACATTAAGTTAATGATATAAGTCGAAATCATTCAAAAGTAACATGTATTTTAATTTACTCGAGTTTCTTTTCTCCATTTTAGAGGACCGGTTATCAATGGATAAGATGGTTTTACATTAGAAATAATAATAGCGTAGACTTAATATTTTATTAAATTTCAGTTCATTTATTTTTAATAATTATATTTAATTATTAGTAGGACAATTTTCAGATTTACCATTTGGATTAAAAATATCACCAATTTCTTTTTCTAGTATCTTCCCAATTTCAATTAATTTCTCATCAGTATTTCTTAATCCAATAACACTTAAATTTACAGGAGCCTTTTTAAATGAAGCAGGTGAATCATATTGTTTATAATGGAATTCATCCATTTCACTTAGTGGTTTATAATTTTTTAAAGGTAAATCTTTTGATTCATCAACGATAGTTATTGGACAAACTAAAACTGGATAATCTAATAGGTTATAAGTGCATGAATAATTCCAATATTGACCTTGTTCATGACGTGGTGCTACGTTTGGATAAACTGGTGCTATAATTGCATCTAAATTTTCACCATCGGAGTTGGTATAACTCATCCAATGTTTTAAATAATCTTTTCTAAATTTTTCTTTTTCTAAATTCCAATACCATTGTTCATGCATAGTTAAATCTTTTGCACCATCAATTGCCCATGTAGTTTGAGTTAAAATTGGTTCTCCGGTTTCTTTTACTGTATTTAAAAAATCCTGTGCACCATCTTCAAAATATATTTTACTTAATATTTCCATTACTTTTTCTTGATTGAATGGTTTATATTCAATTACTTCGATATTTGGTAAATCTTTTAATTTTGTTTCAGCAATTTCCAAAGCTCTTGATACAGGAGGAGTTGGATTTACTATCCCATCTGATTTTAAAATCCCAATTCTATATTTTTTCTGTGGTTTAGCTGTATCTTTCCAAGGTATTGAAGTCAATGAAGGATCAATTAATTCAGGTTTTGAATCAATAATAGTTTTCATTACTAACTCAACCATACTTAAAGATCTAGATAATGGACCAGTAACACTTAATATAGTTGTTGAACCTAAATTACATGAAAAATAATCAGCAGTTGGAATTCTCCCCAAAGTTGTTCTTAATCCATAAATTCCATTAAAAGCAGCAGGGATACGAATACTACCACCAATATCACTACCTAATCCAAATGGACTTGCATATAAACCATTTAGTACTCCTTCACCACCTGATGATCCACCACTTGTTAAATCTGAATTAAATGCATTTACTGTTCTACCATGTTGATATGATACACACTCAAGCATCATTAATGATTGAGGATTAGTTGTTCTTACAAATGGATAAGCACCACTTTTCTGTAAAATATTTATAATATCAGCATTATAATCAACTATTCTATCTAAATAACATAATGATCCATGAGTTATTGATCTTCCCTTGATCGGAATCATTTCTTTTATTGAAAATGGTAATCCATATAATGGTAAATCTTTTTTAGATTCATAATTTTCATCTAATGATTTAGCAAATTCAAAAGACTCTTTTGGTAAAAATTCAACAATACAATTAGTTAATTTTGATGCAATTATAGCAGCAGTCATATAAGCTTTTAATACTTCAACACATGATATTTTTTTTGACTTGAGGTCGGCTAATAAATTGACTGGATCTCTTTCAGTAATTGCTAATACTGATGATGGAACTGTTTGTAAATAAATTTCAAATGGATGTTTAGCAGGATTACCATAATCTTCAGTAGTTTCTCCAATTGCTGATGGTAAATTTTCGTACTCTGCTTTTAGTTCTTCATTAAAATTTACAATTTTAAAAGCTTCTTCAAGTGAATCATTATATGTTTTTTGAGCAATTTTAGCTAATTCTTTATAATTATCTTTAAGCATTTTTAGTTAGTGATTAGTGAAACTGTAGTTATAATCATGATGAATTATGAAATTAAATTTTAAAGGAATCTGAACTGAAATTTATAAGATATTGAAAAAAAAAATTCCGTAAATTTAAATATTTCTAAATTAGGTACAAAGCGTCTTGAAATTCTTATCTTTAATAAATTATACATTAAAGAAATTTATCTTGGAAGAAAATTAGAATTTATATCAGAGATATTAATGTTAAAAAGTTAAATGATAATTTTGATAAAGTAAAAGGGATATGTCAGGTCTTGTTCGTGCTGCTTGTTAACCAGTGTTTTATTAATCCTTTTCTTTTCCTGAGGAGTTAATGCTAGCAATTTCTTGTTCGATTAAATTTTGAACAGTTAATCTTTCTTAGAGTTAATGCTACACTTACATTGGCTTCAAATTGAACTATTGGTAAAAAATTGAAGTACCATAATAATGATCCAACTATAGGTTGATGAAATTTTATTTTTATCATAAATTTTAGATGTAGTCATATTCTGTGAAAATTTACACGGTTTATGGAAACTTTTCAAGGATTGTTTCAAACTTGTTGAACCATTCGTTTCAGATTCAATTTTATTTAGAGTTTAGTCTTTTGAAAAGTAATCTCTCTACTTTTTGAAATATTCATACGTATAAGTATTGAAATATTTCAATGGGTAGGGAATGACCAATTTTTTTGCTGTCCGAGATACTAAGATACTAATAAATTTAATTTCAAATCAAAGGTCTAAATTTCAATTTTTTTACATAAATGAGTGGAAAGAGTTGAGAATTTGGTTTGTGAACAATCGTATTTAACATTATGATTAATAAATACAATAAAATAGGTTTAAATCGACAGTCTCTTGCAATGTAGTTTTAATTTTGTTGATTAAGGTTTTAGTTAAAAAATCGGGAAACACATTCCTTTTTTTAATCTCAATGATTTATTTTCTTGGTTTGGGTGATAGAGATAAATAGATAGTATCAAAAGCTTTATCTTATCAAAAGATAAACAACTCTTAGATCATAAAGTGATCATGACTTACGCGCGCTAAAATTAGAATCTATCAGTTATCAAAATATCATATTATCAAATTATAAAATATAAATTATAATGTAATGAACAATTTGGATTAAATTTACTTTCACAATTAGGACAAATTGAATTACAATTCAAATAATCCTTAATTTCCATAGTATAACAACAATTACCACATAGTATAGATTTATTTGATTCATTAATATTATATTTTTTTATTGAATGATTTGTTAATTCTTCATGACATTTAAAACATGGATAATATTCTTTACAACATTTAAATCTTAGGGCTATTATATCTTTTGGTGAATTATAATGTATACATCTTGTATTATTATCTATTAATTGACCTTTTATTTGTATATGATCATTTATTTTTTGTAGATTCGAAATAATCTCCATTTGATTTCTTTTTTTTAATTTATCAGGGCCACTCTTTTGCCTTAGTAAATGACATAGTCTACTTTATATTATTGAATTTTGTATGTGACTCTGTTTAATTCTATAGAATGGAAGTAATTAAGAACTAGTGACGCAAAAAAAAAAAGAAATAGAAATAATAAATAAATAAGTCACGACAAACAACATTTAATATAAACCAAGCCACTTTTAATATAATAATAATTTTGTGCTAACTTAATGATAAAATCAGATCGTCTTTTTAATAATTATCAATTGTTTAAAAATATATATAAATTTATAATACCATTTTATATTTGAATTTTATTTAATTAGAAGATTTATATTTATATTAACTTATTACTCAGTATAACTATCAATTAATCACAAATAAATCTAATTGAATTGCATATAAATTAAACAAACTCATCTACATTACAAAATCACTCAAAGAAGCAATATATAAAATGTCACTTTCAAGATCATCATCATTATCACAATCTAATCCAAATGCTCCAAAAACATCAATAATAATATCAAATTTACATAAAGATGATTTTATAAAATTATCAAAAGAAAAAGAACCAAAATTAATAACAAAATCATTATCTTTAGTTGATCAAATTAAATTAAGTGTTTTAAATAAAGATGATTCAATTATACAATATATCAATCATTGGTCAAATTTACCTTTTTTAAATAGAATAATTATAATTTTTAAAAATGAAATAAAAGCTAAAGAAATTTTAAATTTTTTACAATTGGAATTAAAACCATTTACATATATTAAATTATCATTACAAGAAAATTTATTAACAAGATCAAAATCTCAAGATACTTTATTAGAAAAAGACAACTCTAATTTAAATGTATCAATATCTTTAGATAATTTTAGAAATTTTCATAATGATCCAAAAAATGAAACTAAACAATTTGATTATATTGAACCAGAACCTGCTCAATTTAATGTATTATCAGATTTATCAAAATTAGGTATTAATTTAAGAGATTTTAATCTGGATGAACAATTAAATGAATTAAAACAAGAAGAACAAGAAGATCAAATAAGAGCTAATAATAGAAGAAATTCAATGTCTCCAACTATTCCATCAAATCATATTTTCCAAAATCCAAATAATAATAATAATTCACCAATTCAACAACCTTCATCACCAGTAAGTTCATTATCATCTTCATTAGGACATCCAGGAATAGAAAGACGTAGATCTACAAAAACTTTATTTAAACCTGATTTGAAATTAAATACTAATAGTGGTAGTAATTCAAGTATTGATGAAAAATCAGATGATATTATAATTAATAAAAATCAAAATACTCCAATTTTAAAATTATCACCAACTAAAAATGATGAATTTCCTGCTTCTCCTACTATAACTTTAGATGAAACATTTTAAAGAGTCATACAATATTGAAGGAAGCTCAAAATGAGTAAATTCACTTTGACGATTATATTATTCAATTTTTTATGATTATTTTGAACAATTGATATTATAGCAATGACATGAAACATTATTTATTATTTTGCATAGAAAAAATGACGGTTATATAATATAAGGCCAATTAAGAAACATACTTAATCAATTGTAGTAACAATCTTACCTCTCTTGAATTGTTCCTCTAATCATTATCCTGTAGTCTTTTAAAGTCTATAAATAAAATAGGTCGTGCAAAAACTGAACAAATGATTTGAAACTTATTATTGAATTTCCATTGCTTTTCAATCAACACTAATAAAATCATCAACTACTTAAATACCAAAGATGAAGTTCAACCAATTAATAAGCTGGTCACTATTATCAACATTAGTCACATCACAATCAATATTTACTACGATATATGAGGTCAACCCACAAAATTTAGATATAAACAGTCCAATTCCAAATTTAAATTCAAAAGATTCACAAATTTATTTTGATAATTTGGTTGGAAAAGATACATCACATTCAAAATTATCATTAGAATTAATTGATTTAGTAAATGATCAAATTGATGATGTTTCAAACATTCAAAAGCCAAAATTAATAATAAACTTAGCAGGTGATGTTGATTTACAAAGTAAAGAAATTAAACCAATTTTTCAAACTTCAAATTCTTTAAAAACTTACTTTAAAAACTTTAAGTATGGACATAAGAAACAATTATCAAATGAGATAATATCATTTGGTGAATTTCAAGATGATTCTATAAAAGAATTTTTTAAATATTTTAATGAAAAAGCACAAGCAATTTGGTCAAATTTTAAATCTCAAAATCAAAAAATTATAAAAACTTATAATCCAACAAATGATAAATTATTTATTAATGAAATATCATCATTAAAACATTTACAAGATTATGCAACTTCTAAATCATCAGTAGAATCAAAAAATCAAGTATATATAGTAAATTTTAATTCATTATTATCCATAGCTAGAAAAATCGGTAAAAATTCCCAAACTTATATACATCAACAACAATCTTTAGAGAACTTATTAGTAAATGAAATGTCCAAATTTTACCATATTTTTATAATTTCAAACCCCTCCATAAATCAAGATATTTCTCATTTACAAAAAAGAGCAGAACAATCTCCAATTTTTAATTTAAAAAATTATGGAACTAAACAGGCTTGTGAAATAGGTACAAACAATTGTAATAATCATGGTCAATGTACTCAATTAAAGGAACAATGGAGTTGTGTTTGTTCACCATCTTTTAATAAAACTACATCAAAAACTACTGTATGGGTTGGATCAGATTGTAATAAAAAAGATGTTTCTGTACCTGCAAATTTATTTTTATGGACTACTATTGCTCTTGTTTTATTAATTGTTGGTGGTATTCAATTATTAGCTAGTGTTGGATCTGATCCATTACCTGGTGTATTAGATGCTGCTACTTTATCTACTAGTAAGAAGAATATTTAAATTTTTAGTTTATTTGTATATTAGATTATATTTCAATCAAAATTTTTAAAGACTAAAAGAAAAATAGTGTAGGATTGTTTCTTAACCTTTTAAGAATATGAATTTATGCTAGATAAAAGAAATCTCAACCCTTATATATTAATGCAATTGAAAGTTACGAAAATCATAAATCTTTATCTCGTAAAATTTAAAAGTAAAATTAAGAAAAAAATATGGAGAGAAAGAGAGAAAAAGAGAATAAAAACTTCTGATTTAGATCTAAGGAGTTTTTATTCAATACATCAATAATTCTTCTTCATATCTAATCGATCTTACCTAATTTTACAAAAATATTAATTATCTTCACTTACATCTTAATACTTACATCCTACAGATCCAACATATTTTTTTCAGAATGAATAAGAAATTTAAATTAAATAAAAAACCAATTTTTACAACAATTTCATTATTAATAATAATAAGTATTATATATTATATGACAACAAATTCTAAAAATTTAGAAAATTCATTAGGTTCATCAAGATCTCCTATAAATTTAACTTCAAATACATTACAACAAAATTTAGATTCTTTATTGAATGGTAAAAATCAACAACAATATGAAAAACAACAACAAGATATTTTAACTAAAGAATTAAATTTATCTAATGAAAACAAACAAAAACCAGAAGAAGATTTAAAACAATCAGAATTAAAAATTCAACAACCTGTAGATGATATTAAAATAGATATGAATTATTCAGAAAAGCCATTCATGCCTAAAATGGCTAATGAAACCCTAAAGGCAGAATTAGGTAGATCATCATGGAAATTATTTCATACTATATTAGCTCGTTATCCAGATAAACCAACCCAACAAGAAAAAACAACTTTAGCACAATATTTACAATTATTTGCAAAAGTTTATCCATGTGGAGATTGTGCAAGACATTTTCAAAAATTATTAATTAGTTATCCACCACAAACTAATTCTAGAAAAGTAGCTGCTTTATGGGGTTGTGATATTCATAATAAAGTAAATAAAAGATTAAATAAACCTGAATATGATTGTACTACTATTTTAGAAGATTATGATTGTGGTTGTGGATCAGATGAATTAGAAGTTGATTCTACATTAGGTGTGGGTTCAAAGGGAGAAAGTATTGATCATTTAAGAAATTTAAAAGTTGATAAAGAAGATAAACAAAGAGGTGGATAAGACACCTGAAACATTTTAGAATAATTAGATTGTATTTATTTTGTTATATAATGATTATAAATGCATTTATTGATTAAATGCTAAGAAAATGAGAAAAACTCTATCTCTATGATGATTTTCACATTATTGTACAACAACCAGTACCTTTTTGATCTTTACTATTCCCAGAACCATGTAAAGTCTTGTAATTTTGATAATTTAAAAATTTATTTTGATCATTTGGTAATTTCCAATTATATGGTATAAGATAATCAGGAGTTTCTTCAACATAATTTATTATTCTATTAAAAAAAGGAAAAAGTTAGTATTAAGTAAAAAAAGTGATGTTTGCAAATGTGATGGTGGTAATTACTTACAATCCTGAAGATTTTGAAACTGGTATTCTATCTCTTTTTAAAGTTTGATTTAATCTATTATTTAATTCTTTTATTCTTTTTAATTTTATTATTTGGATTTGATTTTCAATTTCACTCATATTTTTTTTTGTAGATTTATGATATATGATTTTGATTTTTCAGACAAGGTGATATTAATGATTATAGTTTGACAGTTTTGATAATAAAATGAAAATATTTGTTGTATAATTTAATTAAAGATAAAAGATTAAAAGTAAAGATGAAATTTTGTTTAATAATTCGTGGAGAATTAAAATTAATTAATCAAAAGATAAAAAATTGTAAATTGATTTTGTGTTTATTTGATAATTGGATTATGAAACACAATTTATATATCTGTTGTATTGTCAATATACATTAACTCACATTTAAGAATGTCATCACATACAAAGGTTTAGAGCTAATTCGTAATTGTAGTAATTGATAATCTTAATTGAAAATTACTACGAGCAATTTTAAGGGTCGACTCAACAAACAAATTTATATTTCATCTCAACATTGTATGAATAAACAGTACTTTTGTTCAAGATGAATCAAATCAAAACGTAGGAATTGGGGAGAAATTAGCAGTGAATGGTTGTGGGTGATTTGATGGTTCGTTTTATAAACTTATCAAAGAAGCTGTTGAACTTAACAATAAAAATTTTAGGAATTTTCAAAAGTTCAAAAGTTGTTGATTTTGACAATAGAAGTTGGAGATAAAGTTGGTGAGTTCACAAATTATATCTGGTTAAGTTATTGGTTATGAATAAAACTGTGTCGAATAGGTCATCGGTTCAATGTCTTAAGTTATGGACCATTACATTCACATTTATATAAGAGAAACATTGATTTTGTTTGTTAACTCAACAGAATCATATGGTGTTGAAAAGTTTTTGAATTTTGAAAAAATTTGATAAATGTCAGGACATTGGGATTTTTATATATAAGTTCAACGCCAGATAATTTCAAGGAAGTGTATTTTTATCAAATGAATACTTACCACAATTAATTATATCAAGAAGATTGCATCTATATCTAATTGTACCAACTGGTAAGGTCCAGGATAAGTAGCACTGTTCTTACCAAAAGTTCCTCAACTAGTTCACTTGTCACCATTAGGTAACAAACTCTTAATATATTAGCTGCTGTAACATTATAATTCAAGTTGTAGTTGAAGCCAATTCTGAAGGTCGTGATATTATAATTGATAAATTAATTGGTCGTCCTGTTTCAATAAAATCTAAATCTCAATCTAATTTACAAAAAGAAGAACAAGAAATTGAGGTAAGGTGAATTTCATAAATTTGGATTTTTTATGCAACTGAGAAATGATGAAGAATTAAGTAAAAAAGATTTTCCATTTTTGAATACATTACCGTTAGGTTCAGAATTAAGAGATGCGATAATAGCAGTAAAGGGAATTGAAAATGTAAACGACCTTATAGATAAAATTAATCATAAAAATCAGCCACCACCTCCACAAGAATCACCACCTAAAATTTCAACATCTCCAGCAACCAATTATAAATCACCCACAAATGATGAATTAACAAGTGAAACAAGATCAATCGAATCTGAAAATAGTCAACCAAATGCAATGGTTGATGAAGATTATGACAAATTATCAAATTAATCTGAAAAGACAAGTTCTAATAAATCAGACTAATTTAAAACACAATTCAATAGACAAGAATAGTTTATAGCTATATAGATTGTTTTAATAAAAATATCTGGTATATTTTTAATTAAATTCACAAACTATACGTCTTTGATGTTTCTAAACAGTAATCAATTATTATTTAGATTAACTTCGATCTAGTTCATTAATAAAAAATAAAGGAAGAGATAATCACTACAAGCATAGAATAAAAGACATCAAATTTTTTTTGAATGATTATACAAAAACAAAATATAAAAACATAATTAGCAAATTCAAAAACTTTTAAAAATAAAACTAATGGTGTTGTAAAAAAGCTGCAAAAATTAATAATTTGAAAATCATTAAAACAAAATAATTTTTTTGGTGGTTGTGAATATATTAATTTTTTTTTCTAAAATGCATAAAATTATAATCCAATAAGGCGGGCCAATTCCGTATTAAATCCATGTGTATATGTCATTATATATTTGATAAAAATTAACTTTGAATGATTGTTGATTTTTAATTGATATATTATTTTTATATTGTTTTTTAGTTTATTAACTAATGCAAAAAGTGATTTACTCCCATAAAAAGTACTAGCTGATATTGAAAAAAAAAAAATTGTTAAAATTTAGTAGTTGATTCTTTAATATTTTTGTTGTAGTGTATAAATCAACTGAATAGTGTGAATGAATGATTTAGTTAATTCATGATGATCTTGATGATAATAAAATTTGATTTATTAATTGTGAAACATAAAACTATATTGCAAAAACTGTTGTTATGATTATTTATATGATAATATATTATTAGTTGATATATTTTAATTCTGAAGATGTTAATGTAAATTGAAAATGATCTTGATTTTGTAAAAGTAAGAATAACCAACAACGGCATTTAAACCAAATTTTAATAATTTTGTCTTTGAATAAAGTTGATGGTATATTTTAAAACTTTATAATTTTTTTTATAGTAGTCCTTAACTGCTACTATTTTCTTTTTGATATTTAGACCAATTTTCATTAATTTTCTAAAACTAATGTAACTTTTCCTTTCCTCTTCTTCCATGACAACTGAAGGTGCTGTGTTCATTACATAATCATCCTCTTCGTCCAATACATTATCCAAATCAACAATTACTGAACCTGATAATGAATGATAATGCAATTGGTGTTGTTGTTGTTGATGTTGTTGATCTTGACTTTCATCCTCCTCGTCGTCCAAAACATCACCCCAGTCGAGAATTATTGATTCTCCTGTTAATATATCATAATAATGCTGTTGCTGATGATAATGATGTTGTTGTTGTTGTTGAGGATGTTGTTGTTGTTGTTGTTGTTGTTGTTGTTGATCTTGACTTTCATCTTCCTCTTCGTCCAAAAGATCACCCCAGTCGAGAATTATTGATTCTCCTGTCATTATGTCATAATAATGCTGTTGCTGATGATGATGATGTTGTTGTTGGTGATGATGTTGTTGTTGGTGATGTTGTTGTTGTTGTTGTTGTTGTTGATGTTGTTGATCTTGACTTTCATCTTCCTGTTCGTCCAAAACATCACCCCAGTCGAGAATTATTGATTCTCCTGTCATTATGTCATAATAATGCTGTTGCTGATGATGATGATGTTGTTGTTGGTGATGATGTTGTTGTTGGTGATGTTGTTGTTGTTGTTGTTGTTGTTGATGTTGTTGATCTTGACTTTCATCTTCCTCTTCGTCCAAAAGATCACCCCAGTCGAGAATTATTGATTCTCCTGTCATTATATCATAATAATGCTGTTGCTGATGATGATGATGATGATGATGATGATGTTGTTGTTGTTGTTGTTGTTGTTGTTGTTGTTGTTGTTGATCTTGTTGATCTTGAATTTCATCATCGTCTAAATCAAATCGATTATAATCAAAGCTTGGTTCATTTGAACCTGTGTATTCCCAATCATCCGAGAAAAATTGATTATTGTAATAATGTTCATTTGAATAATGATGTACTTCTTCATTAAAACTATAGAAAGCATTTCCTGTAAATTCATCATCGTGAGATTTTGCCGGATCTTCAACATATGTTGCGTATATTGTGGGAAGTAATTGCAAATCTTCTTGAGTGGGTTCTTCAAATCTTGGTCTGTTGTTTATGAATGAGTTTTCCATGTCTTTTTCTTCATTAGATGGGGTAATATATTTGATTAAAGCAAGTTCTTGTTTATTGTCTTCTTGCATTTCTTGTATTACATCTTCATTTATCAGATTTTTTAATTCATGTTGTTGTTGTTGTTGAGGATGTTGTTGTTGATGATGAAGATGTTGTTGTTGTTGTTGTTGTGGTTGTTGTGGTTGTTGTGGTTGTTGTTGTTGTTGTTGTTGTTGTTGTTGTTGTTGTTGTTGTTGTTGTTGTTGTTGTGCAGTTGATTGAACTAAATTATGTTGTTGTTGTTGTGGTGGTGTTGGTGCTTTCTTTGATCTTTTATTTAATTTGAATATTTTTTTGAAAATATTACGGTGTTTTTTATCAGTTGATGATGATCTTGGTGATGATTCTTCAATTGATGATGATTCTGGTGATGATGGTTTAGTTGATTTTTTTGAGTGGTGGAATAATGAAATGTGTTTGAAAATAGACATGATTAATAAGTAATTGAAAAAAAATTGAATTAATTAACAATAAAGTGGATTGAATTTATAATATAACTCACAAACAGATTTTTGAATGTTGTGAAGTTCTGGATATTGTTGAATTTATTGTTAGTGAAAAAGAAGTAAAAAAAAAGTGACATAAATTTTGAAATCTTTTTGGGAAAATCTTGGGAATTTATATTTGGTGATTTTTGTTATTTTGTAATGCTATCTTCAACTTTAACATGTGGATCATTATTGTGGATCGTTATTGTGTATCTCAATTGATGCAAATTCAGACCCTAAATAACCACAAATAAATTTGGAATGCAGATTTGAAGTATGGAAGTGGGTTGGTAGCGGTCCCGTATCAGGATTTGCAAACATAATGTGTCAATTAAAATCAAAATATAATCATTTCCCCATATGTTGCAAATACTTTTGAAGTATGTATTTGTGAGAACCATTGGTTTCTAAATATCCCACGTATGCACCAACTTCGTCTTATAATGGACTTTCGAGACTTCAACAATTGCATTTTGACTTAAACTCAATATTGTTTATCAACTGTACTTTCATATAATGTTCTCATCTAGAATTGTATAAATGTAGATAAACCCACTTACAAAGAATTCAAACGGTAACAATTTAATAATTTGAAGGTTCATCATACCAAATAGTCTCTGCATACTCATCAATGCAACGATCACTTGAAAAAAAAATCCCATGTTAGCAACACTTCAAACATATTTTTTCGCCCATTCATGTAAATAATTAACATCCCCTGAGTCACCTTCATGGTGACCAAATACATTTTCTAACTTTTTGGGAGCATCTAAAAATAAATTAAGTTCACCACTTACAACAAAATAATCCCCATAGTACTTTATGGAGTCAATTAATGGTTTGAATTCTTCTGGACTACCAAATTGTCCTTCATTTATAACTGAAAACAATTTTTTCATTGTTTTTGGGATTGTAACTCCATCTACGAATTGTCTATGTCTTATTTATTCAACTAATTCTGCTAAGTTTTTAAAAAGATAAAATACTTTTTGTACCTAAATCTCATGCAAATTCAACATCTGCTCCAAAAACCATTTCAGCAATTATTTTACCATTTAATTGCAAATTTCATATTTGAAGTACTTGAACCTGCTGTTAAAAAGACGAGATATGATTTTGAAATAATTGATCCAATACATATACTCTTCTACTTTTGATACGTTATTATAATCTGTTATAAATAAAACTTTAATTAATATCTGTATCATTGCCTCACAACAACTTTACAAATGTCTTTATGTTTTTGCCATGTCAGAACCTGATCGCGGATTTAACTTCAAATAGTTAAAAATTTCGGAATATTTATTGGTAAAGTTGTTGCTTCATTCTATCACTTTAGTAACTTATGTCATTTGTCTAAAACTGATGCAACTTGTAATAGAAACAAGAAGCGCCACTTCAAAGTTTTAATAAATTAAATTGTGAGTTGTAAAATTGGCAAATTTAATCGATTAGATCTGATTGAAAATTCTTAAATCTTAAAGATGAGGGAAATCTAATTTGAAAGCTAAAGCGCTTCAACCAAAACTAGGAGTTAATATCCTCAAATTTGATAACCATGTTTGACGTGAATTAACTGAAAGTGAGTTATTTATTGACACGTTTAAGATTAAATGAACTAATTTTGTTGGATATAATTTAATTAGCTGATTAACCACTAACTCTGCATTTTTTCCTATGCTACCAGGTAATGTTTGATTTATTGGGAATAAACTGATCCTGAATGACTATCAATAAAACAATTTACTAGACTCGAAATTACTTTTGTTAATAATTTGATGTAGAATTAGTCTTATCTAAAATCGTTCAAAAAAAAAATTAATAAGTAAGCATAATTTTAGTAGTCCTCAATTTTAGCGCGTTAAACCATTTATTATTATAACGGTTATATTCTACCATCATACAATTATTGCAATTAACGACTAAGGCCACTATTATACTTTGGTCTTCCATAATCTGTTCCTCTATCTATTCTTTTTGAACCACCGTATCCACTATCTTTAATGGTTCTATTCGCTAACTGGGGATTTATCTCTTACAAGAGAACGAGAACGATTTTAGTCGTAAAGTTAGCATCAAAAGATGATGATCATTATTATTACTAATTGAATTTTACAACCTCTAACATTCTTTTCCTTTTGAATTAGAATCTAAAGGAACAAATCATGAATCATTTTTACCTAAATTGTAATTTTATAAAATTATTTGAATGTTGTAAAAATTAAATTATTTTGACATCATGAAGCTAGTCGTAAATATTACACAAAATTGGTAAACCCAGCTTCCATACATTAATTTGTATATAAAGTCAAAAGATCATAAAAACCCAATTTTGACCTAATTTTGTTATACACATTACATTCACTTTTGTGAGCTCTAACAAATAGGTTTAGAAATAAAAACAATAAAAGAATTTTGAAAATTTGAGTTTTGTTGTTTTGTTTGGTTGTTTTATTAACTCGCTAGTTTTTACATACTAGGCGGGATGTATATCGAAATTTATCGCGCATGATTAAGACTGGTATACAAAGTAATTGACTTATGAGTGTACAAGATCTATGTGAGCTCAATATCATGTCAAAATATGATAATTAATTTAATCGTTGTAAGTTATTCTGTGCTTTATTTTATCTCAGAGCATAGGGAGGAGATAAATTAGTGAATGTGAAATCTGTTTGACTTATAACGTGGGCATACACCCAGGATTCAAATCAGAGATAAAAGAAAACTGACCAGATTTAACTGTGTATTATTCAACGGCTCATCAGACTCTATCAGCACTAAGTATTGAACTGAGTGTACTTTTTTGAGTCCCTCTTGCTCAACTCTTTTGCAGATAGACAGTTTAGTTAGTTAAATGTTTTGTACCACATAGTTTATTAATTCATTTGTTCACGAAAATTGAAATAAACAAAAACTAACTAGAGTGAAGTATAATTTCCCAGAGCAAGAGCGATTCTCACAGTAGAATTATCTCCTTAATTTCGTTTAATACAAACTAGCTCAATTTTTTTTGCAATTTTTGAATTAACTAATAATATACATTTTCAACTGTATATTGAATTACACAAACCGGTATATTTGGTAGCATTGTTGACTGCATATAAACACTCTGTATAATAAAGAAAAAACAATTTGGTAGTGTAATTTACAAACTGAAAAATTTTGAAAATTTTTTTTATTTTACTTTATAGAATTGAATTTATAGTTTCAAATATTTATTTTCATATTTACATCGACCCCCCATCCCAAAAGTCAATTCAAACATCAAAGATGCCTTTCCAAAAAACTTTAAAAACTTCAGCTTATAGCTCAAGATTCCAAACTCCTTTCCGTAGAAGACAAGAAGGTAAAACTGATTACTACCAAAGAAAAAGATTAGTTACTCAACACAAGGCTAAATACAACACTCCGAAATATAGATTAGTTGTTAGATTCACCAACAAAGATATTATTGCTCAAATTGTTTCTGCTCAAATCACTGGTGATGTTGTCTTAACTGCTGCTTATGCCCATGAATTACCAAGATATGGTATAAAACATGGTTTAACTAATTGGTCAGCTGCTTATGCTGTTGGTTTATTAGTTGCAAGAAGAGCTTTACAAAAATTAGGATTAGATGAAACTTATCAAGGTGTTGAAGAAGTTGAAGGTGAATTCGAATTAACTGAAGCTGTCGAAGATGCTCCAAGACCATTTAAAGTATTTTTAGATATTGGTTTACAAAGAACTACTACTGGTGCAAGAGTTTTTGGTGTTTTAAAAGGTGCTTCAGATGGTGGATTATATATTCCTCACTCACCAAATAGATTCCCAGGTTGGGATATTGAAGCTGAAGAATTAGATGCTGAATTATTAAGAAAATATATTTTTGGTGGACATGTTTCAGAATATATGGAAGAATTAATGGATGATGATGAAGAAAAATACAGAACTTTATTCAAAAATTATATTGATGATGAAATTGAAGCTGAAGATGTTGAAGAAGTTTATGCTAATGCTCATGAAAAGATTAGAGAAGATCCTTCTTTTAAACCAACTGAAAAGAAATTTACTAAAGAACAATATGCTGCTGAATCTAAAAAATTCAGACAAGTTAAATTAACTAAAGCTGAAAGAGATGCTAAAATTGCTAAGAAAATTTCAGAATTTCAAGCTGATCAAGAATAAATTTAATGTTATGATACGTTAAGTAGAGTCTGTGTATATTTCATTAATATATTCAAACATTAATTAATATTCAAAAAATTGAACTTGTACAATATTAAAAATATCTAACGTTTGCAAATTAAAAATTTATTAAAAATACAGTATCTAAGAAATGCTAAAAACTACAAGGTGTCTATCAGTTAATTTAACGACTTGACTTATTCTTCTCTTTCTCCAACATGATCTAAATAATCTTGAACAAATAAAGAACTTTTCCTAAACCTTCTTTCAGCATATTTTTCAAATATAGCCTTGTGATTTTTTTCAGGATTTTTACAATTTTCCAAAATTTGTTCAGCTAATGATCGTAATTGTCTTTCACAATATCCACTAAAATAAACATGAGCTTTTGTCCATTCTCCTTTATTTAATAAAAATCTTGACAAATAATGAGCTCCAGCTGCAAGCCAACTTGTTGGTGAAGCTATGAATTTTGAATCCATTATAGTTATCTCTAAAAAATATTTAGCTAATGTACGAGTTTCATAATCATAATCATCTGCTTTTGAAATCCTTCTCAAGAAACTCATTGGACCTGGCCAACCCAAGTCAAATTGTAATACATCAATCATAAAACATTCAGCTTTTGTAAATTCTTCAACTGAAAAAGAATTATCAGTCATATGAATCACCTCAGAAATTGTAGGAATATTAATTTCTTCATATTTTGAAGCTATTAATATAGCAACAGCACCAACTAATTGTAATTTGGTCAACAGTACTTTCCTCTTGGTTAAAAATCTATCAATTATATTTATAGCTAAAAATAAAGTTTCAGGTAACAAGTTAAATTTATTATGAATTTGAACAATCCAATCCACCAATACACTTCTCATATTCCAATTTAAATCATCTTGAACTTTTTCAATATAGAATGGATCTGGCATATACTTTATTTCTAAGTAATTTAAATATTTAAATATGTCTTCTGAATATTCACAAACCATTGTTGGATCATCCCAATCTTCTCCATTAATATCCCAATTTTTAAATGAGGGTTCTGAATTAATTATATCTAACTCTCTTTGAATTGATTCTGTCCATGGTGGAATCATTATTGACCGTCTATATTTGGTAATGACACCTGTTGGATTTGAAATTCTTTTGGTTTGTTGTTGTTGTAATTGATTGGTATGATTGTTTTGGATTGGCTGCTCGACTTGTTGACGTTGATGATTAAGTAATTGGTTACGTTTATGCAATTGATATTGTTGTTGTAGTAGAATTTGTCGACGTACTTCTTCACCATTTCCCTCCACTACGTCGTCTTCTTCTTGTTGTTGTAAATCGTCTTCTTTATCACTTTCAAGGTGTAAACGCGTTTCATACTCAGGTTCTTGATTTTCAATATCTTCTTCTTCCTTGAATTTTGATTCATATATACTATTTATAAGGTTATCATCATGATATGGAATTGAAGATGTATGCTGATGTGATTTAGATGGTAAGTGTTCAAAGTGTTCATCTGATGACGATATTCTTTGTTTTTTGTAGCTATTATATTCATCTATTTGATTATGTGATACGTCTTGACGATATTGACTTTGGTTTTTTGATTCATTTTGTTGAGTATGCAGTGGTTTTAATATATGTTGATGTTTGTCATAATTAGTAGAATGATAACTTTGTTGTGGTTGTTGTTGGGACTGTTTAATATTAATTTCATTTACATTAATTTCTTTTAATACCTCTCTTTTATATTTCGATATAATGTCTCTAGTAGTAGATGCTGTTGATGGAATTGGTACTAATCCATTTTGATTTGTGGTTTTTACTTGAGCTATTGTATTATTTAAATTTTTGTTGGGTATTATTGTTGATGCTGTAGTTGATGATGATGCAATTTCATTAGAATTTAATTTGGGATTTGATGCAATTGTTTTTGTAGATGAAGATGATGATATATACTTTTGTTTCAATTGTTGTGATATGGCATTTTCATCATTTATTATCGAAGACCTCATTCTTTAGGGTGTATGTAGTATATGAATGAAAATGATAATTTGATTGCAATATATATGTGATATTTAAAGTACGTGATTTTGGATTTATTCACAAGGATGTTATGCAATTGAATTGGCTTTAGTGAATTTGGTAATGTTTAATTGTATTATTCGATAAAAATATCACCTTTCCCTCTATTTATGATTGGTAATTATTTGGTGGTTTATTTGTTGTTGTTATTTGTTTTGATTTTATTATTAATTTTTGTAATATTTTTTTTTGCTAACAAATTTTATTTTGCTTGTATAAATTTTGATGCAACAAAGATTTTTGAAATGAGTGAAATGTTGACTAGATATTTTGGTAAATAGATAAAACTGTTGTGATTAAAGTAATAAGAATAAATCAAATGAAAATGAGCGAATGACTTGAGTTAGACTTGATTAAACGAATGCAAAGGATATAGAGAATATGATTTAATTTGATGATGATGGTAAGGTAAGTTTGATCTTTTGATATTTAAGATCTTGTATGAAATTGATATTATAATGATGAATCAAAGTTGAAATTAAAGGATGATTAATAGAAAAGTAAGTAGAATTGATATAAATTATAAATAGATCTATAAATTGTAAAATTATAAAAGATAATAATTCCTGTATCTCTTAAATATAAACAACACCAAAAGAATGCTAAATTTCAATTAGCCTCGTATTGAATACAAAATGCACAATCGAACAAGCTCATTCAGGAAAATGAAATATAATTCCCGAGATCACGCATCATTTTAGTCCATCTTCGTTGTAAATCTGAGTCGAGAATATTTATTTGTTTACATAAACAAGAGAAAAGAAATGGTTGCAATTTTCAACACAAAAACACGCAATAACATAGTAGAGATAAACAATAAATAAATATTACATGAACGAATTTGCATGTACAATGATACTTTTACTGTCAAGACCTTCATTGATAAGAGTTGATCATAGTAGCTAAAAGTGGTATAACTTCCTTTCAAGCTGCTTTAAGTATGTATGCCCCAAAGTAGATGATCGAAGTTTCTATGACGAGACGCGTTTCAGCTGACTTATCTAAGGTTTCACTCTAAATTGGACTTATTTTTTGAGAACAGTGTTATGCAATGTCCATCAAACTCTTAATGAACTGTTTTGGTGTCTATATTTATAAATTATTGGTGCAAGAAACGTTTTGACTCAAAATGAAATTCTTGAACAAAATAAAGTTCTCGTTTTGCAACAAAAATACTTACTTTTAAGCGAATTATATTTCATCAATTGTAGAGAAGAGAATGAGAAATGCAATAAAAGCTCAGCGTCAAATGATCTAACAAGGTCACCTAGCTTGGGCTCAAATGTTGTTCAAGTAGAATATACACAAAAGGGTAGCACGATTAACTACGTGATAATTAACATGAATACTTTTATATCAGGGAGTGCAAGACTAATTCTTAGATCTTTACTACCCCATATATGCTCCAACACGTTGAGTTAGTAACGGTTTTGATGACGTTATTGTCTTTGCTTTTCTGTTGCATTCAATTTCAAGCTCAAGAATTGTAAGTATTTACAGTGGAGTCTTACTTTGTTAGGAAGGAATTCCACGAAAAATCTTCATATTTCTTGATAATCTCGTATTTGTGTGAATTTGTTGAGATAAAAAAGAGCTTTTATACCATTAATTTCACCACTGATATTCGCTTTTGCTTTACGTAGTTGCATTGAATTAGTCCACTAGCAACGAGTATTCAAATGTTCAACACTTTCCCATCTGATATTCTAAAAATTCTGTGCCAGAACTAATAAAGGAAATTTAGGGTACAAAATCAAAGTTTCGGAATATTTTACTAATTTATACAAAATATTAGGCACTCGGTGAAACTTTATAACCTTTTACCTACATTTTTTTATTAAAAAACATGTCAAAATCCTTTTTTAAAGTTTTTGTATCATTTTCGATTAAAGACTATATTAAATACTTTTTGTGAACAAGAAAAAGATCGTTATTTTCTCTCATAATAAAATATCTATTGTTTTTTATGTTTGATTGTTACAATTTCCTTTGTCTTTTTTGTTTTGTAATGTTTCGGTTGTTCCTTATTTGTTTTTTGTACCCATGGGTTTGACATTTGTGAATGTAAATAGAACGGGTTTAGAATGATTACGGAGTCATCCAAGAAACTATTTAAGATTGGATTGAAAACAGAACTAGCTGCTAGAACCTTCAGTGGTAAATTCCTGGATAGTAGTATAAGAAAAAGAGGCTACGAGAAAAATGTTGCCTACTTTTTAGCATATTCAAAAGCTCAAAGATAGATAAATGACTATTTATAATCAATTGTTAAAATAATTTATATTTAGTTGATACTTTTTTAGTTCAAAAAAAAAAGAAAAGGTATTCCGACTCGTAATTATTTTAACCCCCTAAATTATACAATTTTTACTAAGTACACAAAGCATTTTAGACAATCAAGTCCGTAAAATATTTTAATCTATACATAGTCTTAGTTTTATGTATAATGTATGTTATATATCATCAAAGTCCATTTTTTTAGATTTTTATCATTTCAATTTCAAATTTCTTAATTTTAGAAGTTTAAACCCACGTCTAGTCAAATAAAAAAAATATACGAGCTTCATTTAGTAGCCAATTTAATGACTTGACTGCTGTTGTTTTCTGCACAAATGTTTATTCCTTAATCCCCTCAAAATTCTCAAAAGCTCTATTTATACCACCAAGTCTAAAAGATTTTTTGAAATTTGAATAGATAGGATTTCAAATCAATTGCGTAAATCTTTTCGAATAGGAATAAATCCGATTTCTACAAAGTATTAGTTAGGGTTTTATTTTACATTTTCCCTCGATGTATAAAGTGTTAAAATTTGTTACTCTAATTGCTTGCATTATGAATTTTTTGTAGATATACCAAGAAAGGAACTCCATTATCGCTCTTTGTAAAGCAAGAAGAATCCTTGAACTAAACAATCCTTTTATCTGGTTGTTGTCTGGGGTGGTGGAATTCGTAAGTTCGGTTTTGTTCAATCGTTTCATATTTGAAATTCCCCTAACTACTCGTTGGAGAATTTTCTTATCAGTAGACTTATTATAGAGGGAGAGAAAAGTAAGTTATCTAGCTTTTTAGTTTGTTCTATAATTATTTATGAAATTAGACATGTTTATCAAATTCTCTTATTCTTCCAGCTTTTTTTCAATATTTCTTTAATCCCCTTTTGTTTTTCATGATTTAGTTTTTTCAAATTTAGTATGTAGAATATTAAATTATGTACATATTTAAAAATTTGCCACTTATTTACACCCCCTATAACTTACTAAGCGAAAACTAATATTTATAAAGCTAGCTAAATTCAAATACAAAGAAAATCGAAACAATTCCCTCAATTTGATTAATCAAATAAATCAAAACTCCTTGTTTCTAGATCCTTAGTCTTATTAATAACTCCTTTAGACTTGTTCAAGAATTTGACTTAACATTTTGAAACTTGTTGTTTTGTTTTGTGTATACATATTTTAGCAAACATATGTCAAACACTAAACAAATATAGAGTAACAAAAGCGCAATAACTAAGTGTTTGTTACATCCTTTACAAACAATCGAGAATCTGGGTCGTATTTAAAGATCTAAATAAAAACAAATCTCGAGACTAATTAAAGTTTATGTTCTCGAGAAACGGAAGTTCTGTAAGATTGAAAATATAAGTGGAGCATTCGGATACAAATTATTAATCTAGAAAAATCTGGCATATTCAAAAATTATTTATAATTATACAATTAAAAAATACAGTAAAATGAATTAAAGTAAACTAACTCCTGAAAGATAAAGAAAATTGATATCTAACTTCAGCTAACCTAATGAACTTTCAAAGTTCAAGCCTTAAAAAAGCAACCAGATAAGCTTAAAAAAAAACACATTCATGTGTGTAACCGCCTAATTTCTAAAATCTCCACCAGTAAGCAAAAAAACAAACAAAGCAAATTTTGTGAACCAAGTAAAAAAATCCCCTCTAGAAAACCCAAAAACTCGTAAAAATCATCAATAACAATTGTACAACATTAAGTATAGTCCAGTAAAAAAAAAATGATACAGTAAATCATAAAACTCATTAATAACATTCATTAACACACGTTTAATAAAAATTTTGATCAAAATCTAATTGAGTTGAAATTAAATTTAAATCAATTTGCGAATAATCGTTGAAATCCATACATAAATTAAATTCTTGTTTTGGAGCTAATGGAGGAGTTTGTAAATATGGTGTTATAATTTGATTTTTTGGAGTTTCTAATATATAATTTGTGGTACCATTTAATATTTGATCATTTGTTAATTTAGGTAATATATCTATTGCTGATTCTAATTCTTGTTGTTGCTGTTGTTGTTGTTGTTGTTGCTGTGATTGTTGTTGATTCAATTCTAAAATAGTCGAGTCTAATAAATTTGAAATATCTGATTTTATCGTAGTATCATCTATACTTAATAGTTTTGATTGTATTAATTTTAATTTTGATTCAATAGATGACATTATTGGCGGAGATAATGGTAATACTAAATCTTGTTCTTTTTGCTTTTTAGATTTTGTTTTTGTTGGGGTTGTTAATTTAGAATTTTTGGTTGTAGACTTGGTTACTTTGTTACTTGATTTCGATTTTCTTGTGGTGCTATTTCTTCTACGTGATGTTGGAGGTGGAGTATTTAACATATTTGAGGTATGTTTTGGTTCAGGAGTTGACGGAATATCAATCGTTGTCTTATCATTAATATCATTAATTGAGTGTGAATTTTTACATGATGTAGTTGATGAGTCTGATATATTTGATGATCTGAGTACTAAACTTGAATCTGAATTTATTCTATTCTTTCTTGGAGTGAATGAAAATGGAGATTGTAACATTGTTTTCAATATCTCGTGGGTAAGTAGTAATCTTATTATTATTAATGAATATGTAGTAGTAAAATATTCTATGAGGTATTAATTGAGTAATCTAGTATCTATTTAATAATTTATTGAATTTAATTTAAATGTAAATTTGAAAAAGAATGAATAAAAGTAAGTGATAAAATTGATATTAAATATCTTTGAATTTGAAAGTAAAGTAAGTATGATATTTAAAACCTTTAAAAAAATGAAATAAGAATATTTTGAACCATATATATATATTATAAATTATTATTTTAGCAATTGTATGTTATTATTGCAAAATATAAAAACAAAAACAAAAAAAATTAAAAAAAATAAAAAAATAAAAGTTTTGGGGGGAAAGAAATTTAAAGTTTTAAAAAAAATATTACAAAAACGAGGGGGGTGATACAAAAGTTTAAAGTTTGTGTAATATTAAAATATTATAATAATTGTAATAAAGTTTGTGTAGCTTGTGGTGTATGTATGTGCTATACTGTATATAGCGTAAATTCTATGCACAAAAAAGGAGTTAATATACAGTACACTAATACAATACTGCATATTGTTCGGTTCAATTTTTTAGGAATTTGTGCATATAAAATTTTTACGGAATAAAAATAAATTATTTTTTTTAATTTAATTCAATTTACAAAAAAGTAAATACAAAAAAATGAGATCCGTTAGAGTCGATGATCATTTTTTCTATTATTATTTATTGTGTTAATAATATGAATCAATTGTATACATTTATGTCTTTGAATTAATTTCTTTCCTATTGTTAAATTTAATTTTTATTATTGTCAATCGTTATATCTCAAAACTTTGTTAATAGAAATCATGATTAATATTAAGCTTTTTTGTATGAATATATTAATACTACAACTTTGATTATTGCTCTATACGAGGAAATCTGTTGTAATCTGCCGTGGAGTTCCAATTACCTCAAACCATCTTCGTTATTTCTCTCATGTTCAACTGAAAGGACTTGACGATGGGTACAAGGAATAAAGAAATAAAATTTGATCTTCATCCGGATCCTCTATCTCAATATTCTTACTTTTTTGAGTTTATAGTTGACATGCAGATAATTTTTGTATAATATATTTTGTATTACAATTTTTCCAATTTACATTATAAAAATATGTTTCATGTAACGAATAAATATCTCAATCTTTCATAAAATAAACGTATACGTTTAGTCAAATTAAATTATAGTTTTGTCTTACTTGTCTCCCTTATCAAAATAAAGCTTAATTGACTTTGTTCAACTATCTACTAATTTCCTCGAGGCATGTTTGCTAAAAGTTTACCTAAAATTGAACATTATGATCGTTAAGTCCCAGGTCTATTCATAGAAAGTTACTCGTAAACCTTTTTTATTGACCATGAAGTCGAGCTCAAATTGAATACGATTCAATAAAGTCTAGTATCAATTACTTTTGATCAATTCAAATTCGATTCTTTATACAAAAAATAATTTTTTTACTTATTTAGAAACATATTAGAAACTGTCAATAATTTTAGTAAAAGTAGTATCTTAGATTTTTTAGTGAATGGGTAATGAAGCAGTAAAACCTTAAATTCTAAATGGAGAAGTTAAAAAAATTTCGTAAATTAAAAAATAGATATTTAATTTAGACAGATGAAATCTATCATTATCAATTTTTCTTGTGGATTTATGTAATATTATTTTACGCCTTGATACATTTTGAGAGTAAGTGTAAGTTAATGTCGATCAAAAAATATTATAATTCAGGTTTATGATCATTAATTGATGTGTAATTAAAATAAATTGAACTTATTGTACTATAAAAGAAGATCAATTTAATTTTTTTGAGCAAAATTATACTAAAAATAATTTATTATAAAAGAATGTAATTAACTTTTTCTTATCAACAGCTCAACTTAAAATATAATAATTTTGATGTAATGGAAAAAAAATTGTTTGCCTTCATTTAGCTAATACAAGAAATTAATTAAGTTGTCAAATTAGATAGATATATTCATTTTTCTTCGTCCTCGTCTAACTAAAATTGCCTCTATTATTAATTTAAGGTTATATTGGTTGGATAAAACAGATACGAGTTAATGATTTAAAAAATTCAAAATATTCGTATTTCATAAAAACTAATAAACTTAAAAATCTCAACCTAAAAATTTTGTGGAAAATTACTAAAGAAATTTCAGTAATTAATTTTTGTGTCTTTCTTACTTTGTGTAAAAGGGTTCATAAATTGCACAAACATAATAATTAATTTAATTTACATATCAACATGACATTAATTAACAACCTGATATACCCTTGAACGACCCTGCTATCTTTCAATCATTAATTGTGTATTAATTAACGACACGGCTGGTGTTATCAAAAGTTGATTATTTTATACCAAATTGATTCTCTCTCAAGATCAATTGCTTACAAAGTACAAACCAAAGGATGTCGAAAATGATGTCGAGAAATTGCTCACTCTCTAAATTTTAATTGGTCCCAGTCTTCTTGAATCATCAATAAAAAGGTACAAGCTTTTTACTAAAAGTCCACTAGAACCAAGTAAACGTTTTCCAAAACGTTTCAATTAACTTAGTCAAAAACTTTAATAATCTCTGAAATAAAGTATCCAAAAATCAATCATAAATCACATTTCCAACGAAATATTTCACAACCACCTCCTTTACTTTCATGTGAAAAAGTAAAAGTAATTAACAACTTTCTTGATTATTGTGAAGTCCAAAAAAATATTATGATATAAAAATGAGAGATACAGATGAAATTATGCAATTCTTGAGGGTGTACATCTTCGAGATATCGTCAATCGTATCAATTACAAAAGTCAATTGTCTAGAGATATTTTCTTTTGTGGTTTTGTATTATTATCAAAACCAGTATTAATTTATTTTAATGCCTTACCTTACCTTAACTTTGCCCAATATTTATTCAAAATTGTTCATTACATTTACTTGGCTTTCTTACTGCTTTTGCTGTTTGCATTTACGTTCATGAGGTTTCGAGTATGTCACCAGTTTTTGGTTTTTGGTTTGAATCTGTGAACAATTATTGCCTTATTCATACGTGATATATAGTTCAATGTGCTTGTGATCTTAAACACTAAAACTTTCGTAATTAATTGAAGATGATTAAGATTAAAAGGAACTGACTTCCTTAGATGATTTTATGCAATGCATTTTTTATAGCCATGATTTATTGTAAGATCAATGTTTCAAAATTGATTTACAAGTTACCAGAAAAAAAAAGAAATTTTCTGATAGCAAAATTGATCTAATTTTAACATCAAATCAAACGATAACAGCCCGATTGTTCACAAGATTTCAAACTTTATAAATTTCTTTTTTCAAAAAACTTGAAACATCGAGTCCCATATTAAAAGAACAATGTAAAAATTTTTTTGTTCAACATGTAGTGAAAATTTCATCTTAAATTTAATTATTCTGTTACTAACTAAATTTCACAAAACTTTAATTTGCCTGATTTGGTTATGGGTTTACATGGTTATTTCGTAACTGCTCAGTGAATGGTTTAATGTGATAATTAACATGCTGCTCAATATGTCACAATAACATGAATTACAGAAGCAGATATACATTGACTGACATTAGCTGGCAAAATTTGATCTTTTTAATGAGGCTCAAAGCTTTTGTATTAACAGTTTAACTTCTTTAAACGCGTTAGATGCATAAAATCAGTGAATGGCAATGTTAAATGAGATTATCAGCAAGTGCATCGTAATGGTAAACGTTTGAATCAAAATTCACATGCCATCCTTTCGTAAGTTACGTCGTCTAGTTGATCATTGAATTTGTGAAAAAATAATCTAGATGAATGAGTGTCTTGAATAAAAATGACATTGTCTCAGATTCTAAGACATGTCAAAAAAACGCGTCTCATTAATAGATTAGGATCAAATTTTTTCAATACTTCTCTTTATCTTATCTTATCATCCATAGATATTATATAACTTAAAAGTGAATTCATCACTTATTTTGCAACATCACAAATTAACGATATCACTATTTTTAAAAGATGGAAATTATATGGAATAAATTACCAATAAAAGAATCAGAAGTTTGTTTAAGTAAAGTATTAAGATGTGGTCAAACTTTCAGATGGAAGAATTTAAATAATATATGGACTTTTTCAACATCAGATAGAATTATATTGTTAAAACAAGACTCCAATAATATCTACTACTCTCATATACTAAATCATCAACAAAAATCCACCTCAACAACAAAAACATTAGATTTTATAAATGATTACTTCACATTAGACATCAACTTAAATAAATTATATTCACAATGGAAATTAAATCATGAACCTTACAAGAAAAATTCTATCAGCTCGCCTTTTGATTTATTTACTGGGATAAGAACGTTAAGACAAGATCCATGGGAATGTTTGATTTGTTTTATATGTTCATCAAATAATAATGTCAAGAGAATTTCTAAAATGTGTGATAATTTATGTATCAACTTTGGTGATTATATAAATACTTACGAAGGTCATGCTTTTTACTCGTTTCCTACACCTAAACAGTTATCCTGTCCAAGTACTGAATCAAAACTAAGAGAACTAGGATTTGGGTATAGAGCTAGTTATATCTACAAGACTGCTAGAATGTTCATGGATGATTCACATCCAGATATTACATTACAAAATTTAAACAATTTAAGAAATATCTCATATGAAGAGAGTCATAAATTTTTAATACAATTATGCGGAGTTGGACCAAAAGTTGCAGATTGTATATGCCTAATGTCATTAGATAAATCAGACATTGTACCAATTGATACCCACATATATCAAATTGCAATGAGAGATTTTAAATTTAAAGGCTCTAAAACCAAGACACTCAATTTAAAAATGCATCAAGAGATTAGGTCTTATTTCAAGGACATATTTGGTGAATACGCTGGTTGGGCTCAATCTGTTTTATTTGCTGCTGATTTAAGTGATTTAAATAATGGTATTAATGATATTGAAGCTGTCAAAGAAGAAATTAAAGAGGAAATAATTCAGGTAGTTGAAAAGAAAAGCAATAAAAGAAAGGTGCTTACTAACATAGAGACTAATACCAAGAAGATAAAAAGAAGTAAAATAGTAAAAGTAGAGGTGTAATTCTAATACTACAATCAATCTTCTGATTTCAAAAAAAAAAATTGATTCATCCCAATTAATTAATATTCTAAAATATCCCTTATTATAACGAGTAAACTTTATTAACTTGTTTAATCGAATAAACCGAAACCCATATCATCATCAGATTCTTCTTTTTCTTCTTCAACTTCTTCAGCAGCAGCTTCTTCAGTAGCAGCACCACCAGCGGCAGCACCTGATGAAGCAGCACCAGCAGAAGCTGGGGCACTAGCAGCAAATGAGAATAATAATTCTTTAACATTTTTACCTTCTAAAGCTTTAGCGAAAATATCAGCCCAATATTTATCAACTGATGCACCAGCGGCTTCTGTGATTGATAATAAAGCTTCTGAAGTGATTGGTGCTTCAGCATCTGCTAAGATTAATGCAGCGTATGAAATTAATTGATCGTTGTTTGACATTTTTTTGTTGGTGATAACTAGAATTAATCAAGATTTAAGCAAAAGCAGACTAAGTTCTTAGTATTGTTGTTTTAACTACGTAAATGAGTGATTGCGTGAAGTTGTAAAACTTTTTAAATTTTCACCAAGTCTAAGGTCTGCTACCAATGTGACGTACCGCTTTAATTGCGGCTCTCGTAAATAAAAATTGCAATAGGGTTACTACCCTATTATATACTAACTTGAAACAGATAGTATTTATTCGAGACTATAAAGCTCCATCAATCTGCAATATGTATATGGTGTTTCCCCGAGTTCATGACTTTGAATGATCTGTCTAAACTTGGTTTCATTCGCAACATTTAGCAAAATATTGAGCATTATTCTTACTTAGAATTTCATCATTTTTAAGTTGTTTTTCACAATTAGAATATTAGAGTATTGACAAATTAATTAAAGTAAACCTTGATTTTTCAGCGTTTAGTAACGTTCTAAATTGAGAGTTTAAGCTCGTGAGTGGCTCACATTGAAGAATTTAAACGGTGTGCTTATCCAAAATTTTGGTATCTCGCATCATTAAAAATAATGTTTCAGACTATTAACTTCATTATTATAATAAATTATTATAATGTATCAATTTATTGAGACTCTTTATTATATAATTTAATTTCTCTTAGATACCAAAGGATGTTTCACATTTAGAAAATCTTGTTCCTTTATACTTCTAGAATTGATCTCTCGTAAATTTCGAGATTTACGATGTTTATCAGCAAACAAAAACATCTCGATATGGATTCTATTGATTGAGTTTCCAAAACTCACTTTACAGCACATATCAAATCCACTTAACTCGTCCAATTTTCTCAATTGTTGAATGACTTCATTGTCAACAAACTCATCAAGATCAGATTCTCATCATCTTCACAAATCCAAAAATCCAGTCAATTTAACAAATCCAATAAGATTAGCATTTTTAGGTGGTTCAAAATCAGGTAAAACTTCAATAATTTCAAAACTTACGTTAGGTTCATATAGGGAAACTTACTATCCTACAACACAACTAACTCCCATATTATTTAATTACGAGCCTGAATCTACTCAATCAAAGGATATACTAATAAATAACAATTTGGAAGTTGGTCATAATGTCAACCTATCATCTGTGCTAAAACAATCAAAGAATACAGGAAATGTCAAAAATAATGAGTATTACAATCTTAATGAAACAAAAGATGAAATAACTCCAATACTAGTTGAATTAATAGATACACCAGCTTTTAATCCACAAAAAGTCGTTCCATACCTCGAAGCATCATTATATTCAAATCTAGATAAAGAAATACTACATAATTTAGCAAATGAACCTCGTCGACCAGTATCTACAAATCCTTTGCTTGTAGCAAGTGGCGCTAGTGAATTAAATGGGAATGTAAATGGTTATTTTTTCGTGTATAGTGCTATACCAAGTTACAATCCACCAGGATATGAAAATCAAGCAAATTCATTATTATCAAGTGAATTACCTACTAATCATACTTTCAATTTATTACCTACCATAAAAGCAGCATTAAATGACGCATGGGAAGAGTATAATACATTCAAAAGAGATTGGGCTAAAGGTGAAGAGTCAGATGTATTTTCTTTTAAATTTGCATTTAAAAATATTTTAAATAGTGGGAAATCAAAAACCCAACCACAATCATTTGAAAATAGTTTTGATTCACCTCCCATATGGATTATATGTACTCATGTCAAAAATGAACTAGCTTCTGCACAACTAATTCAAGATGGCAAAACATTAAGTTCAGATTGGAAATGTGGATTTATTGCAATTGATAATGTTAATGATGATGTTGATATAATACTAAGTTTAATGATTAGAGATATACTACAAAAACAAAAATTAAAATAATAGAAAATAGACGACTATAATTAATAAGGATATAATATATACAAGGTAAACTAAACTAATAGTTTTTTTTTTTATTCTTTTTAATTTAAAAATTTTGAAACGTCATTTAACCAACCTCTATATTCATTTTCTTCTTTAAAATCACTAAAAGCAACAATAAAATCAGCCAATTCATTATCTATTCCCTTTGCAACCAAATAATTTTCAAATTCAGTTTGTAATGATTCATCTAATTCAGCAAACTTTGGACCTTGATAATTAAATTTATCAATAAATTCATTATCTTTTGTTATATTTGATAAAAATTGTTTAACGTCATTAGAAACGTTTACGAAATCTATCATAAAACTTGATTCTGTGTTTTGTAAAAATAAATTCAAGAATAACCCACTGTTTTTTGATTCATTTTCAATTAAAATTTTAACATTACATAATATTTGATCTAATGCTGAAGCTTCATTTTCTAAATCTTCAACCTCTGTTAATTCTTCAGTTGGTATATCTGTAACTTCATCAATATCAAAATATACATGAATTTTATTACCTGTAGCTGAATCAGTTTTTACTAATTCTACGTTAGCATTTCCAGGATTTGATATTAATTTAAAACCAGATTGTTTTAAAAATTCTTGATATACGTTATCTAATTCATTTGGGATAGCTTCTACCATCTTGCTTTCGGTTTTAATAACTTCATCTAATGCTAATTCTGGAGTATCATTACTATTGAATCTAATTGGTGAATAATGAAATGATCTTACAGGAGTGGTTGCAATAATTGGTAATGATTTGAAAAAAGTTGAGTTTGTTTTGATTTTCAAATTTTGAGAAACAATTCTTTTTGATAATGTTGAACGTATTGAATTAGTTAATAATCTTGACATTTTGGCTAATGTTTTGGTTAATTGATGTAATAAGTTTTGAATGCAATAAAGTTTAAGGAGCTTTATATCAGATCGATGAGGAGAAACTGAAAGAATTAACTAAGACACGTTGCTACCAATTAATCCCGTGACTAAATTTTGCAATTATTGGTTTAATTACAAAAGTTCTACATCAGACAACAAGAGCAGATTGGTATATTTTCAACATGAGTTTGTATTAAACAGTCTTTAAAAAAGAACTAATTTCAAAATTATGGTTTCTCAATTGATCAGTCGAGTAGTTTTAATTAAAAGAATTTTTCATTCTTTATGAAGGACAAATTTTATAACTTTCTCTATATATGAAATTTAGTACTTTGCTTATAGCGCGGGCAAAAAACTAGCTCGACCTCTTTCTTTGTCGCCCATTCTTCAAGACATGGAACGATTAGACATTTTTCTCGCTATGTGAAATTCTTCAAAATGTTGGAAAAATTGAAATTTTCCGTCTTATTTTATTCTTCTCGCTAATATAGTTTGTATGAAAGTCGTCAATTTCTTAATGTCCTCTTCCTTGAGAAGTCGACACTTATCGACTCACAACAACTTGCAACAACTTACAGTTATAAAACCAGCATAGAGACTTGGTAAACGTGCTCCATTTTTCATAGGAACCTTCATACAAGGAGCTGTACACTTGTAAGTTAAAAGATTATTAAATTTCTTATTGTATTTTTAGTAAATTTTTTAGTTGCAAAATAGACTGAGTAAAGTAATCAGCTCATCTTGTTGTGCCAATACCAGGTGGTTTTATTTCTAAAATTTAGTCAAAGGACGTTATTTCGAAAATTAGAAAACATTAATTAAAAAAAATCATATAACTTAAAATCTATAGAATTAGCAAAATTCTAGTTAGCCTAATTTGAACCCTCTCTATTCTTTATTCTCGTATCTTAAAATCTTTTTATGGAATAACCGATCTGGCAGGAAATTGAGTCAAATGACTTCAAAATTCTTAGAAAAGGAGCAAGAATTTCAACTTACTTAATCTATATCTTTACTTATGTAATAATGACATGCCTTTTCTTTTTGTAAAAAAAATTAAATTTATACTTTGTGGGGAATGAAAACATAAATTTGAAACAAGCCACTAAAAAATTTAATTTCTTTTCTGTACACTAATTTAATTACTTTAAAAAGAAGTAGTATACAAATGGGGTTTGGAGATTAATTTGATCTAATTCAATATTTTGATGTTAAGATTAAAATATCAAAAGCAAAAGCCGAATTGATAATTATTTGTAATGAGTTAAGTTTATTTACTCTGCTGCAAGGCTGAAAAGTAAGTAAAGTGGAAAAATTAATTATTCACAATACATATATAAGCAAAACGTTTGTATATTTTATCGGCACACGACAATAAAGTAATTGTATAAACTTCAAACGTAAATTAAAAGTCTTTTTAATTCGACTATTGAAGCTTTTGGTTCTTGTAAATAAAATCTTATTGATCCAATTTTGGTTACATCAATCAAAACTCTTAATCTACTCTAAATTTAAGTTTATATAATAAATTATTTTCTTTCTCAAAGAGAAGGTTCGAAGTAAAATATTAAATTTCAATTATCGATTTCAATGTAACTTCAAATTTTATAGATATTAAAAACTGATAGCACTTTAATTTGCTTGTTCTGATCATTCTTATTTCACTTACCTAATATAATTAAGGGTCATACTTTGGTTTGGTTCCTTGCATCATTTATGTCTCAAATTTACTACTAAACAAAGAATGAGATTTAAGCCTAGTTTAACAATTCCAAACTTAGTAATAATTCTAAAAAATGGAGTAAATTAATAGCAATTCGAATAAACATTTTAATTTATACAATCAAAAGTACAAAACAAATGACATTTTATTCTCGGACTAATTTAACCTGGTAGAATTTTCAAGAGTGTAAACTTCGAGCTTATCAAAACTGAAAAAATTTATCTTAAGTAAATCTCTTTTTTAACTATTGAAAGATAAGAAAAAATAAACAACAAAAAAAAAAAAAAAAAAAAATATTAAACTAAACTTTTTATATTCTTTCGTGATAAGAAATTCAACATTTTATATCTTTTGTTGATAATTATTTTTTTTATTTGATATATTTGGACTTTGATTTCCTTAAATTGTTTTACAGATTTTTGAATTAGTTTTTCTTTTTCTTCTTTTATGATTTTTTTATCTTGATGAAATTTAATATTTTAACTAATTTATTATCATCATCATCATCATCATCATCATTAATTATTAGAACAACTACTATTATAAGATCAAGAAAAAGTATTTTAACAACTACTAACACTAAAGCAAAGATTGCATCTACACATTCATTTAAATTACATCCTTTTAAATCAGTTCATAAAAGACACATTCATTCTTACAACACCACTAGAAACAACAAATATAAAAAATATAATCATATAAAATCAGGTCTACCAATGATCTCATCTATTTACAATTATTTATTTCCGACATCAACAAACAACTCCCAAAATTCATCAACTTCATTAATTCAAGAAAAACAATATTCAACAAATAATCCAAATATTTCATTAGATTTTATAAAAAATTTTCATCCAAGATTAATTACTATATTCCAACAATTAGATTCAATAGCTCCAAGATTTTTGTTAAATAAAGGTGATATAGAGATATTAAATGATCCAAAACAATTTTATGAAACTTTAAAATTCAAAATTGCAAATGCTCAACATAGAATATATTTATCTTCTTTATATATTGGAAAAGGTCAAGTTGAATTAATACAATGTTTAGATGATGCACTTTCCAAGAATCAAAATTTAAAACTTTATATATTAACTGATGTATTAAGAGGTACAAGAGAAGCTCCAAATAATATATGTTCTGCATCAATATTAGTACCACTTGAAAAAAAATTTGGTAAAACTAGAGTAGATTTAAGAATGTATCACACTCCCAATTTATCAGGAATCACCAAGCAATTAACACCAAAAAGAATAAATGAAGGTTGGGGTTTACAACATATGAAATTATACGGTTTCGATGATGAAATCATATTAAGTGGTGCAAATTTATCACAAGATTATTTTACTGATAGACAAGATAGATATTATTTATTTAAATCTTCAAAATTAACTAATTACTACTTCAAAATTCATGAAGCAATAGCATCAATATCATATCAAATCAGACATACAACAAAATTAAAACAAGGTTTCAAATTAATTTGGCCTACAACTAATGCATCTTGTGAACCTCATTTAAATTTACAGAGGTTTATAAGTGATACATCATTACTATTATCCCCCATTTTAAAACAACATGAACTTTCATCATTTGACGAATTCAAAGATCATGAAAATTTCGATACTATAGTATACCCCGTATCACAATTCTCACCATTATTTCCACAACAACAAGATTTATCAACTGAAAAACCAGCAATTTTGAGGTTATTATCATATTTAGATTCTCCAACAATAAAATGGTGGTTTACCGCAGGTTATTTCAATATGTTACCACAGATTCAAGATCGTTTATTAAACGGTAAAGCCCTGGGTAAAGTAATAACAGCATCACCCAAAGCAAATAGTTTTTATAAATCACCAGGTGTAAGTTATTACTTACCAGAAGCTTATCTTTTATTTGCGAAAAAATTTCTAGAATCCATAAAAAGATTAGGTAAAGAAACGTTAATTACCGTATATGAATGGCAAAAAGGTGTAGTTAACACACCAGGTGGATGGACTTATCACGCTAAGGGTCTTTGGATCACTGTTCCCGATGAAGAAGAACCAAGTATAACAGTTATTGGATCATCAAATTATACAAAAAGAGCATACAGTTCAGATTTAGAAAGCAACGCAATAATAATAACAAAAGATTCCCTCCTCAAGCAAAAGATGAAAGAAGAAATCGACCATTTAATGGAGAATGTGAAAGAACTTAAATTGACTGATTTCCAACCTAAAAAATTAAATATCAACCCTACCCAATCAAAGATAATTATAGAAGATCATTTAGAAAACATAGATAAACCTACCGAAGAAGAAGTTGATGCTAAATACGTGATTGATGAAGATCGTAAAATCAGTTATGGAGTTCATTTAGCTGTAAAAATATTAGGTGGTAGATTATAGCACCATTAATAGACTACATTACATTTGTTATAATAGAATTTCCAATTAAAAATATAAAAGTTATTTTATTTATACTTCTTTATAATGTACTATTTCCTCCCTATGCCTATACAAATACTTTGTCTGAATTAAAATTATCAATATCCATATCAAATTGCACCATATAATAATCCAATAATTCCCAAAATTAAAAGGATTTTCAAACCATTCCAAATCATTAACGTAATTTCCACCAATTTCAAACGCCAAAGCAGCAGAATTAAACAATAGCCATCCTGAATGTAACCCATTCCCATTTTCCAATAACCAAATCTCGTAAACTTGTGGTATCAAATAAATACAAAAATTAAATTTACCCAAAAACCATAAATAATCCACCAAGTCTAATTTAAAAATTTTAGCTTGATTGAACCACCATAATTTGTATAAATATGCAAATGGAATTAGCTGTAGTAGTATAAATACTAATAATTCTTTATTTAATCTTGGTTTGACTTGTAGTAGTAACACCACGGAAAGTCCACAATATATTATCTCTATGAAAGAATAAGGTAAATTTATAGGTGTATTTTCTCCAAAAAATCTTGTTTTGTATTGTGATTGAATTTTTGGATCTAGTAAATAGAACAACGATGATATTAAAGATAATCCAATTGAATAAAATTGTAAGAGTAAGTATGTAGTTGATAAACCTTCAATTTTGGATTTTTGTTTTTGAATTTGAGTGTGTTTGAATTGATTGTAGGTTGATGTTGTTCTTAGTAGGATTGATAGGTTGTTTAGTAGCTCTATTGGTCTCATTTTCTATTAATTCAGACAGATTTGAGGATTATATAGTTGATTTTTATCAGGTCTGGCTTTGATTTTATAACTGTTTTATGGAAGTTTGATATTTGGTATACTTTTGTGTCTTAATTATTTTTTGTTTATTTCTCGATTACATGCATTAACTTCTATTGATTTGAAACAACTTATCTTTAACATCACTATCATTGAATAACTACATCTACAAGTAGTAGAAACCCAAACTTAAAATTACAAGAAGCTTTGCGGTATACAACATGAGTTCAGAAATTGTACAAGGAAATTGGGATATAGTAATAACATCATTACAAGATATATGTACATCAAATGAAAGTATATCATTTAACCCCATCTATAATTCCAACAATGATATTTCCAAACTTACAAACATGACTCAAGAAGAAATCACCAAACTTCAAAAAGAAATTTACGATCATAAATCCAACCTAGGTACAGCCAAGAGATTAATTGACACATCAAACGAAAATCTCACTAAACTTATAGAAATAATGCAATTTCAACAACAACAAAAACTTAAAGAAGAAGCTGAAAAACAAGAACTTGGCAAAAAATTAAAAGAAGAAAAAGAATCAACCACTAAAACATCATCATCTTCCAAAAAAAACACAACAACAACAAAAGGTAAAAAGATTAAAAAAATAGGTAGATCATTCTGGCAATCAAAATATAATCCATCAGAACCAATAGTTATTGGATCAGAAGTAGCTTTCAAACTACGTAACCGAGTAAACGAATGGATTCAATGTGAAGTTGTAAAAATTATAGGTGATGGAATAAAATTTGAAATAAGAGATCCAGAACCAGATGAAAATAATAATCCAGGTAATACTTTTAAATGTAATTATAAAGAAATTTTATTAATTCCTTCCCCCATGGATTTAGATTCATTAGTTAACTATAGTTATGGATCAAAAGTTCTTGCGAGATATCCCGATACAACAACTTATTATCCTGCTATTGTTGTTGGGAATAAAAAAGATGGAAATGTAAGATTAAAATTTGATGGTGAAGAAGAAGTTAATAAGGAATGTGAAGTTGAAAGAAGATTGGTTTTACCATTACCTCAAAAATAGGAAGATTTAGAGTTCAAAAATAATATAAAATATTATAATTTTTGGTAAAATAATGTTTTAATGGAAATTTAATGAAATAATGAATACAAAAATGATTCGACTCTTCTTTCCCTGTACTTTGAATGCTTTTACAGAACATTTTTTGTAGATTACAACTACTGTTTGATGGTAGAATATAAACGTTATAATAATAAATGGTTTAACGCGCTAAATTTGAACACTAATAAAATTATATTGTTAAGTTTTTTGAACGTCTTTGATAGGACTTATTTTACATCAAATCATTAACGAAAGTAATTTCGAGTAAAGGCAATTGTTTTATTAATTGTCATTTATAATCAGTTCATTCCCAATAAATCAACCTCACCGAATAATGAATAAGAAAAATGCAGAAATATTGGGGTTTTAACAACTAATTAAATCATATCCAGCAGAATCATTTCATATAATTTTAGACCTGTCAATAAACAATTTTACTGTCAATCAACTTACGTAGAAAGTGATTACTAAATTCGAGGACATAACTCCCTAATTTTTGTCGATGTGGTTTAACGCTTTCATTGCTCCCTCATCTTAAGATCTAAGAATTTTTAATAAGATCTGAACTATTATATTCGCCATTTTACAACTCATTATTCAAAACTTTGAAGTGGCGCTACTTGTTTTTGTTACAAATCGCTACTTAATTTTATTACAAATTGAATCAATTTCTGACAAGTGGCATGAGTTAATAAAGTAGCAGAATGAAGCAGCAATTTAGCAATAATTTTTCAATTATTCGAAGTTAAGTCAGCAATCATATATAATGACAAGGGAAAGACATAAAGACATTTGTAAAGTTAAAGAAGTTGTGAAGCAATGATACAGATATTAATTAAGTTGTATTTATAATAGTTAATAATAACGTATCAAAAGCTGAGGATGATATGTCCTGGATCAATTATTTCAAATTCATACTTCGTCGAAAACAGAAGTTTCGGGTATCTCAAATGTGAACTTAATTAAATGTTAGAATAATTACTGGAATGGTTTTCAGATGTTGATTTGCATGAGATATAGGTACAGAAAACATTTTATCTTTTTAAGAACTTAAAAGAATTAGTTGAAGAAATAAGACATAGACAATTCGTAAATGGAGTTACAATCCCAAAAACATTAGAAAAATTGTTTTCAGTTATACACAAAGGATAATTTGGTAATCCAGAAGAATTCAAACCATTAATTGACTCCATAAAGTAATATGGGGATTATTTTGTTGTAAGTGGTGAGCTTAATTTATTTTTAGATGCTCACAAAAAGTCAGAAAATGTATTTGGTCACCATGAAGGTGACTCAGGGGATGTTAATTATTTACATGAATGGACGAAAAAATATGTTTGAAGTATTGCTAACATGGGATTTTTTTTTCAAGTGATCGTTGCATTGATGAGTACGCAGAAAATATTTGGTATGATGGACCTTCAAATTATTAAATTGTTACCGTTTGAGTTCTTTGTGAGTGGGTTTATCTACATTTATACAATTCTAGATGAGAACATTATATGAAAGTACAGTTGATAAACAATATTGAGTTTAAGTCAGAATGCAATTGTTGAAGTCTTAGTCGTCAATTAGAAGACGAAGTTGGTACACCTGGGAGATTTAGAAACCGATGGTTCTCACAAATATATACTTCAAAAGTATTTGCAACATATGGGGAATTGATTATATTTTGATTTTAGTCGATACATTTAAGTTGCAAATCCTGATACGGGACCGCTACCAACTACCGCAATACTTCAAATCTGCATTCCAAATTTATTTAGGGTTATTTAGGGTCTGAATTTGCATCAATTGAGATACATACTAAGGATCCACATACCCGAAGTCGAAGATAGCATTACAAAATAACAAAAATCACCAAATATAAATTCTCAAGATTTTCCCAAATCGATTTTAAAATTTATGTCACTTTTTTTTTACTTCTTTCTCATTAATAATAAATTTAACAACTTTACCCGATATCACACATACTTACACTGATAGTGATATAAAATCTTATAAATTCAATCCACTTTATTATTATTAAATTCAAACTTTTTTCCAATTACTTATTAATTATGTCAATTTTCAAAAAAATTTCATTATTTCACCACTCAAAAAAATCAACTAAACCATCATCATCAGAATCATCATCAGTTACAGAATCATCACCAAAATCATCATCAACTGATAAAAAACACCACAATTATTTCAAAAAATTATTCAAAAAAAATAGAAAAGCAAAAAAATCAGCTACACCACCACCACCACCACAACAACAACAACATAATTTAGTTCAATCAACTGCACAAGAACAAGAAGAAGAAGAAGAACAACATCAACAACAACAACAACAACAACAACAATCACAACAACAACAACAACAACAACAATCACAACAACAACAACAACAATCACAACAACAACAACAACAACAACAACAATTAATTGACTCAGCTTCAGAATTACCATCAAGTAGAGCATTAATATTATTTAGACCACCACAACAACAACAACAACAACAACAACATCAGCAATTAGTATTGTTCCACCAAAATCAACCACAAACGACTCATAATTTTAGCATTGAAGTTATGGAGGTACATGAGGATGAATCTTTGGATGAAGTTGATATTATTCATCCAAACTTGATCTTTGATGAACAAGGGATTATAATTGAGATCAATCCCGATATTAATGAATTTGATTACACATATACGTTTGATGAAGAAAATTTAACATATGTAAGAAGAGAATTATCAATCGAATCAATACCATTTGTTTTTAATGGACTAAACAACAGGTTTTTCAATGCAGATGTATTATATGCAAGTGTTGAAGGTGAATCATATGATCAACATAACTTTTTCCATTATACTGAAGAATATCAAGAAGATGAAGAAATAAGATTAAATATTACTTTTTCAAAGTTTAAAAAAGTCTTCTCAAAATTAAAAATGTATGTTAAGAAAAGAATAAAAGTATTGATGCAGATGCACTGATACTAAGGTGTTTAATAAAATTTAAATTTTATGGTTTTAGTTGTTGTACCTAATATTTTTAGTTACTAAAACACCAAAATTTTACAAAATTATAAAAATTCTAATGGTGAATTTAAATATTAGTGTGTTTTGATGTTGAACATTCTTATTTACTTCACCACAAAAATTAAATCTTGAAAATATCAACAATACTAATCAGTTGATTCTACATTATTATAAAAATTCAATTCAGAAAAAAAATCATTAATACTAATCAGTTGATTCTACATTATCACAAAAATAATCAATTTAAAAAAAAATCATCAATACTAATCAGATGATTCTACATCATCACAATAATATTCAATTCAAAAGAGAATCATTAATACTAATCAGTTAATTCTACATTATTACAATAATATTCAATTCAAAAAAGAATCATTAATACTAATCAGATGATTCTACATTATCATAATAATATTCAATCTGAAAAAAATCATTAATACTAATCAGTTGATTCCGATACTAAGGTGTTTGATAAAATTTAAATTATACGGTTTTAGTTGTTTTACCTAATATTTTTATTTACTAAAACACCAAAATTTTACAAAATTATAAAAATTCTAATGGTGAATTTAAATATTAGTGTGTTTTGTTGTTGAACATTCTGATTTACTTCACCACAAAAATCGAATCTTAAAAATATCATTAATACTAATCAGTTGATTCTACATTATCACAAAAATAATCAATTTAAAAAAAAATCATCAATACTAATCAGTTGATTCTACATTATTACAATATTATTCAATTTAAAAAAAATCATTAATACTAATCAGTTGATTCCGATACTAAGGTGTTTGATAAAATTTAAGTTATATGGTTTTAGTTGTTTTACCTAATATTTCCATTTACTAAAACACCAAAATTTTACAAAATTATAAAAATTCTAAAGGTGAATTTAAATATCAATGTGTTTTGTTGTTGAACATTCTTTATTTACTTCACCACAAAAATTCAATTCAAAAAAATATCATTAAAACTAATCAGTTGATTCTACATTATCATAAAAATATTCAATTCAAAAAACTATCAACAATACTAATCAGTTGATTCTACATTATCATAAAATTATTCAATTCAAAAAAATATCAACAATACTAATCAGTTGATTCTACATTATCATAAAATTATTCAATTCAAAAAAATATTATTAAAACTAATCAGTTGATTCTACATTATCACAAAAATATTCAAAATCGACTAAAAATTTCAATTGACTTCTTTTATTGCTTTCAAAATTAAATCATCATTATTGCAATTCAAATTACAAAATAAAAAATTAATATCAACAAATCAATTTTCCCAATCTACCACAACAAATCATAAATATATTAAATTCAACAATTCCAATTGGACTGGCCCCTCAATTAGTACAATTTTAATGTATTCACAAAAATCACAATTTCAAATCACCAAAAATTATTTGTTTAACTCAATAATGTACAAAAAAAAAAATTGTTTTATAATCAAATATTGCTAATTTATATTAAAGTAAAATATACTTTCAATTCCTTTCAACCTTATCCTGTAGTATTTATCTCTATCTCTATTCTCTAATAATGATCTTGATACAATGTGCGAACAGAAATTATGAAACTCTACTACTGTTGCAAGCATTTTATGAGTGCGTGAAGTAACTTGCAAGAGTGATTCATCAGATTTAATTCAAGATGAATTATCGAAGAGTGTGTATTTTATAAAATGTATACACTAAGATTTCTTGACCAATAAATGATAATACTAATGAGAGTAAACTGGCGATTATAACTCAAATGTGAACGACCTCAGTAAAGTATGGTGGTGTAAAAGTAGAATAGAATTATCTGAAGCTTTCGCGATTGTAGTTGAAGTTGAGCATAAATCTCTTGTTATTCGTGTTGATGCTGTTGAAAATGATGAACTTTAACCACCAATCTTTGTTGCTCAGGAGCTGTCACTTTGAAAACAACTCTAGCTGAAAGTTTTTGTTCATAAAATGTAAACACTTGACGAAGTCAATTTGGATTAAGTATTGCCCAAATCTAATGTTATTGTAAATATTAATATTTTTAACGTTGTGACAGCTAATTCAATATTGATACCTTTTGTTTAATTTGAAAATAAACTTTTCCCTATAATTGAAATGAGCTTCTCATAACTATCGTCTTTGCTGAACCTGTTGCCGTTTATACCTTCGTTGTAGAAGACTTTCCAAAGGTTCTTAAACTTGCTAATTCAAAATCGAAATTATTGCCTTATAAACAATAAGCACACAATCTGGAGCCGAATTTTAACTCTTCTCCTTGAAATAATGAAACAACAAATTTGAAATAATGCCTCACTTTAGCTATGATACTCGAATAGCTTTTGAAAACCACATCTGCCGTCGACAATTTGATATGTCTATGTCAACTAAATAAAAGGATACACCATGAGTATGCTAAACAACAAATTAATCAATTGTCCTTCTAGTGGAATGATCGATCCTTACTTGATTTTATAATATGCAAACTGTAAAACCTTAACATCTAGATGTGCTATTATTACAATCAAAATATTAAAAAGCAGGAATAGTTTAGTCCATCTATCGTTAAATCTGTAATTGAGACCCATCTTGAAGACACAAATATGATAAAGCTGAAGCTTGACTGTCGTAAAAATAATTGAAACTATCTTATAACTAATTTTATCTCATATTCTATTGCGTCTATTTTAGATTGAATCCAACCAAATCTCATCTCATCCTGCAACATAACTGACAATAAATTAATACTTATTAAGAAATAATTTAATTTTGCTTTATACCAGCCAATTAATCAAGTACTTGCACCTTTTTAAATCAACAACTTATTAGTTAATTAATAGATCTAATCATAAATATATGAATTGCAAGTAACACTTAAAAATTAAAGTAGTGTACATGAATCCAAGATTTAAGTAAAATTTGAAACTGTAAAATTGGTGAGGAGACCAAAATATATTCATAATTTAAAACAACAACTAATATCAGTTTAGCTAATTTTAGTACAACCTCTTTGATATATCATTCTACAAGATGGAGGGTATGGATATAGATGATTATTCAAGAGTATGTTTATATGGATAGAGGATGAAAATTTATTGGTGACAAATATTTTATGAAAGTAAATCCTCCAAACATGAAACAAAAAAATGCCTTCCGTTGCTAATATCGTACTTAATAGCTGGTTATTTGCTTAGCTGCTACTTTTAGATTGATATTTTACAATGGATTGGTTAAATGATTGGTGTTGATCTTATAAAATTAAATTATATGGTTCCCCATTTTTTTGCTTTTGACGCTGGACGGTTATACGCTAGCTGAATCTCGGAAAATTTAAGAGAGAGCTTAAGATTTGATTTTATAATGAGCTAATTTATGACTTTGTGAAGTTGTTGGATGCTACTGATTATTTATTTGTTGCTAAGACTTTTTCGAAGTTGACGTTTTATTTACCCTTTGTTTTCTTTCTTGCTTGATGCTAACTTTGCTATTAGGATCGTTCTCGTTCTCCTGTGAGAGATAGATCTCCAGTCAGGGATAGAACTAATAATGATGGAGGATATGGTGGATCAAGTAGAGAATATGGAAGAAGAGATTATGGAAGACCAACATATGATAATAGAAGTCGAGATTCACATGGTTCTTCGAGAGGACGTGGAGGATATAGTCGCGGTGGTGGAAGAGATTATTCTTCTAGAAATTATGGGAATACTTCATCTTCAACGACTGGTGATGATTCATATAGATCAAAAACTGAAAGGAATTATGATAATTCCATTTTTGTTGGTAATATTCCTTTCGATGCTACTTCTAAAGATATTGAAAGAATTTTCAATAATGATTTAGAAGTTGTTAGAGCTGATATTGTAACTAATAAAGGTCAAAGTAGAGGTATGGCAACTGTTGAATTTAAATCTAAAGACGATGTTAAATCAGCTATAAGTCAATTTGATAGATATGAATATGAAGGTAGAGCTATATTTGTTAGACAAGATTATCCACCACCAGAAAAGAAAGATTATGGTAGAGGTTATGGTTCTGGTGATAGAGGCGGTTATGATAATAGATCTGGTGGTAGATATGGTGGTAATGATTATTATGGTGGAAGAGGTGGTTATGGGTCATCAAGAGGTGGATATGGAAGTTCAAGAGGTGGATATAGAGATAGTTATGGTTCAAGTGGTAGATCATCCTTACCACCACCAGCTCCAGGTACTGAAGTATTTGTTGGTAATTTACCATTCTCAGTAAATTGGCAAGCATTAAAGGATATAATGAGAGGTGCCGGTAATGTTGTTAGAGCAGATGTTAGGATGGATGAAAGAGGTTACTCTAAGGGATTTGGTACTGTTGTTTTTGAAACTCCTGAAGAAGCCACCAAGGCTATTGAACAATTTGAAGGGTATGAAATTGAAGGTAGAACATTAAATACTAGACCAGGTAAAGGTTCAGAGTCATCATCAACTGATCATTCACATAGTGGAGGTTATGCTACTGGTCCATCAACAAGATTCACCAAAAAGGAAAACTCAGAATTCACAGATGGAGTAACTGGTGACGGGGATTCAGAAGATACAATCTATATTTCAAATTTACCATTTAGTACTCAAAATGATGACTTGTATGATTTATTTGAAACTATTGCAAAAGTTTCCAAGGCAGAAATTCAATATCAGGAAGATGGTAGAGCAAGTGGTAATGCAGTAGTTAAATTTGAAGAATTAGATTCTGCAGATAAAGCTATAGCTGAATTAAATAATTATGAATATGGTGGTAGAAATATTAGAATTACTCATGCTAAATTACCATAAGCAAGAGTTTAGTTGTTTGTAATATATAGCTACATTTTTTGTATAGTTGTTTTTTGTATATGGTTGTTTTTTATTTGTTAGTTTTGTTTTAATTAAACTATGAAATGCATAAAAGTTTGAATCAATTAGAGCCTGGTTTTGGTCATAACCCAATTACTACAGTTTGATGATGTTTCTTGTTTTTAATTATAGTAAAAAAAATTTAAGATCCGGATATATAAATTTTATCTGAGACAAAATTTAAGGAGTGTCATTTAAAAATTAAAACTTTAATTTAATAAACAACAAAGGCTTATATTTCATTCATTTTAGTTATATTAATAGTTCATTAATCTCGCGAGAAATCATTCTTAGTCTCCAATATATTCAATTCAGTTCTTGTATTTTATTTCATTAATTAAATAGTTCATCCTTAGTATATTTCCAATTATTCAAATATTCATAAATTCAAACATTCAAATATTCATATATTTATATAATTGTATAATTAATTAATTCAGTTTTACAAATAATTAATTATGAACCCAGCAATTCTAATAAAAAGGGAAGAACAACCAGATAAGAGTAATAACAGTGACGGTTCGACATTGTCTTACTTATACAATCTATTCCATCAACATTATATAATATTAATCATATTAGTCTTAACAGGTTTAATAATTTTTTACTACAGATTCAAAATCATAGCATATCACGACAGATGGAGAACAAGAAGAAGAATCCAACAAGGTTACTACTCCAATTTGAACATTGGTGACGAAATAAGTGAAGATGAAATAGATTCTGAGTTTAATTTGGACAACGAGTCATTCACAAACGATATAGAACAAGGTTTGAACTCATCAAACTTCGACGTAGCTAACACGAACCTAGAAGATGGTCGAAAAGGTTTATCACCAAGGGGTAAGCGGTACATCAAAAAATTAATGGAGATGGATAAGAATTTAACTTTTGATGATGCTAGATTGATTTTTTTACAGAATGAGTTAAACAAGAATAATATTGGGAATGATGGGTTACCTAATGATCCTAGATTGGTTACTTTTTAGATTATGAATGAATAATGATATGAAATTAAAGTTTACATTGTTGAGTGTTTCGAAATATTTAGAGACATACTCTACTTCTTGAGTTTTGGCTCGTTTCTCAGCAAATAAAACGACACAACATTTTAAGTAGCTAGTTGCGACTCTACTAGGTCTAGTATTTTTCAAATTGAGCGAATCTTTCTCGATGAGTTGTAATTCTAAGATAGATCTAATAACTTTGAGTAACTGTTCCATATAAGTTGTAACACAAAATTAAATTTACGAGATTTCTTTTGTTTACATTTTGATTTAAAAAGTAGAACCATTTGAATTTACTTAGTATTTAATCATTCTATTTCAATTTGATCACTATATTTACGATCAAGTATATACGGATCACAGCCTATCAATCAAGCATAACTAAAGTCATCGCGTTTAATTACTACTCATATTTGCAGATGTTATGAAATTCCTTAAACTCACATCAAACAAGAAGCAAAACAATCATCTCAAAACGCAACAACCCCAAAATGCTCCCTCAGGACCTTTAAAAAATTCAAGCCATAAGAACTATATGATCAACAATGGATACAAAATACCTTGTTTATCTTGTCAGTTTGGTGACAGCAAGAAATCAAAACAGACAACCGAATCAACAATCCATTGGTCCCAAATTTTTCAAAACTCAGTCATTTTTACAACTTTTGATGAAATACTATTTGGTCACTTAATAATTATAGTTTACAGATCAACAGACTCCAAAATCTCAACTGTCACGATATCAAAGTATGGAGTAACAAACTACAAAAACCTAACTTTAAATCATAATTCAAGATTTTATCCAAGTTGTGAAAATTTATTACCACGTTACAAGAATTCAAAAGTCAGGCGATCACTAGCCATCAGTTGCTTAAAGAACTACAATAAATTGATGAATAATTTACAACTCAAAAGTCTACCGAATTGGGATGAAACAGTAGCTGGGAGTTTAGCAAATAAAGCAGTCTTGATAAACGAACATTCCTTAAAATTTGGTGAAAAATTATCTGAGTTAGGTTTAATCACGGATCAGTATATGAATTCTATGTTTGTGGATGTACTTTACAACAATTCCGAAAATAGTGAAATTATTGATGAAAATAATAAATTGGTGTTTTTATTAGGTGATCAATTGAATAATTTACTCAATTCAGAGTCGGTGAATTATCAACTAAACAAATTGGCAAATCGGAATGATATGTTGTATAATTCAGATGGAACGTTATTCATTGAGGTTGCATCAAATTGGCCACAAGAATTGAGTCGAGGTTGGAATCATAGAAAAGTTGTCGATATCCAAGAAGTGATGAATTTCAAAAGTAACAAAAAAGAGATCATACTTATATTTTCAGATTATTTGTTAGTTATGAGTACTACTGATGAAAATATTGCGGAGTTTGAAAAATCAGTAGGTGATTTTTTGATGGATTCATTTGAAAATAATAAAAAGTTACCGAAAGATTTGCCAGTTTTTCAAGTAACTGAGTTTCAAAAGACCAAGGATGTTAATGTTACTACATACATATCCCAACTAATTGATAAACCCGAGAGTGGCGCATATTTAAATTTTACATTTGATAACGAAACAACAAGATATTATCGAGTTGATAATCCTTCAATTAGTCTGAAAATACAAGACTCAATAACAAAAGCGAAAATTCACCAAAAAACAACACCATTCCATTTGTTCAAATCTCATAAAAATGCAGGTGCTACAACATACTACGTCGCTCACGATACTGAATCATATATAGCAGAAACTTTAAAATCCCAATTTCTCATTACACTCAACATGGAACATAGTCTAGACATACCTTTATATTTTCAACAAAATAAGGATTTACAATTAGTTATCAATTTATCGTTTAATAATGATATAGAAATTGGAGTTCAAGGGTATGATAAGTTTGGTAAATACCACATCAACGAAATTGTTTCAAAGTTTGATTTGAATGAATTTATTTATAACACCATTAACAAGAATCTCAAGTTTATGGTTTCCAACTTTAATAATTTACATACTCGGAGTTTAATTCATTCAAATTCTGAGAACATTATACATTTGGTCGGTGCTTTGAAATCTGATGATGAGGTCTCTCAAGCTACGCATCCTAATGAAATACACACCCACATGAAACCACAGAAGAACCTTATTCACAAAGATGCCCCAGCTAAAGTCAATGATGACTTACTAGAAAACTCAGACGTAATCACAAACGAACCGACTTCTAATCCTTCAAAAAAAGGCAAAGTGATTCAAGACACTTTCATACCAAAGGGGACCAAAACAGAATATACAGATATTTTAAAACCAGCTCCAAGTTTACAACCAAGATCAGCTTCACTCGACAGTAGTATATCTGAATTCAAGAACCAGCAACTAAAAGCTCAACAGCAACAACAACATCAGCAACAACAACAACATCAGCAACAACAACAACAACATCAGCAACAACAACAGCAACAACATCATCATCAACTAAATGATGACAAGCTAAATATGAGTTTCAAATTTCCACAAGATACAACAAATCCAAGACTGACCAATATGATTAATTCAACAAGATCGAACTCAATATCAACAATAAAAAGATTAGCAACAATAGATGATCTTTCCGTATTAGCAAATTCTCAAAACCTAACGTCATCAATCTACTCAGACCTAGACGAATATCAAAATGAACCAAACTGGTCAATATTAGAAAATGAAAACAATGGAGAATCACAGCTCCCCAAAAAATTAAAAAGAATAGAATTTCAAACTGATAGAAATCAACCACTGTTTTTAAATCCTATATCTATTAATTCGTCAAGGAATACTTCGAACAATTCCAAATCCACTGACTTTTCAAGTTCATCAAAAGGAGATGGTTCAGTCACCTCACTGATATTTTCTAATCAAAATTCAGAACAGAATGATTACTTGAAAGATTACAACTTATTAAAGAACCTTACTAAACAACAACCAAAAAAAGAAAACTCAATTCAACAATTATCAAACTTTAAAAATTCGATAAATTTCGGTTCATTCAACGTAAGATTAACAGAAAATTGACATATATTTACCCCTTTAAACACCCTATATAGATTATTTTTTAGATTTTAAAATCTTAGAAACAGTATTAGCAACAGCATCCCCTACTTCTCTCGTACTACTTGTTCCTTTCAAATCAGCAGTTCTTACTCCCAGATCCAAAACCTGTTTAACAGCTTCTTCCAAAGCTTCACTCTCCTTAACACAATCCAAACTTAATCTTAACATTAAAGCAACTGATAAAATAGTAGCTATTGGATTAACTTTATTCTCTGGTAAATCAGGAGCTGATCCATGACATGGTTCATATAATCCAAACGCCTTGTTTGAATCTGGTAATGACGCTAAAGAAGCACTTGGTAATAAACCTAATGATCCTGGGATGACACTTGCTTCATCTGATATAATATCTCCAAACATATTTGAAGTTATTATAATACCATTTAATTTTGTCGGGTTTTGAATTAATATCATTGCGGCACTATCTATTAATTGATGTTGTATAGTGAGTTCAGGAAACTCGTTTTTTATAGTTGATTCAACTGTTTTTCTCCATAATCTTGAACTTGCTAATACATTAGCTTTATCTAATGACCAAATAGGTAATGGTGGATTGTGTTGTAATGCCATAAACGCAGCCATTCGTGTAATTCTTTGAACTTCTTTAACGGTATATTTTTCAGTATCCCAAGCAGTTTCACCATCTTCACTTGCTTCTTGTTCTTGTCTTTCACCAAAATAAATCCCACCTACTAATTCTCTAACAATAGTCAAATTTGTACCTTTTACTATATCTGCTCTAATAGGACTTAATTCTAATAATGAATCACTTAAGAAATTACAAGGTCTAATATTAGCATACAAATTCAATTCTTTTCTAATTTTTAATAATCCTTGTTCTGGTCTAACTTGACCAGTACCCCATTTCGGTCCACCTACAGCACCCAATAAAACTGCGTCAGATGATTTAGCACTATCTAGTGAATCTTGCGGTAATGGTTCCCCCGTTGCGTCGATTGCTGCTCCTCCAATTAAATGTTGTTTGAAGTTGAATTTTATATTCTGAAAAGGTGTTGAATTTTCAATAGCTTGCAAAACTTTTATTGCTTCGTTTGTGATTTCTGTACCGACATGGTCTCCTGGGAGGACTGTAATTGTTTTTGTTATTTGTTCTGGCATTTTTGTTGTAGTTTTGATTTAATATCTGGGGAAAAGAAACATTGAAGTTTGTATATATTTATATTATATATTGAGAGTGTGAATTGAAAAATTGAAAAATAAATTTCGGTGCTGAATAGGAATTAGTTTTTATTTTGTGTAATCGGCATAGAGTATTATCCATTGGTTTGTAGAAATTGATAATTCAAGGTCCGTAATAATAGTAATAATCAAAAGTTAGATACTATAACGTAATGGTAAGACAGATGCATGTACAGACTAATAAAAATTGAACTGTACATTAATAAAAACCAACACCCAACTATAAACAACGAATATATACTCACTAAAATATCAATCACTCTCATCACCATCAAAAATTCTAATGACCACTCCATTCAATAGAATCCAAGTCAATTCCCTCTTGAACCATTTCCCATAACGGAGACATTTTTCTCAAAAATTCAACTCTTTCATTTATAGCTTGAATAACATAATTTATTTCTTCTTCCGTGGTAAATCTACCAATACCAAACCTAATAGAAGAATGAGCTAATGCATCATCTGCTCCTAAAGCATGTAACACGTAAGAAGGTTCTAAAGAAGCTGAAGTACATGCTGATCCTGAACTTAATGCAATATCCTTTAATGCCATTAATAAAGATTCTCCTTCAATGTATGCAAATGAAACATTTACACAACCTGGGTATTGATATTTTGGATCATGAGATCCGTTTAAAATTGTGGATGGAATAGATAACAAACCTTCTTTTAATTTATCTGATAGTTTTGTAATATGCTTTTTGTCGTAAGCGCCTTCAGTTTGCATTAATCTTGCAGCTTCTCCGAAACCAGCAATTAATGGTGGTGCTAAAGTTCCTGATCTTAATCCTCTTTCTTGTCCACCACCAGTTATAATTGGGTCTAATCTAACTCTTGGTCTTCTTCTTACATAACATGCACCTATTCCCTTTGGACCATATATCTTGTGAGAACTTATGGATAATAAATCAATTTTCATTTCATTTACATCAATTGGTATTTTACCATAAGCTTGAGCAGCATCAGTATGGAAAAAAATCTTATGTTCACGACAAATTTCTCCAATTTCTTTTAAAGGTTGTATAACTCCAATTTCATTATTTACTGCCATTACTGACACTAAAATAGTATCTTTCCTTATTGCTTTCTTTAAGTCTTCTAAGCTGATTAACCCTTCGGAATTAACAGGTAAATAAGTAACTTCAAATCCTTCATCTTGCATATGTCTTGCAGAATCCAAAACACATTTATGTTCGGTTTGAGTAGTTATAATATGTTTTTTAGTTTTTTTATAAAAACGAGGTACTCCCTTTATAGCCATATTGTTTGTTTCTGTTGCACCACTAGTAAAAATGATTTCTTTTGGATCAGCGTTTATTATTGAAGCAATATGTTCTCTTGCTTTTTCGACTTCTTTATCTGTTTCCCAACCATAAGCATGAGTTGAAGAATGAGGATTTCCATATAATCCGGTATAAAATTCCAACATTTTATCCAATACACGTGGATCTACTGGTGTTGTAGCTTGTACATCTAAATATATAGGTCTTGAACCGAATTTTGAAGCATCTCTTGTTGCTGAATTTAATGTGATTGAAGAACCTTCTGGTGGTTGAATTGGTGATTCTAATGGGGTTGATACATGAATGTTCCCAGTTGCTGTGTTTAATGTAGTTGTTGGATTGACTGTAGTTGTTTTACTAGGTTGTTGTGGAGTAGTAGTAGTAGTAGTTGCAAAATGTTTTCCTAATTGTTGATTTGATTTTGATATTTGTTTAAAATATTTTATCGATGATCTTTTGAATATATTATTGTACATCGTTAATTCAAAATTATCTCAAGTTATCTAGATGGTTATATAAAAATGTAATTGAATGATCTTAATCAATATATTGAATAATTAAATCTAATGTAAATGAAATATATATCTCTTCAAATTATAATAGATTAAAAAGATAATGAAATGCAATAGATCTATGGATTTATTTTTCTGATTACTAACTTAATATTAAAAGATAATTTTTTATTTATTTTTTCCCTAAATTTTCTATTGATTGTCATAATTTATTGTCTCACGACACAATTAATAATTTCTATAGCGGAATTATTATTATGCGAATTTAGATCATTGATATGAATCTTATTTGCAGCCAAAAACTTTTTAGGTACAAATTTCTGTTGATTCAAGATATAATTCTTTGAGGTCGTGGATGCAAGTTTTCTAGAATAAGTAAGGTTAATATCGTTAAATTGACTTTTTTGAAGTTGTGGAGTCAATTTTTGTACTAAATACGTACCAAAAATGTCAAGTTCTGGTCCATGAATGACTATATTTTATTTGAAGACTTGGCCTTGGTTATATATAGTACAACGGGGTATTTAAGCCTGGAGGCTTGTTCTAATTAATTTTACATACATCAAGGATATAAGTATTTGAAAAATAAAGAATCTTGCAACATTTTTATTTCACAAGAATTATAACCTGCATAACTTGAAAGCAAGAAGTAATAAAATTAGAACTTAGGTTACCTCTATTTTTTTAACATGAGGATGGTAAATTTTCTACCATTCACTTACGCTTAATTATATCATGAATTTTACAAATATAGTCAAATTTATTATAGATTTATAACTGATAATCAAGTGTATGGAACATTTTCTAGTCATGTGACTATAATAATTCAAATTACACATACAATAGCTACCAAACTATAAATTCAAAAATCTAATATTTATTACACCTTAATAAATTTTCAACGGTTATTTATGACTATAAATTTAACGTTATTTGAATATCGGATAGATGACATATTCCTTTAAAAACGTTAGACGTACATAAAACAGATAAAAAAAAGTCCGAATGATGTTTTAGTGAATATAATTATAAGCTCAAATTTTAAGTGGAGAAAATCTAAAGTTTTACTTATTAGAGATCTCTTAGGGTAAAAAATTTGTTTCATAACCATAACTGGAGTTTCTGAATATGGAAATAGAATTATATACTTCAAAGGAGAAGTGTTTCGAACTTAAGACTCAAATAAGAATGATTAACACCTAATAATATGTCAGTGGTAGCTCCCTTTCAAATCGGTTATATAATTTGCAATGTCAATTACTACTAAATGATAAGTTGATAATTTTTAACCGCTTAATAAAAATGTCAAATATCTTAATTTTTCAGATCTCAACCCCACTTTTCAATTTTACAAGCAACATATTTTCAATATAAATATAAATGAATATCATTTGAAACTTGTTTTTTACTTAAGCGAATTGAGAACTTTACATTTAATAATCAATCATATCGTTCACCCTCAAATATCATGTCAATAAGATTACCATCAATAGTTGATTCAGATTGTGAATCAATATTTGCATTAGATGAAAAAGAATATATTTTTAATCCAAACAATGATTTATCAATAGAAACTTTAGTAAATCACGTATTACCAATACCACAAGATTTAAGTGGTAAATCTGTTAAAATACCAGGAACTAGTTCAAAAGGCTTTTCAGAAATTTATAGAAATTCAGGTTTACCAAATGGGTTAAAAAGTTGTTTATTACCTGAATTAAATACTTATCATAGTGTACTCAAATCAGCTGTTGAAAGAAATTTACATTCTCCATGTCTAGCTTATCATGAATATGATTATGAAAATGATGTACATTTAGAAAGATATAATCTGATTACTTATGAAGAAGTTAATAACAAAAAGAATAATTTTGCTTCTGGATTATTTTTTTTAATTGGTTCAAATCCTTTTAAAAATTCAAAATTAGAATCTCATGCCAAAATTGATAATCATAGAAGGGATTATAAAAATTATGACAAGGATAATTTATCTTTTATTGTTACTATTTATTCAGGTAATAGACCAGAATGGATTATTTCAGATTTGGTATGTTCAACAAATTCTATAACATCAACTGCCCTTTATGATACTTTAGGAGAAACATCATCAAAATATATTTTAGAATTTACTCAATCACCAATTGTAATATGTTCCAAAAATAAAATTCAAAAATTAATTGCATTAAAACAAAATAACCCAAAAGACTTAGAATCTTTAATTATGATTATATCAATGGATCCATTAAAGAATCAAGATTCTTCATTAATAAAGTTAGCAGATGATAATAAGATCAAATTATATGATTTTAATCAAGTCGAAAAAATTGGTGGAATTTTCCCATGGGAAGAAACAAATCCAAATCCAGAAACTACATTTTCATTAACTTTTACATCAGGTACAACTGCAAACCCAAAGGGGGTTGTGTTATCTCACAAGAGCATTGTTTCAGCAATTGTAAGTTTCACATATTTAATGCCTCATCATAATAAGATGAAAGAATTTGCATTTTTACCATTAGCTCATATTTTTGAAAGACATATGTCAGCAGCAGTATTAAGTTTTGGTGGATCAGTTGCTTTTCCAAGATTGGGTGGTACTGCTCTTACATTATTTGATGATTTAAAATTATATAAACCCACTTTTTTAGCTTGTGTTCCAAGAATTTTTAGTAAGATTGAAGCACTTATTAAAACAACCACAATAGATTCAAATTCAACTTTGAGTAGAGTTAGTTATCAACAAGCTTTTGAAACCAAAAGATTAAAACAATTAGAAGATGGAAATAAAGGTCAACATTTCATCTATGATAATACATTAATTAGAAGATTAAGATCATTAATCGGTTTTGATAATATGGAAGTTTGTTTTACTGGAGGAGCACCTATAAGTGGAGAAACGATTAAATTTTTAAGATCAAGTTTAGGAATTGGATTCACTCAAGGTTATGGATCAAGTGAATCTTTTGCAGGTATGTTAATGGCATTACCTTTACAAGCTTCAAGTATTGGTACTTGTGGTGCAATAGCTCCAACAGTTGAAGCAAGATTACGAGCATTACCTGAAATGGGATACAACCTAAATGATGAGGGGGGACCTCGTGGTGAACTACAATTACGAGGTCCACAAATGTTTAGTCATTACTTCAAGAATCCAGAAGAAACCGCCAAATCTATAGATTCACAAGGTTGGTTTTCAACTGGTGATGTTGCACAAATTACAAATGAAGGCTGGTTTATTATTTTCGATAGAGTTAAAAATTTCTACAAATTATCTCAAGGGGAATATGTTACACCTGAAAAAATTGAAAATTTATACCTAACAACAAATTCTATAATATCACAAGTGTTTGCTCATGGAGATTTTACACAATCTTATTTAGTTGGTATCGTGGGGATAGATCCAATAAGTATCAAACAATTTTTAACATCACAATGTAACATCTCCCTCGATCAAATCACAACAATTCCCGAACTTTTGGAAGTAGTTAACAAGAGAGAAGTTAAAACAAAGATTTTGTTATACTTAAATACAAATGTTGGATCAAAATTAAATGGATTTGAAAAATTAAATAATATTTATTTAGAAGTTGAACCTTTAAGATTAGATAGGGATGTTGTTACTCCTACTGCAAAATTAAAAAGACCTGTTGCTTCCAAATTTTTTAAATCTCAAATCGAACAGATGTATTCGGAAGGGTCCATTATTAAGGATTTAAAATTATAGATTAGATAATATATATAGACCTTCTATAAAAAAAACGATCATAGACATCATTCCATATAACTTCAACCTTTCGATCTATTACAAAATCGTTAGAAATGTTAATAAGACTTATTAATATTTCTTTCAACTAATAACATTAAGAAATAATATGTGAATAAAATAATTTTTTTTTTCTCTTTTTTTCACATCTACAAACTCTAAAATCCAAAGAATATGACTGAAGAAGTCAAACCACCAAAACCAAAACCACCACCAAAAAAGGGGTTTTCAAACCCAGCTCTTCGAATGATGGGTATACCCAGAATTTCATTACCATCAAGAAATTGGATGATTTTTTGGTCAGTTTTAATTGGGATTGGATCATCAATAGCTTATGATAAATATGAACAAAAACAAATTAGAGCTAAATGGATGTCAGAAGTATCAAAATTAGGAGAAGAAATTTATTCAAATGATAAAATTCCAAGAAAATTAACCATATATATTGCACCACCACCAAATGATTTTTTAGATCAAAGTTTAAAAATATTTAGAAAATTTATAAAACCAATTTTAAATTCAGGATCTATTGATTATGAAATATTTAGTGAAGATAGACAAGGAGATATAAGATCAAGTGTTGCACAAAGGATTAGGGATTTAAGAATAAAAGAACTAGAGAAAAATCAATCACAGAAACCTATTGAACAAGTAGAGGAACAACCGGAATACATAAGTCGTTCTAAATTATGGAATCCAGTTGACTTATTGGGTCTTTATAAAGTTATACCGAAGGATATGAATGTACAGTCAGATGATTCAAATGAAGATATAGCCGGTGGTGTAGTATGTATTGGAAGAGGAGCTTATAAAGAATATTTAAGTGGATTACATGAAGGTTTATTAGGTCCTTTACAAAAACCAAAAGAAATAGAGGACGAAGAAAATAAAAGAGCTGAACAAAAACAAAAAGATAAAGAAGCAAATCCAGATATGGAAGATGAAGATGATGATCGTAATTTAAAACCAGTACCATTAAAATATATAAGTACAAAAGATTATGAATTAGCACCATTAGCTCCAGAATTTAATATGAATACTATACAAAGGGATGAAAAGGGAGTACCTTATTTTTTTGAACAACCAATTTATGTTTTCCCAGTTCCAGCAATTCAAGGTTTTACAAATATTCCTCGAAAAATCTATCGTTATTTCACAAAAAGATTTTTTGCAGAAGATTATAGTGAAAGAACAAGTCATATTGTAAATAAAGAAACTAGACCATTTGTATATAAAGATGTTTTAATGGGGAAAGAAGAAGAAATAGATTGGCCTAAGAAATGGGTTAAAAAGGGTAATGAAAGAGGATCTGAATGGGTACAAGATTTAGGTTATGATGATAGAGTAATTTCTAGATTAAGAGTATTTGATGATAAAAAATAAATTTTGAAAGACTTGTATATATGTATAGATTTATTTGTTATTATTTTATTTCTTCTTTTGCCATAATGTATAATTATAGATGAATTTTGCTTCTTTAATATTCTCTTCAATATTTTCTTCATTTGTAATTGATTTTAATTTCTTCTGTGATTGTTTTTCCCAATTATTTAAATCAAATTTCAAAAAAGTATCCATTTCGATATTTTCATCATTTTCTGTTTCGATTTCAGTGATTAATAAATTATCAACCACATCAGCATTATTCATAAATGAATTATAAATTTCAGCTCCTCCAATTATAAAAATATTTTCAATATTATCTTGTTTGTTAACTACATTTATTGATTCTTCAATTGAATTAACTTGTATTATATTTTCATCAACAATTTTAGTCTTATCATAAGATCGAGATATTATAACATTTAATCTATTTGGTAATGGTCTGAATTTATTCGGTATTGATTCCCAAGTCTTTCTACCCATAATTACTGCATTTCTTTTATTTGAATTTATTGTATTTGATGTAACTCTTTTAAAAAAAGCCATTTCTTTTTTTAATCTCCATGGCAAAGTTCCATTGTACCCTATTCCATATGATGGTTTAAGTGCTGCTACTATAATTGATATTGATGGTGATAATTGTTTCGTCATTTCTTTGTAAATTGTTTCAAATGATTGATACATTCATGAAAAAACGCGTGTAAATAAATATACTTCTTGAATTCTAAATCAAATATTTAAAGCGGCTTTGTTTTCTTTAATTTATCACCAATTTACTTTTACCAATAACCACTCAAACATTCGATACCAAAAAGAACAGAGTATGGTAAAATTGAGTAGGAGTACATTATGTAACCGTCGAAGCTAAGTAAAAGAGCTTAGGGGTTTAGATAGTGCATTTCTCAACATTGGTTCATGCAAACTATTAGAAAACCAGGCTTCTTCGACGCTTCAAAAACTTTACAACTCTTAACTTGGTTTATGGATCATTATTCAGCTCACATTGCAATATTAGCATGCAATATCAAAAGGATTAAAAAGTGTAGCTTTAATAATTTGAATTCTTCTCATCTTACTGTTTCAATTTTTTTGTGCGAGAAATTTAAATAACCATTATTACACTTTAAATCAAAATTTTGGTTGTAAAAAGTAAAACTCACTTACAAATCATTATCTCAAAAGATAAGGTACAGAATATAAGAATGGATTTATTCTCGGTGTTTGATGAGGCACCTGAGACATCTGTACCTAAAATAGAAGAAATTAATGAAGAAATAGAACAAGAACAACCAAAAATAGATTCCAAAAAAAGAAGAAATGAAGATGATTTACAATCAAAAGAACCAATAACTAAAAAATCTAAACAACAACAAGAAGTTAAACCAGTAGTTTTTGATTCAGTAGAAATAGAAGCGTCTAGAGAAGTTGAGGCAAGTGGTGGATTACAACAAACAACTGAAGATCCAAATTCAAAATTGAAATTAAGACATCAAGTTAGACATCAAGTAGCAGTTCCACCTTCATATCCATATATTCCAATAAGTGAACATAAAAGAGTTAATGATGCAAGAACATATCCTTTTACATTAGATCCTTTTCAAGATACAGCAATATCATGTATAGATAGAAATGAAAGTGTTTTAGTTTCAGCTCATACATCAGCTGGTAAAACTGTTGTTGCAGAATATGCAATAGCTCAATCCTTAAGAGAAAAACAAAGAGTAATATACACATCTCCCATAAAAGCATTATCAAATCAAAAATATAGAGAATTACAAGCAGAATTTAAAGATGTTGGATTAATGACTGGTGATGTAACGATAAATCCAGATGCAGGATGTTTAGTTATGACAACAGAAATTTTAAGAAGTATGCTTTATAGAGGTTCAGAAGTTATGAGAGAAGTTGCATGGGTTATATTCGATGAAGTACATTATATGAGAGATAAATCAAGAGGTGTTGTTTGGGAAGAAACAATAATTTTATTACCAGATAAAGTTCATTATGTATTTTTATCAGCTACTATACCGAATGCAATGGAATTTGCTGAATGGATTGTTAAGATTCATAATCAACCATGTCATGTTGTATATACAGATTTTAGACCAACTCCATTACAACATTATTTATTCCCAGCTGGTGGTGATGGTATACATTTAGTTGTTGATGAAAAAGGAACTTTTAGAGAAGAAAATTTTCAAAAGGCAATGACCACAATTGGAGATAATACAGGTGATGATCCAAATTCAACAAATTCTAGAGGTAAAAAAGGTCAAAGTTATAAAGGTGGTAATAAAGACGGGAAATCAGATATATACAAGATAGTGAAGATGATTTATCAAAAAAAATATAATCCAGTTATTGTATTTTCATTTTCGAAAAGAGATTGTGAATCATTAGCTTTAAAAATGTCAAAATTGGATTTTAATACTGATGAAGAAAGATCAGCATTAACTGAAATTTATAATAATGCTATAAGTTTACTACCAGAAAATGATAAAGATTTACCACAAATAAAAAACATTCTACCATTATTAAAAAGAGGGATTGGAATTCATCATTCAGGTTTATTACCAATTTTAAAAGAAATTATAGAAATTTTATTTCAAGAAGGATTTTTAAAAGTTTTATTTGCAACAGAAACTTTTTCAATTGGTCTTAATATGCCTGCTAAAACAGTTGTTTTCACATCTGTTCGTAAATGGGATGGTGTTGGATTTAGATGGGTTTCTGGTGGTGAATATATTCAAATGTCAGGTAGAGCAGGTAGAAGAGGTTTAGATGATAGAGGAATTGTTATAATGATGATTGATGAAAAAATGGAACCACAAGTTGCTAAAGGAATGGTTAAAGGTCAAGCTGATAGATTGGATTCTGCTTTCCATTTAGGATATAATATGATTCTTAATTTAATGAGAGTTGAAGGTATATCACCAGAATTTATGTTGGAAAGTTCATTTTATCAATTTCAAAATGCTTCAAGTGTACCACAATTGGAAAAAAAATTAAATGATTTAGAAGATGAAATAAAAGATATTCATATTGATGATGAATCTATTGTTAAAGAATATTATGATTTAACTCAACAATTGAATAAATATAATGCAGATGTTAGAAAAGTTATTACTCATCCAGGTCATATCTTACCATTTTTACAAGATGGTAGAGTTGTTAAAATTAAAATTGGTGATTTTGATTATGGTTGGGGTATGGTTACTTCATTTGTTAAAAGAAATCCAAATAAATTTCAACCACATGAATTTACAGCTCATGAATCATATATTGTAAATGTATTTACATATACTATGTTTGTTGATTCACCAGTAAATTTAATAAAACCTTTTAATCCATTATTACCATCAGGTATAAGGCCAGCTAAAACTGGTGAAAAAGCAAGAGCTGAATATATTCCAATAACTTTAGATTCAATTGAAAAAATAAGTAGTGTAAGATTGAAAGTACCTGATGATTTTAAAAGTGCACAAGCTAAAAGAACTTTAGTAAAAACAATGAAAGATTTACCAAAAAGATTAAAAGATGGTATACCATTAATGGATCCAGTAGAAAGTATGAAAATAGATGATAATGAATTTAGATTATTGCTAAGAAAAATTGATGTAATTGAATCAAAATTATATAGTAATCCATTACATGATACAGCAAGATTAAAAAATTTATATGATAATTATTCACATAAGATTGAATTGGAAAATAAAATCAAAGATTTGAAAACCAAAATACTAGAAGCAGAAGCGGTAATTCAATTAGATGATTTGAGACATAGAAAAAGAGTATTAAGAAGATTAGGTTTTACAACCCAAAATGATATTATAGAATTAAAAGGAAGAGTAGCATGTGAAATAAGTACAGGTGATGAACTATTATTAACAGAATTAATTTTCAATGGTAATTTTAATGATTTATCAAGTGAACAATGTGCAGCATTATTATCATGTTTTGTATTTCAAGAAAGAGCAAAAGAAGTACCTCGATTAAAACCAGAATTATCAGAACCTTTAAAATCAATGCAAGAAATGGCTAGTAAAATTGCTAAAATATCTCGAGAATGTAAAATTGATATTATTGAAAAAGATTATGTTGAATCATTTAGACCTGAATTAATGGAAGTTGTATTTGCTTGGTGTAAAGGAGCAACTTTTACTCAAATTTGTAAAATGACTGATGTTTATGAAGGTTCATTAATCAGAATGTTTAGAAGATTAGAAGAATTAATTAGACAATTAATTGTTGCTGCAAAATCAATTGGTAATACTGAATTACAAGAAAAAATGGAAAAATCTTTAGAATTAGTACATAGAGATATAGTATCTGCTGGTTCATTATATTTATAGGGTTATTTTAGGGCAAAAGTCTATATTATATATAATCTTTAATTTGTTTCCATTTTTCTTTATCATATTCACCTAAAACTTGACTTGGTAATGAGCTTACTCTTGATTCATTAGTTTCTTCATTAATCTTATTGACTGATATTGTTGTATCTATATCATCATTATTATCATAAGTGAAATTTGTAGTATGAATTTCCCATAAATCAATTGGTTCAATAATTTTCGAAGAATGTATTGAATTAAAAGTTGTATGTTGTGGTGATGGTGTAGTACTATTTTGTTGTGAGTGTTGTTGTTGTTGTTGTTGTTGTTGTTGATAATGTAATTGATTAAAATTTGGAACACTTAAAGTATGTTTATGTAATTTTAACATTGTTGATTTAAATTTATTTGGAGAATTAGATCTTGATCTTGAAGATATACCTGATCTTAAAGAAATAATTGAATTTGAATGATTATGATGATATTTATTTTGTTGTGAAAATGCAGTTGTATTTGATCTAAATATTCTTTTTGGACTTTCTGATAAGAATTTTTTAATTGGGGAATTGTTTTTAGATATATTTAATTGATCTTTAGGTAGTGGTAGTGGTGGTGGTGGTGGTGGTGTTTTAGGTTCTGGTAAAATAGGTGGTTCATTTTCTTGAGTTGTACTTGGTTGAGATTGTCCACTTTCTTTTCTGAAAGTATGTAAAGATGGTGCAGCTTCATTATTAGTATTTGATATTGAAAATTCACTTAAATCATCTATATTATCAATTATATTATCTTGATTTGGTGGTATAAGAAATGTATTATTATCTGATGTTGATAAATTTAAATTACCTACTATTTTATGTAAACCAGGTACAACATTATAATCTGATAAATTTCTAAATTTATTATATTCATTTAAATCCCAATCATTTAAAGTTATTGAAGAATTGAAATGTTTAGGTTTAAAACCTGAACCAATTTGTTCTAATCCTTGCATTGAATTTTCATAATCTTCTAAACTATCGTGATTTTTCTGTTTCAAAACTGATGGTAATAAAGATTCATTAATATTTAATAAAAATTGTTTTTCATCATTAATCAGTTTCCATCTTTGTTTTTGTATTTGTAATTTATTTATATTTGAACTTGATTTTGATCTTTTTAATTCTTCATTGTCAATATGATAATCTTCTAAACTCATTAATAATGATTCATGTTGTTTGTTTTTTAAACTTTGATGTGATATTGATAATGGAATTGTGTTTGAAGAATTTGAATATTGAATTATTTGTGGTTTTTCTTCAATTTCTCCAACTTTATTAATCCAATTTTGTTCCATTGAATAATTTTTATCAAATAAAGTTGCATCTGAAGCCTTTTTAGATATTGAATCTGATTGTTGATTTTCTAAATCTGTTGTTGAAACTTTTGAGAAAAATATAAATAAAAGTATAATAAATGATGAAGTTATAAAAATTATATTAATAATAAATAAAATTGTGATCGATTTATGGGTATTAGTATTAATAATCAATAATATTCCTGATATTATATTAAAAATGGAAATTAAAAATTGAAATGAAATTAAAATGATATGTACATAAAATAAAGGTATGATTATATATATTGATAAAATAAATGATGATATTGAATATAGTAAATGATATAAATTTAAATGATTTTGTAGTATTGTGAAAACTCCCAGCATTACTGCTAATATAAACAGTATTAGAACTGTTAGTATTTGAAAATATCGTATATACATTGGATGGTATGAAAATGGGTATTAAAATTGTTATTTTGTTGATTATATAATTGACATGACTTACTTTGAAAATTATTAAGCAATATTGTTGTAGTTGAGGTAGTTTGGTAAGCTTAATACAAGAAATCCAAAATGATTGTACAATAAGGTGGGGATGATAATGATTAACAAGATGATTAGGATCTATACAATCGTCTTTCTTTTTTTCTTTTGTTTATAGTAGAATTTTATTTTGCATAAAAATTCCAGAATGATTCTTTAATCCTTTTCTAAAATCAATCTAACAATAAATAAGAAGAAATATTCTTAAACTTTTGAAGTAAATAATTAAAGTTTGTTATAATTTTTTTTTTGTTTGCCTTAATCTTTTGTTTATTTTTATTCCTGATTTGGTGTTTTGATAAATTGTTGCAAAATTTTAGTAAATATTTTGGGTTTTTGTGTTAAATTAAAATATACGAAAAGCTACCTGATATGTTTCAAAAATAGTCTATAGCGAAAGATTTCAACAAGTTAAACAAATAACGAAGAGAGTTAAGAGCAAAAGTAGTCATTTTTATATCAGAATTATTTGAAAATTAAAACTCTATAAATTGATTTAATCACCTAGTTACCTTAACATATAAAACCCGAAAAAAATTAAAACCCAAAAAGCAAACTCTTTTAAGTAATAAATCAATTATCACTTAACTACCAACATTTAACTACTAACAAACTGAACATTATTTGTATTAGCAACAAATAAATCATTATCTTTTTCCTTTGAAGTTGATTGATTTTGATGATTTAATAAACTAATATTTTGTATACCACAATTCAAATAATTAACAATTATTCTATTAAAACTTGAATTACAATTACCTAATAATTTATTTTGATAATCAATAATTAAAGGACTATTTAATTTTAAATTTTTAAAATTTTCATAATTATATAATTTTTCTAATAATTCAAAATTTTTTAATAATTTATTTGAATTTTTTGAATCTGTTAATAATAATTGATCATTTGGTTTTAATAATAATTTTAACATTATTAAATTATTTTCTGGATGAATATCTAAACAATTTTTTAATATAAAATCATAATCATCTTTTGATAATGTAGATTCAATTTTAATATCAACATTGAACTTTGATGAGTTGTCTGAAGTCGAAGATGATAAATTAGTTGTTGATTTAGATGAAGTTGGTAAAACACTTGATTTTATTGTATTATAAAACGTATTATTATTACTATTATTAAACAGTTGTTTATATTCAGTACAAGGTAATAAACTATAAGATTCTAAATTTTTTAATAAATTATTTGATAAAATTGATTGATTATTATGATAAATTGTTATTGATGGAGTTAATTTTTTAGTTACTTGTTGTTTAGTATTATTATTAGTTTTTGATAAATTATTAAATAATGATTTCGTAAATTGTTTTAACATAATACACCCCAATAATGATTAATTATTTGGAAGTTTGATTGAAGTAAAAATGGAATAAAGTTATTAAAAGTATGAAAACAGGATAAAAAGGATATATATTGTAAAAGAAAATTTGATTACAAAAAGTCCGGATATTAATTACTTTTTATATGAAATATTTCTCCTTATCTTTTTGCAACTTTTATTATTTAATTTGATATTTTTCAAGGAGGGGTATTTTTTTTTTTTGTTGTATTTATTAAATAATTTATATGCAGTATATATTAATCTCCTTCTACTTAGTTTTATAGATTAAATATTTATTATCAAATAAATTTTTAACCCCCCATTTTCAAAATTAAGATTAACAACAATCTACTACTATTAGATAACAATTATCATATGATAGATTACACTAATTAAAATCCTTATTGACATCCTTCTCTTAATTATAAAAAGTTAATCTAGAACAGACTTAAAGAAAAAGCTTACAGAATTATTGATCTGAAACGTTTAATTAAAATTTAATTGTTTTTCTCTCACTGATAAAAACAAAGAGATAAAGAAAAGATTTTTGAAGAAAAGTGAAAATTTAGAAAAAGATAAGAAGAAGAAGAGACATTTCCAGATCCTTAATTTAATTGTTTGCCATCAAATGAAGTAAAAAATTAAAACAATAAAAAATGATTTCGGATTAATTATTTATTAATTAATATTTTGATATTATTTGGGCTATGATAATATATTTGGTTCATAACCGTTTTTAATAATAGATATTTTTTAAACAATATTATATCGTTATAGGGGAATATTAATTATTAATTCTGTAGCAAATAAACTCTTTTCATAGATTATTATTGTTTTATTTGTTACAAAAGTAAAAAAGAGGGGTTAATTTATTTACTTTTTATCAATAAATTATTAAATTCTAAACAATTATTTATTTATCATTTTTATATTGAGTTTTGTTGAATTATCTTTCTTACTCAAAGTTTTTGATTTTGCACTTATTATCAAAATTTATCCTCACTATAAAATTGAAGTTAAAAGGAGAATTAATTATTAAAATTGCTGGTAACAAATAAAACACGTTTTGTAATACACTGTTAATTAGAAACATCTTCTTAAAACCTTTTTTTTATCTTTTGCCATTACTCCTCTCTTTAAAAAACGTTAGTTACGGTAATAAGATGATTTTCATTTTTAAATGATTTTCAAATTAAATTACTTTGTTATCTATGATATTTTATTTGATTTACTACATTTTAAACTTTTTGACTTCATTTTTTAGACTTCTTTTTAAATATCAATTCTATTGACATAAATAAATTCTATCTTATTCTTTATTATAGGTTCTTACATAGTATAAATTCTTAAATCCATATAATTCACAAGTGAACTTTTATATTACAACAAATTGAGCTTTTGTTCTCGTACCACATTTTCTTAATGAGGATAGTATAAATTTTGCATCAAAGCTGGAATAAAATTCAAAATCATGATTTTCCAATCACATCATCATAACACAGTATAAAACTAATTTAAGCAAATACAGTATAAAACTAATTTAAGCAAATTCAACTAATTTCTTGTAGCCCAATAAACTCACATATTAATTGTAACGCAGTGAATTTGGTCTATCGTCATAATCTAAATTTATTCATGAAACATCCGAACCTTCATACTGAATTGATTTTGTATGGTGTACAAATAAATTCGAAACATTTGAATTTGATTGAGTGACTTATTTGATAAAAACGAGACTCGTTTTTGCGACAGAGCTTATTTTTAGATTAATCCACTCAGTTTCACACTATGAATATAACAAGTAAAACATCGAGTTAGACTCAGTTTAAACTCAATTAAACTAGTCTGCCGAGTCTAAGGACTCCAAATCTTTTCAATAGAATTATTTTTAAGCAAAAATTGTTATCAATAAAATTCATAAATTCAATTACAACATGTGACTTAAATAAAATCGAGAATTAATATTCTACTTAGAAAATAAAATTATCAAATAATAAGGAAATTAAACTATTTATTAAACTAAAAAATATAAATATTAAGCAATTGGTCAAATTAATCAACAATTCAAAAGATGTCAAAAAAGTCAGATGATGTATTAGAATTTCTTGAATCATTACCAGATAGTAAATCAGGTACACCAAAACCATCAATTAAAAAAAATGATAAAGAAGTATTTGATTTTTTAGATGAAATAGCAGAACATGAACAAAAAAAACCTAAAAAGAAATTCGAACCTAAAAAGACTGATAATACCAATAACGTCACTAGTTCGAATGATGATACAGAAATTGAAGTGAAACCACAAGAAGAAAATGAAGAAGAAGAAGAAGAAGAAAACGATCCAACTACGGGAACTTCATCATCAGATACAACAAAAGAAGATAATTTACAACAAAAGGATGTATTAGAAAATCCAATTGCTTCAATATCATCATGGTGGCAATCTGAAGGGAATCAAAAAGTATCTAGTTTATGGGGTACAATAACATCAAATGCAGAAAAAATTTCAGAACAAACTTATCAATTAGCATCAACTACAACAAATCAAATTAATGAAAAATCAAAAAATTTAGATACTGATATAATAAGTTTTAGATTAAATAATATTTTTTCAAATATATCTAATCAATTAAAACAAGGATTAATTGATGATGCAGATGAAATTTTAAATCTTTTGGTTGTATCAGATTTATATAATATAAATTATATTAATGAATTAATTTTTAAAAATTTTAATTCAACAATGAATCAAGTTGAAGGAAATATAAATATAAATGTAAATGAATTAAATCATCATCATTTAGATAACACCACCAAAAATATAAATTTAAATATGTTTTATGGAAAATTAATTGATGGAGAAAAATTAGCATTTGCAAATTTAGAAAATCTGATTAAAGAATATAAAAAAATTGAAATTAATAAAGAAAAAGAAAAACAAGATAATGATAATAAAATTTCATCAAGTAGTATTGTAAAATCAAATATTTTTATAACTATTCAACCAATAACTACAAGAAATGAATCATCAGACACACAGGAAATAGAAGAAGTTCAATCAAATTCAACTATAATTGAATCACATAATAAATCATCTTTTTCATTCACTTTAATATTAAAAGATATAACTAATGATATAACTATATTAACAAGAACTCAACCATTTCCCCTTAGATGGGCAAAATGGTTAGATGGTGAAGATATTAAATTTCTTAATAGTGAACAACAAGATATAGATGAAGAAAATGTTGATCCAAAAGTTTGGGTAAAAGATTGGATTAAACAAGGTTTAAATTTAGGATTTGGAATATTAGCTCAAGAATATGTTATAAAAAGAATGGGTGTATAAAGTTTTTTTATAGTGTTAATATCGAATGAAAAATATGTTTAATGACCTTTTTTTTTATTATTAATTTTGTATAATGAATATTCAATTTATATTTTTATTTGGTTAGCTATATAATGAATCAGTTATACTGTACAATTGATAATAATTTTTGTTCAAAAAAAAAAAAAAAACCTATATACTTTTTCCATCTTTTTGAGAATGTATTGATAATATCGAAAAAATCAAATTTGACTGTATGGAATGTAGTGATAGGAAATGAAGATATGTAACAAATGTAAGTCATTGTCTTGATATATCTCTAGTTGACCACGTAAATAGTGACAAAGCTGTTGAAATTTTTTTTTACTTTTTTTTTAATATTTTTTGAAAATTTTTTGAATTAATTAATTTTAATAATGACAAAAGAATAATAGATAAAACGTCAATTCGTAATTAGCTTCATTAGTGAATAAATAAAAAAAAAAAAATGCTTTCCATAAAGGGAAAATATGCAGTGGAATATATATATGATTATGAGTTAAAAAAATTTAAAATGATTTTTGAAAAAAAAATTGTCAATGTCATGTGCTAGGGAATTTTTATGATCTATTAGCTCTAACTTTATTACCATCTTGACTAATTTCAATATTTTCACAATTTAATAAAACATCATTTAAATCAATACCACCTTGATTAATAATAATTTTAACTCTTTTAAAACTTAAAATTAAATCTAATGGTACCCAACCTTCAAAATCCATATTTTGTTTTAAGAAAAAATCTTTAACAAGATTTTCATCACTAAAATAATAATTTAGTTGAGATTTCAATGCATCTGAAGGATTTTGTTGTGGAGAAATTGGTGGTGGTGGTGGGGCTTGCTGTTGTTGTTGCTGTTGTTGTAATTGTTGTTGTTGATAAATTGAAGATTGATAAGAATTTGGTAATTGTTGATGATTACCTGGTATTTGATAATTATTTGGAATAAAAGGTGGTTGCATTGGCATATAATACATTGGTTGAACATAATTATTAAAATGTTGTGGTTGGAAATTTGGAATTGGTGATGAAATGTTTGAATTTGATCCATTTTGATTATTTTGATTATTATTATTATTATTATTATTATAATTTCTATTTTTATAATGATTATTTGATCTATATGGACGTGGTTGAAATTGTTGTGTCTGACTATAATTGTTATAATGATTATTAGGACCATTGGTATTGTTTTGATTATTGTTGTATCTCTTTTGATAACCATTGGCTGAACCATTATTGAAATTTGGATTAAAACGTCTATTAGGATTATTGGTATTGTTATTGGTATTATATGGTTTATGTTGAGATTGTTGTTGTTGAGGATGTTCTGGTGATTGTTCTGGTGATTGAGAATGTTCTGATTCTTTTGGTTCTTCAACTTTTTTTGGTTCTTCTTCAGTAGTTGGAGCTTCTTCTTCAACTGATTTCTCTTCTGGTGTATCTTCAACTACTTCTTGTTTTGGTTCTTCTTTAACTTCATCTTTTGTTGGTTCTTCAGGTTTTGTTTCACTTTTCTCTGATGATTCAGTAGTCTTTGCTGATCCATTGGATGCAACTTCTTTTGATTCATCTTTTTTCTTTGATGGTCTTGATTTAACTTCCTTATTGTTACCCGATTGTCCATTGCTATTACTGTTGTTGTTACTATTGCTATTACTATTACTATTATGCCTTTTCTTACTTCTTGGTTTTGAAGAAGATCTTGATTGTAAAGTAACATTAACATCTAAAGGTACCCATTTTGTAGTAGCAGGTTGTTTAACAAATTTTTTAGGTTGATTTGGTTGTTGTTTTATTGACGGCGATGATTCACCCAATAATGGAGTCTTTTTGTTGGTAGTATCATTAACTTTCAAATCATTGAAATTATTTGTTAAAGATCCCCAAACTGAAGTTGTAGGTATTGGAGCTGGAGCTAAACTTGGTTTTGAAGGAGATGAAGATTTTGAAGTAGATGATTTGGATTTATCAATATTTTGTTCATTTGATGATGATGACTCAGAAATATCGGTTGATTCAACAGAATCTGTTGGGGTAGTAGTAGTAGTAGTAGTAGTAGTAGCTTTAGAATCTTTTATTGGTTGTGATTTATTATCTTCAGATAATGACTTTGCTATAGCAGCATAGGAAACATTTGAAGTCATGTTGGGAAATTAAATAACTTAAATTGACTTAAAAATTGATAAATATGTAAAAAGACTATCCGTATTTATATGCTAAAATTGATTAATTTCAAATTAGGCTAAAAATTAAAAAATGAAAAAAAAAACTCAAACTTTGATTTAAAAATGCAAAAATTAATTTGAGACTGGGTGATTTGTATATGTGATTATATATAAGTTATAATTAAGATAATATTTATGGAATTGCAAAATTACTAAATCCAAAATATATAAAAATAAATCCCTCGATAAATTTGATCAGTTGAATGTGATATTACTTTTTTTTTTAACTAAAGTTATTTTTCAATAATACTTTTTAATTATCAGTTCTTAGAAATATTGAATGAAGTTGTTGATGAAGAGATTAATCTATGAATCGTTTGTCTGAATCAAAAATTTTATGAAATCTTTTCTGCAAAGTAAAAAAGGAATGGTTGGTTGTAAAAAATTTATATAAATTTAAAGAATGAAAATTTTTCTAATAAAAAAAATTCTTTATTAAAAAATTAAAATAAATAAATATTTTTTTTCAATTGAAAATTTTTTACATACTAAATATTAATTAAATAGTACAAATCAAAAGTTTATAGAGATAGAATTACAGACAATACTAATTTTTATTATGTATATAAACAATTGAGTAGCTTATAATACACGAATTGAGTTTGAGTTTATGACTATTGGAAAATTACAAATCTTCAATATATTAAAAATTCTCTAAATAAAGTCTTCGAGTTCATGTATAGTTAAAATAATATTTAATTTACTCGGTAGTTATTTGACTATTTAATACTGTATTATATACAGGAGGAATGGATATAGTAGTTACCCATTGATTTAATTTCTTATTTGAGCTAATTGATAATTAAACTTGTCGATTGATATTATAACAGTGTTAATCAAAAAAGGTTTAGTCTTTGAATAAGTAATTTAAATTCAAAGTTATTGCATGAAAACTGATTAAATTTTAATTTGTTCTCAAATTCATGGATTCAATTTTAAAGAAAATTCAATTTGGTAGAAGTAGAATTAGGTCTAATAATTTTCTAAAACAAAATCGCACGATTTGGTAGCCTTTTCTTCAAACAAACTCTATCAAAAATTTGAGCCTCATAATTATTACTAAATTAAGATATTACCATACAAATGTATTTTCTTACCCCATAGAAAAATTAATTATACAATAAAATGTAACTTAACTTTACACTGTAATAATTAATAATTAATATTTTTTATCAATCTATCTAATAACCTAAAAAATTAAAGAAAAAAATAAACTAACAAAAATATATTTAATAGACAATCAACAAATATTAATCCATTACATCATTCAATCCATTAGTTTTTATATCAATCAATCAATCTATCATTTACATTGATTATTATTGTCATTTCTCAATTATACAACTATATATATTTCAACATTTTTATATAATAAAAATTAGATTTTAAATTAATCTTCAAATAATTAACCTATAGAAACTATTATATCACCAAACAAATGTCATCAATACTAACAAATCCATTATATCGTCCATTACTTGAAATTATAAGATCAGCAAGAAATGGTATAGTATATGGAGGTAAAATAAGATTTTCTCATGCATTAGTTATAAATTTATTATATAGATCAGGTCCATTAGGTCCAAGATTTAAATCAGTTTTAGAAGCAACAAAAAATCATGCAGAAGTTTTAGCATCATTTGCAATAATATATAAAATAACAGTACAAATATTACAAAATGATGCATTTTTAGGTTCAAAAAATTTACAATTTATAAAATTTATTTCAGGATGTATTGGATCATGGATTGTTTATTCTGGACATTTTAATTTTTTTCATAGTGGTATAACTCATCAAATTACTTTATATTGTTTTTCAAGAGTTATTATAGCATTAGGTAAAATATTTTTAGATAAATTTTTAAATTGTTATCAACCAAATTTTATGAATTATTCAGGAGAATTTATAAGTTATAAAAATTTAAATTCAAATCAACAAAAAAAATTAAAAAATATGATTTATAATAAACTGTGGAAATATTTTGCTATATTAGTATGGGGTTTAGTTATGTTTATTTATGATTATCAACCACAATATTTACAAAGTTCTTTAAGACATTCAATGGCTTATATATATGATGTTGAAATGGATTCTTGGAATAATTGGAGAGAATTTTTAGGAATTTAAAATTGGAAAAAAAAACATTGTTAAATACGAATGAGGATATGAGAATATATATATAGACAAAAAACTGAATATTGAAAAGAGGATTATGATTTTTTTTTTAATTCAAGTTTTACTGGTTGATTAATTTAGTTGGGTAATATAAACTTTTTATATCATACTAGAAATTAATGCAAGACTCTTAGTGGGAATGAAATTTGTTCAAGGATTATTTTGTCTAAATTTATATATCTCTGAATGTAAAGATTGTTGTAATTTTATTCGAAGTAAATATTTGCAACCAAAAGTTAAAATTAGCGGGATTCAAGTCAAAGTTAATCTTTTACAACGCGTTTTTTCACATCTCTAAGAAATTTACATAGTTTGAATAATTGATACGTAAGTAATAAAAACGTTGTATATTTGAGCTCAAACTAAGTATGATCTATCATTAAGATTATCATATTAAAAGTTTAAAAAACTTTCTTAAATTAATGAAATCTAGATTGTTTGAAAAAACCTTGACACAGCGCGTCGAATGAAAAAAAAATAAGTTAGTGTGAGAGTTAAATCGATATCGGAGTTTTTTTAAGCGTAATATAAGATCCCTGAACCTCTAATAGATACGATATGTCAGATCTAAATACAAAACTATGACATTCAAATGAAATTTAATTCAAATGATTTAACTGGAAAAGTAGATTACAAATTGTTTAAAATGTACGTGAAAATTTTTATAAAATTGGTTGCAAATTTGTATTATATTACTTATCAAGTATCAATCAAATTACATTTTGAGGACAAAATTTATAATTAACGTGTCACATTTAAAGTATTTTGCAACGTCATAAATTGACTACTAAGTATTTGATGCCGTACAAAAACAACAAATCCATTTATATACATAAACATATATGCCAATTATCTACAAGACAGCTTGTTCTATCAATTTAGTTCTTATTGTCTAAAACTAATTTTAAATGTCTTACATATTCTATCAATATTCTATACATAATTAATTAATTAATTAACACCGTGTCAAATAATTGGTAATGATTACACTACCATACCCTTTTTTATATAATATGTAAGTTAAGATTATTATTAATACATACATAATAAATAATTAGATCTTTAATATTAATAAATTAAATACCAAACGAAATTTAATTTTTCAATTTTCAATTGTTAATTACTTATTACACTTTTTTTTTTAATTTTATTAAATTTCAATTGAATTAACAACCAATTATTAATAACAACAATTCATTAATTAAATAATGCAGTTTTGGAAATATTCAACAAATATATTAGCAACATTATTAGCAGTTGTTTCAATAACCAACGCAAGTGGACCAACAGATGGTGAAGCAACAGCTGATCCAAATTCAGCAGTTGTAAAATTAACAACTGAAAATTTTACAACATTTTTAGAAGAAAATCCTTTAATTTTAACTGAATTTTTTGCACCATGGTGTGGATATTGTAAAATGTTGGGTCCTGAATTTTCTCAAGCTGCCGATTTATTAAATGAAACTCATCCAAATATTAAATTAGCTCAAATTGATTGTACTGAAGATGAATCAATTTGTATGGAACATGAAATTAAAGGGTATCCAACTTTAAAAGTTATTAGAAATGGTGATTCAAAAGGTGCTGAAGATTATCAAGGTCCAAGAGAACATAAAGGAATTGCTGATTATATGATTAAACAATCTTTACCTTCTGTACAAATTCCAACTAGTTGGGATGATTTAGAAAAATTAGTTGGTGAACAAACTAAACCTTTTATTTTGAAAGTTGATGGAGTAGTTGATGATATTTTTGATAAAATTGCAAGTACAAAAAGAAATGATTATACATTTATTGAAGTTGGGAAAGATTATTTGAAACAATTAGCATCAAAATTAAATATTGATTTGAAAAAAGCTACTTACTTGGTAGTTCATCCTGGTGAAATTTTAGAAAGTATTAAATATCAAGGTGAAGCAGATTTAGAAAAATTAACTGAATTTATTAATGTTGAATCATTACCATATTTTGGTGATATGGATAGAGATACTTATATGAAATATATGGCATCACCATTACCAATTGCTTATTATTTTTATAAAACTCCAGAACAAAGAGAATCTATTGCTAATGATTTAAGTAAATTAGGTAAAAAATATAGAGGTAAATTAAATTTTGTTGGTTTAGATGCTAATTTATTTGGTAGACATGCAGAAGCAATAAGTATGGATCCTGATATTGTACCATTATTTGCTATACAAAATATTGGAGAAAATAAAAAATATGGTATTAATCAAAAAGAAAATCCAGAAGGTCCTTCAATTGAAACAATAACTGAATTTGTTGAGGATTTTTTTGCAAATAAATTAAAACCAATTATAAAATCAGAACCATTACCAACTGAAGAAGAAATCAAATCAAATCCAGTTGTTAAATTAGTTGCTAATAATTATAATGAAATTTTAAATAAATTAGATAAAGATATTTTTGTTAAATTTTATGCTCCATGGTGTGGTCATTGTAAAAAATTAGCTCCAACTTGGTCAGAATTGGCAGAAATTTATCAATCAAATAAAGATGGTGATGTTTTAATTGCTGATATTGATCATACTTTAAATGATGTTGATGTACCATTTGAAATTGAAGGTTATCCTACTTTATTAATGTTTCCAGCAAATGGTGAATTAGATGAAAAAACAGGTATTAGAAAACCAATTGTTTTCCAAGGTCAAAGAGAATTAAATTCATTAATTGAATTCGTTAAAGAACACGGTTCCTTAAAAATTAATGGGACTGAATTACAAGAAAAATTACAAAATTCAAAAGATGAAGTAAAGAATAAAGTTGAAGAAGTTGTTGAAGAAGGTGAAGAAGTTGAACATGATGAATTATAGGTGTTCGTTAGTTGAAAATATAGGTTAAATAAAACTAAAAATAAAATCACATATATATATATTAAGTAAAAAAATGCGAAATTGTAGAACAAGCTGTAGAACTAATTCAAATTACTTTATTTCCAAAATTTCATACATTAAAAAACTAAATCAAATTAAACACCCCAAATTTTAACTAATTTATCATCACCAACACTCCCCCAAATTTTCCCATAATCACAACCTTTAACATAATTCCCATTTAAATTCCAATCAACAGCATTACATAATTCATCATGAGCTTTTATTCTAGTTACTAATTGACCAGTATTTAATTTCCAAAAATATACAAACCCATCATCTGCTCCACTTAATATAATTTCTTCTTCTTGTGAATATTCATTTAAATAACCAAATGAACTACGAACAATGAAAGATGATTGTGAATGACCTAAAAATTTCCTATATAATATTGGTGGGTTTTGAGTATATAATGGTGATATATCCCATACTTGTAATTCCTCGGGAGCTGAATTTATTAAAATATATTTACCATTTGATGAAATTGAACAACTTGTTAATTTACCATTTAATTTTAATGATGCTAATTTTATAGTTATTGATTCTTCATTGAAAAAATCAGGGATTTTAAAAAATAAAATTTGTTTTTCATTATTTACAGTTACTAATATTTTACCATTGGGAGTTATTGCTAAATCATTTATACGACTGAAAGGATTTTCTATTGGTTTTGAATGATGATGTCTTTTGGACAGTTGTTGATCTTCTACATCTTTCATTGATATATCATCTTTTTGTTCTTGTTCTTCTGGTAGTTCTTCTTGTGGTTGTTGTTCCTCAATTGCTACTTCATCATTATTAAAATCATCATCTTCTAAATTAGCATAAAAATCAAATATTTCAATTCCATTAATATCATAAATTTTTAATACTTTATCTGGTGATCCAACTATAAATTGTGGTACATAATTTTGTGGATCTTTAATTGGTAAAAATTCAACTGACCAAGTTTTAACATCTTGTCCTAATGTAAAACTTGTAATTAATTTTAATTCATTATTTAAAGAATTTGTTGATGATTCTGATCTTGTATATCTTTTTTTATGAATTTCTCCAATTGACCAAACTCTAATTACTGTATCTAAACAACAACTTACTAAATATTGTTCTTTTGGATCCCAAGTACAGTATATAACTGCTTTTGATTTCCCACTAGATGGTTCTGTAGAAAATGGTACAAATGCAGTAGAATCAGCAGCATTAGTTGGTTCTAATATCTTGATTAAATTAAAATTATCATAAACATCATATAATATTAATCTACCATCATGAGATCCAGTTACTAAATATTTCCCCAGTGGTGAAAATTTTAAATACCAAACCTCATCTAAATGATTAGTTAATGTATGTAATAATCTTGTTGCATTAAAATTTATTTGTGAATTTTTTTTTTTATCATTTTTATTTCTTGGTGGTAAATATAATGGTGATTGAGATTGTTGATATTTTGTTGATTGATCTATTATTGTAGATAATAAAGGTATTGAAGTTGGTGAATTAAATAAAATTTCAGAATATTTAAATAATTTCCCAAATATTAAATCCTGAATTTCTTCTAAATTTGAGTTTGTAGTTAAATTAAAAAACCATTTATTTATTGATGTATTAGTTTTTAATAATATTTGTGATTCTTCTTCATAATTCAATTGATCAATTATAGATTGATCAAATACCCCTGAAAGTTCAGTTTTATTAATTTGATTGATTAATGGTAATAAATTATTGGAAATATATGATAATTCACCTAATTTTTGACTATTTTCATAAAAATTAAATCTTCTTACCAAATATAAAACCATTGAAATTATTGACTTAGAATCATTTCCTGAATAGTTTGTTATATTTATAAATTCTTCATAATTTTTTAAATTAATTAAATAATCATCAATTTTTTGATATTGATTTGTTCTAATTAAATGATGAAACCAATTTAATAAATTTGGAATTTCCAGTTTTATTTCTTGTTGTGAATTTATACGATATTGATTTAATAAATCTATTGCTACTTGATTATAACCCAATTGTTGTAATGATTTAATAATGACTTGAATTTGAAATTCATTAGATGACATCTTTAATTTGGTACAATTAATCCCTCTAAACTATTGATTTATCATTATATTTAGTATTTTGTGTTGTAAAGATAAAAAAGTTAGTAAATTGTGAGATAATCACAAAAAGGGTAAGTAGTGCGGCTCACATAGATTATTGAGATTTCAATTAAACATTAGATTAAATGAGTAAACAATTGCAACCAAATAATTTTACAACAACTTAAATTACGAAATTCAAAGCTGAAAGCACTTTCAATCAAAATATGAAATCAATCAATTGTAAATTTGAGATATATAAAAGCACCGATAATTCCACCATTTCAAGAACCGTAAAATTATCGTGAAATCTTTGTAACTGTAAATATTAAATCGAATGAACTATTAATGAAATAGATGGTCATGATTTATGCAACTTCGTTTTCATTGAGTTTGAAAACTACTTTATAATGTACAATCTATTTTAAGATACATAGCCGTTTAATAAATTGGGTTTTTAATTGGAATAATTATTTTTCTATACAGAATTATGGTTTTTCGTAATTACTACTAAATTAGGAAACGGAACAATTAAGGAGAATTAAGGAATAAAAAAAAAGTTGAAACAATAAACAATATATTCAATTCAAGTAAGATTGATCCCATTTTGTCCCGTAATTTTTCAGCTACATATTAATTGTTCAAGAGTCCATTTGGATAATTTGAGTCACTACTAAGTAACAAATCTCGGAGAATTTGTATTTTTAAGTTTGGAAATTGTGGAAATGACTACTTTTATTTGTAGCAAAAAGAAACTCAATAATCAATAATGTATTGCAAAACATTGATTTTCAATCTAAACTTAAATTTATTAACATGTAAAGTATAATTTCGTTTATCAATTAATTAGAAAGTTAAAAAGAGGCTATCGCGAACATAGAAACGAAAGTCTTTTAGAACGGCCGATGCCTCTCAATCCGATTTTCGAAAACAACTTTCTTCGGTTTGACTTTAAACGAAATATTTGTAATCTAGCGAGTAAATTTTTATAAACCAGATATAGATTAAAGTTTATTAGTTTAATTTATGTATTGTTCTATTACTAATTTTGAATGACTAATGTTTATTTACTTTTTAATTCTTTAAATCGAATATTCAAATTATTGAAGATCTTTGCGTGCATTTATTATTTTAACCATTAGTGCATATTAAACATTAATATTTGATACTTAATCAATCAATATTGATTTAAAAGTTCGAGCCAGTCAATCAAAAAGAATTATAGGAGAAACCTTAATATTGAAGACTCGGTTCTGAACTAAAAATACGTTTTGAAAAGGCTTATTATGAAGAATCATTACTAATTTCTTTACTTCTAGACCATTTAAACTTGCAGTAAAAAGTTATGAACCATCAATGTTTGTTTACGTGTTCCATTTAATTCAGTCATTTTTAACTACTAACCTTATCAATCTTGAAATATATGAGCACGAGTGTTATTTTACCCCTTAACATGTGTAGCTTTAAAGGGTTTTGAAATGAATAAAATTGTAATTTTTCTTAACTTATTAAGTTTTGATCTCGGAATAGATAAATAAATTTTATAAGCGAAAAACTCACAGTATTTAATTGATTGATAAACTTCAACTAAAAATCAATTATGAGAGGCTGAAGCTTTGGTAACAAAGAAGTGAGCACATGTTTTAATTGATCTATTCTATCAATAAAAAAATAAGATTATAATTAAATAAAGTAAGGTATGGAATTCAAAAAATGAAAAAAAAAAAAAAAATGCCGAATGGACTATTTTTAGAATTATATACCAAATATAAAATAATAATAATAATAATAAATTATACATATACTAAAAATTACATTTTATTATCTAACCACTCTACATAATTGTAATAATGTAGATGTGTAACTATCTATCTTTCTACTTTAATACAATAATTAATAATATAAGTTAACCTACTTTTTGAATTTACTCCTATACTTCAAATATTAAGATTATTACGTCAATCAAAAAGTGTGTGTTATAATTGAGGTTTATTTCATAAATCTTTAAAACCTTGGTAATTAAAATCTATAAATTTAAAAATATCTCTATTGTTTTATTATTAGATATTTTAATATTAACATTGGTCATTAATTTTTTCAAGATTCCGCTATTAATAAACTTAAAAGATTTAATTGATCTTCTGAGTTTATTGATCTCGATTTTTCAACATTCATTCTTCATGGGGAAATAAAACCGAGTATATTAACCACGTAAATGACTACTTACTACTTATAATAATTAAATTAAAGTTTTTACCACTGATCATAAACTGAAACAATTAAAAAAAACGGCATTTTTTAAATATTATAATTGCAAATTCTTAATAATAAGTGAAAACTTCAAAAAATAAAGTTCGTAATTAATAACATTTTTAGATCTTGTGAAAATATTCAAAGATCTTATAGATCACTCAATTGAGGAGTAGGAAAAATGAATTTGTTTACTCAATCGAATTAACAATTCAATCTTCTTGATTAAAAATCTACTTGATTGATTGGTTTTTTTCTTTGTAAATTAAATAACAATTAAATCATATAGACTAGTATTCTCTGTATATTCTTAATATATAATAGAATAAAATACTTAGCCGTATATAAAATATTATTATTATTAATGTATTACATAATAAATTATATAAGCGTAAATATAAATGATTACGTAATAATAATAGTATAAAGAATAAAAATAAATAAATTAAAACAAAGAAATAGAATTAAAAAACTTAATAGTAATAAAATTAATTCTCTAAATTAAAAGAATATAAATATGAATCAATTTGCCATTCAATTTTATATTTAATATATACTTATAGGTTTAACTTCAATTGATATATATATCCATTAATTAATATTCATTTATTAACTTCACTTATTCCCACAAGTTAAATTTCCAAAGACACGAGGGAATTTATATTATTAATTTCTAAATCGCTAAATTTTATATTTATTAATTACTAATTACAAATTTAATCATTATTTATTTATTTAAAGTTTGAAACATAAAACTTTAATATTAAAATATTTTAGATAAAAGGAATTGAAGAAAGGTCAATTGAAGTATTATTGAAGAGATTGGGGTGTCATTGATGTGAATTGATTAAAAAAATTATTAGAAATTTAAATTTTTCAATTAAATTATATAAAATTATTACCAATTACTTTTATGGGTAAAATTAGAGCTAGATCTACTAAAGTTTGTACGTTTTGCAAGAAGAGGAAAGTCAAATGTGATTTAGCTAAACCATTTTGCCTGAATTGTGTAAAGTATAAACAAACTCAATGTGTTTATTCAGATATAGAACCAACTACAACTTCAACTTCGTCAGACAACCAATCTTTAACAAATTCATTAAGTAATGGTCCTGAATATTTACATAGAAATTCAAGTAACTCTACAATGAGTACTATAAATAGTAAAAATGGAAGTATTGGATCAGTTTTTTCATCATTATCAAGAACAACTACAAATTCAAATGAAAATGGGAATTTATTTACAAATCAACAATATACAATAGAAGAACAACCTCACCCAACAATACCACCACCATCACAAGTTCATGATGAATTATCATTTTTAAAACAAAAATTACAAGATTTAGAAAATAAATTTCATAATCAACAACAAATAACTACAACTTCACCACATTTATTAGGTAATTCAATATCAAATCAAAGTAGTCCCAATATTAGTTATTCACCAAGAAGTACTTTATTAACCCTTGTTGATACAGATTCATTATTAGGCTACAATCCATACGAATCAGAAAATGATTTATTTAGTTTTTTTGATGGGTATAATCCAACTCATGAAAAAGAACCTTTTCGAAAGAAAAATTATGGTCCATTATCTTGGGTAACTATGTTAAAAATTGATGCTGCTATAAGTTCAGTTTGGGTTGAAATGGGTAATCTTAAAAAGCAAATGAAAGAAAGAGGATTTGTTCATGGGTTTCAAATTACTGATCAATCTGCTCAAGTTGATAAAGATTTTTCTGAAAAGGCATATGACGATGAAGGGAATAATGATTTAAAACCATTTAAAGATTTTAAACCTGTTACAAAATCAAAATTTGTGTTAAGTCAAGAGAAAATTAATGAAAAAGCTTTATCTCTCGGTTTATCTTTTTATAAAGGTGGATTAGATACTGAAGTTGAATTAGTTGAGAAAATTAGGTTGGTATTACCAAAACAAAAAGTTATATGGATGTTATTCAAGAGGTTTTTTAGTCATTTATACGTTGCTATGCCAATTATTGATGAAATGGTATTAAAAGAAGACTTGCAACATTTAATTGGATTGGAAGATTATCAAGATATTGATGTGGTTGTAAAGATTGAAAAAAAATTAGATTTTGCAACATTGGGAGTGCTTCTTATCATTCTTAGGTTTAGTTATATATCATTATTTTCACAAGATTCAACCATCAATGAAATAAATTTTCAAACAAATGATCCAACAAAGCAACAAATTAAATTTTTATTAAACAATCCAATAAATCTTGATGTCATTGATGTTGCAAAATTATGTTTAGATCAATTTAATATTTATCGAGGTTGTAATTTAACTTTATTACAATTAGCTTTATTAACAAGATTATATAATTATTATGCACCTGAAGCTGGTGATGGAATTGATGGAGGTGATGCTCAAGTATTTAATGCAACATTAGTTCAAATGGCTATGTCAATTGGTTTACATAGAGAACCAAATAAATTTAAAGATGCACATAATGATGATAAATTAAATAATTTAGGTAGGAAAATTTGGTATTATTTATTAATTCAAGATATGAATAATGCAATGGCTGATGGTACTCCATGTGCAGTAAGATTTACTTCATTTGATACAAAACCACCATATTATAGACCAGGTAATGAAAATGTATTAGATGTTGAAGTTGAAAAAGTTGCTTGTGGTTGTTTCCCAAAATTTGATAATGTTTATGAACCAATGTCTGAAACTTTTGATTTATTTTTTGCTGTTAAAAATTCAATAAATATGGGTGAATTATCAAATAGATTAAATTATTTGGAAAATCATTTTAAAGAAAAATATCAAAATATTGCTACTAATTATAATGATCCAGACCAAGTTTCAACTAAAGATTTAATGCCATCCACTATTAAATTAAAGATTTATTTTACCAGTAATTTTTTTTTGGTTACAATTTATTTATTTTTATACAATTTTTATGAAAAAAGAAACAATTTACAACTTCAATATTTTTACTTGAAGAAGATGGTAGTCATTATAGTATACGAGATTATGCCATTTTTCGTTGAATGTATCACTCACAAGAAGAATATGTTTAAAAGTGCAGTTGATTTAGTTGCCACACCAAGTTTTTTAACAGCTGCTCATAAATCAGTCATTGTATTAACTGCAATATATTTAAGATTAAAATTTTGGGTTAGAAATTGTGAAAAGACATATAATCATATAACAAAATTAAGATCACAAGATGGTAATGATAATAATTATAAATTACATTTTCAAAAATTATTAAATTTAGTAGATATGACTTCAAAAAGTCTTGATATTTTTAGAGATGGAATTGGTAGATTATCACATAGATATTATTATGCATGGAGAGTTACAAAAGCTCAAAATTTCCTTAGGTCTTCTTTCAATGATGAATTTTTTGCAAATTATTCACCAATTTTCCATTCTCAAGTATTAGATATAGATATGTTGGGACAATTAGAACATATTTTTGAAACTTCTATAAAAAAAGTTCATAAATTGAAAAAACAACATAAACAACAACAACAAGAACCAAATAATAATTTATTTGAACAACCACCACCATTAAAGAAAAATTCAATAAGTTCATCAACTTCATCAGATAATGAATATCAAAAACCAAATGATCAAGTAGATAGTATATGGTTACAAATGATGAACCTCAAAAATGATAATAATTTTAATTTAAAATTTCAAGATCCAATAGGTAATACAATGAATTCAATAATAAACCCAAGTACTCCAACTTATATGAATAATTTATCATTTAGTCCTCCCAATTTTAATTTCCCCCAACAACAACAACAACAACAGGCTGGTCCTTTTGCTAATCAACAACAACAACAATTTCAAGTTGATTTTAATAATTATTTTAATGATAAAGATATGTTTGAAAATTTCCCACTTGATGAATTATTAAAAGATTTTTAAATATAACTTTTTTACAAGAGTTGAACGCGTGTATATAGGAAATGTGATATTTATATTTTAATCTGTATATATATAATATATATTATAAATTTTTTTTTTTCACTACTTCGTGATTTTTAAAATATAATATCTTTCATCATGTACTATGTAAAGTACATGAATATCTGATCTTTGGAAACTTATAACTTCCCAATCCGTGAAATTTAGACTCCAAAATTTCGAATATACATTTTCCAAAGTGTATCGTGTAATTGACTTTGGTAGATTTAAGTCTCCATTAATAGCTAATGTTAATTCTTCATACATATCCAATATCTCCTCTGGTTCACCACGAAACATTAAATTTTCCAAATTATCCAAATCAGGTAAATTAGCCAAATTTTTCGTAGGTGAACATTCTACATCATTGTAGTGATAATCTTTAATAAATGCAACGTGGGGAAATACAACTTTCAAGATATACTCTGTTTCTGGAGATTCAAAATCTATTGTTATCTTATATTGATACAGTATATGATTATTTGATCCATGACCAATTGAATTATGTTTAAATTTTTGTACTTTTATTCCATTACTTTTCAAACTTGGTAAATTTTGGAAAGTACTTTGATTTAAATGAAACACTAGCCTATTTGAAAATGATGTATATAGAGTTAATTTATTTTGTAAAATCGGCAATAAATTAACTTCTTCTAGTGGTATTATTTCTAAAAATGAATCTTTTTTGTTAAATCTTGAATTTATATAATTATATACATTTGTTGAAGTAGTTGTTGAATAACTTGATTTGGGGAATTTTAAATTGTTGGTTGTGGTGTTTGATAGTACGATTATTTTATCAAAATATGGTTTTTGTTGTAGTATTTCCTCAATTATATCTTTTATATCTAATGAATCATCATTTATGGCTGAAGATTTTATTTCGATTGTCATTTGATAATTTGAGTTTAATGGTGTATCTGTAATTTTGTTTCAGGTCTGGAAATAATTTAAGTCGAAGATAGGATTTTGTGTAATATTTATTCGTTCTTATATAAATTTAAATTAATTTAATTTTTAATTTTAATTCAATATATTTAAAATATTTTACTATAGATTTTGTTTGTGATATAACTAATAAGTTACTGGTTTATAAAAGTGCAACTATTTGATTAATTAGTTGGTATAAAGTAAAGTTATGTTATTTATTAATATGTATTAATTTGTTGTTAGTTATGTTACTAGATGCGATTATATTTGGTTGAATTCATTATAATTGAATATGATATCAAATTTATCATAAATTAACTTAAATTATGTTTCAGAATGTCAAGCTTCTTTATCAATTTTATGTTTTCATGATGGGCCCAATTATAGATTTTAACGATCAAAAGATTAGGCTTTCCCTGTTTTTTAAAACTTTGGTTGTAAAAATTGCAGATTTAAATGTTAAGATTTTACAATTTGCAAATTCATAAAAACAACTAGAGATCAATCATTCTACTAGAAGGACAACGAAGTCAGGCACACTCATGGTATATGGTCTCACTTACCTGAAATGTATATATCGAGTTGTAGAAGATGGGGTTTTTAAATGTCACGAGTTTGAATTCTTTCGATGTGAAAAATATGTTGTTTTCAAAAGCTATTAGAGCATAGCTAAAGCGAGATTATATTTCAAGTTTGTTGTTACAGTATTTACTAGAAAAGGGCTAGATTTTGGCTCCAAAATTGGTTTTTTACTGTTTATGAGGAAAGGATTAAAATCCTGGTTTAGCAAATTTGAAAACAATTTGGAAAGTCTTCTACAACCAAGGTAACATAGCATCAGGTTCAGCAAAGGTAATAGTTATGAGAAGTTTATTGCAATCATAGCGAAAGGTTCAATTTCAAATAAAACAAAAGGTATTAATATTGAATTAGTTGTCACAGTGTTGAAAATATTAATATGTACAATTATGTCAGGTTTGGGCAATATATAATCCAGTTTGACTTCATCAAACGTTTACTTTTTACATACAAAAATTCTAAACTAGGGTTGTTTTGAAAGTGACAGCTCCTGAGCAACAAGATTTGGTGGTTTAAATTCATCATTTTCAACAGCATTAACACGAATGACAAGTGATTTATGTTCGACTTTAACTACAATCACGAATGACTGAAATAAATCTACTTTACTTTTAAACCGTCTTACTTTACTGAAGTTTTTCACATGTAAAACACAATCTTCAAACTCTCATTGGTATATTAGCATTAATTGGTCAAGAAGTCTTAATGTATGAATTTTCTCAAATACACATTCCTCGATAACTCATCTTGAATTAAATCTGATGAATCACTCTAGTAAGTTACGTCACGCAATCATGAAATGCTTGCAACAGTAGTAGAGTTCCATAATTTCTGTTCGCAGATTGTATCAAGCTCATTATTAGAGAATAGAGATAGAGATAAACACTACAGTATAAGGTTTAAAGGAATTGAAAGTATATTTTACTTTAATATAAAATAGCAATATTTGGTTATAAATCAATTATTTTTTTGTGCATTATTGAATTAAACAAATAATTTTTGGTGATTTGAAAGGGTGATTTTTGTGAATACATTAAAATTGTACTAATTGAGGGGCCAGTCCAATTGGAATTGTTGAATTTAATATATTTATGATTTGTTGTGGTAGATTGGGAAAATTGATTTGTTGATATTAATTTTTAATTTCGTAATTTGAATTGCAATAATGATGAATTAATTTTGAAAGCAATAAAAGAAGTCAATTGAAATTTTTAGTCGATTTGAATATTTTTGTGATAATGTAGAATCAACTGATTAGTATTAATGATATTTTTTTGAATTGAATATTTTTATGATAATGTAGAATCAACTGATTAGTATTAATGATTTATTTTTGAATTGAATTTTTATGATAATGTAGAATCAACTGACTAGTGTTTATGATTCTTTTTTAGATTGAATATTATTGTGGTAATGTAGAATCATCTGATTAGTATTAATGATTATTTTATTGAATTGAATATTTATGATAATGTAGAATCAACTGATTAGTATTAATGATTTTTAGTTGATTTTGAATATTTTTGTGATAATGTAGAATCAACTGATTAGTATTAATGATACTTTTAAGTTTTAATTTTTGTGGTGAGTAAATAAGAATATTCAACATCAAAACACATTAATATTTAAATTCACCATTAGAATTTTTATAATTTTGTAAAATTTTGGTGTTTTAGTAAATAAAAATATTAGGTACAACAACAAAGACCATATTATTTAAATTTTATCAAACACTTTAATACAGATTTTTCTGCATCAAATGAATTATATATTGAATCAACTGATTAATATTAATGATTTTCAGATTGAATATTATTATGATAATGTAGAATCATCTGATTAGTATTAATGATTTATTTTTTGAATTGAATTTTTATGATAATGTAGAATCAACTGATTAGTATTATTGATATTTTTAAGATATGATTTTTGTGGTGAAGTAAATAAAGAATGTTCAACAACAAAACACATTAATATTTAAATTCACCATTAGAATTTTTATAATTTTGTAAAATTTTGGTGTTTTAGTAAATAAAAATATTAGGTACAACAACAAAGACCATATTATTTAAATTTTATCAAACACTTTAATACAGATTTTTCTGCATCAAATGAATTATATATTGAATCAACTGATTAATATTAATGATTTTCAGATTGAATATTATTATGATAATGTAGAATCATCTGATTAGTATTAATGATTTATTTTTTGAATTGAATTTTTATGATAATGTAGAATCAACTGATTAGTATTAATGATTTTTTTTTATTTTGAATATTATTGTGATAATGTAGAATCAACTGATTAGTATTAATGATTTATTTTTGAATTGAATTTTTATGATAATGTAGAATCAACTGACTAGTGTTTATGATTCTTTTTTAGATTGAATATTATTGTGGTAATGTAGAATCATCTGATTAGTATTAATGATTATTTTATTGAATTGAATATTTATGATAATGTAGAATCAACTGATTAGTATTAATGATTTTTAGTTGATTTTGAATATTTTTGTGATAATGTAGAATCAACTGATTAGTAGTATTAATGATATTTTCAAGATATGATTTTTGTGGTGAAGTAAATAAGAATGTTCAACAACAAAACACATAAATATTTAAATTCACCTTTAGATTTTTTATAATTTTGTAAAATTTTGGTGTTTAAGTAAACAAAAATATTAGGTACAACAACTAAAACCATAAAATTTAAATTTTATTAAACACCTTAGTATCAGTGCATCTGCATCAATACTTTGATTCTTTTTTTGACATACATTTTTAATTTTGAGAAGACTTTTTTAAACCTTGAGAAAGTATTAATTATTTCTATTTCTTCAGCTTCTTGATATTCATCAATATAATGGAAATGGTTATGTTGATCAAATGATTCACCTTCAACACTTGCATATGATACATCTGCATAGAAAAACCTGTTGTTCTGTCCATTGAAGACAAATGGTACTGAGCTTTCGATTGATAATTCTCTTCTTACATATGTTAAATTTTCTTCATCAAACGTATATGTGTAATCAAATTCATTAATATTGGGATTGATCTCAATTATAATCCCTTGTTCATCAAAGATCAAATTTGGATGAATAATATCAACTTCATCTAAAGATTCATCCTCATGTACCTCCATAACTTCAATGCTAAAATTATGAGTCGTTTGTGGTTGAATTTGGTGGAACAATACTAATTGTTGATGTTGATGTTGATGTTGTTGTTGTTGTGGTGGTGGTGGTCTAAATAATATTAATGCTCTACTTGATGGTAATTCTGAAGCTGAATCAATTAATTGTTGTTGTTGTTGTTGTTGTTGTTGTTGTTGTTGTGGTGGTGGTGGTGGTGGTTGTTGTTCTTGTGCAGTTGTTTGAACTAAATTATGTTGTTGTTGTGGTGGCGTAGCTGTTTTCTTTGATTTTTTATTTGATTTGAATATTTTTCTAAAAAAAGTATGGTGTTTTTTATCAGTTGATGATGATCTTGATGATGATTCTGTAACTGATGATGATTCTGGTGATGATGGTTTAGTTGATTTTTTTGAATGGTGGAATAATGAAATTTTTTTGAAAATTGACATAATTAATAAGTAATTGGAAAAAAGTTTGAATTTAATAATAATAAAGTGGATTGAATTTATAAACTCTCACAGTCAGAAGAAGTATGCTGTGAAGTTGTGGAAAAGGTGAAATTTATTATTAGTGAGAAAGAAAAAAAAGTGACATAAATTTTGAAATCGATTTGAGAAAATCTTGTGAATTTATACTTGGTGATTTTTGTTATTTTGTAATGCTATCTTCAACTTTAAGTATGTGGATCGTTAGTATGTATCTCAATTGATGCAAATTCGGACCCTAAATTGTAGTAGTTGGTAGCGGTCCCGCATCAGGATTTGCAACTTAAATGTATCGACTAAAATCAAAATATAATCAATTCCCCATATGTTGCAACAACTTTTGAATCATATATTTGTGAGATCCATAAGTTTCTAAATCTCCCAGGTATGTACCAACTTCTTCTTCTAATTTACGACTAAGACTTCAACAATTGCATTCTGACTTGTAATCAAAATTTTTTATCAACTGTACCTTCATAAAATATTCTCATTCAAAATTTGAGAATTGTATGTTAAACCCACTAACAAAGAACTCAAAATTTAACAATCTAATAATTTGAAGGTTCATCATTCCAATTATTTTCTGCACATTCATCAATGTAACGATCACTTGAAATAAAATCCCATATTAGCAACACCTCAACCACATTTTTTCACCCATTTATGTAAATGATTAACATCTTCTGAATCACCTCCATGATGACCAAATACATTTTCTAACTTTGTGGGAGCATCTAAAAATAAGTAAAGTTCATCTCTTACAAAATAATAATTCCCTTGGTACTTTATGGAGTCAATTAATGGGTTGAAATCTTCTGGATTGCTAAATTGTCCTTCATTTAGAACTGAAAACAATTTGTTAATGTTTTTGGGATTGTAACTCCATCTACGAATTGTCTATGTCTTATTTATTCAACTAATTCTGCTAAGTTTTTAAAAAGATAAAATACTTTCTGTACCTAAATCTCAAGCAAATTCAACATCTGCTCCAAAAACCATTTCAGCAATTATTCTGCCATTTAATTGCAAATTTCATATTTGAAGTACTTGAACCTGCTGTTAAAAAGACGAGATATGATTTTGAAAAAATTGATCCAAGACATATACTCTTCTGCTTTTGATACGTTATTATAATCTGTTATAAATAAAACTTTAATTAATATCTGTATCATTGCCTTACAATAACTTTACAAATGTCTTTATGTCTTTGCCATGTCATAACCTAATCGCGGATTTAACTTCGAATAATTGAATAGTTTGAAATACCTATTGGATAGTTTTTTCTTCATTCTATTACTTTATTGACTTATCCATTTGTCAGAAACTTATGCAATTTGTATTAAAAACAAGTAGCGCCACTTTAAAGTTTTGAATAATGAGTTGTAAAATGGCAAATATAACAGTTCAGATCTTATTAAAAATTCTTAAATTTTAAGATAGGGAGATCCAATTTAGGAGTTAGACCACATCAACTAAAACCAGGAAAGGGTACCCTTAAATTTAATAACCATGTTTGACGTGAATTAATTGAAAGCGAGCTGTCCATCAATACGTCTATTATTAAATGAACTAAATCTGTTGGATCTATGTTTATTAGTTGATTGACCCCTAGGTCTGCATTTTTCTTATGTCATTATCCGGTGATGTTTAATTTATTGAAAAAGAAATGATCTTAAATGACTATTAGTAAAACAATTGACTTGACTTGACTCAAAATTACTTTCGTTAATGATTTAATGTGGAAGAGGCCTTATCTAAGACGTTCAAAAAATCTTAATACGTAAACATAATTTCATTAGTCCTCAAATTTAGCGCGTTAAACCATTCATTAGACTATTATAACTTTTATATTCAACCATCAAAGAATCATTGTGTTCTACAAGACTTACTCGACATCTGTTATCATATGTTGGTCTTCCAAAATCTCTTCCTCCATATCCTCCACTATTTCGCTATAACCACCGTCATCATTAGTTCTACTGCTAACTCGTGATCTATCCCATACAAGCAGTTACATAAAAATCTAAGCCAAAGCAGCAAAAGTTTTTGACAGAACATTTACAAATTTGACACTCAGATCAAATTTACGACAATCAATCTATCTACCTTTTTTGCATCCTTACTGCAGTACTGATTAATTTTGACCTTAAAAGTTGAGAGAATATAGACTTTGTTCTTTCATATTTTAAAAGTCAATTGGATCATATATGTCTTTTGAGTAATGAATCAAGTCAAGATCAAGGATTATGTGGTCAGCTGAAACAAATTTTGTAATTATTAGGTTTCAAAAGATGAATGAAATTTAGATAAAAATATGCAAATTAACTTTTCCCTCTCGTCACTACTTAGGCTTAGAAATGAAACTATGTTTTCCTACATTCATGGAAAAACGACATACAGAGACAAACTTTCCGTGATTCAATAATAGCAGTTAAAAAACGCTTCAAAAATCCAATACTTATGTATATAAATTTATTTAATTACATAATGACATCAACTTTAGGTTCTACATCTTCTTTTTTTTCTTCTGATGGAATATCTTCAAGCACAGGTTTTTCAATATGTTGTTTTTGTTGTTCTTCAACTTTTGGAGTTTCAACTTTAACTTCAGGAGGTGCCAATTGTTCAACAACTTGTACAGGAGCTTCTTCTTGATCAACTGGTGGACTTTCAATATGTTTTTCTTCTTTTGCTAATTTTGGTTCAGCTTTTGGAGTTTGTTTAGCTTCTTCCAATTGTGGTTCTTCAGCAGCTGAAGCTTTTGGAATTTCATCACTAACGTTTGAATATTCACCAATGTTTCTTAAAAAGTTATTACAATCATAATCCCAAGACTTGAATGGTTTTGATAATTCACATGTTGATTTTACCCATGGTGTTCCATAAATTAATGGTGAATAATTGACATAAAATAATGTACTAATTGCTAAAAATATAACAACTATACTCATTGAAATTTGTCTTAAAAATCTTGAACCTCCAGCTAAATAATTTGTGAAAACTTGGAATAAATGACCCAATGCTAATATTCCAAAATATAATGCTGGTAAATAATGATGAAGAAACAATTGTCTACTCATGATGTAAAATGGGAAATAATGTAAAAACCAACCCAAAATATATGAAAAAGTTTGTTGATTAAAATTAAAAACTTCTTTATTGGTTGATAAAGGTTGACCTAAATGCCATTTTAATACTGTGAAAACTCCATATATCACAAATGTTGCAATTGTTAAAGAAGTAGCCCACCAAGTAACAGCATTACCTAATAAATAAATTTGTCTATGATCTTTACTCCAATAATTTATACCTCTCAACAACAATGGCCATTCAGTTGGATTACTTTGCCAATGATGATGATCAGTTAAACCAGAATTAATTTTCCACATTTTTTGATGAGATTCAATAAATTTTGACCAAAATGATAATTTTGGATAATTGACTATAGTCTTTTGTTCAATTGGTAAATATTCATTTTCATTTGTTTCAATATACCAATGAGTTAAAAGTCTTTTACCTTGAGAAGCAGCAGTAACTTCTTGTTGACCAAATCCCCATTCTGGTAATTTAACTTCACTTGAAAATAAATAATTTCCAGTCATTGCATGTCTTAATCTAAAAATTGTATCAATTGCTTTTACAAATACTTTTGCATTTGATTTTTTAGTTCTATAAGGTACAATTTCAACAATCCAATCATCATTTGCATCACCTGCAAAACCTTCATATCCATAACATGAACATTCTTTTTGCCAATCACGTTCACTAACTGGTGGTTTTTCATCATGAGAATGTAATCTTCTACCTGAATTAATATGTTTTAATCTAATCTTCATACCATTAATTAAAGGAACAAAAGTATCATTGTATATAGTTCCATTATAAGGTTCAATTAACCATTTATTATTTGAATCTAAATGTGGATATAAAGTAATTTGTTGTTGTTTTGAACCAGTTGGATAAAAATGATCATGGGAATGTAAATAACCTCCTTGAGTATCAATATGACGTAATGTAATAACTGAACCTAAACCAACTTCAGATGTAATATCAGTTGGGATTTTATTTCCTTCTAAACCAGCTCTAAAAGCAGAACTCATAAATGCTCCTCCATCACCTTCTTTACTTAAAATATTAAAATGAATAGCAAATGAAATTAAATAAATTATCAATGGTATACCTAATAATATAGTACCTCTTGCAAAGAAATGAGCCCAAATTTTTTTACCATTGACTGATAAATCTCCAATTAAAAACCATAATTGATAAATACAAAGTACACCAACCCAAGCAATTGTGAATAAACCAACCCATTTGGAACTAAATGCTAAACCTAATGCGATACCAGTAGTTACCAAAGATTTATACCATCCAAAACTGAAAGGTACTTGATTTTCAAATTTTTTCCATCCATAGATTGATGCAGCTATGAAAAACATTAATGGAGAATCTAACAAGATATATCTTGAAATTGTAACATTTGCATTTTCAATTATTAATAAAAGTGATGTAATAAATGATATTATTGGATTAACTCCACTTTGTCTTAAAGTTAAATAACATAAAATGACAGTTCCACAACCAAGTAAAGCAGGAAATTGTCTCATAAATATATAAGGTACTCCTTCAACAAAACTATCACCAATTGATTTAAATTCAAATCCTCCATTAAATCCACCAATTTTACCAATTAATGCATATAGCATTTTAGCTAATGGAGGATGAACATCCATAAAAAAACTTTGTAAAATATATTTTCTTGCAAATCCTCCAAAATGAACTTCATCAAATACAACTGAATCTGGATTTGATAATTTTGATAATCTTATAAAAAATGAAATAATTACTAATGCTATAACTAAAAATAATTCATTTTTAACAAATGATCTCTTTTTTAATATAATTTCTGAAGGATTTGTTATAAGATATTCTCTAATTTCTCCCTTTTTAAAAACAGGATTAATTAATGGATCAACATTGAAAATATCATCCTGTTGTTTCAGCTTTAACGCTGCTGCTTTGAGCTTCGTTGGAGCCATAATTGAGGTTGATATAAATTTAAATTGAATTTCAAAGAAATGAAGATTCAACTCTAATTAAACTTAAATCAGACAACTTAACAATTGAAAAATTTAACAACGCACTTTTTAAAAATCGATCGAAGAAAAAATAAAATCAGATTCTTTTTTTTTTCATTTTAGAACGCGACTTTAAGAGTTTTTAATTCTTGATACAGAGAAGGTCAAATAGATCTCGTAAATTAAACTGTAGATCTAAGGAGCTCTTACTAATATGAAACAGACCATGAGGTCATATAAAACCTTCTTTAGACGAAATGACTTCTCATTAGCCTGACTATTACTGAGCTTACAGCTTCCTTATTCGTGATTTATTATTGACGAGTGACACAAAAATTTAAAACATCATTTGGTAGAGTTAGTTTGTACTGCGAAGTTCGAATTAGACCATTTTCGTAACACAAAATTCAGTTAATATTGTAATAATCTGAAACAACTATATCAGCAAGAACTTATATTATAAAAATAACTGAAAAACTACTGATTGGGAAAGCAAACTCTTTGAGCCAAACTAATCTTAGACTTGATATATGGGGTTGATTGAGTCTCTTCAACGCGTCTCGAGAAAATCACATAAATATTGAATTCAGATTTTCAAAATACAGTCAACTTTTATGAATTGACCTTTCGATAAATTTTGATAACACAACCAGAAACTTATAAGTTAATTTTGATCTAATCGTGAATTGAAATTAAGCTATCGAAAAGATTGTTCAAGCTGATACTCATTGCAAGAGTTAATATTTGGTCCTTTTCTCAAAATTTGGTAAAATGATTAACATCCTGATCAACTTTAGGTAATTAAAATAGTGAAAATAATTATAACTTTATTGTGAGTAACATGGCAATACAAAATGTCAAAATTTCTTGTTCACTAATCGGTGAGTTTGACGCTTTTAGTACTGAAACTTGCGAATATTTTTGTGCAAATGATTGTTATCCTTACGAAACTTTTTAAGAATTTCCCATAATAAGTCTTTGAACTAAATCTAAAGCTACTCCATTGATAATTGAAGATTGTTCAAATCTCAATTTATTCTCTACTAGGTGATCTTATTGTTAGTCATTACTGGAATTTACCTAATCAATATTTTTACTCTAATTGCACTACCATCGTTATTCTCAATTTAGTAATTTTTTAATGAAAATTTCTTTAACCGCCCATTGAAAAATAATATATTGACTCAAATATCGAATCATGTCTACAAGTGAAACTGATAAACCAGCTAGATTATGGGGTGGTAGATTTACTGGTAAATCAGACCCATTGATGGATTTATACAATGCCAGTTTATCATATGACAAAATTATGTATTCACCAGATTTAACAGGTACTAAAATTTACACAGCTGGATTAAATAAACTTGGATTAATTACAGATGATGAACTTTCAAAAATTCATGAAGGATTAGAAGTTATACGTAAAGAATGGGAAAATGGTACATTTAAAGAAGTTGAAGGTGATGAAGATATTCATACAGCAAATGAAAGAAGATTAGGAGAAATTATTGGTAAAAACATTGCAGGAAAAGTTCACACTGGTAGATCAAGAAATGATCAAGTTGCTACCGATATGAGAATTTTTGTACGTGATTCATTAAAGGATTTAAGTTTGAAATTGAAAACATTTATAGAAACTATTTTAAAAAGAGCTGAAAATGAAATTAATGTATTAATGCCTGGTTATACTCATTTACAAAGAGCTCAACCAATTAGATGGTCACATTGGTTAAGTTCATATGCTACCTATTTTACAGAAGATTATAAAAGATTACAACAAATTATAGAAAGAGTAAATCAATCACCTTTAGGAGCTGGTGCATTAGCAGGACATCCATATGGAATTGATCGTGAATTTTTAGCCCAAGGTTTAGGTTTCCAAGGTGTTATTGGTAATTCATTAACTGCAGTAAGTGATAGAGATTTTGTTGTTGAAACATTATTTTGGAGTACTTTATTTATGAATCATATATCTAGATTTGCTGAAGATTTAATTATTTATTCAACTGCTGAATTTGGTTTCATTAAATTAGCTGATGCTTATTCAACTGGATCATCATTAATGCCTCAAAAGAAAAACCCAGACTCTTTGGAACTTTTACGAGGTAAAAGTGGTAGAGTATTTGGTGGATTATCTGGATTTTTAATGTCTCTTAAATCAATTCCATCAACTTATAATAAAGATATGCAAGAAGATAAAGAACCTTTGTTTGATGCTTTGACGACCGTTGAACATTCAATATTAATAGCTACCGGTGTTATAAGTACTTTATCAATTAATGAAACTAAAATGAAAGATGCTTTAACAATGGATATGTTAGCGACTGATTTAGCTGATTATTTAGTTAGAAAAGGAGTTCCGTTTAGAGAAACTCATCATATTTCTGGAGAATGTGTTAGAAAAGCAGAGGAGTTAAATTTATCTGGTATTGATAAATTATCATTTGAACAATACCAAAAAATTGACAATAGATTTGAAAAAGATGTTATGGATTCATTTGATTTTGAAACTAGTGTTGAAAGAAGAGACGCAATTGGAGGTACCGCTAAAAGTGCAGTATTAAAACAATTAAAAAATTTACAATCACAATTAGTCTAGATTGAAATCTCGAAATTTTATATTTACGGTTTCAGGTGAATTTTTCTAGAAAACTACTTCAGCCGAACTATCCTAATGCATAAGGTGTTTATTTAATTATACATATACATATAAATACAAAGGTGACTCTTTTAATCTTTTATTCTAAACTTACTAAGCGCTTTTCTAATAGCTTTTTCTTTTTTCAATTGTGGGTCTTCAATATTATAATTTGAATTAAATTTTTCTAATAGCGTTTCTGAAGTTTTTGGTAATTTGACTGAATTATGAGGTTTTGAAATTGGATCAATGGGTACTTCTTTTAAAAAATTACACCAATGTACTTCCTTTTGTGATAATATTCTTTGATTTTTTTTAAATTCTTCTGTGATTTTATCTAAGTCTATAACTGGTAATTCAGGTACCAACCCCAATTCTGTGGCGTCTCTTTTTGGCTTGGGTTTGTATTGATTTTGAGGTGAAGTTGGTGGTGTTGTATTTGCACTTTGTGGTTGTTGAAATGAATATATTGAACCAACACTTCCTTTTCTACCTAAATCTATAGAATCTGATCTCTTATGGTGATGACCATAATGATAATTAACACTTTTTTCTGTGCTTGGTGTTTCCATTGGTTTTGATGAATTCTTACAAAAAAATTATTTTTCAAAACTGTCTGATCTATACATTTATATATTTATATATGGTTGCAAAACGTATGTTAATGCTTCATTTTGGAAAAATTTCTTTTAGTAGATCCAGATGAATCCAAAAAGTAATTAATGCTCGAGAATACATTGATATATATTTAAGATAAATTAGGTCGGTTATTTTCATTAACGGTTCTGGAAGGTCGAATTTTAAACATCTCTAATTTTTTTCTTAGTTTTACTTTAACTTGCATTATAGCAAGTTTATCCGATTTGTATTGGAATCTGATCTAGATCAAATGCATAAATTGCAATCTTTATAAGAATACGCTTATCTTTCAGCCTAATCTTTATACAACTAATTTGGGTGCAAAATATTGACTTCGCGACACAAATTTGAAATTCACGTCTTTTAAATTATGGTGTTGCAAAAATTTAAAACTTGACACTTTTTCATTTTAATTATAGATAATTATTATTCAACTGTTATACGTATAAACCACTAAATATAATGAATAGATAGTTAATATTAAGAAATTATGAGTGATCAACCAACAACATTAGACGATAGTCTTAAATTTATTTTGGAAACACTAGATCATGGGAAAATTATATATAATTTAAAAACAATCGATCAACTACATATATGTATAAAAACAATCAAAACTTCAACAATATCAGATATCTACTCTCGGTATAATAAATTAAAATCAAATATTTCAATAATGACAATGTTTTCATATTTAAATTTTTTAATAAGTGATAATATAATGACATATTTTATGGATTCTTTACCATCATCAATAAATAAAAAATTTGATTCATTTAAGTTACCTCCGTTATCCAATCCAGAAGATACTATAGAGGTGAATGGAAATCAAAAACATGAACAATTATTTCAACTACAATTAGATATTTTATCATTAATTAATGAGTACCTACCATTGGAATCAAATTCATATAACTCTGGAAGTTCAACAATATCAGACAAGTTAATAATTATATTTCATGAGCAAATACTAATGAGTATACTCTCAAGTTTATTATGTGCTCAAATATACCTCGAAAGTCAGAAAAACGACGTATATATTGTCATACATACACTTCTTAACTCAAAATATAATCAAATTCCTCAATCAAGACTTTGGATAAGTTTAATAAATACAGCTAATGACATTTGTTTTGATGATTTAAGACACATTAAACTATTCATTGATTTATTTCAAGATCAAATTAATCGGGACCCCAATGTATTAAATGATGATTTAATAAAAGGAGGATTACAATATTTTATTGAGACTTTTCAACCACATCATAAATGGTTTGAAGATTATAAACAAGATGATACGTTTCAAGAATTAGATGCTGGTAATTTTAAGTTCTTGTATAGTAGTTAGTATTTAGTAAATAAATACTAACCTCAATAGATTTTTCATTCCTTTCTTTAACATCATATGATGGTCTATTTAACATAACTTTCTAAAGCCTCTTAGTAAGGTCCCATTGTATTATCTGGCTTACGACGGTTATAAAACTCTACAATAATTGAAGGAACTCGTTATTTAGAATTGAGATAGTTTACAAATTTCAGTATTCAATAAAATACAATTTATACAATTATACATTAACATAAGTCTTATATAAAAACAACTCCATACGTGTTTCTGAGTCTACTTCAACAAAAAGTTTTAACTTCAACTTGAAGTTCAAATATAACCAAATACAGATTCAATGGTTATAATTAAAAATGTGAATAATTACAAATTTAGAAAAACTCTTGAAGTCCTAAATTTAAAAAGTTATACATTGAACTTTCATTCGAGACGAAACAAGCCAATTTGAAAATTATTCACTAGTGTTAATAAATTCATAGAATCATCAGTTGAAGAATAACAAATTCACAATTAAAATTATCAAACTTGGCCAAGTTTTTTAGTTTCAAAATACCAACAAATTTTAAGAAGTCATTTAGTTCGAATGTAATGCTAGTACATTTTTTCATATTTTTATATTACAAATATTAATACATACTTTTTACTGTTTACTTCTTACTATTTCTATTTTATTAATTTGTGAAGAAAGAAAGATAGAGAGAAAGTGCACTGTATATAAGTGACACAAAATCAATGTTTTATTTAACATTTTTTTGTCTCTTCTTAAGCTTCGTAGTTAAAGTCATCTCAACAATCACGACCAACAATATGGTACTTAAATCAACATCTGCTGGAAATGTATCAATATATCAAGTATCAGGATCAAATGTGTCACGATCTTTGCCCGATTGGATAGCTAAAAAACGTAAAAAAGCATTGAAACAAGATTTAGATTATTCTAATCGTATTGAATTAATACAAGATTTTGAATTTAGTGAAGCATCAAATAAAATAAAAGTTTCACCAGATGGTCAATATTGTATGGCTACTGGAACTTACAAACCTCAAATACATGTTTATGACTTTGCCAATTTATCATTAAAATTTGAACGTCATACCGATTGTGAAAATGCTGATTTTATAATATTAAGTCAAGATTGGACAAAATCAGTACATTTACAAGTTGATAGAAGTATAGAATTTCAAACAAAAGGTGGAATATATTACAAAACCAGAATACCCAAGTTTGGAAGAAGTCTTTGTTATAACGAAGTAAATTGTGATTTATTAGTTGGAGCTTCTGGGAATGAAATTTATAGATTAAATCTTGAACAAGGTAGATTTTTAAATCCTTTACAACTAGATACTGATATGGGAGTCAACTCAGTTACAATAAATAAAGTACATGGATTAATATCAGCAGGACTAGAAGATGGAACAGTTGAATTTTGGGATCCAAGATCAAAATCAAGAGCTGGGAAATTATTTGTGGATGAACAAATTAATGAATCAAATATACAAGTATCTTCAGTAAGTTTCCGTCAAGATGGATTAAATTTTGCATGTGGTACTTCAAATGGTAAAACCCTTTTGTACGATTTACGAACAAATCAACCATCACTAGTAAAAGATCAAGGTTATGGTTTTGAAATTAAAGATATTGTATGGTTAGAAAATACATTAAAACCAGATACTATACTAACAAGTGATAAACGTATATCCAAGATTTGGGATAGAAATACAGGTAAACCTTTTGCATCAATGGAACCAACAGTTGATATTAATGATGTATGTCATGTACAAAATTCGGGAATGTTCTTCATGGCAAATGAAGGTATGCCAATGCATACTTATTATATACCGAATTTGGGTCCCGCACCAAGTTGGTGTTCATTCTTGGATAATGTTACAGAAGAATTAGAAGAAAAACCGTCAGATACAATATATTCAAATTATAGATTTATTACAAAAGAAGATGTTAAAAAATTAAATTTGGGTCATTTAATTGGTTCAAAAGTTTTACGTTCATACATGCATGGTTTTTTCATAGATACTGAATTATATGAAAAAGTTAATTTAATAGCTAATCCAAATTCATTACGTGATCAAAGAGAAAGAGATATCAAAAAGAGGATTGAAAAAGAAAGAGAATCAAGAATTAGAAGTACTGGAGCTATTTCCAATACCAAAATTAAAGTCAATAAAGATTTGGCTTCAAGATTACAAGATAAAGTTGGTGGTGATGTTGCAGAAAGTGTGATTAATGACGATAGGTTTAAGGAAATTTTTGAGAACCCAGATTTTGAAGTAAATGAAGAATCCTTTGAATTCAAACAACTAAACCCTGTCAAATCTGCTGCTAAGGATATAACAAGATCCTTGACAGCAGTTGAAGAATCAGAAGAAGAAAGAGCCAACGGCGTAGAAGATTCAGAGGAAGAAAGTGAAGAAAGTGAATCAGAAGATGAAGAACTAGCCAAAGCAAATAAAGCCAAAATTGATAAAGAATTAGCAAAATTACGTCAAAAGAAAGAAGATGAAAAAAGATTTAAAAATCAAATGAAAGTATTAGCAAAAGAAACACCAAAACAAACAACAGCAAAAGAAAGTTTTGGTTCACAAGTTAAAAATTTAAGTAGTAAAGTAACAAAACCAAGAGATGATTCAAGATTACAAAGACATGCAAGAGGAGAAGCTGAATTGACTTTTGTTCCTAAAAAGAAAGATAAAAAATATAATAAACCAAGAAATGAAGATGATAGTGGAGTTGATAAAGGTAGAACAAAACAAAGATTTGATGGTCGTAGAATTGCATCAAAGAATCAATTTAGAGGTATGTAGCATCACCAAAATAAATAATTTTTTAATTTTGTGTAAATATCGGTATAACATCTTTTTTTACCACTAGTTTTATCAATTTACAATCAAGTTCAATACAGTAACTCATATTGTATAAACTATAGTTCAGGTCGATAATCAATTCATGAAGATATAGAATCTACTCGAGAAAGGGAAGCTTTATTACTTTTGTCATCATTTTATACTTCCAATCACAATTCTTAATAGATTATGTCAATTAATCAATTCAATCAATACAAAAATAAAGAAGCAGGCATATTAGAGACAAATCCTCAACTACGACCTAAAAACGTTCAGAAAGTTTCATCAGTACCACAAGCTGAAAAATGGAGGAGTATAATATTAGGAGAAGTGTCATCCAAACTAACACAAATAAATGATCCAACTACAAATGATTTAAGATTAAGAGAATTAAATGATGAATTGAATAAATTATTCAAAGAGAAACGAGCTTGGGAATATAGAATTAAAGAACTTGGTGGTACTGATTACATTATACAAAAAAATGATATGATTCATACAGGGTTTAATATAGCAGGTTGGAGATATTTTGGAAGAGCTAAAGAATTACCAGATGTTAAAAAAATGATTGAAGATAAGAAGAAACCTGCTACTAAAAAGGCACCTAAAAGAAAATTAGATGATTTTTATTATGGTAAAATTGAAGATGATAAAGAACTACAAGATTATGAATCTGAAAGATTAAAAGAGCTATTAGAACATTATAATGGTGAAATTAAATTATCAGAACTACCTACAAATGATCAACTTAACAAGTGGTTAGTTGATAAGAAAAGACAACAATTAATGCAAAAGTTAGGCTTATAATATTCTCAGTATATCATTAACTAATACCACATTATTCTCTTTATAAATCTTATTAGTCTCACTATCAGCTTTGGGGTTCACACTTTTTGATAAATTCTTAACCACGTAAGTCTTATAAAGTTTTGAACAATCAATAGCTGAATTTAATACACAATAATCATAAGCCAATCCAACTATAACAACTTCATCAATTTCATTTTCTTTTAATAAATTTTCCAATTCTGTATGATGCAAACCCCAAGAATCTTGAAAACATGAATAATATTCTCGATCTTGTAAATATCCTTTCTTGACTATAGCTTTAGGTATACTTAATTTTTCAAACTCCGTCAAGAATGTTTTTTCAATTGTGGAACCAAAAGTATCTTGTACACAATGATCGGGCCATACTGTTTGTTTTTTAGTTTGATTACTTTCAGGATGTTTGAATTCTAGTTCTGTAAATGGCTCAACATTATGTTGTGATGCAAATGAGGTATGGTTCGAAGGATGCCAATCTTGAGTTGCAACTACTAATGACCAATTTTGGGGTTGTTTGATCAAATTTGTGATTGGTTCAACAATGGATCTCCCTTCTGCTATAGCTAATGATCCATTTGGTGGTAGAAAATCTTCTTGTAAGTCAATTACTAATAATGCTCTTTTCACCATTTAATGTTTTTTGAGTAAATTAGTGATAAAATTGATAAAGCCGCTCAATTGATCAAGCATTTTTTATCAAGCATTTTTTTGACATTTTGAAGTTAAAGATGCAAATTGATGCAATTGTATAATTTAAGGTTCCATTGAATCTGAAAGTTTGGTAAAGCTGTTTGCCTTGTTAAGCTTTGATATTCTTACTTGTAAAAGCATACCCCTATTCTCATTTTTTGCATCCCCTTATCAAATTTCATTTATTATGGCTTCCTTTAGAAATAATAATGTGGAGTGATCTAAAAAATCTTATTTCATTGTTTCAATTGATTACCATCTTTTAGTCTAGAATTTCAATTGATGAGGAAAAGGCTTATTTAGTAGTTCGTTACACATTTTGAGGTAATTAATTTGAAACCGAGGTAAGTAGTACAATACTTTTGTTTAATTATTTGATTCTTACCAATTTCATCAACTCCTTAAATTTAAGATTTTACCAATTAAATTAATTATACCAGTAATTAAAAAACTTTATTGTTCTTGGCAACAATCAATTTGAGGATTAATGGCTTTAAACTTTCTATAAAGATAAGATTTGTAATGAACCTATGCGCTTAAATGGTTTTACAATAGTTAATCTGAATAATATATAAAGACCTCTAAATTTCCATTCAAATTCACAATTTACTCTAAAATTACACAACGAATTTTATATTCAAATCCAACAAATAAACAAATAAAAGCTATTAAAAAAATGATCGGTCAAGAATCACAACAAGTTACTCCAGTTCAAACTGTTGATGCTGCTGAAAGACAAAAACAAAGACAACAAGCTGCTAGAAAATATTAAATTTTTTGACGGTTATATTGATGCTTCATTTTACATTACTTTAAGGAGCTTTGATTTTTTAGCTAGTGGCTATATATTTTTTATATTGAATTAAATATTATTATTTTTATTAGAAAGATTTTAATTCGTAGATCCATTCTAATCCGTAAAAACGTTGTATCCTTTTGTTATTTCTAGTTCTAGATTTTTTATTTTTTGCAACCAAATTTAACTTCAAAACTGCTTATTTAAACCAGGGATAAAAACATATGTTTCATCGACATAAAGTTAATTGAATAGATGCATAAAACAACCTTAACTCCTTTCAACAAGTGCTTATAAATAATGCATCAATGTTAGTCCAAATTTACAGTTAAATTTTTTGGAAACTATAACTCCAACAAAACAATAAAGTACAAATTATATTAACAAAGATGCCAAGACATTCACAAGATTCTGCTGAAGGTAAAGCTAGACAATCATCAATGGATAAACAAGCTTATGTTGCTGGTCAAAGAGCAATGGCTGAGGAAAGAATTGAACAAAGTGCTAGAGATAAAGCTAATTATGAATCTTCAAAATCAAGTAGTGATTCTAAAGACACCTGATTAATTTAGTGAAAAAAACCGGTTCAAGAGTATATAGGATATTTAAGTGATTTATTAAAATCATATATGAATTATATTTATTATTTATCTCTATAGATCTTCTATTATTACATTATTATTACAGATTTCTAGCAATTTATTTGAACAATTTCTTCAACCAACTTTATATCTCCATTTTTTTTCTTTGTTGATGTTATAATTAAAGCACTTAATTTCCCACCTTTATCACAACCAGAATCTAATCCCTTTGTATATTTTTTCAAATTCAAACCTCTTCCTGCATCATGACCATAATAAACAACATAATTAGCAGGTGGTTTACCTTTTTTAGAATTATATACTTTTGACCAACTTATAGCATTTGGTACATCACGTTCTGCTGAAGTTTCATTATAATAAGGACCAATTAATGATCTCATTTCCATATTATCTATTGGATTTTGTTGTACTAATGTTAAATCTGGTCTTACTCCTGCGTGAACTGCAATACCTGGAGTTAAAGTTGTACCAATTAATGATACATCACCTAATTCTTTTATAATTGAACAATTATTTATGTATTCAACATGTTTTGGTTGTAATTTTTTAGCTAATATGAATTCTGGATCATTGTTAAAAGAATCTTTGATTTTAAATTCTGGTGGTGGATCATTGTTTAAAAAACTTGGTTGATCTAACATATGAAAAGTTGCATAATTTTGTAATAAATAAAATTCATGATTTCCCATTATACAACTAATATTATTATTAATTAAATAATCTAACATTTTAAAATTATCTGGTCCTTTTGTTATAAAATCTCCTAATACAATTAATTCATCTTTTTTATTATTATAATTAGCTTTCTTTAACAACTTCTGGAACTCTTTGTAATGACCATGAATATCTCCAATCATTATTAACCTATTAACTTGTGATTTATGATGATGTGGTAATATTGAAACATTTACATCTGATATATGAACAATAGGTTGTAATGGAATAGCTTTGGGTATATAATAATTTGGTAAAATAATGGTGAAAAACCAAAGTAAAACCAACGTTATTGCTCCAATACTTGTATATATTATAGCTTTTGTTTTAGAACTCCATGGTTTTTGATAATCATCATATTCTTCTAAGTTTTGCTCTTCATCATTATATTTGGGTATAACTCCATTTAATGGAGTACTTTCACTCATTTTTGAAAACGTGCTACTAATAAACACTAATTTATTAATCAAATCTAATGAATATTTTAAACTAGCATTTATATAATAATCGATAGGGACGTGATGATATAATAATTTTAAATTGTAATTGTAGTAGTTATTTAATATTGTATTACTTAAAAAAATAAATACAATATTATTACACAAATTAAAATCTATTGTGTTACATGTGGTGGTTAAGTAAAATAATAGAACAATTTTAAATATTCTTTATATTACTTAATTCAAAATTTAACAAGTTTTACATTTGCATAATATAGGAGATATAGATTAATACAAATACAAACAAACGATAAGACGAATAATAAAACAAGAATTTCCATCAAAGCTTTGTGTAAATCGTTACTTTTCACGATTATGAGTTTTTAAATCGAATAATCTATAAACTTAATTATAAAGAATATGCACATATCAAAAGATAGAATTCTATCTATGGTTTTAAACATTCTGTTAAAATTTTATTAACCCAATTAATTTCTTTTTGTTCTAGTCTTGACCAAATTTTATTAATCAAAGTACTATATTATGGCTAATTAAAATGATTGTGATCATTAAACTAAATTTATATTGAAAAATTTCGTTAATTTTCTTTATTAAGTATTAAGACTGAAAATCCAATTTACGATCATTTTCGAATTAAAAATAAGTCATGTTTTTTAGATGGTAAGTTGTAACGATAGAATTAAAATTCGAAAGTATTAATTACGGTGGATATTACAACCCGAAAATCAGAATAATCAAAGAACAATCAAAACGTTTCTCTTGGGATTACCAGAAAACTGAATTCCTTGTTCCTCTAATCATGAAGAAAAGTCCTATAATCAATCTAGAAACATGCTCAAAAATACATTTGCAATTCTAAAAGCTGCTAAAAGTTGTATATCGTGTAGAACTAAAACCTTAACCTAAAAACTAAAAAATTACTCCTAAAATTACTCCTAAAAATGTCTTAATTAAACCAGTTTTTTTAACCTCCACCAACACCTTCTGGTCTTTCAACTTCCTTTTCAATAATTAAATCTCTTTTTAACAATTCTCTTAAATCTTCACCAATTTCATCAGAAACATTTGAAGTTTCATAAGGATCAGAATTTAATTTTTTTAAACTATTATCTCTATCAATTATATTTAACATTCTTTTAAATTTTAAAAATAAAATTTCTGATCTAATTAATAATGGATCTAATTTTAAATGACCAGATAAATCATTAAAATATTTTAAAACTTCATCAAATTGTTTTAAATTTTGAACTACTATTCTTTCATTATCACTTAATATAGCTAATGCAAAAAATAAATGAAATTGTGATGAATAATAATCAGTCCATAATATTTCCCATAATCTATTTACTTGTTCGAAATCCAATTCCCTTTTGTACCAAACTAATAACATTCTAAAAAAGAAAAACAAGTCATTTGATTGACATAATTCTAAATGCTTATATAAGTTGGGTAATGTAAATTGTAATAATTTGTTCAACACCATCATTTGTTGTTTCATTCCTTGTTGACTTCTCAAAAAATTTCTTTCCATTCTTGTCATGAAATTCGAGAAAGCCCAAAAAGTTAAAGTTTCATCTTGGAATATAACATATAATGGTGATAACAAATCCGTCATACCTTGAACATAACCTAAATTTGTATTATATTCATTAAATGTTAATAAAATTTCTCTCATCTTAAACAAATGTTCATTTCTAATATTAGATACATCAAATTGATCATCACTTTCATCTACTTCACCTTCAACGTTTTTAAATAATTCAATTGATCTATCAGTTCTTTGAACATCTTTTTCAATTCGAAATTTTTGATCTTTCCAAAATTCAGTATTTCTTTTATCTTCATCATTTACCCATTTTAATTTTAATTCTTCATATCTTGTAGCATATGAATTTTTTAAAGCTTCTCTTTCTTCAGTTGATGAATCCCATGGATAAACATTTAATAAAAATAACCAAGCTTCTTTTCTAACTTCAGGAGCTAAACCTCCATGAAATATTCTACTTTTAACTTCTTCAACTGTAATACATAATCTACCAGAATAATCAAAAAATCCTTCCCATTCTTGTAAACTTATTTCTTCCCTTCTTGATGTTCTACTTAGTTCTTCTTGTGTTAATAATTCTTCAGAACCTAATTCTTTATTCAATTTATTATAAATATCATCATCTAACATATATTTTTGTGAACTTAGTTCTGCTTCTTCTTTAACTTGTTGAGCCCATTTAGCTAAATATATTCTTGCTGAATCAAATTCATCCCCTATCTTGGCAACTTCCGGTTGATACATTATTTCTTTTATTGGAGCTGGTGCATTATCTTCAATTAAATCCATAACTTGATTTTTAGTTTTAGCTGAAAATGTAGCAACAGTTTCTAAAACTTTCCATTTAGCAGTAGCAAATAATTTATTAACATCTGGTAATTTAAATGAATTATCTTGTGGAATTGGTTCTGGTTTTTTTTTAAAAGGTGCAAAATTTCTTAAATCATCTGATTCAGGATTTATTAAATAAACGGTTGGTTCAAGTGATGATTTTTGTACATTTACTAAAGTTTTTAAAATTTTTAAAAAATCAATTGCTCCCCAATACATTTCTCCATTATTATCATCACCAAAAGGATCAAATTGTTGATTTTGTAATTTTTGATTCTTTAAAGTTGATGAACTTTCATCATCATGGAAAAACATTATTGGTAATTTTTCACCATCTTGAGTATTTATTATAATACTTCCATACCAATATCCATGACTTGGGTTTCTAAATTGTATACTATAAATATATGATAATGTAGTTGTAAATGAATATGAACTTAAAATAGATGCACTTGGTTTGGGAACTATTCTACTTATTGGAGCTTTACCTTGCTTATTATATTTTAATGATCCTAAATTTAAATCAACTGTTTCAACATCTATTTTGTTGTAAGTGTCAATTTCTTCTTTACTTAAAGTATTTTCAGGTGAAAATGCTAATATGATTTCTAAATTTGTTGAATTTGAAGTTCTAGAAAGCGTTAAGAAACCAGGTAAATTGTCCTTTTTTGATGGTGTCGGGTGTAAATAAACTTTTGATTTAACAAATAATAATTCCACTTCTCCCTGATGTAATATTCGTTTAGCTGATAATGACATTGATCTATTGGTTTAAGAAGAAGTTGGGATATCCTTGTTGAAATCACAATCAAAATTTAAAAAATCCAGAAATCGCAATCTGTCTGGTAGCGGCAATTATCTTTAGGGGGCTTTGCCATCTAAAAACTCAAGGTTCATGACTTTTTGTTGAACCAATAAAGGAAATATCTTTTGGTACCAAATCTCTTTCTTTGTCAGTTGGGTTTATTTTTATATTAAAAGGTAACTATCCTGGTATGAAAAGTACCTGTACTTGCATACCTGATTATAATTCTAAATTTGTATTGTTGTCCTTTTTGAAATACTCGTAATTAAAAAGTTTCTTTGTCACAAAGTTTTACGTAAACTACTCAATTTATAAAATTTTGAAAAAATCACTATATTAAACAAATATAAGTGATTTGATTGGAATATTTCTTAGCTGATTAATCAGTATATTCTTTGATTTAAATGGACTTATTAAACTGAAGTGACACTAATTTAGTCGTGTAATGAAATACAATTTTAAAAACAATTCGCTTCAGATTTTTGTGTCAAGTTTCAGAGAAGTTTACAAAATGTTCTATACAGGATCATGTCAATTCTTACCTTTTGAAAATTCACAACAATTACATTAGTTAACAACTTCGATAAAGACATATATGAATGACTAATACTTTTATTGGTTGCTGGTGATGTTCAGGTTTCTATAGTGTCTATAGTGTTCACGTGTCTTAGTTTATGGTGTTCAGTAATTGAAATCAAAACAAATCCAAAACTTGATAATAATTATTTTTTTGCCTCACCTTTTTTAATTTAGTCTCACTAACTTGATCTCTTTTCAAAATCTCTCTTTCTCTCTCTGTCTCTTTGATCTCTCTCTCTCAACTTTGATAATAATAAAATTCGTATGTTTTTGTGCGAGTAGTTTTTAAATTTTAAAACCAAAACAAATAATCTAAAATCACTACAAAAGAAAAATTCAATTTAAAAATCAAATTTCCCCAAAATTATTTTTATAATTTTTTTATATTCACCTTTTTCTTTTAGTAACTTCATAAGGTTAATAAAGTATAAATAAACTCAATCTTCATCATTATGTCATCTACAAAAACAACTTCTTACAAGGGTATGTAAAAAATGATCAAAGGGATAGTTTAATACGTATAATTGAGGCAAAGTTGATACTAACTCAATATTCTATAGATATGATTAAAACTGCCATCCTTACTTTAAAAGAAAGAAATGGTAGTTCACGTCAATCCTTGAAAAAATATGTTCAATCAAACAACGATGTTAAAGGTAATTTTGAATCATTATTCAACTCTGCTTTAAGAAAAGGTGTTGCTTCAGGAGAATTTATTCAACCAAAAGGACCAAGTGGACCAGTTAAATTAAATAAATCAACAGCTCCATCAACCGAAACTAAAAAACCAGCTAAAAAAGTTACTAAACCATCAACTACTACTGCTAAACCAAAAGCTGCTAAAGTTACTAAACCAACTACTAAAAAAGCTACTACTGCTCCAAAAGCCAAAAAATCTGCTACTACTACTACTGCTGCTGCCCCAAAAAAGGCAGCTCCAAAAAAAGCTGCTGCTGCTAAAGCTGTTTCAAAAAAAGCAACTAAAGCTAAAAAATAGATTTGTGAAATACTTTTATTATTATTTTTTCAATTCTTTAAGTCAACAAAATCTATAACTTAATACCTCCGTTTTTTTCTTCATAAGTTTGGTTGTTACTTTTTTCAATTTTTGCTTCTTTCAAGTGTTTTTTTATTATTATTAATTTTATAGTTATCTACAAGTTTTTATAATTAATATATTTTATGTTTTAATCGTTATAAGTTTATTGATATACGCAAAAGCTTCAAGGTCATACTTTTGGTTCTACCCCAACGTAATCTTTTATCTAATTTATCATTAATACTATACTATCTACAACGTTTACTTTTGATATATTCGTGTTTTAAAGATTTCTTTGTATATTTACAATAGCTTCAAGGACATACTTCTTTCTCTTCCCAATGTAATTCATCATTTAATTCATAAACAAATCTTTTATCTTTATCTTGTTCATAATAATCAACATAATTTATAAATAACCCCACCAAGACAAAATTCTTAAATCCATCATCATCTTTTTTACCATCAACACCTCTTTGTATCTTTGAGATTAATTTTAAATTTTCGTCATTCATTTCTGATTTAGGATGTGGTTTTCTAAATGAAGTTTTCATAGATTTTGATAATTGTTCCCAATTTCTTTTTAGTTCTTGTTCCCATTCTTCTTTGGTAGGTGGAATTAAATTTTCTGTATGATGATTTTCTTCTTGAGAATTTTGATTTTTAGTAGTTGATGGTGATAATAATGATGATTGTATAGGTTTTGATTGTATATTTGAATTTGTGTTGTTATCATTAGCTCCATTAATATGACTTAAATCTATATTTGGTATATGTTCATCATCTATAATTTTAGCAATACCTCTAAATCTAATTTGTTTTCTAATATGACTAAACCAAAATACTGCTTCTATTTTATCATCCACTAAAAGTTCTTGATATTTTTCCATTCTTTTATCGGTTGTAAAAGTTAAAATATTTGATGATTTGTTATCAAATAACCAACCTCTATATATTAATGTTCTATTTTTTGGATAACCTGTTTTAGTATCTATTGTAGCTAATTGAAAAGTTGTAAAAGGTGGTTTATGATCCGTTGCTGTTAATTCTCCATTTATACAATTATTTAATAATGGAACCCAAGGAGCTTGAAAATTATATTGAACCATTTTCGGTATATTTGATTTTATTGCTTGATTAATTGTGTATTAATTGATTGATCTTTGATACCAGTAATTGATTTGAAGTAAATTTGAGATAATAGACCAGTCTGCTAAACTTGATAATTTAAGATTGCTAATACTAACAAACTGTAAAATTAATGGTCGTATGATATTAAAATAAAAGCTTGATAAATTTAACTTATAAAGCTCAAATCAATTTTTCTTTTTTGCATCAAATATCTCCGAACGAAAAAGAGAAAGAGAAAGAGGTTTCTCAATTAATTTTAATATTATTACACTAAACTTATATATCTACCACGTGTATAGAATAGTTGGTCAATCAGTTGTAGTTACAATCAAGTTGAATAGTCAAACTTACAAATCAATTAGCTGAAAATTAACTTAACAACCCAAAAAATCATGATTAAAATTTGACATGAAAACTAAGCAATTCAATTGAAATTAAATTTGTTACATATCATAATTAAATCATAATAGAGTAGAATATTTCTCGGTATTTCGTAATGATTCGGGTTTAATTAAATCCTTTATTTAATGATATAATAATTTATTAAACAACAAATAAATCAATTAGTTACTTCCAGTTGTTCTATTTATTTATCAGCACTTTCTTTTTCATCTGCAATTGTTGGCTTATTAATGGTTTGTTTTCTCAATTTTGTAACTTTCTTTATTAGAAACTAACTTATAAGCAGTGTAATCTAAGTTTTCAGTTTCTAAACATCTCTCACCATCAATATTTGTAACTATACCATTTTTCTGAAACTAATCTAAGTGTATGATAATATAGGGTTCCAAATTTTAAGAATATATATCTGTTTTTTGAAATGTATGTTGTAGAGGTATAGAATCATTGAAATTTTATTCAAGTGGTTCAAGCTCAAGTTCCTCTCGACCTAGGAAATTGAAACTAATAATATTTTCTGCAGTACTCAATATACGTTGTAAGGTTGATGTGATTCCTAAAGTGAAATATTTGTTAGTGGCTGAATAGTAGATTGGCTTTAAGACTTACTTTAAGATGGATGTATAAATTGATTTCCAATCAATTTGTTGGTTTTTGGCAATAAAACAACTATAAATAATTATAGTTGAAAATAAAGTTTACAAAAAAAGTGAAAAGTACTCCAAAAGCTACGAATAGGATTTATTAATTTTTATTCATAGCATTTGTATTTAATTCAAAAATTAATTTTAAAACACTGTGTTTCATGTTACCTCTTGTTAGTGACGATAGGGAAAAGTTGATTTGCATGATTTTATCTAAATTTCATTCATCTTTTGAAACCTAATAATTACAAAATTTGTTTCAGCTGACCACATAATCCTTGATCTCAACTTGATTCATTACTCATAGGACATATATGATCCAATTGACTTTTAAAATATGAAAGAACAAAGTCTATATTCTCTCAACTTTTAAGGTCAAAATTATTCAGTACTGCAGTAAGGATGCAAAAAAGGTAGATAGATTGAAAGTTGTAAATTTAATCTGAGTGTCAAATTTGTAAATGTTTTGTCAAAAAGTTTTGCTGCTTTGGCTTAGATTTTTGTGTAACTGCTTGTTCTGTATGGGATAGATCACGAGTTAGCAGTAGAACTAATAATGACGGTGGTTATAGCGAAATAGTGGAGGATATGAAGGAAGAGATTTTGGAAGACCAACATATGATAACAGATGTCGAGTAAGTCTTGTAGAACACAATGATTCTTTGATGGTTGAATATAAAAGTTATAATAATGAATGGTTTAACGCGCTAAATTTGAGGACTAATGAAATTATGTTTACGTATTAAGAATTTTTGAATGTCTTAGATAAGGCCTCTTCCACATTAAATCATTAACGAAAGTAATTTTGAGTCAAGTCAAAATTGTTTTACTAATAGTCATTTAAGATCATTTCTTTTTCAATGAATTAAACATCACCGGATAATGACATAAGAAAAATGCATACCTCGGGGTCAATCAACTAATAAAATTAGATCCATTAGATTTAGTTCATTTAATAATAGACGTATTGATGGACAGCTCGCTTTCAATTAATTCACGTCAAACATGGTTATTAAATTTAAGGGTACCCTTTCCTGGTTTTAGTTGATGTGGTCTAACTCCTAAATTGGATCTCCCTTATCATAAAATTTAAGAATTAATAAGATCTGAACTATTATATTTGCCATTTTACAACTCATTATTCAAAACTTTAAAGTGGCGCTACTTGTTTTTAATACGAATTGCATAAGTTTCTGACAAATGGATAAGTCAATAAAGTAATAGAATGAAGAAAAAACTATCCAATAGGTATTTCAAAATATTCAATTATTCGAAGTTAAATCCGCGATCAGGTTATGTCATGGCAAAGACATAAAGACATTTGTAAAGTTATTGTAAAGCAATGATACAGATATTAATTAAAGTTTTATTTATAGCAGATCATAATAACGTATCAAAAGCAGAAGAGTATATGTCTTGGATCAATTTTTTCAAAATCATATCTCGTCTTTTTAACAGCAGGTTCAAGTACTTCAAATATGAAATTTGCAATTAAATGGTGGAATAATTGCTGAAATGGTTTTTGGAGCAGATGTTGAATTTGCATGAGATTTAGGTACAGAAAGTATTTTATCTTTTTAAAAACTTAGCAGAATTAGTTGAGTAAATAAGACATAGACAATTCGTAGATGGAGTTACAATCCCAAAAACATTAAAAAAATTGTTTTCAGTTATAAATGAAGGACAATTTAGCAATCAAGAAGATTTCAACCCATTAATTGACTCCATAAAGTACCAAGGGAATTATCATTTTGTAAGTGATGAACTTTACTTATTTTTAGATGCTCACAAAAAGTTAGAAATTGTATTTGGTCATCATGGAGGTGATTCAGAAGATGTTAATCATTTACATAAATGGGTAAAAAAATGTGTGTGAAGTGTTGCTAATATGGGATTTTATTTCAAGTGATCGTTACATTGATGAATGTGCAGAAAATAATTGGAATGATGAACCTTCAAATTATTAGATTGTTAAATTTTGAGTTCTTTGTAAGTGGGTTTAACATACATTTATCAAATTTTAGGTGAGGACATCTCATGAAAGCACAATTGATAAAAATTTTTGAGTATAAGCTGAAATGCAATTGTTGAAGCCTCAGTCGTCCATTGGAAGACGAAGTTGGCGCATCCTTAAGAGATTTAGAAACTTATGGTTCTCACAAACATATAATTCAAAAGTTGTTGCAACATATGGGGAATTGATTATATTTTGATTTGAGTCGATACATTTAAGTTGCAAATGCGCTACCAAATATTACAATACTTCAAATCGGCATTCCAAATTTATTTAGGGTTATTTAGGGTCTAAATTTGCATCAATTGAGATACATACTAACGAGCCACATACTTAAAGTTGAAGATAGCATTACAAAATAACAAAAATCACCAAATATAAATTCTCAAGATTTTCCCAAATCGATTTCAAAATTTATGTCACTTTTTTTTTACTTCTTTCTCACTAATAATAAATTTCACCTTTTCCACAGCTTCACAGCATACTTCTTCTGACTGTGAGAGTTTATAAGTTCAATCCACTTTATTATTATTAAATTCAAACTTTTTTCCAATTACTTATTAATTATGTCAATTTTCAAAAAAATTTCATTATTCCACCACTCCAAAAAATCAACTAAATCATCATCACCAGAGTCATCATCAATTGAAGGATCATCACCAAATTCATCATCAACTGATAAAAAACACCACAACTTTCTCAAAAAATTATTCAAAAAAAATAGAAAAGCAAAAAAAGTTGATTCACCACCACCACCAGAACAACAACAACAACAACAACAACAACAACAACAACAACAACAACAACAACAACAACAACAACAACAACAACAACAACAACAAGAATTAAAAAATCTGATAAATGAAGATGTAATACAAGAAATGCAAGAAGACAATAAACAAGAACTTGCTTTAATCAAATATATTACCCCATCTAATGAAGAATAAGACATGGAAAACTCATTTATAAACAACAGACCAAGATTTGAAGAACCCACTCAAAAAGATTTACAAAGCCTCCCCATCATAAAACAATCATATATTGAAGATTTGGAAAGCATATATGATGATGGTGAAAATGCTTTCTATAGTTTCAAAGAAGAAGAACATCATTATTCAAATGAACATCTTTATAATAATCATACTAGAAATGCTTTTTTTAGTTTTAATGAGGAAGAACATCATTATTCAAATGAACATTTTTACAATAATCATTTTTACTCGGATGATTGGGCAAATACAAGTTCAGATGAACCAAGCTTTAATTATACTCGATTTGATTTAGACGAAGATGAAATTCAAGATCAGCAACAACAACAACATCATCAACAACAACAACAACAACAACACAGATTTTTCAATGCAGATGTATCATATGCAAGTGTTGAAGGTGAATCATTTGATCAACATAACCATTTCCATTATTTTGAAGAATATCAAGAAGATGAAGAAATAGAAATAAATAATACTTTCTCAAGGTTTAAAAAAGTTTTCTCAAAATTAAAAATGTATGTTAAAGGAAGAATAAAAGTATTGATGCAGAAGGACTGATACTAAGGTGTTTAATAAGATTTAAATTTTATGGTTTTAGTTGTTGTACCTATATTTTCATTTACTTAAACACCAAAATTTTACAAAATTATAAAAAATTTAAAAGTGAATTTAAATATTAGTGTGTTTTGTTGTTGAACATTCTTATTTACTTCACCACAAAAATTGAATCTTAAAAATATCATTAATACTAATCAGTTGATTCTTCATTATCACAAAAATATTCAGTTTAAAAAAAATTATTAACACTAATCAGTTGATTCTACATCATCACAATAATATTCAATTCAAAATCATTAATACTAATCAGTTAATTCTACATTATTACAATATTATTCGATCTAAAAGAAATCATTAATACTAATCAGTTGATTCCAATACTAAGGTGTTTAATAAAATTTAAATTATATGGTTTTAGTTGTTGTACCTAATATTTTTATTTACTAAAACACCAAAATTTTACAAAATTATAAAAATTCTAATGGTGAATTTAAATATTAATGTGTTTTGTTGTTGAACATTCTTATTTACTTCACCACAAAAATTCAATTTAAAAAAAAATCATTAATACTAATCAGTTGTTCTACATTACCACAATAATATTCAATCTAAAAAAGAACCATTAATACTAATCAGTTGATTCTACATTATCATAAAAATATTCAATTTAAAAAAAAATCATCAATACTAATTAGTTGATTCTACATTATCATAAAAATATTCAATTCAAAAAAGTATCATTAAAACTAATCAGTTAATTCTACATTATCACAAAAATATTCAAAATCGACTAAAAATCATTAACACTAATCATTTGATTCTACATTATTACAATATTATTTAATCTAAAAAAAATCATTAATACTAATCAGTTGATTCCGATACTAAGGTGTTTGATAAAATTTAAATTATATGGTTTTAGTTGTTGTACCTAATATTTTTATTTACTAAAACACCAAAATTTTACAAAATTATAAAAATTCTAAAGGTGAATTTAAATATTAACGTGTTTTGTTGTTGAACATTCTTTATTTACTTCACCACAAAAATTAAATCTTAAAAATATCATTAATACTAATCAGTTGATTCTACATTATCACAATAATATTCAATTCAAAAAAATATCATTACAACTAATTAGTTGATTCTACATTATCACAAAAATATCCAAAATCGACTAAAAATTTCAATTGACTTCTTTTATTGCTTTCAAAATTAAATCATCATTATTGCAATTCAAATTACAAAATAAAAAATTAATATCAACAAATCAATTTTCCCAATCTACCACAACAAATCATAAATATATTAAATTCAACAATTCCAATTGGACTGGCCCCTCAATTAGTACAATTTTAATGTATTCACAAAAATCACAATTTCAAATCACCAAAAATTATTTGTTTAATTCAATAATGTACAAAAAAAAAAAATTGTCTTATAACCAAATATTGCTAATTTATATTAAAGTAAAATATAATTCCAATTTCTTTCAACCGTATCCTGTAGTATTTATCTCTATCTCTTTTCTCTAATAATAAAACTTTTATTTATAACATGTTCATTTAGTTTAAAATTAATTAATATGAAAACATGTGTTTCATATTTTTCTTTCAATAAGCTCGTATGAATATGTCTAACAATATGAATTTAAATTACACAAAACCTTAAAATAAAGGGTTCATTTCTGAAAATACACTATTTCCGAACCCTAACTTGATTATTGCAAGTGACAGTTAATTAATTTTACTAGTATCTTAATATTACTATACATATATACATTAGCTTTCATTAATATCATCCTCGTCATCATTTTCTATAGCTCTACCTTTAACAAATTTTTCAATTTTAACTTGTTCATTTAAATTTTTATATAATTTAATTGAAGTACCAAAAGATCTAATCAACACAAACGACAAAAACAGATAAGTGAAAATTATATTCATTTTAGATTTATTTAAATATCCCAAAATCAAACCTGGTAAATGAGTAACAAGGGAAAATTTTAAAACTTTATAAAATCCATTTTTATGAAGTTGTTGATTAAAATTTGGATCTAGGTTTTTTGAATTATATAAACATTTTAAAACTGGTAATATTGTCCATATTGATGCTAATAAATGAAATGGAATTGATATACCATTTAAATGAATCATATGAATTGAAACCATCCATGCTGTCCATAATGAATAAGAAATTAAAAATGATACTGTTGAAGTTGCATTTAAATTAAATACTCCAACATCTAAAATTCTTTGTAATGCATTTGGTCGATCATTAATTTCATTTGTACCAATTTGTTGATAATGTTTATCTACTATTGACAAAATTTTTAATTCAATAATTAATCCAGTTGATAAACTTGTTAAATCAGCTAGTTTCCAATCAATTTCTGTAGGTCCAATATATGGAATAAAACTTAATAAGCTAGAAGCAGCATATACCAAGGGTCTTCCTAATATCAACGCGGATACAATAGTTCCAACAATTAAACAAATTGCGAAAAAATTAAGAATCAAAATAAGTCCATAACACCTGGTTTTAAAAGCTGGAGGTCTATAAACAATAGTGTGAACATCATCAGAATTTAATTCTTCTTCTTCACTTGAAGGGGTTTCATAACCAGATGATTTTATATCTTCTTCACTAACATCTTTCAATAATTTATCATCTTTTGTAACTGGTACAAAAAGCTTTTTTACGAATTTACGGGTAACGGTATCATTTCCTGGAGCTCTTACAAAAAACCCATCAGGGACAAAACATGCATTAACTTGTGGATTTGATTTGAAAATTTCTTGAGCTTCTCTATAAGTTACTGGTTTTGAATAATCTGGTTGTGCAGTACCTAAAATTTGTTGAGTAAAATTTCTATAAATAATATGACCTCTTTCATGCAGAATTGGTTTACCCAATATAAAATGTGATAATCTTAATTTATGTGCACTGATTTCAAAAGCTCTTTTCCAATACATTCGAATATATTTTGTAATTACTGGTTGAAGTTCATTTGCTAAAACAAAAAATGCTAATGATGTAAATAAACTTGAATTTGTATTGACTTGAATTGGTAACATTACATTATATTTACCATGATCAGGAGTAACCAAATATCTTAAACCCCAAGTAACTGATCCAATCCCAAAAACTATAAAAGCAGTGTAGACTTTACCAGATAAAACTATTCTAGATAATTGTAAACTTAAAGGTTTCACGAGAGCATCATGAATCAATCTAGCATTTGGATCATCTGGAGATCTTATAAAGAACAAAACTCCTGGTCTTAATATATTGCTCCTAACCATTCCAACAAATAATGCAAAAATTAACATATAAATTGTTCCACTTAACCAATATATACTCACTCTAACATAACTAATTTGAGTTAATTCACTACTTGACGTAAGGACACCATTGGGTTTGTTCATAAATAATGGGGCCGCGCAAATATCTAATAAGGAACCACAATATACTGGGAATAAAAAAATTTCAATAGCGAAAATTAAAAATACTTTGGCTGTTGAACTAATTTCAAATAATATTTTGAAAACTTTTCTTGAAGTTCCCAAAATTGGTCTTTTTTTGGAAATTAAATGTTTCATAAGTTGATGAATAAAACCAATAATAATACTATAACCAATTAATATCAAACAACTTCTTTCAACTAAAGTTAATTGTGGTGGTTTTTGGAAAAATAAATCATTAATGAGGTTTTTTATGACCATGAAAATTTCATTACTTGAAGCTAATAAAAAATTTAACACTTCGTTATTAGTGGTGGTGGTTCTTAATTCATTAATGACTGAAATCCATTCATTGACTATATGTGGTGTGAATGAACTAATATATTTTAAAATGAATCCAGTAACGAATACAAACCCATTCCCAATCAAATGAGGAACTAAGTAAATCAAAAATAAATAAGCAGTAATAATTGCATCACATAAGACCATAATAAATAACGGGGTTTTAATATTCAATGTAAATCCGAAAATTTCTAAAAATTCACCAATTGCTCCATTATTATTATTTGGTAATGCATCATCATCAATATCTTCTCCATCTTCTTCATCATCAAACATTTGATCAAATAAATTTGGTTCTGGTTCTTCCACCACCAAGTCATTTTCATTTAAAATTTCAATATCTTCTCCAACTGGTTCATCACTTCCATCTGAATCTTCAACTCTATTTAAGATGTGTTGTCTTTCTTCATTTCTATCACCATTAAATAATTCTCCTCTATTCATTGCTCTTCTTAAATTTTCTTCAAAATTTATCATTTGATCATTTCCTTGATCTTGTAAATCATTTATTGCTCTATTTAATTGATCTAATCTTTGAATATTTGTTGCTGCATTTCTTTGATCTTCATTTTCACCTCTTCTTAAACTATCCAATGCATTTTGTAACATATCAACTAATTTTGTTTTGGGTTCTTTACCAATCTTTCTATGTAATAATTTAAGGTATCCTTCATCTCTTATAACCCATTCTCTTTCAACAAATAATGCAATATGAACTATAATAGCAACAACTAAGTATCTTACACCACTGAAATAAGTATAACTGAAAAATGTTCTCAATTTTAATAACATTAGTTGTAGGCTTGACATATTAGAATTATTTTTAATTAATGAAACAATATCATATTCTCCAAAATATAATGCATTTAAAAAATCTTGATTATTAATAGGTAAACTCCCATCTATTGCCCAAGTATATATTCTACCACAAAATTTCCAAAAAATAGGTACTTGAATCAAAACACATGTAATATATAATGAAATACTTAACATTTTAATAAAAGTATCTGAAATTAATTGAATAAATTTTGACCAAATTAAATTTAACGGTATAGTTTTTGGCATATTTGGATCATAAATGATTTTGAACTTATAGTTTGTATTACAAATATCACATTTTTCAGTAGATTTATTCGAATGCTTTAACCATTCCAATAAACAATCTTGATGAATATATTTGATTGAACCTCGACATTTACATGGATGATATAATGGTTGATTGGGAGTTCCTTCTCCTCGACAAATACGACAAGTATGATCTATATCCGCGGCCATCTTGATATGTTTTCCTGCTAGCGGTTTATGACTTTACTATGTTGTAAAAATGATGGAATAAACGTTGTATAGTTGATCTGATTTACTTAGTAATTAAGCTGCACAAGATTTTTAAAACAAATACGATTAGATTGTCATGACAGAGAATATCAATTTGAGACAAGCATTTTATTACTTAAACTATTAAACATCAAAACCAGATTATGTTTTACTCTTTTACCTTCTTTTCCCTTTTCTTATACTTCTTTCTCTTTGGTTTACCATCTTCATCATATTCCACTGCTCTTTTTTTATATTTTTTACGTCCAGTAGCAGTTAAATTTTGATTATCATCATTTTGTAAATTTTCTTCATCATTATCATTTTCACCATCATCTTCATCATTACTATTATTATCATCATCATCATCATCCATTTTAACTTTATCATTATCTTCTTCAAATAATTTTTTAGCTTTTTCTATTCTTTGTTGTTGTTCTAAAATATATAACATTCTACTTAATTTTAATGGATCATTTTTTAGAGCAAATGCTAAATCATTTAATTTTATTCTGTTACGACCTTGGGTTTTGGCGTAATTGACCATTGATGTTGATAATTTGGTTATGAATTCAATTAATAAATCTTCTAATGCTGATATTGTTGATTCTAATGAATATGGTTGATCTCCCATTGAATATAGTAAATTTTCGATATCTTTTGCAAAAAGTTTACGGTTTTTGGATTTCCTTTTGGTTGCTTGGATTGAAGGTAGATTACTTGGTGGTGGATTATTAAAATTTGGTTGTTGATTAGACATTGTTGAAGTAATGAATTATGATTAGAAAAGAGTTGTCTAGATTAAGTTGATACTTTTATTTTGTGTTGTGTTTTATTTACAAAAGATTCTACGTACATTTAATCATTCTCAAGCTTAAATTTTTCTACAACTTCCATAATCAAAAATCAAATTACACTTTTGGATTAAATTAAAAATTAAATAAATAAGAATATCTATACATATTATTAAAGCTGGCTAATCATATTAAGCCAATGGATCTCTTTTTTTCCATTCCAAAATTAAATCGTCTTTTGGGAAAATAGTTGCAAATACTTTAATTTCTTCTGATAATTTTGTTTTATGATGAATCAAATCAGAATTCATTAAAAATTTACCCAACATACCTGTGAAAGTCATTAAAACATAATTTTGTCCTAAACAAACGTGAGGACCAGTACCAAATACTAACCAATTACGTTTATTCATATCTCCTACTGGATTTGCCCATCTTTCTGGAATATAAGAATCTGGATCTTCATAAACTTCTGGATCATGTAATGCAGGATATAAAGTTGGTATAATCATTGAACCTTTTGGTGCTGAATAAGTTTCTGTTACTGGGAATGATTTTTTAACAACATATGGTACCATTAAAACAGGTGGTCTATATCTTAAACTTTCTCTTACTGCATAGTTTGTATATGTCATTTCATTGATTAAATCAAGAGTTAATGGAACTGATGGATCATTATTTCTAACTCTCAATTGTTCTTCTCTTATTTTTGCAGCAACATCTGGTCTATCTGCAACAATTTGAAATAACCAACAAGCCAAAGAACTTGAAGCATCTTGTGAAGCAAAAAGGAAAGTAAAAATAACTTCAGAAATTTCTCTATTTGAAAATTCTCTAACAAGTAATCTAGATTCTGCATCATCTAAATGTTTTTCTCTTGCATCTTTCATAAGATGAATCCATTCATCCATGATACAAGTTGGTTTACCATTTTCTTTATTTATATGAGTTTTAGCCATTTCTGCACAATTTTCAAAAATTTTCATAGTATCATCAGCAATTTTTTTACCATACCATGTTTTAGTATATGGTATTATAATTGGAAAATTAACTAATTCTAAAGCTGCAGTAACTCTATAATAATTATCAGCAATTAATGCAATTTGTTCTTCAGTTATATAATCACCACAAAATGTTCTTAAACTTAATGCACATAATAATTCTCTAAATTCTGGGAAAAATTTTCTTGGTCCATCATAATTTATAAATTTATTAAGATATATATCCATATATTTTTCTTGAATTGGAATATAAATTTCTAAAGCTTTTCTTGAAAATAAACCATTTAATGATCTTCTATAATCAGTATGAGCTTTTCCATCTAAAAATACCCAATTAGTTGGTCTTAAAATTTTAACAGCAACATCAACAACACATGGTTTAACATATCTTGGTGAAGCTAAAATTTTTCTTGCTAAATCTCTACTTGATGCAATAATAACAAATTTATGAAAAATTGAAACACAACTTAATTCACCACTTGCCCATTTTGCTTTATATTCTTCAAATTTTGGATCTAATGATTCTAAAAATGGACCAATTATTGGCCAAACTTTTAATGGTGGTCCAACTATTGAACCTTTATTAAATTGATATTTAATTTGATCATATGATAATATAAATACAATTGATGCAATAATAATTTGTAACCAAGTAGTTGATTGAAATAAATTAATAAAATAATTTATATATTGATTTGATGATATAAAAGTTTTAGTTTGATCATTAAATAGTTTATCAACAAATAATGGAGTTGTTTTATTAAAATTCATTTTTTATTTTGATAGTTTGAAGTGATACGGGTTAAAAGGAAATAATTTTTGAATAATTATTAAAATATAACGTTATATGAATTATTTAGTCAACGAATGTGAAATATAAAAATTTGGTCCCCTGATTGTACTCTTATTAAATTATTTAAAATTAATAATAAGAGTATAATATAGATATGATCTTACCAAATGATAAGTATTATTAATTGATATTATGAAATAGAAAAGAAGGAAGATGAAAATAAATAAAATTTAATTAAAGAAAAAAAGTTTTTTTTTTTTGTCTCTTTGTATTGTTGTGGTTTTTTATTTTCTAACCGATACTATTAAATGATTAATAAATCGTTTAAGATTATTTCAAAAATAATCAAAGGAATTAAAAGTCTCAAGAGATCTAAAGTATTTGCAATTTATTCTTTAAGATCTATATAAAACAGATATATAAGTATTTATTAAATCTATATTTTTTTTTTATATAAGTCAATCTAATCAATTTTTCATTTTAAGAGATCTTAAAAAATCTTATAAATTCTATCTGTAAAAATAAAAGATGAAAATTTTAATTATTTTTTTTTGTATTTCTCTCTCGTTTAGAATAAAAAAAAAATAAATAATTTATACGATAAGAAAATATTGAAAATCTATAATAGATATAAGAATAAGAATAAATATAATTACATATAATTTTATTTGAAAAAGTTATTAAGGGTTGGTGTTGTAAAATAAATATTTATAAATTGTTGAATTAGAAAATTCATAAGATATTATTTCATTGAAAACAGGGGGCAATTGATCTTTAATAAATAATTTCTTATTTAGAGGGTTGTAATTTGTTTGTGTGTTTCAAGTTATTTCTTTTTTTTTTTTACTGTTTAATTTCATTTTCATCGTATTATAAATTATTAAAAATTTTATACGTCAAACACAAAGACTTTTAATTTTATATCCGATGGATTTTATTATATTTTTTTTAAACGTTTATTTTTTTTTTTTTGTTTAACTCATCAATTCTAAATTTATACGAGTAGACTAAAGCCACCACTTAAATTTAAATCTTTAATCTAATCCGATCTAATATCCGTTTAAATTTTTTTCAGAAATTATCCGAATTTAATTTTTTCAGATTTTATTATAATAATTTATAAATGAAAAGTGTATTGATCATATTAAGTTTTAACAACAATAAATAAAATCATAATGAAACTGTCATTAAATGTGTTTGATTTCAGCGAACTGAAAAGAATGAGATTACCTTATTTTACATATACTTCTTCTAATTATTATATTTTTCTTAATATCAATTTATTTAGCTCAAAACATTTATTTAGCATTATTCAATTGAATATGAAAATGAAATGAAGAATGTAAAATCTTACTGACTTAGATTCATCTCATACACATATGTTTAAAGTTTTAAAAATTTGAACAAAAACTGTACTAAATTTTTGCATCACGGCTAATGCAAATAATTTAAAATTCTTTTGTTCTTCATGACTATAAACATTTTTACCCTCAAAAGTTTGCCAATTAATTTAAAAATGGTATGAAGTAAAGTAATACACACTTTTAGTCAAATCTCCTCAAGATAAGTTTCAGAGTTAAAATTTTGAGCCAAATTTTGTAATATATGATTTAATTGTTATTTAGTTATCCCTTCATTTTTTCCTCAAAATTTTGTACATACTTGAATCAAACTAATCTGAATAGATTGTCTGTTATAGTTGCTTCAAGAGTGGGTTGATGTATTTCTTTTGACCACATAAAATATATCAATCTTCATGATCTTTATACATAAGCTCAATCGTAGAGATTATCTTGAAATATTAGATTTTTGGTGATTCTTACTGATTCCCTAGCAAATTTAGATCAATCAATGTTACCGGCTCACAAAAATCAGAAAAGGTGGGAAATCTATCACACTCGAAAGTCAATAATACCAGACTTTTTCACCCTGAAGTGAGCCCTGGATCGAGATATAAATTTTATCTTAATAATTGGGTTCAATATACGAACATTATTCGTGTGAAAATTATTTTTTAGTATTTTCGTATTTGATATTAAAATTTACGAAAGATTTGCAGCCAACTTGAAAATAAAATTTAAGTATCAAAAATGTAATTTGTGAAAGAATGAGTTTTTGATAAGGCGTTTTGATTGTTATAAAAGTGTTTCCAAATTTAATGAAACATTATTAAGATGGAAATTATTCGATTGAATGACAAAAGTCCCTCTATAATGTTATATTTCTTGTATTAAAGAATTACGCTTATTCACTCCGTTTTAATTTATAAAATTTAAAGAACTTAATCAGTGAATTTTCCCTTTAAAAATTACATTTGCAAATTTCTGATTCTTCTACAAAAATATCTTCACCAGCATTTGGGTTTTGAGGTATTACGCGCCCGTTTTTGCTAAGCGAATGTGGTAATTCTTCATGGAACATGAATCAAATAGGGTCAATAATTTTTCGCAATAATTGTACAATCATTTTTGTTGTTGATATTAAACGTTCTTGGAAGCTATAGTTTTCATAAGATAGTTATCGGTTGATACTTGGTAAAGTAACACAACACCTCAAGGCAATGGTCAACTTTACTATTTCACCACAAATTCCCAGTAATGTGATTTTTATACACAAATATTTGAGAAAATACGTTGTCACCCTTTCATACTTCACACAATGGAAATGTACTATAGGATGTCTGTTGGACTAATCTCAATCTGCTCCTGATACATCGACAAATATTTTTTTTGTATAATCACTGTTCAAGTGCAGTAAATTCAATTTCAATAAAGTTTCATCAAGTAAAACGAGTGCTATGACGGTAACTACATAGGTACGTCACCAAAGATTATAGTCTTTACAAATATTTGGTGAAGAACATTATTTGAGATAGACTTTTCAGTAACTAATTTATTTTTGTACTATATTTTGATTATTTCACTCATCTCTTAACAAAAATAAAAAAATTAATTTAGTACTACCAAAATTTAAACAGTCAAACAACATCATCTTCAATGGGGAAAAGAAAAATTAAAACCCAAGATTTAGAAAGAAGAAAGAAAATCAAACAAGATCAAGATGCAAAATTATCAATGGGATTATTTAATGAAGACATAACTAGTGATATAGAAGATCAATCAAATAATTGGGAGGATGAAGAACAAGATTATGAATTAAAACCAAGAGAAATGAAAGAAAAACATATGGTCGAGTCATTACCTATAAAGAGAATTGATGGTACCGTAGAACGAGTGTTGAGAGAAGTAATAAAAAAAGAAGAACCAGAAGACGAGGGAGAAGAAGAACAGGAAGAGCCATTAGAAGAACAAACAAAAGAACAGGAGGAGGAAGAACCCGATGATTATGCAAATTTATCACCACAAGAAAAACTTATTAAAACTAAAGAAGATATAGCAGAATTAGCATCAAAATTGATTGAAAACCCCGAGGAAAATATCACATGTTTAACAAGATTAAGAAAAATGAGTGAATCCAAAAATTTTATGACTTCACAATTAGTAATAATGTCATTGATACCTATTTTCAAATCATTAGCACCTTCTTATAAAATAAGACCTTTGACAGATATGGAGAAAAGAGAAAAAGTAAGTAGAGAGATTGCAAGATTAAGACAATTTGAACAATCTTTAGTTGTGAATTACAAATCATATATTGATTTGTTATATAAACATTCTAAAATATCCTATTCAAATTCTTTAAATAACAACAAAATTACAAGTGACCAATTGAAAAGAGGAAATTTAGCATTAAAAGCAGCAACTGAATTATGTCTATCATCATTAAGACATTTTAATTATAGATCAGAATTATTTACTATATTAATCAAAAGATTGAATAAAAAACCAAAACAACAACAAGATTTACCTATATTTATAAAATCAATTAGGGTTTTGGAAACATTACTTAAAGAAGATGAAGAACACGGTGATATCACATTTGAAATTATTAAAATAATATCTAAAACAATAAAAAGTAAGAATTTCAGAGTTGATGAGTCAGTACTAAATGTTTTCTTATCCATTTCATTATTGGAAGATTATGATCCAAACCAAAACAAAGATGATTTCAAACCAAAATTAAAGAAAAAAGATAGAGTACATCTTTCTAAAAAAGAACGTAAAAATAGAAAAGAAAGAAAAGAAATTGAAGAAGAAATGAGAACTGCTCAACAAGCAATAACCATAGAACAAAGAGAAAAATATCAATCACAAGTTTTGAAAATGGTACTAATGAGTTATTTGGAAATTTTAAAAGCTAGTCAAGGTTCATTTCAAAAAGGGACTGAAAATGATGATGCAATTTTATTAATAGGAAGTGTTTTGGAAGGATTAAGTAGATATGGACAAATGGCAAATTTTGACTTATTAGGTGATTTTTTACAAGTACTAAGAGAAATTATGGTTGATGTTGTTGATGAAGAAGAAGGAATATATACTGGTAAACAAATAAGAATCATTTTACTTTGTATTGCAACATCTTTTTCTTTAGTGTTGAACCATGGATCAATGGGTAGATTACCAATTGCAATAGATTTTAGTTCATTTATTGATACATTATATAAATTATTGACAGATATTGCATTAGATTCGGATTTAGAATTTAGTCATAAAACATTGAGGTTAGCAGACCCAATTACTGAAGAATTAACAAAACCAGCAGTTAATGTATCAACAAAATCAGAATTATTATTACGTTGTTTAGATTTTATTTTTTTCAGATCTAAAAATGGTACAATCTCAAGAGCAACTGCATTCACTAAAAGATTATATATTTTGGCTTTACAAACTCCAGAAAAGACTTCGCTAGCAATTTTAAAATTTATTGGGAAATTAATAAGTAGATATGATAATAATTTAAAGGGATTATGGAATACAGAAGATAGTGTTGGTGAAGGAAATTATATTTTAGGAATTGAAAAAAATGATGAACTGATTATAAGATTAGAAAGATGTAATATTGGTGCAGCAACATTATGGGAAAATGTTTTATTGGATGATTATTACGCCCCAATAGTTAAAGACGGTTCAAGATCTTTGATGAAAAATAGTAAAAATGAAGGGAGGTAGATAGATAAATTCTCATAGATTAATTTAATGAATGTAAATGACTTTTAGCTAGCTCTTGTTTTAAGAGGTGTTTTGTAGTAAAAACCCTCTCAAAAGTGTAAGAGGCAAATTTAAATGTATAATATAAAAGAATAATAAGTTTAAATAATTTTGCAACCCATTAATGTAATTAATCAAAAGATGCAATTCACGTTGGAAGTTAAAGATTCTGATCTACTACCACCATATTCAGATAAAGTTATACTACCTCAACATATTTTATCATCAATTATAAATGAAATATCTGAAACAGATCTACCTCATCCATTAATTTTTAAAATCACAAATACACAAGATATATCAATTTATACATTTATTGGAGTTAAAGAATTTACAAGTGAAGATGAAGTAATAATACTACCGAAATATATATCGACTAAACTTCGAAAACCAACACAAATAACAATAGAATTACTAAAACATATCCCAAAATCAAATTCATTAAAATTAAAACAAAAGAATTTTTATGCAAATATTAGTAATTGGAAATTCTTTTTGGAGAATAAATTAAATCAATATTATACTTTATTAATCAAAGATGATGATTTGATTTTAGAAGTTGATGGATTGAGATATGAATTAGAAGTTGAGGAAATTAATGATAATAAAAATTTAAAAGTTGCAAGTATAATTGATACTGATGTTGTTTTAGATATTGTACCGTATAATGATGAACACGCAAAATCTCAATTAGATTATTTGAATCATCAACAAAATATTCAAGAAATCAAAGTTGGAGAAGAAGTTTCTGTGATTGGGTTAAAATCAATATTGAATGGCGGATTTGTACCAATTATGTATAAAATAGACATTACAAAAGTGGGAGCACTAAAAATTGAGCTAGAAGGTGAGGCAGATTTTATAATTGGTATGGATAAATTTTTGGCTGTTGATAGTTTTGCATTTTCGACTATGGATAAAGAATCATCGGCAGTAGAATTGGACTTGAATCAAGATTTGTTTAAGAATAAATTGATAAAATATAATGATATTAAAGAGTTAGAAGGTGATGAAGATAATGATGAAAAATATATATATCTTGTTGCATTTACATGGGAAAAAGAAGAAGATGTCAAAATTAAAATCACTGATAAAATCTTGAAAGAAGTTGAATATCCTGGTGGTACAACAACTCAATGTCCAAATTGTTTGAAACAAATATCATCTGATAAAATCATACTACATGAAAGTTTTTGCAAAAGAAATAACGTTAGATGTTTGAGATGTGACTCCATTTTCCATAAATCTATACCAGAAAGTCATTGGCATTGTGATAAATGTGATGGATATGGTAATTCACAAATTTCTCAATTTAAACATATAAAACTATATCATTCTCCACAACAATACATTTGTTGTAACACTCAATTTCAAAATTTTTTCCAATTAGCAAATCATAAATCAACTGAATGTCCACAAAAATTGCATCAATGTAGATTTTGTCACTTGATTGTACCACAAGAAACAGCAACTTATCAAGATAAGTTTGAAAATTTAACTCATCATGAGAATTTATGTGGTAATAAGACAACAGAATGTTTTAAATGTAATAAAATAATAAGAGTTAAAGATTTTCCCAAGCACCTCAAATTTCATGAATTTGGAAAAATCCAATACAATAATGATTTGAATTTCTCGAGTTGCACTAATTTGAATTGTATTAACGAATCACTGGAAAACGATTTGGGGTTATGTGATATTTGTTTTGGTCCATTATATATTAACCAACATGATCCAAATAATTTAAAACTTCAAATTAGAATTGAAAGAAGGTATATGATTCAATTAAGTAAAGGATGTGGTAACCAATGGTGTAATAATGAATATTGCAAAACTGGAAATCAACAAATAAGTGCCAACACAATCAAAGATAATTTACAATTAATAAATGAAAAATTATTCAAAAATATTTATAAACCAGTATTACCAATAAATTTGAAACTTGAACATCATAAAGGTATTAATAAGTTATGGTTTTGTGTGAATGAATCAACATCAAATAAGAAAATACTATTTGATTTAATCAATTCAGAAAATGAATACGATAAAGAAATAATTCTAAAAAGTATAAAATCAAATTCTGATGAAGATAAAATAAGACAATGGTTGAATGATAATGGTATTAAAAAGAAGTAAACGGATTTAATTACAAAAATGGATAAATACGTCATTAGCTTAATAGACTTAGAATGCATAGAATTTTTTAAAAAGTGTGTCTTGTGATCATAATCCAATATTATGTCTTAGTTTTTCTCGAGAAGGTAAAGTTTAGTCGAACAAATGATTCGAGAACAGAACAGAACTAAAAAGAGGAGTAAATTACATTTTATCCTGAGTCATGAACATACAAAAAAAGATAATAATAAATTATTTTTATTAAAAACATTATTGTGATAAATTATTTCTGTATATTATTATTAAATTCATATTTATCTTATCTATATTTGATCACTCATTACACTACCTTCTTTAGTGAATACAAAGCCATATATTTTGATTGTAGTTAATCAAATTGAGGTCGTACGGACACAACAATTTATATTTATTGCTGGTTTAAAAATCTACGACATAAAATGCAACCAATTTTCAGTATCTCGGTTAATAACAAGAGATTTTTTAACCAATAACTTAATATTACATAACCGTCTTAACTATAAGTTGAAAGCTAGTATGTAGTGGTTTTGTAGAAAAATGTCTTACTTCTGAACTGATAAGAATTTTATATTTATTATTTTTACTTGCCCCCCTTTATTATTATTAGATAAAAAAAATTAAAGTAATATTAAATTATAAAATAAAAATGGAACTATAATCGATAAACAATAAATTATAAGATAAAATATATAAATTCATATAAATAATCAATATATTCTTAACTTTTTCTACTCTTTTTTCTCTTTTTTTTTGTTTTTGATCTTTTTACAATTTATAATTTACTATTATTAATTTATTTGTTTCATAATTTGAATAATTTATTAGTTAGTAATAAATAAAATTAAAAAATACCCCAAAATTTTGAATTAGAAGTTTCAGAAAATTTAAAAATTACAAAAAAAAAAGAAACTTGACCAACAAGTTTGCCACTACAATTATACTTATTTTAACCAAAAATTCATTAAATTATTATTATTAGATTTTACAAATTAATATGAGATTATCAAAAGCTGTTGCAATTTCAATTTTAACATCACTTGGTGTTCAAGGTTTAATTATTCCTTCTGTTGGAGAAATTATTGACGTTTTTGGAGTTACTAATTATGAAAAAACTATTGATAACAAATTAGAATCTTTAAAAAATGCTGCTCATGATGCTGCTGAACATATGGGATTACATTTATCAAAAGAAACTTTAGCTCCTATTGTTAATATTGATTCAACAAGAGATATTATTCCAAATAAATATATTATTGTTTTTAAAAAGGGAACTGCTCAAAAAGAAGCTGCTTGGCATCAAGAATGGGTAGCTGTTACTCATTCTGAATCTATTGCTGAATTGAAAAAACAAAACAAAGAAACCCAAAATGAATTTTTTGCAACTATTGATGGCGTAAATGTTGAAGGTGGTATTTCAGATATGTTTAATATTGATAATGTCTTGGTGGGTTATACTGGTTATTTCCTTGATTCTACTATCGAATTAATCCGTAAAAACCCATTGGTTGATTTTATTGAAAAAGATTCAATGGTTTACGCAAATGAATTTGATGTTGAAAAAGGTGCTCCTTGGGGTTTAGCTAGAGTCTCTCACAGACAACCATTATCTTTATCATCATTTGATCAATACTTATATGACTCTGAAGGTGGTGATGGCGTTACTGCATATGTTATTGATACAGGTGTAAATATTAAACATGAACAATTTCAAGGTAGGGCAAAATGGGGTAAAACTATTCCATCAGGTGACGAAGATTTGGATGGTACGTATAATTACATCTTTAATTTACTTCAAACAAGCATACTAACACAGAAATAGGGAACGGGCACGGATCTCACTGTTCTGGTACTATTGGCTCGAAGGACTACGGAGTTGCTAAAAAAGTTGAAATTGTTGCGGTTAAAGTTTTAAGATCAAATGGTTCTGGTACAATGTCAGATGTTGTTAAAGGAGTTGAATTTGCTGCTAAATCACATCAAGATGCAGCTAAAGCAGGTAAAAAGGGTTTCAAAGGTTCAACTGCTAACATGTCCCTTGGAGGAGGAAAATCTCCAGCATTAGATTTAGCAGTTAATGCTGCCGTTAAAGCTGGTCTACATTTTGCAGTTGCAGCAGGTAATGAAAACCAAGATGCTTGTAATACTTCACCAGCAAGTGCTGAAAATGCTATTACTGTTGGTGCATCAACAATTTCTGATGCAAGAGCTTATTTTTCAAATTATGGTAAATGTGTTGATATTTTTGCACCAGGTTTAAATATTTTATCTACTTATATTGGATCAGATACTGCTACTGCTTATTTATCAGGTACTTCAATGGCTTCACCTCATATTTGTGGTTTATTATCTTATTATTTATCATTACAACCAGGAGCAGAATCAGAATTTTTTGTTGCAGCAGATGGTGTTACACCAGCTCAATTGAAAAAGAATTTAATTTCTTATGGTACTGAAGGTGTCTTAGCTGATATTCCAGATGATACTCCAAATATTTTAGCATTTAATGGTGCTGGTCACAATTTAACTGAATTTTGGCATGAAAAATAAGGAGAGTTTAAAGTAACTCTTTTTGAATGGCTTTTTGTATGAGTTGATGTTGTTTTTCTTTTTGTTAGTAATTATATAAATATAATAGAAGAAATGCTATTATAATATGGAAATGTAGAATTTAATTGCCTTTTGAATTTGGTTGAAAAGATAATTATTTAAAAATTCTTTGTGTGCACCTACTAAGCTATCGCCAATTATAATCACCTTGCACTATAAGTATTGACTTGCTTCATTATTTTACAAGAAATTCTTGTAAGTTCGATTAAGCAAATATCTGTTCATCTAATTCACCGAACAGATCTAACAATCTTATCAGTAAAATCTCCAGCCGCATTGAATACCTAATTGGTATTAATTATAAATATATACAACCTTTAATCTTTACAACCAATTTGTAGTTCTATTTACTTCTATAGTAACAAGCCAAAATGTATTTAACATTATTATTATTATATGTTGTATTTTGCGTTCAAGCATTAGCTTATATTTTGAAACCATGTTATAATCACTCAATTTCAATAAATTCAACTTCATGTAATTCAACTTGTTACAGAAATACTACAAAAATTCATCATGATTTAGGTGCAAAAAAATACGGAATTTTTTAAAAAAGAAAAACCAAGAAGGCAAAGCTTTTGAAAACCAAGAATGAACAGGTTGATTATTGTTATATTGTATTCTTTAAAAATGATACTACATTAGCTGATATCGATAATCATGTCAATTGGGTTGAATTTGAAACAAATTCTAATTTAGCGGAGTTAAAAAACTCAAAATTAAGAAATTCTTTTTTACAAGCTGCATCTGAAGATAAAATTGGAGTTACTGATCAATTTAAAATTGGTTCAATATCTGGTTATATTGGTTATTTTTTAGATAATACTATTGAAGCTATTAGAAAAAAAAATATTGTTGATTTTGTGGAACAAAATTCTTTAGTAAAAATTGATGAAAATTATACAATTAATTCACCAACAATTCAATATGGTGCTCCTTGGGGCTTAGCAAGAATATCTCATAGAGAAGCACTATCAATTGATACATTTGATCAATATTTATTTGATTATAATGGTGGTAAAGGTGTAACTTCATATATTATTGATACTGGTATTAATATTAATAACATTCAATTTCAAGGTAGAGCCAAATGGGGCATCACCATCCCACAGAAAGCTTTATCATTCGACGGATCAGGTCATGGGACACATTGTAGTGGTACGATTGGTTCAAGGGACTTTGGTGTTGCTAAAAATGTCGAGTTGGTCGCTGTTAAAGTTTTGAATGCTCTTGGTATAGGATCAATTTCAAATATTATTAAAGGTTTAGAATGGGTAGTTCAACAACATCAACTTGCAATTAGTAAAAAGAATAAATCATTCAAGGGATCTACTGCGAATATGTCATTGGGTGGAGGTTTTTCACAAGCTTTAAATTCTGCAGTTAATGCTGCTTCAGATCAAGGTATATTTATTGCAGTTGCAGCTGGTAATAGTCATGCAGATGCTTGTGATTTTTCACCTGCTAGTGCTGGTAAAGCCATTTCTGTTGGTGCTTCAACAATAGCTGATGATGTCGCTTCATTTTCAAACATTGGTAAATGCGTTGATATTTTTGGTCCTGGTTTAAATATTTTATCAACTTACATTGGTTCAAATAATGCAACTGCTTATTTATCAGGTACTTCAATGGCATGTCCACATATTAATGGTTTACAAGCTTATTTTTTATCATTATTACCCGAATTAACATCTGATTATAGTGGAACTTCCATCACTCCTGATCAATTGAAAAAACATATTATTGCCTTTGGTACTCATAATGCTTTAAACTTAGTTCCAGCTGATACTCCAAATGTTTTAGGTTTTAATGGTGCTGGCAGAAGTTTAGAAGATTTTTGGAGTTCCTAGGAAGCCAAAAACTAAATCTATTTATTTAATCTATATCTTGTCTATATTTAATCTATTCATTTCTTATTAATTAACAAGTTGTAGATTACATTGTAGAGTGTTTTAACGGATATACAAATAAATAATGGCAAAATGATCTGAAACAAAAAGTAAAAAAAAGTTCGCTAAAAAGAAAAAAATGAAGTGTGTTATCAATACTTACTAATAATATTAATACATCAAACTAATACTACAAATTACTAAAATCACATAATTACAAATACATTATATTTATTAACTTATTCATATCATAACATCACATATAACTACATAACAACTAATGTCGACACCAGCGAAAAGAAGACTTATGCGTGATTTTAAAGTATGTAACCACCCAAATAACTATTATAACCACCAAATATACTAACACTTAAAAAAGCGTATGCAACAAGATCCACCTAGTGGTGTATCAGCATCACCATTACCCGACAACGTAATGAAATGGAACGCAGTAATAATAGGTCCATCAGATACACCATTTGAAGATGGTACATTTAGATTAATATTACAATTTGATGATCAATATCCAAATAAACCACCAATTGTTAAATTTATAAGTGAAATGTTTCATCCAAATGTATATGCAAGTGGAGAATTATGTTTAGATATTTTACAAAATAGATGGTCACCAACTTATGATGTTTCAAGTATATTAACAAGTATTCAAAGTTTATTAAATGATCCAAATATTTCAAGTCCTGCTAATGTTGAAGCTGCTAATTTATATAAAGATCATAGAAGTCAATATGTTAAACGGGTTAGAGAAACTGTGGAAACTAGTTGGAATGATGAAAGTAGTGATGAAGAAGATGAAGAAGACGAAGACGAAGAAGAATAGTTAGAAAATTATACACAATAAATAGCATATATATTAAATTCGAATAATATTTAATACCCACCACCAAATATTTACAAGTATTTTATTTACAAAGTTATTTCAACCAAAGGTAATACCATTTTTTTCTATTTCTTTCTTTCTCTTTTCGAATTTCTTCTTCTTTAGCTAATAACAACTCAAGTTCTTTTTGTTTTAATTTAGCTTGTCTTTCAATTTCATATTTATCTTCGATTATAACTTCTTTAGGTTTACCTTCTTCTCCAATAGCTTTGTCTCTATATATGGCAATCATTGATATGAATACTATCAAATATATTACAAATTTAGTAGCTGGGTCCATTTTCTTATAATCAAATTGTTTTATTCTTATTGGAGTTTCACTTAATTTTAATTCAGGTTTTAATTTTTTGGTGGTGGTTTTTGCAGTTGGAGTTATGGTTTTCACATTAGAAGGAGTATGAAATGGTAAATCCAACGGTGCACTATTCTCATTCCAATTATTAAAATCTTCACGAACCCCCCAATTTCCATATGATATATAATAACCTAATAATTTTTCCTTTTTAGTAAGGTTTTGCCATTTTTTATCATATTTAGCTTGTAACTCCTTTGTGATTTGTCCTTGATGTAAAAGACTTAATGCTGGAAATAATTGTGGATTTTCAAATATTGGTTTTGAATCTATGGGTTGAGTTGATGGATCGTCTGATGATGATGATGATGAAAAAATTGAACCTATATCTTTTATTGATTGTGCCGCTAGTTGTGCAGCTTGCTGCTTCTTGTCAACAACTGGTTTAGAAGAGTTGAACCTTCTTAGTATCAATGACATTAGTGGTGATTGATGAGATCAACTTATGTTATACTCGAAACTCTAAAAAGTGTAAATAATTTTTCACATACCCGTATAATTCACGCGCGCTTTCAAAAGGATGAGTTTTCAAACAGGTTTAACACCAATTCTACAACATTTCAATTTAAACATCTTTATATTTTATTAAACTCCATTCTATAACCTCTTAATCTTGCCTAGTCTTCAAAGTTCTTTTAACAATTTTATCTTTAGTAACAATATAAACAACAGCACCCCAACCACTTAATGCATCTCTATCAACAGCATTCAACAATGCTTGACTAATAGTTTCAAATAATTCTTCTGGACCCAAATTAGGTTCATATAATGATTCACACATTCCATATAATTGATCAGTAGCTGTACCACTTACTATAAAATCTTTTGCAAAATCTATACATCCAATTGAATCAAATCCACATATAAATGGTTTATTAGTTTTAGAATCAAGACCTGCTACTATTGGAGTAACAAACCATGGTCCGAATCTTTTTTCATATAATGTTGATGAAATTAAATTAGCTAATGTTGATGGTTCAATTTCTCTTTCTTCTCTTAATTTATATAAATTTGTTTTAAATCTAAAAGTTTCTCTTAATGTTATTACATCAGTAGCTAATCCAGTTAATGATATGAATGTATTATTATTAATTTCAAAAATTTTTTCAAAATTATTTGAAACTCCAAGTGATTGTGAACCTAATCTTAAATCTGATGCAATTGCTATACAATCTTTACCTATCATTGCTACTGCTGCACCACCATTTATTGAAAATGGATCTGACATTGTGAAATATATGTATGTGAAGGAGTTGTTAAAGTAATTGATTTGTTGAATTGATTGAGTTTAGTTATTAAAGTATTATATTTTGTGGTTCTAATATTGGTGGCGATAGTACTACAAAAAATTAACTACTGCAAAAAAATTATGCTACCAAATTTGTCTCAAATTTGCAACTAAATTATACTAACAGTTTATTCATTAATTATTATTTATTAAATATATCACTATTCACTTATATAACAACAGCAGATACTTTACTTAAGTCATTATTAGAAGAAGAATTTAAATTCAAAGGAGGTTTAGTCATAAAATTTTCATTTGAATTATTAATTTCAACTTTAGTTAATTCTGAACTTTTCCTTTCTAAATCATTATTTTCTTCATTACTATTTGCTGTTTTCTTAGTATCTTCTTCATCATCTTCTTCATCTTCTTCAGTAATTATTGTTTCCATCATTGATTGTTTTTGTGGTGGTGATATTGATGAATCTGGTGAATTATCATTTGTTTTGGTTGAAGAACTTGCAATTAATTGAGCTATTGGTGATTCATTATCTTTGTAGTTTGATAATGTGAAATTTTTAGGTGATTTAACTAATTTATTATTTTGATCGAGTGATTGTTGTTGATGGGATGCAGCTAATTCAGTCAAATTTTTAATTGATTTCGATGATTTGAAAGTTGGTATGATTTTTGATATATCCTTCATATTATAGAATAGCTTTTTGATCTCTAACTTGACGGATTTAGTCAAATCATCATCATTTGACGTACTACTTGAAGTATCCATTTCTTCATCATATTCTTCTTGTTCCTCTAAAGAATTGTCCAACATTTGTTTTCTTTTGGTGGATTCCAAATCAAAACGCAATTGCAAAGCAAAGCCTAAAATGATAATATAGTTTCTATATATTTTCAATTGTTGTTTATAGGTTTCTAATTTGGAATCATAGTTGTTTAGAACTTTACTATAATTTGAACAATTATAATGAATTTTATTGAAATTTTCCAAAAACATTGATCTTTTTGTAATAAATTCATTATATAATTTTTTCAAATTGTTGTAGTAGTTTGAAGTTTTAACAAATTGTTTCATCATACCAAAATGATTATTTCTTGATGACGGTTGCGAATAATAATTTGATAAGTAAACACCATTAATAATTGGTTCCCATTTTTGAATTGTTTTGGATTTTTTGAAATTTTCTTTATTTGCTATTAAATAATTTAAATTAGTCCAACCATATTCTATTGATGAGATACTTTCTTCTAATGTTGGTATAGCAGTAATTTTTGAAGCCCAAAAATTACAAGTATTTATATATTCTAATGCAATATCTTTTGTACCTGCTTCAAATATAAATTTTTTAGGTAATTTTTTACTCACTTTAGGAAATGTTAATGACCAGATAATCTTGTTGTTTACTGATTTTTCTAATTGTGCGAAAGTTGAACATAAATTATAAGTACCAATTTTTGCTGCGTTTTTCAACCAGTTACCATCACCAATATCTTCCTCTGTTTCTGTAGTTTGACTTTCTTTTCTATATTTTTTAACGAGTTTTGGATCAAAAGAATACAATGAAAGTTCCCCTTTTGAAACAACAACGAAATTCTCATTAAATTTGTGAAGTATTGGCGAAGAATGAAGTCCAATTGAAGATCTTGATGGTTGTCTATTAAAAAATGACAAAAACCTATTATTTGTTGTAATTGATGGGGTTGTGATAGCTGCTTCATCGTTTGAATCATTATTTAACACTCTTAATTTCAACAACCCTTCTTTTAAGTAAGGGCTACCATTTAATTCCAATTGTAAATCATACTCATCTTGAAAATCATCTATATTAAATTTGTCCAAATCTTTATTTGTATCATCATTTAAATCTAAACTACACGTATCGAATGATAACATAGATATAGTATCATCAGGTCCAGTATGTGATTCTTTTGAAATAATTGATGCAATTGAAGATCTTCTATTGATTGATTTTTGATGATCAAATGATGAACGATTACGTAAAGTTGATGTTTGTGAATGCAATGAAGGATTTTGATTCTTATACATCCCTTGTTGTTGTCCAATCAATGCTCGAGCTAATCCAACTCTTTGTGGGATACGAGTTTGTGATGCAGTATAATTTGAACTCTCTGAATTTGTGGTATTAACTCTTCTCATAGCTAATGATGATCTTCTATTATTTGTATCAGTTGACCATATTGATGAATTTGATAGTTGTCTTGACAAATTTGCATCATGAGAATCAAATGAGGTTTCTATTGTAGTATTTAATTCATCATCACCAACAGTTTCTTCTTTTGCCACACCACTTGATTTCAGAAGTCCAGCTTCTTTGTAAGTGATGCTATGATTATCTTTCAATTGTAATTCATATTTCAATAAATCTTCATAATATTTTGATAATTCATTTTCAATTGTTATTTTTTGTTTTATTGAAATATTGTTTTTCTTATTTGAGTCACTATTTAAGAAAGTTGACATTGTATTCTTGATAAAGTCAGTTTGACTAATTTTAGATTTCTTATTAACTTCTGAGTTATGTAATGCAGTATTTAATAAAATTAATGAATATATTATTATATAAATTTGCTCAAAATTTTTAGTACAAAACACATTACTTGGATATTGCTTTAGGAATGATTTTGTAAATGAAGTTAATATTCTATCTAGCTCTTGTGATTCAGCTTTTAAATATAATTTTGAACATAATAGTCTAGTTGATTTTAATAAGTTAGGTGACCACTTGAATAAATTCATGTAATAATTTCTAATTTTGGTTGATTCCTCATCACTCGCTGCTAAAAACTGAGTATACTCCGAGGGTTTTATTGAAACGAAATCTTCATTGAATAATCTTTTAGCTATGACTTGATATTCTGGTAATTGTTTTTCTTCAACATGATTTTGAATTTCTGGATTTTCTTCATTATGATGTTTCGTAACAACAGTTTCTTCTTTATAACAGTCTGAATGCATTTGATTTAAATTTGAATTTGAGTTAATTATTTTACTAGTTTCAGAAAGTTCACCACTATTGTTATTATTATCATTATTTTCTAAATGATCAATTTCATCATCATCTTCAACTATTTTTATGGTTGATCTTGATACAGATATAGTAGTTGAACCTAATTCTGCCATATGAATTGTATATCTAAATTATATATTAACTAAATGAATGTATAAAATTTTTTGTATTGTAAATTGTTTCAAAATTGATTGTGATTGTTTACTATATTCATTAAATAATTAAAAAGGTAGTGTAACCTATACATTTATTAATTTTGTATCATAATTCGTATTTGAAACAAAAATTAGACCAAAATCTAAGTCGAGTCAGTCCAGAGTTTCGCATTAAAAGTTGACGCGGAATTTAGTCTAATTAATTTTTTAACTTCCTTTCTTAAACCAAAAATTAGACGATAATAATTCAATCTATCTCATTTTTCATTTATCAAAGAGAAAAGGATCTACCAATAGTAAATCATTCAATTTATTACATTTACTTCAGTACACATTAATTGCTTGATTGCTATTCTTGAATTCAACAATTTACTTATCAATCCTTCTTTTTGCTTCATTTCACATTTTTGTTTATATTTTGTAGGAAATAAACTTTTATGATAATTAACTATTTTGTACTATCGAACAAACCATCTTGTTTTGTGATTTTGGAAAATGAGACAATTTTAAAAGGCTTAAAGCGTAAATTTTTTAGTCTGTTTTTTATTGTTTAGAATTGTAGTTAGAACTAAAGATAAGGATTTAGTCTCAACTAAAACTAGCCAAAAAATGACTTCAAGTCCGAAAGCTTATCGTGATAAGAAATCTTAGTAAGTTCATTTTATTAGACGAAAGAATATATGGGAAAAGCTAGAGTGAAAAATTTAGAATTTTCAACAACTTTTTAAGGTACAAATTATTATTTAAGGGTCCTGTCGTGCACAGAATACCAATATCGAAATTAATATCAGCCGTTCATTATTGACTTTTTCAAATACCAGCTCAACGAAATGCCTAAAAGATTAGATCACTTAAAAGTAAGTTGGTTTTCACATGAAAATAAAATCTTTGAATTACAAGTAAATTTTTACAATTAAACGATACACAAGTATGAACAGTATATACCAGTTATAACCTCCAAAACTTTTTTACGTTACATTCTATGGTTTACATCTTCCTGTAAATCTTGGATATAATGAACAATCTCTAACAGTAAATCTATCACATAACCATGCTAAAATTCTTTCAGTACCTAAACCATAACCACCATGAGGTGTAGTTCCATAAGTTCTTTGATCTAAAAACCAATAATAAGGAGCTGGATCAATTTTATGAGATTTAAACCCTTGTAATAATTCATCTAAATCATAAGATCTCATTGAACCACCAGTAATTTCCCCCACATTTGGCATTAATACATCAACACTTTCAGTAACTCTTGGATCATCTTTACATTTTTGCATATAAAAAGATTTAATTTCTCCTGGGAATCTAATTAATAAAATTGGTTTATTGATTGTATCAACCATTTTTCTTTCTTGAGCTTCTGCTATATCATCACCAAACTTAAATGGTTCACCTTCATCATTTAATATACCATGTTCATTTAACCAATCTAATGCATGAATATATTCCATTCTTTGGAAAGGTAATTTTGGTGGTTGGAAATTTGGATTTAATTGTTTAATTAATGGACCAGCAACTGGATCTTCAACAACATATTGAATTGTTTTGGAAATTAAAGTTTCAATATGAGTTAATAATTCATCAAATGTTAAAAATGCTAATTCAGCTTCTATATGAGTATATTCACTTAAATGTCTTCTTGTATGAGATTTTTCAGCTCTAAAAGATTCTTGAACACAATAAACATCACCCAATGAAGGTAAACAAGTTTCTAAATATAATTGTGATGATTGAGTTAAATAAGCTTCTTCTCCATAATAATCCATTTTAAATAATGTTGAACCACCTTCAACTTGAGTTTGAACCATACATGGTGGAGTAACTTCTAATAAACCTTCTTCTTTATATACTTTTCTTATAGCTCCTAAAAATACTGATCTAACTTTCATTACTGCTGATAATGTTTCACCTCTTAATGTTAAATGTCTTTGATCTAATAAAAGAGAAGGATCGGCACCTTCTTGAATTTTATTAGTGAATGAGTTTTCTCCACTTGGTGCTAATCCAATGATTTCATAATAATCAGCTTTTAATTCAACTCCACCAGGTGCAGATTTTCCTTCTGGTAATTTTAAAATAGTTCCCTTTATTGAAACTGTTGATTCTATAGTTAATTCTTGAGTTTCTTTTGCTTTTGCTAAATCTCCAGTTAATATACATTGTAAAAATCCATAACCATCTCTTAAAGTAATAAATGCTAAACCTTTTTGAACTCTTAATCTATGAATCCAACCATTAACTATAACTCTTTTATCAATGTTTTCTTGAATTTTGTTTAATTTTATTTTATTTGCTTTTGGTAATGATGAATCTTCTTCAATTGATGATAAACTTAATTCAGATACTTTTGGTAAATTATCTTTTTCTTCTTTTAATTTTTGCTGTTTTTCAGCTTTTTTCTTTAAACTCTCTGCACCTTTTTTAGCCTTTTTCAAAGCCGATGCTGATATTTCTTGATATTCAAATTGTTCTGGTTTTTCTTCAATTTCTTTATATACTAATATTTTAGCATCTTGATTAACAAAAAGTGCATAAGATGGTGTTGCAAATGGATGAGATTCTGATCCTGTAGCTTCTGAGGTATCAACACCTGATTTTTCATTAACATAAAATGTTTTTGACTCTGACATTTTGATTGGTTCAATTACTTAATAGATAAGTTGTAGTTGTAATTGACTAGTTTAAATCGAAAAGTAAATTGGTTATAAACTTTTTCAATAACTCTCTGACTAATTTTGAAAAATCGAGAAAAAAATTATTTTTCAAATTTATCTCTCACGCTATCTGAAAAAAATTTGAAACAACAAAATTTTAAATAAGAATCTTACGAATACTAATTGGAAATATTTACAATCACCAAAAATGGCTTTAGCTCAATCTTTAGCTTCATTATCATTAGCAACATCAGAAAATAATGACAAAGCAATTCCAACCAAAACATTAATTTTCAAACCAAAAACTGCTAAAACTGCAACACCAATTCCAATTTTAGTATTTGCATTACAATCAACTAATACATCAAGTTCCATAATTGCTAAATCTGCAAATGTAAAAGAACCAAGATTAGCTAAAGATGATTTAGTTGAAGAATTTTTCAAAGTCACTACCAAAGAAGTATCAATTGCAAATTTAAATAAAGACTTAGCGGGGAAGATCAAGATTTTATTAGATGAAAATGTATTATCAGCTGCCTTCAAAAACGAAATATTGAAATTATCTACTGAAACTTCATCTGTCTGCTTACCTGCTGAAAAAGTTGTTGAATTTTTAAAATCTACTGGAATTGAAATTATAAACACAGATTTCAATGCTGAACCACAAGTTACCCCACAATCAAAAACTTCAAAACCAACTACCTCCAAAGATGATGCAAAAATCGAAGATGCAAAATTAATTGGTATCACCATAGATAAAGAAAAAGATTTTTCCAACTGGTATACTCAAGTAGTTGTTAAAGGTGAATTATTAGATTATTATGATGTTTCTGGTTGTTATATATTAAGACCAAATTCTTATTCAGTTTGGGAAACTATACAAGATTGGTTCAATATTAAAATTAAAGGATTAGGTGTACAAAATGCATATTTCCCAATGTTTGTTTCTCAAAAAGTTTTGGAAAAGGAAAAAGATCATATTGAAGGTTTTGCACCTGAAGTTGCATGGGTTACAAGAGCCGGTAACTCAGAATTAGATGAACATATTGCTATTAGACCAACTTCAGAAACTGTCATGTATCCATACTATGCCAAATGGATCAGATCTCATCGTGATTTACCATTAAAATTGAATCAATGGAATTCAGTTGTTAGATGGGAATTCAAACATCCACAACCATTTTTAAGAACAAGAGAATTTTTGTGGCAAGAAGGTCATACAGTTCATTTAACAAGAGAATCAGCAGCGGAAGAAGTTTTACAAATTTTAGATTTTTATGCTGGTGTATACGAAGAATTATTAGCAGTACCGGTTGTTAAGGGTAAAAAAACTGAAAATGAAAAATTCGCAGGTGGTGATTATACAACTACTGTTGAAGGTTTTATTGCATCTACCGGTAGAGGTATTCAAGGTGGTACTTCACATCATTTAGGTCAAAATTTCTCCAAAATGTTTAATATATCAGTTGAAAATCCAAATGGGTCCGATGAACGTCTTTTCGCTTATCAAAATTCTTGGGGTTTATCTACTAGAGTTATTGGTGTTATGGTAATGACTCATTCGGACAACAAAGGTTTAGTATTACCACCAAGAGTTGCACAAACTCAAGCTGTCGTTATTCCAGTTGGAATAACTTCAAAAACTACAAAAGAACAAAGAGAAGCTATAACAAAAGGTGCTGAAGATATTGAATCCAAATTGAAAAAAGCAGGTGTTAGAGCCGTTGGTGACTACAGAGATTCATATAATCCAGGTTGGAAATTTGCTGATTGGGAATTAAAAGGTACACCATTACGTGTTGAATTTGGACCAAAAGATTTAGAATCAGAACAAATAACAGTAGTAAGAAGAAATGATAATAAGAAATACACAGTTAAATTAAATGAAATTGAATCAACAATTCCAAAATTATTAGAAGATATGCAAAAAGATTTATATGAAAAAGCTAAAAAAGATTTCGACGATCATAGAATTTTAGTAGAAGATTGGAAAGATTTCGTACCAACTTTAAACAAGAAAAACGTTATTTTAGCACCATGGTGTGGTAATGGAGATTGTGAAGATGAAATTAAAGATGCATCAAGTAAAAATGATGATGGAGAAGATGGTGATGTTGATGAAAAAGCTCCTTCAATGGGTGCTAAATCTTTGTGTATTCCATTTGAACAACCTGATTTAAAACCTGGTCAAAAATGTGTAAGATGTGATAATAAAGCTGTTAATTATTGTATGTTTGGTAGATCATATTAGATTTATATTATAATAAATAAGATAATCTGTATATTTAATTGGAGTTGCTCCAAAATAGAGATTTCTCTATTTCTTCTATTGTGTCTGAGATTAATTTTATTCCATCGTTTGTAGTTTCAACATGATATAAATTGGGTATATTAAGCTCTTTTGCATACTTTAAGACGTTATGATAATTGAGACCAATTTGAGATAACGCATGAGCATCATCAGATAAACAAAATTTACCACCCAACTCTATTATAGCTTTAGCTATATCTCTTCTAGGATACGGTTCATCCCAACCTTTTCTTATAGCTGAAGAATTTAATTCAAATAATCCACCGTAATGAACGACTTTTCTGATATTATCGACTATAACTTCCCAAACTTCTGGCCATTCTTGTTCTATGTCGACATCATTGGTAGGTCTGCTAGTTGTTTCATCATAATCATCTTTTGGTTGACATAGCCTTATTAAATCAAAATGACCAATTATTGTTGGTTGCAAATCTATTATTTTGGATTGTAGTTCAAAATATGATTTATATAACAGTCTAGTTAACCCTCCTTTACTTGCCCTTTTAGCATCTATCCATAACTCTTTAGAAAAATCAATTGGTACCTCGTGAGTGAAATGAACTGACCCTACACTAATGTCAATTCTTGGATCTTTTATTAACTTAGCGGCTAAGTTTATATGATCCTCATTTATACCTTCAATCTCAAATCCAATTATAATGTCTATTTTATCTTTATGTCTTTCTTTTAACTCTTTAGCATGCGCTAGGTATCTATCAAAATCATTGAATAAATTATTAGTGGTGTATGATTTATCTAATTCTTCTGGATATAAAAATCTTGATTCTGATCTAGGCATATGTTCAGTTAGACACAATGTTTTGAAACCTTTTGCAATATACGAATCTACCATGTCTTCCAATGGATCATGAGCATGGGAGACATAGTCTCCACTATGTGAATGATGAGTATGCATTTAATTGTATTGTTATATAACCATTGAAGTTGTTGCAAAAAATATTGAGAGAACTGAAAATTATAACACATACATAAATTCGAGCCACTATTGAATCAATGTTCTTTACGACTAAAACACTACACCGATGTCTATGTCGAGGTTATAGGACACTACAGCCAACTATAAAAGATCAATTATCATCAACACCAATTGGATCAATTCTAGAAGCAAAAGGGTTTGTAAAGAGTATAAGAAATTCAAAAAATGTTAGCTTTTTGGATATAACTGATGGTACAACCTCAAAAAATATAAATGTTGTGCTATTGGGTAAAGAACAACCAAAATTTCAAATTGGTCAAAGTATAGCAATAAAAGGAGAATGGAATATGAGTAAAAGTGGATCAAGTCAAGAATTTGAATTAAAATATAATAGTAAAAATTCAGATCATTCTTATCAAATAATTGGTACAGTACCTGAGGATTATCCACTACAGAAAAAAGCAACATCAATGTCATTTTTAAGAACATTACCATCATTAAAACATAGAACTTCAACAATATCATCATTTTATAGACTACGATCATTTCTTGAAACTTCAATGATGGAATTTTTCAATTCACAAGATTTTACAAAAGTTTATCCACCGTTAATAACAAGTTCAGATTGTGAAGGAGCAGGAGAAACTTTCAAAATAAGTAAATGTGAAGATTTTTTTGAAAAACAAGCATACTTGACAGTTTCAACTCAATTACATTTAGAGAGTTTAGCGTTAGCATTAAATAGAGTTTGGAGTTTATCACCATGTTTCAGGGCAGAAAATTCCAAAACTTCGAGACATTTATGTGAATTTTGGATGCTTGAGGCTGAAATTTGTTATTTAGATGATTTAGAACCATTACTTGATTTCACAGAAAGTATGGTTAAATTTGCAACCAAGAAAGTAGTGGAAAATTATAAAGATGAATACCTTAATGGTGTGTATATAGACAAAGAGGTTGTTGAATCAAGATGGAATAGTATCCTAGATAAAGAATGGCAAAGAATGACTTACAATGAAGCTATTCAATTGATCAATGAAAAAGGTGTGGATTCTTTAAAATTTGGTGATTCCCTAAGTCTAGATCATGAAAGATTTTTGGCATCACATGGACCAATATTCATCACGGACTACCCAAAATCAATGAAACCATTCTACATGTTAAATTCTAAAGACTACAGTCCAGAAAAATCAACGGTTGCATGCTTTGACTTGTTACTACCAGAATTTGGAGAATTAGTAGGTGGTTCATTAAGAGAACACGATTATGATTCACTAGTAAACTCAATGAAGAAACATCAAATGAGTATAGAAGAGATGAAATGGTATTTGGATTTAAGAAAAAATGGTACTATACCTCATGGTGGTTTTGGAATGGGTTGGGAACGATTTATTAATTATTTATCTGGTCATGATAATGTTAGAGACATTGCTCCGTTTCCAAGAGCTCCAAGTTTATGTAATGCTTAAACTTATAGGCTCATGTATATAGATTCACTTGATTAATAGATTTGTATATACAGATAATTGTCTGTGTTGTAGCTCTCTCTAAATTTCGGTTGTAGTTCGCTTCAGCAAACAAAAATTTTTTCAAAATGTAAAGAATACTAAATTTACAACCAAAATCTTCTTTTTGCCATTTACAACCAAACTCAATAGCTACTTCATAAATAAAGTCATATATATACATAATCTACAAAAATGGATCAATTAAACGTTAAAGAACAACAAGAATTTCAGCAAATTGTTGAACAAAAACAAATGAAAGATTTTATGAATTTATATTCAAATTTAGTTTCAAGATGTTTTGATGATTGTGTTAATGATTTTACTTCAAATACTTTAACCTCAAAAGAAACTAGTTGTATTGCTAAATGTTCTGAAAAGTTTTTAAAACATAGTGAACGTGTTGGTCAAAGATTCCAAGAACAAAAGTATGTTTAATTTTTCATAAAAAGATATTGGATAATGAGTTAGATTTTACTCATTCTGGACAATATTATACATTGAGATCGGCGTTACTAACATTTTACTCTCTAGTGCTTTATTAATGCAACAAGGTCAAAGATAAATTTGATGGGGGATTGGTATTATATAAAGATGAGGGATTGTGTTTTATTATAAAATTAAATAAACTGTATACATTATAATTTACGTTGCACAAGGTATTATAAAGTATAACATGAATTGTAGATGACTTGTTACTAGTTTAAGCCTAACTTGCTTAGTATAAGTAATTCTTTTTGAATGTGCTCTTTAAATTAATGTATGTGAAAATGAGATACAAAAATGGATTTTGTAAATTTGTATAAACAAGATCAATTAACAATAAAATTCAACTCAACATATGACAGACCAAGTCAAGATCAACCCTGATCTACTGATACTACTAGTAGGGGCAGTAATAAACAAGAGTTTAGCAGAATACAAAGGAGACTATCCAAACGATAAAGCATCAATATCAGTCGATTTATTTTTAAAAGACTTAAATGACAAAACAGAAGAATATACTTCCAAATTCCCCAATAATGATATACACTTCCCACAAATTGATATAAAACTACTATCTTTTATTATTAATAGAACTTTGTATTTCAAATTTGTTCAAGTTACTCAAGATTCTGTTGTTATTGAAATTGGTGATAAGTATGAAACTTATTTAAAGAATATTGTTGCAACTTCTACTTTTAGATATTCTAAGTTTCTATGGAATAGTGCTAAACTGTTACACACATCAGATAAAGATAATAATGAAAAAGTTGGTGAAGATGTAGAAGTACAAACTGTTGAGGTCGAAGAATCAAAGGAGAATGATGAACAACCACAAAAGGTAGGAAAAGAAACTATACAGGAGGATATAGAGCCAACTACAGAAGAAGAACGAAAAGAGCCTGCCAAAGAAAAAGAAGAGGAGCCAGAACCATCAGCAGAAATAGAAATAGCAGAAGAAGAAACAAAAGAATCAGAAGCAGAAGAATCAAAACAAACCGCGGAAGACGAAGATGTGGACATGAAAGAAGCTGAACCTGAGAAAATAGAGGAAAAAGAAGAATCAGATGAAGAATTAGAGAGTCCCGAAGTAGAAGAAATAACGGCAAAAGATGCAGATTTGGCAGAAGAAATCAAAGAAGATATTGAGAAAGCAGAGCTGGATTCAGAATTAAGCGAAGAAGATGACGAAATAGAGATCGAAGTAGAGAAAGAAGGAAAAGATGAGGAAGAAGAAGATAAGGAAGAAGATCAAGCTGTAGAAGAAATAGAAAAAGAAGAGACAGAGCCAGTAGAGGATAATAAATCTGAGGAAACCGAGAAATCACCGAAAGAAGTCAGTGTAGAAGTTAATGAGGAAGCATCAACAGAAGAGCTAGAAGAAAAAGAAGAACCAAGTGAAGTAACTGAAGAGCCAGTTGAAGAGGAAGAAGAACTTACACAGGAACAAAAGGTTGTAGAACCACCGAAAGAAACATTGACACCAGAACCAACCAAAGAATCAAGAAAAAGACAAAGATCAAGATCACCTGCACCTTCACAACACCATAAAAAGTTTCAAAGTATTGCAGTTACTTTATTAAATTCCATAATGGAACATAGATTTTCATCACCTTTTTTACAAGCAGTTAATGCAAAAGATGCACCAAATTATTATGAAATGATATATCAACCTAGAGATTTAAAATCCATATCAAAAGCCTTGAAATCAAAAGCTGATCCCCCAATATATCTGTCAATTAAAGAATTAGAAAGAGATATAATGTTGATGTTTGCTAATTGTATAATGTATAATAAACCCGAAGAAGATTTAGTTGATTTAACTAGAAAAATGAAAAAAGATGTTGGAGAAATGTTTAAAATGTTTAAAGAAGCTGAAAAGGATATTAAATAGCTGAATTAAGTAGTAATAAATGAATGTTTATGAATATATCCGGATAAATTATTCTTGCAGTAATTTGTAAAAATGTTTTTTCTTTTTGCGTTTCAGATAATTTTTCAAATTTTCATTTAATATCTATTAACAAAGATTTACAACCAATTAATGAGAAAGAGCCGTGTTGGTATATTCAACTTAAAAAAAGTATATAAATCTATCTAGTCATTCATTTTTATCATCGCTCATTTTAAATCTCAAAATCGTTTCATTATATAAGCGTTTCGCCAAATTTTTACCAGCTATGACCAGATTTAGCTCACCATTTATAAAACAAACATCATTTGAAGTTGAATATGCACCAGCTTTTATTACAAAATGGAAGTCAGAACGAACTGGATTACAAATCACTTACATAAATCAACCTTCTCCAATAGTAAGTGGTTATTTTGCAGTTGCTACAGAAATTGAAAATAATTCTGGTTGTCCACATACTTTGGAACATTTAATATTTATGGGTTCAAAAAAATATCCATATAAGGGATTATTAGATAGTTTGGGTAATAGATTATATTCACAAACAAATGCATGGACCGCGGTTGATCAAACTGTATATACCTTAACAACTGCAGGTTGGGATGGATTTAAAACATTGTTACCTATATATTTAGATCATTTATTTAATCCTACATTAACTGATGAAGCATGTCTAACTGAAGTTTATCATATTGATGGGAAAGGGAAAGAAAAAGGTGTTGTGTTTAGTGAGATGCAAGGAATTGAAAGCCAATCATGGTTTGTTACTTTTAATAAAATGCAAGAATTATTGTATGCACCAAAATCTGGTTACTCTTCTGAAACTGGTGGATTGATGTCAGAGTTACGTCATTTAACCAATGATCAAATAAAAGAGTTCCATAAATCAATGTATAGACCAGATAATTTATGTGTCATTATTACTGGATCAGTGGATCAAGATGAATTATTACAAATAATGACTGATTTTGATAATGAACTTGAGGCAAAACCTACTACGCCAAAAGCAAGACCATTTGTCGATTCAAAAAAAGATGAACCACTTACCGAAGACATTATCAAAACTGTTGAATTCCCAGAAAAAGATGAATCCACAGGAGAAGTTTTAATTTCATGGATAGGTCCAAATGGTAATGATTCATTAACTAATACAGCTATAGATATGATTGGTGCTTATTTCACAGACAGTCCAATTTCATTATTCAATAAGCATTTCGTAGAGACTGAGAATCCGTTAGCTACAGATATAGAATATACAACGGATGATTATTATAGAACAGCATTAAATTTTGTATGTAATGGGGTACCAACTGAAAAATTAAACGATTTACAAATTAAGATCAAAGAGCTTATCAAAACTCAAACAAATCCAGATAATATGAATCTTTTGTACCTTAGACAAATTATAAATCAACAAAGATTAAAATTTATATCACAAACTGAAAAATCACCATCTACATTTTCAAATATTGCTATTTTGGAATTTATATATGGTAACCCAGACGGTAGTGATTTACCGAAATGGACTCAAGATTTAAAAGAATACGATGAATTATTAACTTGGACATCTGAACAATGGGCTGAACTCATCAAAACATATTTCGTTGATAATAAATGTGCTACTATTTTAGGTAAACCATCTGAAAAATTAAACGAGCTTACCAAAAAGCAAAACAAGAAATTCCACAAACAAATCAAAGCAGATTTAGGAGAATCAGGATTATTAGAACACAAGGAAAAATTAAAAGAAGCACAAAATTTCAACGATAGACCTATCCCCGATGAATTATTAACTAAATTCACAAAACCTGATCCACTGAAAATTTCATTCATCAAAACAAAATCCTACAAAGCTGGTAAAACTAAAGGAATAGTTGATTTATCCACAAATCAATATATTGAAAATGACGAGTTTAGTGAACTACTTAAAAAAGATACACCAACAAATTTTCCCATGTTCATGCATTTAGAATCTTATAAATCTCAATTCTCAACTATTCAATTAGTGATGTCATCCACTAAAATGAGATCAGATTTATTGAAATATATGTCAGTAATTGAAGAAATTTTTACAATGTCCATGAAATTACCTAATGGGACATACATGCCATATGAACAAGTAATATCTGGGTTAAATAGTGATTTAATAGAATTTCAATTAGATAATGGTTACGATTATCAATTTTTAGAATTAATTTCAATGACGGTAAAATTTGAAAACAAGAACTACCATAGGGCAATAAATTGGTTATATAAGATTATAAATTTTGTTGAATTTGAAGAATCAAGAATTAAAATCATAATTGAAAAATTAATAAACTCATTACCAGATAAGAAACGTAATGGAGAATTAATGATGTATTCAGCACAATACAGGAATTTATTCAATAATAAATCGCTAAGAAAAGAACAAGATTTTATAAATACTGAACAATTTTATAGAGATTGTTTAAAACAAATAGAAGCGGGAGAATTTTCAAAGATTAAAAAGGACTTACTCGAAATTAAGGAACACTTATTCAATTTAGAAAATATCAAGATAATAATAATAGGTAATGTAACAACATTAGAAAACCCAGTGAGTTCATGGACAAATTTCATTCAACCACAACCTTCAATAATGAACATACAACCATTTCAAAACTTACCACGTTCATTTCAATTTAAATCTTCACTCGGAACAAAATGTAATCATGAAGCATTCTTGATAAATATCCCAGCAACTGAATCAACTCAACTCATATCAGTGACCACAATCCCAACTGATTATTTAAATGACGACATACCTAGAATTTCATTAGCTATAGAATTTTTATGTGCAGTCGAAGGTCCATTTTGGAGAGCTATTAGAGGAACAGGTTTAGCATATGGTGTATCCATCAAAAAAAATTTGGAAACTGGGTACTTAACCTTTTCGATATTCAGAGGTTCAAATGCTAAACAAGCATGGATAGAAGCTCAAAAAATCGTTGAATCATACTCGAGTGGTGAACAAAAGATAGATGATTTAGTAATTGAAAGTGCTGTTGCTGCTATAATCAACGAAATTACAAATAATCAAGAATCAAATTATGAATCAGCAAGTAATAAAATTATTGATAACGTGTTTAAACGAAGAGGTCCAAATTTTATTGAGAATTATATTAAACAATTGAATGCTTTGTCAGCTAAAGATATAGTTTACGTTTTGAAGAAATATTTTTTAAATTTGTTTGATTCAAATAGTTCAGTTGTTTTCACTAGTTTACCATCTGATAAAATTGAAGAAATGGGTAGATTTTTCAATGGAAAAGGGTATAATATTAACGTTGAGGAAATTCAAGGGATTGAAGATGGTGAAGAAGAAGAAGAAGAAGAAGAAGAATCAGGAAGTGAAGAAGAAGAAACTGAAGAAGAAGAAGAAGAGTCTAGTGATGATGATGAATCTGAAAGTGATGAAGATGAAATAAAGAATGGTAAAAAGTAATTAGCTTTTTGTAATTGATTGTATAAATTATCCCCCTTCTATTAATTGTACAAATTAGAAATTAAATGTGAATTCTAGACTTATATTTTACCCTGTTTGATTGTATCCTAATTTACAACATAAATTGTAGATTTTTTAGATTTTGATTATCCAGTAATATGAACGTGTAAATCAATTTTTTGATCTGGATCTGCGTTAGTGTTCTAAATTGCATTACCACTTTGATTAGCAATACCATTGCTAAATTTTATTTAGTAAACCACCAGCAATAATTTCCTCTTAATTACCTGAATCATCTCTTTAAATTGGGTTTAGCAATAGCTTCTTTATTTTGAACAGCATTCGCTTTAACATCTTTATTTTGAATAGCATTAGCTTTAGCATCATTCGGTTTATTTATAGCAATACCATTTAATTCTTGATCCATTTGATTAGCTTCTTGTTTAGCTTTACCTTGAGCTTTTTCTTCTTCTTGTTCTTTTGCCTTTTGTTTGGCTTTAGCTTCCGCTTCTGCTTGTTCTTTTGCTTGTTGTTGTGCTATAGCATTAACTTTGGCATCGTTGTTGTTGGCTACTGCTGCTGCTACTGCTGCTGCGTTATTTGGAGATTCACCTTGATTGTTTTGTGAATTTCCTGTGAATTTTATTGTTTTAAATTTTTCTGCATCTGCGTTTTTGAATTCTGAGGCTGGGTTATTTGAATCTAGTAATAAATATTCAATATATTTACTTACTTTAAAACATGTTGTCTTTTGATCTATTTTAGATTTTGCCCAAAATTCAGGTGATGTTATAGCTTCACAAGCAACCCATTTTGCAATTGAATGGAAACGTAATTCCCAATCTTTGTTTGGTAGAACTTTTTGAGTTTTTTCTGGTTTACCCATTGATCTTCTTGAATAAGTACCATATTCACCTTCTTGAGCATTTTTAACAGGATCTATTTTTGGGTGATTACAATGTAAAAATAATATTTGTGGTAAATTATATTCAATCAATCTATGAGCTGTATCTTCATCTTCAATTTTTTTATCTTCTATAATTTTCTTTTTATATTCTTTAAATTGTTCTATTAATCTACTTGTATATTCACCAGATTGGAATGGATTTAATCTTGTATCCAAATTTCTTGTACTTAAAAATTTCTTCCAATCGTAGTAAAATTCAGGATTATCTCTTGGATCGGTTTGTGTTAATGTTGTATCTACGAATTTTCCATTTTCTGCATCATATCCTAAAATATGGACTTTTTGATTCATTAAATGATATCTTTCATTCATTACATGTAATGCTGGTACAATAGTTTCTCTGTCTCCTTCACCAAATGCTCCTTGATATATTAAATCTTCATACCAACCTTTTGAATTAATGTTATAATATAATGCTAATAATAATGACCTCATATGTTCTTTTTTGGAGAAAACCATTTGACCTGTTTCAACAGATGTAGGATTTGGTAAGTTTGAAAAATCATGATAATGAATCTCCAGTACTTTATCTTTTTGGATGTATTCATGAAATTTATCTTCATTTGGTATACCATATCTATGTATAACATCTCCCTTTTCAATTCTTGCAATTTTATAAAATAATGGACTTGTTAATTTGACCCAAATATCAGGCCATAAGATCATTTTGGTGGATAAATAAGGTTCTGTATACAACAAGTTATCAACATCTTTTACTGCCAAATTGTCAGCATCAATTGCAATAGTATTATCAAATGATGACACCAATATACCCAATATTTTTCTTGCAAATTTTTCACCAACTAAATCCAAAACTTCTTTCCCTAATTCTTTTTCAACTATAACACATTTACCATTTAGTTTATTTGGTAATAAATCTTCACAAATTTGTTTATCGTATTCTTCTTGTTTGTCCAAGATCATTTCTACAGGTAAAGTAGAACCTTGATCTCTTAAATTTGCTATACAAGTTAAAGCACTTGCAATCATTCCACCTCCAGCATTTATAACTATACCGTTACCCGAAACAAATTGATTTGGTGGATCAGCTAATGCTTTTAATTTCTTAACAACTTGATCATGAGCATTTTGTAAACATTTAAATTTTGCACCAGGGATATTTAAATTTGATTCACGTAAATATTTTTCAGAAATAATTCTTGCATCCCATTGATAAGTTGGATTTAAATGTTTACCCTTTTCTTCTTTTGTTAATGGATCACAATTTGGTTTATTTGCTATTAATATATCTTTTATAAGGTATTGGAAATATTTTTTTCTATCAAAATATTTAAGTGTTGCTTTTTCAACTTTTGACTCAAATTCAAGTGGGACTTGAAAAGAATCAATTTCCATTGATAATATTGATAAAAATGATGCTGGTTTAAATTCAGTTTGATGATCTTTCGCGTATTTATCTACTAAATTCTGGTATATATCATAAGCCAAAGAATTTTGTTTATATATTTCTGAAGTACTTTCTTCTTTGATTTCTTCTTTAATGGTATCTTTTATTGTATCAAGATATTTTTGTCTCATTTCAGTTTTTAAACCCTGGATAATCTTTGGTTTTTCATTTTTAGTTACTTTTAATTTATAATCTGCTAATATTTCTTCTTTTTTGGTATCTTCAATTTCTTTCATAACTTCATTTATAAATTCTTCACTATCAACTTTATCAATATGAGCTTGCATGGCTTTTTTACCTCCAGTATAATAAGTTGCTCCTCCATTTTTTGAATAACTTGAACCATCTGATGACGAAGTAGTTAGAATTGAAACATTGAATATAACAATAGCCACTATTAGTACTCCTAGTAAAATATACAGTGGTGATAATCTTCGAAAATACATAATACTTTGAATTGTTGATTGATTATGTTTGGTTGACAATATGTTAGGTTTTGGTGATTATAATGTATTAATTGATGATTGACAATATCAAATTGTAGAAGGATAATGAATTATGAAATGGATATGAATATATAAAGTTATTTGTAATTAATTGTTGAAACCAAATTGAAAAAAAAAAAACTCGAAAAATTTAAATAATTAGATTTACTTTTACTAATATACAAGTTTTTGTTTGTTTGTGTTGATAAAATAAAGATTTAAAGATTCATGTAATTAAAGAGATTAAATTTAGAAAAAGTAAAAAGAGACAGAGAAAGAATGTGTGTGTGTATAATTGTAACCAATAAGTTTTAGTAAGAGAAAACAATCAATTTATTTTGAAAATTAAGAATAAATTGTTATTTGACGGATTTTACTAATTTCTCCAAAAAACGAATAACTCGAAAGTATTAAATAATACTCACATGTAACTCCAAAGAGATAAACAAGACGATATAACCCATTTTTTTCACAAAATATAATAGACCCTTTTACGCACTGGTGATCTTAATTCGATGAATTTGTAACGTGGCTTTACACTACAGTTCCTTTATTTTTTTATTCTCGTATATGTTGTATCAATATATTCAAATGAAAATAACTAAAATTCTGTTAAACATAATTTATAAATTGATTAATGCTTCTTCCAAAATTAGTAAATATACTCTTTATTATAGAGTGTTTATAGAATTTTCGTTAAATAATTAAGTTTGTAAACTGATCAATTTTCTTATGATGTAAAAAATATCCATAAGTGAAGAAGACAAAACTGACATAATAAGGTCCTACTTTGTTTATCAAGAATTTTCAGTTTTAATTACCTTCAGCTATCTGTTTGTCAAATAAATATTATACCGTCTTGATAAATATTATCTAAAAGATCAACACAGTAAATTTGGTCGATTTATTATATAACCCCCTAAAAATTTTGACAAATACAAAACAATTAGACGCGTTCAATACAACATATAAATAATTAAATAACTTTAATGAATTAATTAAATTAAACTAAAGAGAATTGGGATCTAAGCTATTAAACTCTCCAATCCAGATTTGATCAGATCTGGTATCCTACTTATTGCGTTCCGAATGTTCGTAATAGGCTAGTCTTTCTTGGACTTTCCTCTTTAAAGCTTAGATTTGATAAGTGTTTAATGACTCTCAAGTAGTAAAACTAAGTTGAAACAAGGTGAAATTTTTGCATAAAAATATGACTTGCTACATATTATCAGTAAGTAGATGAAAACGTCCCAATAATAATAGTACTATAAATTTGAACATGTTAAAAATATAATATAGTAAACCAATTACCCCATAATAAAATACTAAAATTTGTTTGAAATTTGTAAACTACCAAATGAGCTGCAAATTTTTTTTAATACTACTAAATTATTGTTAATAATATTTCAATTACTTTCAATCATGTCAATTATTCATTTATACTTATAAGAGATTCTTGTATAATATGGTAAAATATATTAATTATAATTTCATTACTTTTCTTATCTGTAAAATTCTGTTTTATAAAAAAAAAATTTACTTAAGAAATTTTTAATTTTTCGTTTTTCCTTAAATTTTTATTATTTAATATTTTGTTTGTTTGTTACTGTTGTAATAAATTTTCTTGATCTAATAAATATCTTATACATATATATTTATAAATTCCAATTAATTCTTTACATTCAAATTTTATAATCAACAATAATAATTTAAGACTAAGTTTATATATATATAATAGTTTCAAAAGTTGTATTTTCATTCATTGAATCCATCAATTTAAAATTTTATCACAAATGTTTAAGATGATTCAAAAATATGATGATTCAACTAATATATTATTAATTATAGTATCATTTTCAATAACAATAATATTATCATTTATATTTTGTATTTATAAATTATTTTTTAGTAAATCTAGATATCAAAATGGAGAATATCAAACATTATCATCATCAATTACTGATAGTTTAATGGGATCACATTCAAATGATGTACCAAGAGAATTTTTAAATGATGAAGAAAGTTTAAAACATTTAGCTGAACAATTTGATTTTACAAATTTATCACCTGAAGAACAACAACAATATTTAAAATCTCAAGAATTTGCAATTATAAATCCACCTGATTTTAATAAAACAAAGGGGAAAACATTTTCATTAGATGATGAAAAAATTATAAAAGAATATGGTATAAATGCTTTTAAATTTGAAATGGAAAATGATATTTTAAATCCTCATTATATTATTGCAGATAAAACTGAAATAAATTTTAATAATAATGATTTACCTTATTGTACTACAACAACATCCTTAAATTATCCTTTACCAGTTAGAAATAGATTATATTCAGATACTATATATTTTGAAACTAAAATATTTGAATTTCAACAATCAACAAATACTCAACATTTTGCTATTGGATTAATTACAAAACCTTATCCAACAAGTTTTAGATTACCTGGTTATAATAAATTTTCTATAGCATATGAAAGTACTGGTAATTTAAAAATAAATAAACCATTTCCAACACCATTACAACAACATTTAGATGAACAAAGTCAATATAATGCATTAGTTTTACCACCATTACAACAATCAGACGTTGTTGGATTTGGGTATGTTATTCCAACAGGTACTATTTTTATAACAAGAAATGGTAAAAAACTTTTGGATGTAATGAAAGGATGTTTTGTAGATATGTACCCAGCAATTGGTTGTTTTTCAACAAATGCTAAATTTCAAGTTAATTTAGGACAAAGTGGATTTGTATGGATTGAAGCAAATGTACGTAAATATGGGTTTGTTTCAACAAGTGATTATAAAAAATTACAAGGTGATAGAGGATTAGCTCATTTACCACAATATAATAAAATTTTAAATAATGACACAAATGATAAAATTTTAGATAAAGGAGAAGAATTACCACCAAGATATATTATTGAAGAAGAATTAGATTTTTTCGGTAGATCATCAAATGATATAACAAGGGTAGGATCAAGTGCTCAACATATGAAATTAAATGAAAAAGGGTTTAATAAGTATGGTTCAACTGATGATACTGAAATTAATGATGAACATTATCAAAGTCCAGATGATGAAGATGATGAAGAACATGAAGAAATTAAACTGCATCATAATAATGATGTTAATATAACTAATGATCCTGAAGATATTATGGATTTAAGAGAAAGATTATATGAACATGATATTAGAAATGCTAATAATAATTTAAATGAATTAGATCAACAAGATTCTCAAGATTCAGATGAATCTCAAGAACTTCAACAAAAACCAAAATCTCAATCTCAAGCTCACCCACAAGAACAAGTACAAGAACAAGTACAAGCCCCACCTCAATCACAAGTACAAATACAACCACAAAATCAAGAACCTGCTCAACATCAACAACAAGAAACAACTCAACCAGAAGAATTAGTACAAGAGTCAACTCAAGCACAAGTATCAGTAGATACTCAACAACCTCAGCAACAAAATTCCGAAGCTGACAAAGATAAATCACAAAATGAATCATCAACTACCGCCTCACCCCAATCAACAACTGAAACGGCCTCAGACGAACCACAAGCTGAAAAATCACAACCAATAGTACCAGACCCAGAACAAAATTCAAAAACTGATACCACGCAAACAACAGTGCCAACAGAAATAACTCAATCAATAGAAAATGGAGAAACTGTAGATAATGGAGAAGTAGAAAATGATGAAGATAATGAAGAATCAACAAGTACAAATAATGTAAAATCTAATTCACCAAGTTCATCCGGTAATAAGAAGAAGAAGAAGAAAACACCTAAGAAGAAGAATAATAAAAAAAAAAGAAAGTAATCCAAGAAAATCCTTTTTAATGTAAATACCACTAATCTCATATTATATAATTGATACCATGCATTCCATTCACTTAATTTATATATCGTAAAATTCGATTCTCTACAAAGTGACAAATTTTAAACTAATCAAGTTGACAATGTAAGCTTATACATATGAACTAATTTAATCTTCATAACTTGATATCTCATTATAATAACTTTTATTTCATTTCTCTATTTACATGAACTAACAACTTAAAACTATCATACAAACATTTCTCATTTCTTTTCAAGCTCAAGCACTTTACGCAAATACCCACCTTTCCCAAACTCTTCTTCTTCTCTTCTTTTCATAACATCATCCAATTTTTTCGCCTTAGCTCTAGCTTCCCTAATTCGAATCTTAGAGTCGTTTACTCTAGTATAATGTAAACATTGAGCTAATTGATCTTTTTCAAAATTACACATTCCTAAACATTGTTTTAAAAATTCTTGTTTGTGACATTCTTCTAGGGCGTCCATTAGTTTTTCACATGTGTTGAATCTGGTTTTGTCTAATTGTGGGTGCATCTTTTTGGGGGTGGGATCAGATGTGATTTATGTATTGTTTTGAAATTAATTAATTTTATAGTGATTTGACGAATTCGTTTGTTTATGGATTTGTAGTTTATATGTAATTTGATGTAGTCAATGACGTGGTTAGTTATTTTACGGGTCTAAGTATAGTATAGATAATAAGTTGGTAAATTTGGTTGTAAAGATATCTTTAGATTTTTTCTAGTTGTAAAATTAATTTGGTGATAATTTTGATTTTGTGAAGAATTTCTTAGACTCAGATTTTCATTTGCATGTAAAATATCACCTCACAAGTTTTCGAAAACTCAATTTATATACGTCTAGAGCTTAAAATTAGAGATGATAATAAATCATTGATCGTTAACGTAACATACATAAAATAAAAACAACTATTAAACCTAGAAACCCTATGCCTGTGCAGTAAACTTGTACTCAGGTACTATGCAATAATCATTAAACAAATTCAAAAGATCCAATACTTCTTCTACAAACATCATTAATTTCCCAACTTAATAATCCAGCATCTTGACAACCAATCACTAATTTCAAATTATTTGTATGAGAATCTTGTATGAATTCAACTCCAGATAATTCCATTTCTCCATGTACGTGATTTGTTTGTTGTTGATAAGAATCATCACAATAATTCGAGTATATATAACTTGATGATGATGATAATGAAGTTGCTTGACGTTGTAAATATGAGCTCGGTGGAGTTGAAAATGAGTTAGAAGATGATCCTGTTCTTGTATGTGAATAAGTTCGATAAATTTCATTTAATTGTGAATCAATATCAACATCATATGAGACTGATGATCTTGAACTATGTTGTTGTGGTTGGTTATGATAGGTTGATGTTGAAGTTGGTGAGATTGAAAATAATGAATCATCAGTCAAATTATCTTGATTTTCGGTGGTGAATGACCAATTTGGATGATTTAATTTTGGTGGTGTTGATTCTCTTGTTAAGTTATTGGAAGGTGGATTAATTGGTGGTTTATAAGTTAAGTCTTTGAATAATTTAGTATTAACATGAGTTAAGTAATCATAATCATAAACTATTGGTGAAGTGAAAGATAAATCATCTGAATATATTTTAATTGGGTAATGTTGTTTAAAATCAATTTCGTTATCTTCAGCAGTCTCCTCTCTATCTTCTCTTTCTGGAGATTGTTCTTTCATCAATGATTCTTTATAATTACCAAATTGATCTAATGCAGCAGGTATAACAATAATTTGTCTTTCAAAAGTTTTTAAATCAATTAAATGAATTCTTCCAACATGTTCACTTATAATTAATAAGTCATTAAAATCATTTTGTTGTGATATTTTACAAACTCTAAAAGCACCCAGTTGATGACCTTGTCTTGTTGAATTAAATTGTCTTAATGGTTGTGATAAATTTCTTAAATCATATAATTGACAAACTCCATCTTGGAAAACAGTTGAAAATAATTGACCATTTGGGTGATAAGATAATCCAAATCCTCCTTCATGACCTGAATTTATTGTTTTGACCACTGGTTGATTCCCTTGTTTTGGATCAATTAAAAAAATCAGTGAAGAATCTCCAACACATGTAATTAAATCTGATTTAGGATTTTGTAAACTTGAATTTAAACATGTATTTAATTCACAATTAAATTTTGATACTAAACTTAAATTTGAATTATTATTTATATCTAAAATATATAAGTTAAAATCATTATTACATAAATGACTTTGATATTGTGAATTACTTAATTTGTTTATAGTTACATCATTATTTATCATTTCACCAATTTTAACAGTATGTACTGATTCATTATCCGGATTGTAAATTGAAAATAAACCTTTTGATATATTTCTTCTTGACATTGTTGAATTACTATTGTTATTTATTGGTTGATTTAGGTTTTCCAAGTTTAATGAAAATAATTTTGAACTACTTGTTAATAATCCACCAGTTACTACTAAATCATTATGATTATCAAAACATCTTGGATAGTAATTTAGTTTAATCTTTTTCTGACTTGAGTTGTCCTGTAAATCATATAAATATATTGAATCATCTCTGGTATAATATAACAAATCATTTTTATAATTATATTTTAATAAATTTCTTAATTGCCAATGATTTACTGATGGTTTTAAATTTGATACATATATTGGATTTGATTTTAGAAAATTTCTTGAATGATAATAATTTTGAAAACATTTATTATATTGTGAATATACTTTATTAAAATGTTGTGAACTATTATTTCTTCTTTTACGCTTTATTATAGGATGTATTGAATTTGATGATTTATTTTCAATATTTTGATCTTGTGGTAATTTCTTATCCTTATTTAATACATTAATTTCATCTTCATTATTTAGATTATTAAATCTTTTATTAATATTATTTGAAGAATCAGTAGATAAATTTGAATCTGTAATAGATGATGAATTTGACGTTATATCTATTGTCATTACGATATGTTATACAATTGTTGATATTAAAAATGCTAAAAAATATTGATTAATTATTATATTTGTTACTACTTTTTTGATAATTTTAAATGATAATACAAACTTTGATTTAAAACAAAAAACAAATGAGGAATGGTCGTTAAAACGAAAATCGTTAAATTATTAAATTGTTAATTATAAAATGCTAATATGAAGTTCTGTTGACACTTGATTCAAATTTGGTTGTCAAAAAAAAAATGAATGATTTTTTTATTAAAAATTTATTTCGAGGAGTAAAAATAAATATTAATCTACTAATAATAAATAATTAGAAGGGGTGTAATAGTAAATCAAATTACACAATTAGATTGAAAGGTGGGGTGGATTTTGTGTTTAATATATAATTTATAACGTGGAGAAATTCTTTATTATTATTCATTATTACATTAAAATAACAAATGGAATTATCAGTCGACTAGTCATGAGCTATTAGTTGAGAATTAAGCCTAATTATCAATCTATTTGTTTGATTGACTAATTCATAAAATTGTTAAGTTTTAGCCCTGTTCTTGTAAAACTTTAAATCATATGACTAAATCACTCTATTATTTTTCTATTTTTTCTCTCGGTTGAATTGAGTTTAATTCTACGTCGCCTTAAATTTCATGCACACCCGACCTGTAATAATCTCCTACTCTCGAGTCTGAGACAACTTAATTATCAGGGAGAGTCAATAAATTAGTGAAAAACGAAAAAGAAACGAATATCTAAGACATTATGATTCTTAATTTTATTGTCTGAGAACACCTTCCCCATAAATTTTTGTTCAAATGGTTCAATTATAACACAAAGGAGTTCCGAAAACACTGACTTATGTTTGGTAACCTTTTATTATATGTTTGTTTCAATTATATATTACTATTTTATTGAAGAAGAAAGGTCTTATTCTTTTGTGGTACAAAATAAAAAATGTATGATCAAGTAAATATTCTTGATTTTCTGGGGTAAATTAACTTTCTTTGGTGAGACATGAAAGATATTAATTTCGTTTCTTTCACTGTACCTCATATTTATTGAATTTATTCAGGTACGTTAATAATTTTCAATAAGTTACTAAATCCTTGAAATAATGCAACAAATTAAATCATAATGAATATTTTAATTTTCCTTTTTTATAAATTAATTTTAAGTATTGTTGCAAACGTTTTTTATTTTGTGTAATATATGTAGATAATTTAATTTTTTTTTTCTTATCAGTAAATTAATCAATAGGGTCATGTGACATTAATATTTTACGAAATATCTTGAACTATTCAAGTACGAGAGATCAAATTATCAAATAAATTCTTTTAAATCAAACAAAAATCTTTTTTTTTATTGTATTTTTAAGTAAATATATGTAAATGTATAAAACTGAGTTAAATAAAAGTCTCAACAAATTTAATAAATAAATTGTCTATACTCCTCTTTATAAATTATTGCATCTCTAACTTCTTAAAATTTACGATCACCAGCAATCCATCTATTTACCATATCTAATGAATTTTTAGGTTGATCATAAGGAACCATATGACCAGCTTCAAAAACTCTTAAGAATGTAAAATGTTCAAAATTTTTAACATCTCCAGCATGATTACCATCAACTTTCCATTGTTTTACTGGGGATTTAGAAAAACCTTTTGATCCTGACCATTCTAATTTATTGGTCCATGCTTCATTACCTAACCAATTACAAATGAAATCTTTATCACCAGCATAAATTAATACGGGTAAATCTTTTTGTAATAAATCAATAACATTTTTGAAATATGGTTTCATCCAGTCACCTGCAAACATAAAGTTTCTATTTACATCAAAATTACATGATTCATAACTTGATACTTCAGCTCCTAAAGCTTTCATGACTTCTGGTTTATTCATATATGAATCAATATATTCTAAACCAACATAACATAAATTAGAACCTTCACACATTGTTCTTATATCATAAACATTTCTACCAGTTTGTTGATAAGGACCCATTTGAGCATTATTACAATAAATAGTAGCTGGAACACAAGACCAAACAGATTCTGATTCATAACAATTTTCAATTAATGATTGACATCTTGGAATAGAATCACTCATTGATTGACATTGATCTTCTTCTAATACACTTTCATAACCACCTTTACCACAAGCCATTGGTTGATAATATTCATATTGAGTTAAAGGATCAGTTAAACCATTACCAATTAAAACAGATGATAAATTAAAAGATCTTTCTGGATGACTTAATATTTCACTTGCAAAAACTGGAATATAATGACCAGCATAAGATTCACCAGCAATATGAAAATCATTTTTTAAAAATTGTGGGAATTGTTTGAAGAATAATTCTAAAAATGCATAAACATCTTTACCAGCAGCAACTGTATTTGAAACAGATTGTGAAGAATATGAATAACCAACATTTATTGGTTGATCTAAAAAGATAACAGTAGCATTATTATTCCATGAATATGGATTATAAACTGGTTTTAAACTTTCATCAATTGATGAAGGACCTAATTCAAAAAATAACCCAGTTGTTGAAGAACAACCTGGACCACCATTTAACCATAAAATGACTGGATCAGTTTTTGGATCATTTCTACTTTCAAATGCCCAAAAAAAGAAATGTTTATCTTCATCTTCAACATCTAAATAACCTGAATATTGTTTTACTGAATCAACTCCTAAATCTTCTGGTGTAGATTTAACTCTTAATTTATGATTTGGAATGTTATCTTGTGATACATGAAAATCAAACTGTTGTTTTACAATTGAAGATTTTGGAATACCTGGAGTTGTAAATTTTAAATCTGCAAATTTTTTTGAATTTAAAATCATATCTGACCAAATTTGTTTAGTTTCTGAAGTTAAAGTATCTAATGGTTCATTAAATAATTTAGAAACTTTAGTGAAAAATTCATTTTGTTTATTTTCATCAAATAATAAATGTGATAATTGTGAAGTATATTTATCAAAATCTAAATTTAAAGGTTGTTGTAAATTAAATGGATTTTGAATAGTTAATGCATCAACTGCACTTAATGAAGCAATAGCTAATGTTGAAAGTACTGATAATTTCATCTTCTGCTTTGAAATTGAATGAACTTAATTTAAAAAGAAAGAGAGGGAAATAGTAAAAAGAAAATTGTAACTTCAAAATTGAATAAAAATCCCCAAAGGTTTATGAAAGATAGTGGCAATAGATTAAAACTACTACCACTATAATAATAATTTATTATATAGAATAAAGGAGAGCGGGATAAACATTAGTATTTAATACACTACCTTCTATTTTGGTGCCGTTTTAAATTTTTACTTTTTAAAAACCAGCAATTGAAAGAAAAATTCCGTATTGAGACATTATTAATACTAATGAAGTAATATTTTATGTAGTAGTGCGGCTTTTGTGCATAAATTAGGCTATGACTTAAACTAATGCGGTTTTAGAGCATCCCAATTTGGATCTATGTTAAGCCCGTGTCATATACAATATCTGATCCTATAAATAGACTTAAATGTCTCTTACACATGATTACCTATATTTTCTGTAGAGGTTATTTTAGTCAATTTGTAATCACCACCTGTCCATCTGTTAACCATTGTCAAATCATTTTCATGTTGATCATAAGCTACAATACGACTAGCTTCAAACACCCGAATAGAGGTAAAATGTATGTAATTTTGTTTATTACCAATATGATTTCCGTCAACTCCCCATTCTAAAGTAGTAACAGGTACAGACTCTTTCAAACCTGACCACTGTAAACTATTTGCTCACGCTTGAACTTTTAGCCAGTTGCATACATAGCCTTTATCTCCAGCTTAAACAAGAACAGGTATGTTTTCTTCTAACTAATTTTTGGCCTTTTATAAGGAAAGTAGTAATATAATATTTAGTGATTACAAGTATAAAGTTTTATGTAGATTGAAACACTTTGTCGTGTCATCTTACTACTTTCTCGGACATTACGTTTATATATTGTTACGACTAAAACTGCAGTATTTTTACATGGGGTTTCATGATCCTTTTGATTGCGATCAGTATATATACATAGGTAGCTAAAGACACTGTTAGTAAACTTACAAATCAGTTTCAAATTACAAAATGTGTAATAATAGTAAATGCTTTTTATTCATTATTGTTCTAAATCAACTCTCATTAACTTTATTGACATTTTGAGTTTCGCACTTACTAAATAACAAACTTTTTCCCCCTTAACAAATTCTCACTTTAAATTTAAAAATAATTTTTGGTTGCAAAACATATCAATTTTCCCACTTTTTATTTACAACCAAATTTACAAAACAATCAATTTAAACAAACAATTATACTTTCAATTAAATCAAATATGTGTTTAAACTTAACTGACTCAGATGCAACATATGCACCAATCATTTGTTTCATCGATTTATATTTAGAAGATAATCACATTGAACAATCTACCTCAGAATCAAATTGCAACACTATCTTAAGTGATAAATCATTACCTACACCAGAATCAATTCAACAAACCAATGAATATTTCAACCAAGAAAGTTTAGACGAAATTGAAAGAAAAGCAGAAAAAATTATGGAAGATGAAACTAGAGAAGTAGAAATTGGAGAAGAAACTGGAGAAAAAGGAATTGGAGAAGAAATTCAAAACGAAAGTGAAGAAGAAAATGAAGAAGAAAATAAAGAAGAAAATAAAGAAGAAGCTTTTGATAAATATGCTCAAGCAACTATTGGTATAAATTTTGATTTAACTCAAATTTGTAATGTTGAAGAAGATCATTTAAAAAAAGAAGAAGAACATTTAGAAGAAGGAAATCAAGATTATGAAGATACAACTTCTGATAAAAAATTTAAACCTCCTTTTTCAGAAAGATGTAAAAAACTTTGCAAAAAACACTTACCATTCTTATTATCAAAAGAAACAGACGAACCAGAAGATATTTTAAAAGTGCTTTTTAAAACTCATCATAATATTACCATGCCAGATTATGTAAATTTGGATAACAAAAACCAATGTACTTTTGTTTTAAACAAAAAGGATTTTAAAAAAATGAATGACATTTTGAATAATATATATTCTCCAGATGCTGATGCTTCAAATGAAACTCAAAATAAAACTTCAAAAACCAACAAAGTCAAAAATGTCTTTAAAAAATTAAAAATCAAAAAATGTGGTAAAAAATCAAAATCTAACATACCACCTCCAAAATCAATATTAAAAAATGCACAAAATATCAATTATTCATTAGAAAAAGAAAATTGTAAAGAAGCAGATAAAATCTCATATGCTCAATTTTGGAATAAATTAGATAAAGATGAAGCTATTAAAAAGAAGAGAGAAGATGATGATTATTATTTTACCCCCAGACTTGATCAAGTAAGAAGTTATTATCAATCAATCAATTAAAAATTCATGCTGCTTATGATTCAGGTTCCATCAATCATATATTAAAAAAATTAGAAATCCTCAACTTCAAATAAGATCCAATTGGGCAATTCAAAATTTTAATATGGTTAATATTGAAAAAGATGAAAAAATAAAAAAAAAATTGCAAAAAAAACTTGATATATACAGCATTAACACCAAAGACAGAATAAGATCAATTGGAAATAAAAAATTTATTTAAAATTAATGGATTAATATTTAAAATTACGTTAGTTCAAACTAATAAAATATCAACGGGATGGAGAAAATTAATAGAATTTAGAGTAATAACAATGGTGGGAATTGAATAGGAGAGGGATTAGAACGTATCAATAGTCAATATTGGATCAACATCAAATTATCATTTTTTACAACAAATTATAAACATTAAAACCCATTAGCTAATTTCAAATAATTAAATACTATAAATCAAATTGGAAAACTTGGAATACATTTAGTCAAAGTCTGGCCAGCTTTTATTAAGTTACATTTTGGGAATTCAGTTCAATTGTATTATTTTAATTAATTGTTATATAGCATAATAAACATTCTCTTTGAAAACTTTTCTATTGTAGCTCTTGAACTATTAAAACTCCTTGTTTAATCAAATGACTTGAGACTACTCACCATCATAAAACTGGTTAGAACGGTATTAAAGCTAATTCGTGCTAACTGGAAGCTAATTTTTATGTGCCGCACCGCGTTATCTAGGTCGTTTAAATCTGAAACACACGATTTCATAACTCAACTCATTAAACGACTTATTTAGTACAACTTATACATTAGCTTAAATAACTACTTCTTCAATTTCAATACCACAATCTATGCATCTTCTCTTTATCGTATGATCATCGATTTTCAAAGGTGCACTCCAATCATGAACATGTTTATAATTCAAGGATTTACCATCTCTTAATTTTCTCGTAAATTCTTCAGCTCTTGTCTTTTTTCTCATTTCCTTTAAAGAATCTTGATATCTCTTTTCTTTTCGTTTAAGTTTATTCTGCTCTCTTTTTTCCCACTCTAAATCTAATCCTTCAGATGATCCCCATTTCTTAAATGCAAATTCTTCAACTTGAAACCTTAGGAATAATTGCATCTTGGAATATCCATGTGGATTTGGTTTTTCAATTCTTGGTAGGATGGATAAATCTTGTAATTCTGGTTCTGTTAATAAATAATCTTCTTTACATTCTGTTTTCACTAATAAAGAATATTTTTCAGGCATTGATTTAACACATTTCCTACATGCTCTTACTTTATTAAAATTTGAAAATAAATTTAAGTCTATATCTAATGATCCACATTCATAACATTTTGGTGCTGATTCTATATCTATTGGAGGTGCAGATTGTTTCAATTTTTCCAATTGTTTTTGTTTTTCTTTCCATTCACTTAATGTTTCTTCATCATGACGTGGTTTTGTTTCATCATTTATAAATCCACCTTTTGTATCTTGCATTGTTGCAAAATCATATTCTATATAATCTTTTTTCTTTATTGGTGGTGGTTGAAATTTACCCTTTTTGGAGTCAAATACAAAATCTGAGTTATTTTTATTTAGTCTTATATCATCTAATGAAGTTGTCTGTTTTGGAGTTGATGAGTCGGTGAAATTTGTTGCAGAATTTTTGGGTTTTTCTTTCTCTCGTAGTTTATTTTGTTGAATTTCTATTGCTCTTAGTCTATTTTGCTCTACTCTATTTCTTTCTTCTTGAGTTTTAGATCTTTTTATGGAGTTATCTTCATTAAACTGTACAAATTTTGACTTAAACGCGGTTTGTGATGGTGTTAGTAGTTGACTCATTACTCCCTTTGGGGTTGTGTCTGCAACCTTTTTGGGAACTTTCATTTTCATTAAATTTGGTGACTCGTTATCATTTTGATGTTTCCTTGTTTTCTTTAATCTTGCTAGATTTTTAGCCCTATTTTGTTCCTTAAAGCAGTTAGTATTTGAGATTTGGAATCAAAAATATAAATTCGTAAAATGCTTGACACGTACTACTATTCTTTTCTTTTGTTCATCAGATAGCGTTGTTGACATGGTATAATCATAAGTGAATTATCATGCATTTATAACTTGCCTCCGCAATTTAAAACAAGACTTAATAATGATGTAATAAATTTGGCGCTACCAAAATCTTTGCATTCAAAATATAACTTGTTTAGAATCTTGCAGAATTATATATTAGTGTCGATTCAATTGAGACATCCTTGAAAAAATGCAAAGGGAAAGTATAGAAAGAGCAATTAAATTTGATCCCCCAAGTGTGATGCAAAATTAATCGAGTAACAGATTTCTGGGAATTCAATAAGTCGTACAATTATTTCATCTTGTCAAGAAAAGGATGGGAAGAATTTTGATTCATGCATGAGTAAGTTGTTGTCAAAGAATGAAAGAGTTCAAAATTGACTACAGTAACTTAAACAAAATCTATCTTAATCTAAATATGTAATTAGGGTTTAGTAATACTGCATAATACAAATTAAACCGTTTTATTTGTGAAACCTGAACACAAAATCAATCTAATACAATTACATTTGTATCAATTATATCATTAATGTACCACTCAATAATTCAACACATATAAATATGTGAGTTGAGACCCATGATCCATCATTTAAAACACTTTTTACTTTTTCTGCTGTCCCCTTCTTGTTAGAACTACCCCTACATGCCCTGCAAAATGTTGATATTTTTTACATATAATTGGCGCAAATTTTTTGTAAAGTTAACAAACTATTTGTTGATTTACTTAATGAATTCACTTGCAGAAAATGATCGATCTTACAATTTAAACAGGAGCCCTTTTTGATCGTATTTAACCCAAGACTATTAATACTATTCAAAAATCTTATGAAGTATCAAATATAAAATGTAAAAATATGGTGGGGCTATACTGCAAAATTCATTAAGGCTGAAAAAAAGTGTAACCTTAAAATAAAATAAATTATTATTTAAAGACTGACCAAGAAAAAATTTCAACAACATTTCTATTAAAAATTTAAATGATTAAATATTAGAATGTAAGAAGGTTAGAATAAGAATAATTTAGATATCCCTAAATTTTTTAAGTTCTTGATATTACTTTTCAAAATAGATCTCATTCTAACAAGTTAAATAAAACCTAACAGATACATTAAAGACAATGTTAATAGATCAAAATCGTATATCAAAAAGAATAATATATTACGGAACAAATGATTATAGACGTTGGTTATTCTGGTTAATTTTAATCCCCATCTTTGCAATATTATTAGCATTATTTTTATGGAGAAGAAGAAGAAATAGATCAAAAGTGGTTCCCATCTATAATACTCAAGTCCCACCACCAGCACCAAATGGAGTTTATTATCATCCACCACATCCAATGCAACCAATGCCTCCTCAAAATATGAATAATTAGGTCCTCATTCTTCTTATATACCTCCACCTTATCCTGCTAATGATTATAATTATGGTCCAAGTAATGGTAATAATGGTGGTTATTATCCTCAATCTAGAGATACTAAAAATAATGAATTTAGTGCACCTGATGGTGTTCCACCTGCTCATACAAGATAAATTTTGATACCATAAGGTTAAAAGATCACAAATAATATTGTTAGCTTATAATATCGTTTTAGTTAGTCCTCGACGTACAACAATATACATATATATAACTTATAAATTAACCTAGTTATGATAATGCCTCTATTGTTGCTCAGAACAATGAAGCTCAAGCTGTTTTGTACAACAAGGCTTTTGACGCCTTATGAAGTCTTTTCAAAGTACTAGGTATAAATACTTGTGGAGATTATTATTAATCGTATATAACCCTGGGTTGTAAAATCAAAGTAAAATTACTTACACACAAAACACTGACTCTGATAGCTATATTTGGGTCAATAGACATTGAAGTTGAGCAAAATTCCCCTGATATGTCGTTTTCTCTAAATCTGTGATATAAAATATTTAAAATTTGGTTGCAAAAATTAACGAGGGTATATGAAATCATTGTCGTGTCACAATAATCCAACTAAGACAAAAGATCTTTTAATCTTTCGGTTAAATTTTTTTTATTTTTTTTTTTGATTTTGTACTCAAAGATTAGATTGATTTACGAATATATTAAGACGCGTTACTATTTTTCTTTATGAGTTATAATGGATTTATCACTAGTAAAACAGACTAATTAATGTGAGTTTTTAAAGGAGATGTTTCATGATTGTAAAGTAGAACGATATACAATGGAAAAGTCTATTAGTTATGGTTAGTAATAGTTGTCTTTACAATTATATTAGCTTTTTATTCCCTGGTTTTAGCAAAAAAATTAGTTACGTAATTGAATAGTTAGATATTTAGTTAAATAACTAAATAATTAAAAACATACGTTTGATTTATATATATTAAATTACTATTTATGAAACCAATATTACACATTAACAACTCTATTAAAGCGTTGCAATAAATGGATTGAAACATTTATAACTTGGGGTTGATTAAGAATCATCAGCATTTCTGTTCAATTCGTTGTGATTCGTAATTAAAAATAAATTAATAGAACATTTTTATTTGAAACAAAATTCACAATTTACGGAGTTAAGTATTATATATCTGAAGAAAATTTTTTTGCAACAATTGAAAATCAAAAATTGATTCATATAAAGACATCGCGTTAAATGATCTCCAACAATTTAAAATATTTGAAAAAGATCAAATAATAGATATCCAAAGGCTTTAATCACCACTGTTGCTTTCTTTCGTACAAATTTAACTTTGAATAGATTAGATCTAAATATTTTATTTGTTTTTATTTGTATTTACGAATAACTTTTTTAAGAAGAAAATTATCTCAAGTGAGTTTTAAAGTTCTCCATTTAAACTAATTATTCAATTATCTGTAACTTAATGATATATTTGAGATATAAATAAAACACTTGCTAAGTCATATTACTATAAATATAAATTTGTAATTCAATGTAATGTAAAAAATTAAAAAATTTAAATTTACACGAAAATAGAAAAAAATTAAAATTAAAAAAAAATAAAAAATATAATTTTAATTTTAGATCAACAAATCTTAAATTACTATATTTAATATTTATTTAACAACCAAATTTTACTTTTTCTTTTACAACCAATTAATTCAACTTAATACAATATTATAATCAAATTTATAATCAAAATTGCTATAATTAGCTAATCATTTGCATCTAAATCATAATTTTGAAACATATTATTATAATATGAGAAAAATTTGGAATAGAAGAGATAAAGAGAAAAGAAAGAGTTTTTCAAATTCAAGTAATTCAAATCAATCGCCATTAAATTCAAATGTTTCACATATTGATAATAATAGTAATGGTAACTCACAATCTCAATTAAATTATGATTCAAATCAATCATTTTATACTGTTGATGACGATATTTCCTCTATATCAGAAGAATCACCAAATTTTTCTTCAACAAGTTTAGATAAAATACCTACAAGATCAAGCATTGGAGGTTTCAGAACTCAAAATTTAAATGGCTCATCTACAAACTTGAATAACAATAGCACCAATAATTCAATCAATAACACTAATGGATCTCATACAACCACTTTAACACAATCAAGAGGTTCATCATTATCTTCGCAAGTATCAAAATTTCATTCATTAGTTAAATCAGATTATGATAATACACTTATAAAGAATAATTGGGTGAATATAATAAGTAATGGAGACATCAATGAAAATAACCTAAAATTGTATCGAGCAGAATTAAAAGGCTCACATTTATATTTATATAAACCATCACCAAGTCTAAATATTAAAAAGTTTCAATTTAATAATGAAAATGAGGAAGAACAAGATAAGGAAAAAGATAAAGATAATCAAAGTGATCTAGCAACTTTAGTACCACTGCTGACAAATGCAACTACACCAAATGAATCAGAACAAATTACATATTTATCAACGAAAATTCCACATCCAAAACTTTCGTATGATTTCAATTTACAAAAATTTCAAACAAAGCTATTTCAAAATGATCAAAACACTTTGGAGTCAATATTGCATTTTTATTTATTTTCACAAGATCAAGATGCAACAATAACTACATTAATCAATATAATACCAATTTTACCTGAATTTGGGAGAATATTAAAATTTATAATATCTTATATACTGGCTATATTTGATAAAAAATTTAATGAAGAGATAAATGAAAATTTAATAATTGAAAGAGTGCTATTAATTTTGAATAATATTGAAGACAATTTTAATGGATTTTTGTTAAAGTCTGATATAGCTCCACAAATTTTGAAAATTATAGAAATATTACAACAGAAAAGTGACAAGGTACAATATTTTAAACAAAAGATGTTACAAAAACAACAACTACTAATAGAGTTAGTTAACACTAATATATCAGCCAATCCTTTTAAAGATTTGAGTTCCTCGGTTTTCATGAAAGAAATAAACCTCATAGAATTTGCAAAAATTATTAGTGAAATAGATTTAAAATTTTTTCAAAATTGGAATTCAAATATTGATAAATCATTGTTGTTGTCATTATCAATAAGAGGTGATGTCACTGAAAACAACTTTTACAAGAAAAATCCATTAATTTATAATAACAACTATCACATTCATTACTTATCAAGACTATTAATAAATCATTTATTTATGGAAAATAATACATCTAATTCAAATCATAATTTCATAGAGACAAAAGCCAGAATAATAGAAAAATGGATTGATTTAGGTTGTTTGCTAGATAAATCAGGTAATATGTCATCATGGTTGGGTATATCATCAATAATTTTGTCACAACCAGTTTTGAGATTGAATAAAATTTGGTCTTTGGTGTCCCCTGATTATATAAAATTGTTGAAAAATGATTGGAGTCCAGTATTATTTGAACTAGATAGAAGGTATTTAGTCAATGAATCAAAATCAGATACGGAATCATCAAAAGATTCTTATCATATAATGGCACCTCGTGGATTGGGTAAAATATATCCAAAAGAAAAAGTCATACCTTATTTTGGAGATCTAGTTATAAACAATCACGAATGTGGTGATATATATGAGATTGAATCTATATGGAAAAGAATTAACTACTCATTTGACAGATGGAATGATTATTTATTAAACCTATCAAATTATCAACAAATTATAAATTATAATACGGAAGTACTAAAAAAGTATGATTCTATGGGGTTTATATTTTCAAATGAATCATTAAATCATGTATTGCAATTTGGTCAAGAAGGTAAAGAATTAAACACCGTTCATTCAAAAATAGAAAATAAATCAACCACTAATATCAATATAAAAAACCAACTAATTAAATTAATTGAACTAAATTGTGAATCTATGGATTTGGAAAAAATAATGAAATTATCAATAATGTTGGAACCAGATTTACCAGAGTTTTACCTTAAGGAAACCGATGTTTGTCATTCAATACCTCAATTTAATAACAACTTTTACAAGATTAATATTGGGAAATATGACAACCAGGAAGATCATGGTGAAAACAAACACAATTTTGCAATTGATGAGGAACTAACCTATAGGATTGACGATTTTGTTGAATTAGATTATCATCTTCATAATAGCCAAACCAATGGAAATCTCAAAAATGGATTACATGCAAACTCAGATGACTATGTAGCGATTGATGATGAAGATGACGCAGGTTTGGGCATTGATGTTGACGATATTTTAAACTCAGACAAATTTAACAATTTAACATTATCTCCAAAATCAAGAAAATCAAGTATGGAAATTAAAAGTTGTTACATCCCAAAATATATCACAATTGAAAGAGCAATTGATTTATTACTTATAGATTCAAGATATTTTCATACTGAAACTCAATTAGATTTAACTGAATATAGATTTGTATTTTTGTTAAATTATAATTCATTCATGACAACAAAAGATTTATTGGATAAATTAGCTCATAGATTTGTTAATTCAGGTAATGCAGTTTTGTCTGTGATGAAAAAAAATTATTTGAGTAAAACTAAAAAATCAAACGTTGAACCAAATTCATTTCCAAATTGGGATTTAGATACAAGTATTGATTTAAATGAATTAGGTGAAATTGATTATGAATTGTTATTAAAGATTCAAATTAATATATTAAAAGTGCTAATTGTATTGATCAATAATTTTTACCCAAATTTTTCATTAGACTTATCAAATAAGACTACATTGATCAAATTATTAAAATTATTTAGTAATGAAATTTTACAATGGTACAACTCAAACAAGATCAATTCAAATTTGGAGAAATTATTTGAAAATCTAGTTTCATACTACAAAAAATTAAAAAAATTATTTGTTAAAAAGACTTATAGACCAATTGAAATTACAAAATTTAATGAATACCTCATCAATGAGTTCAAATTTACAAATTCATTAAATGAAGTTCCAATGAATAGAAATTTACCAAGTCATAAAAACATTCACAAGATTGAAAAATTCTTGTATAAGTTTAATAAATTATTGACCATCTTTTATAAAGGTATAAAGTCAGAGGACTGGATTAAAATTTTCAAAATTATGGAAAATTTATATGATAAAAATCTATTGTTTGATTTTAATCTACAAAAACAGAACACTCCAGATGATTCAATTATCATATCAAATATCTTTAACTATTTTGAAACATTGTTAGTTGATAGACAATTAATTCTTAAAAAATTTCCATTAGTGTTTAGAAAATTGTTCAAATTATATTTTAGATTCAAAACATATTTATTAATTCAATTAATTGACAACAATATATCAACAGAAGAAAGATTAGATCGTATGAAGACGTTATTAATAATGTGTAAAATATCAAAATTAAAAATGAATGATAACCAATTTATATTTGAGGGTATTGGTAATATTCCATCATGTATTGAAACAGCAATAATTAACGTGATATATTCACCAGAATCAAGACATTTCACAAATTTATGGATTAAAGCATCAAATTCATTAGATCATCATCACAACAAAGAATTCGATAACATTGATGAATTAATACCACTGAATATTTCAAATAATGATTTACAAAGTATTGAACCTTTATTACCTTGTTTTGGATGGATAATTGAGAATTTAATTGAATTGAATAAAATCCCTTCATTTTTTAATAAGAATGATAAACATTTGATCAACTTTAACAAGAGGTATTTAATTTTCAAATTTATTAAGGAATTGGGAGTGGAAGAAGTTGATGATTTAGAATATAATGATTCCAAGGAATTTGAGTTTTTGTTGAAGTTAAATGAATTAGTTGTTAAAAATTCTTCACATCCAATAAACAAAAATCAATATCCAACTATCTTTAAAGAAGTGATAAAAGAACAGCATCAAATACTAGTAGTTGATAATCAGAAAAAATCATCAATAGACTCACAATTAAAAACATTAACCACAAACAACAGTTTAAGCACAAGTACAATAACCCCAATAACAACAAATCAAATGCATACCATAGCCAAAAAACCATCAAATTCATCATTAAAAAGACAATCCTTATCATATAAGTCAAATTCATCATCAAGATTTAAAATTAGTGGACTTTTCACAAAATCAAGATATTCATTAAATAATAGCTCAGAAAGATCAATTAATGTTAAAGAATTACCAAACCCTGAATTTCAAGTTGATTCAACCACCAAAACAAAACCATCAATTATAATATCATTAAAGAACAAAAAGATTTTCCCAGTTTATTTATTTCCATTTAGTTTTAAAATTGATTCTTCTGATGACTCAGATAATGAATCTTCAATCTTAATTCAAACTTTATCAGATCAAGATTTAAATGATTGGCTTATATTAATAAATTTTGCAAATCGTCATTGGTTCTTGAGTAGATCATTGAATTATAAAATCACAACACCAGTATCAAATTTAACATTTGGTTTACCATTAAGTTATATATGTCAACGAGATTTCAATAAAACTCCAAAATTTTTAGATTTGATTTTTAAAGAAATTGAAAAAAATGGTTTAAAAGATGTTGGAATATATAGAATTAGTTCATCAATATCAGAATTATCCAATCTTAAACAAAGTATAGATAAATTTGGAACATTATCACCAGAAAATTATGATATTCATACTTTAACATCAATAGTCAAAACATTTTTCAGAGATTTACCTGATTCTTTAATTCCAGATGATACAATAATCAAGTTGTTTGAATTAAAACAAGAATTACAATCGCCAAAAGAAGAATCACAAGAATCACAAGAAGAAGAAGAAGAAGAAAAAGAAGATCCAAAGACAACAGAATTATCCAAATTAAAAGAAATATTGAATAAATTACCAACTTATAATTATCAAACTTTACAAAAACTTTTAAATCATTTATTAAAAATTCAAGAAAATTCTCAATATAATAAAATGAATTCATCAAATTTATCAACAGTTTTAGGTCCATGTTTAGTGGAAGCCTCAAATTTAGATATCTTGATACAAAATTTTGGATTTATGAATCTTTATTTGGAAAAATTTATTTTAAATTATGATTCATTATTTGACTAAATTAATTTGGAGTTTGTTTTGTGATTTTACATTTTGCAACAACTCTAAATGAATTAACTAGTATTAGAAATGGTATAATTAAATAAGGTAAATAAATACCCACCAACTTGATACATTCAACAGTCGATAATCCAAATCTTTGATACTCTATTATAATATAACATAAACAAACAAAAGTAGTGAAAAATGCATTGAAACCATATATGATCTCCCATAAATAATAATTTATATTTCTCTTTTGTAATATAAAGTAAAAAAATAAAGGTAATTGGAAAAATACTTCAACTGATATAAAAATCTTGAACCAAGTTTCTGGATATTGTAATAAAAAATCTTTATTTTCATTAATTTGTAAATTTAGTACATAACTTGTTAGATTAAGATGATATTTTTTAGGAATTATTACTGATGCGTCAATTAGTATAGTGATTGGGATGTGAAGTAAGTAGTATACGTAAAAAAATGACTCTAACATGTTATGTTTTTTCAATTGGACTTTTGTAGTGCTTCAAGGTATGATTTTTGAAAAATCTGGAGTTTTTGTTGATGTTTTTCATATCCGATATTTTTGTGATCTGAAATATTTCAGATGTTTTTATAAAGCTGATATTTTAGAAATATATCTTTCTAATTAACAAGATATTCGAATGATATTAAATTTAATATCTAGAAATTTACTACTACAAAAGCATACACTTGTTAAAGATAGTATTAGATTAATATCAACATATAAGAAATATCCCTCCCAACTATACAAGAACAAAAGACCAATAAAATATACGAAAATGTCACAACCAAAACCAACTCAAAATTCAAATACAACATCTCCCTTAAAACAACTCCAATCCTTTTTAGCACAAAAGATAGAAAAACCATTAGTATGGATAGATTGTGAAATGACAGGATTAGACGTATTTGGATCAGATAATATTATTGAAATATGTTGTTACATTACAAATGAAAATTTAGAAATTATTGGAGGTGAAACAAATTTTTTTGAAAGTACTATTTATTACCCAAGGGAAAAATTGGATAAAATGAATGAATGGTGTATAAAGACTCATGGAGAAAGTGGATTAACTAAAAAAATCCTTGAAAATCCACAATTAACATTGGATAAAGTTGAACAAAGCTTACTCAGTTTTTTACAAAAACATATCCAACCTAAAACAGCTATAATGGCAGGTAATACAATTCATATGGATAAATTTTTTATGATGAAAGATTTTCCACAAGTAATAGAATATTTGAATTATCGAGTATTAGATGTTTCTTCAATAATGGAATTTGGTAATAGACAATATCCTCAATTATTAGATTATCAACCACAAAAGAAACATTTACATACTGCTAAATCTGATATTTTAGAAAGTATTAATCAATTAAAATGGTTTAGAGATCATTATTTTAAAAATGAAGATGAAATTAAATTGGAATTAGACAAATTGAAATGAGTAATAATACCAAATATTACATAAAGACGCTCTCAAAATTATAAAAACATTCGGATTACTTAAGATTAGATTAGTTAAACATTATTGCTGCACCATTTTTTTAGTTGCTTTAATTGCAACTAGACAATTGCATTAGAATTGAAATCCAGGGTCATAATTCTAAAGAATAATCTCATAAACCAAGACATTGCCACTGAAGTAATCAGTCAAAACTAATCAATGAGAAGACAATTCACGTATTTTGTCACTAATTTGTAAATAGAAGAGAAAGTATCATCGGCGGAGATTAAATTGATAACTTTTTTTTTCAAACCATAAATTTTATCTCCTTCGTTTACTTGTAAAAACCTTCGGATCCATCATTCTCAATAATGATTAATAATAAACTTAGCATTTTCCACATAGGAGATAAAACTTTAGTATACACCTTGGTCAATTTTTAAATCAAGCAACTTTTTTGATGAGCAGATAGGAAAGATCAAACTAATATCCAAAGTTACTATTTTTATTAAATTTTACTTAGCCTGGTTCATAAACTTGATTAAAGAGAAGTTATGCGTTTTGGTAAAATTGCAAACTTACCTAATCGGTAAACTTGATGTTTTTTTAAATTTACTGCGGTTGTCTATACTTCAAAGTAAAGTTCAAATATAATCTCGTAAATTAAATCAAAACAAATAAAAAGTTACAAGATTAAAAAAATTCTAAAAATAAATATACCTTAATAATGATAAAAGTTAAACTGAACAAAAAATCGTAATCTGAATAGCTATAATTTTTGAACGGCTTTTCTTCAAAAGAGGCTGAATAAATATTTATAATTTTAATCCTCTAACCAGAAAATTGATTTATAATTTAAAAAAACAATCTACGCTTATGTAAATTATTATGTAATCGCTTATATAAATTTTATAATACAATTTAAATTTGTTTCAGATTTCCATAGTTTATTTTTTATTATAAAAACGTCTTTTAAAATTATTCAGTGGTTAATCTAAAGTTCAAAAAATATTTAGTAGAGATAGCAATACACATTTTAAAGATCTTGATCTTTTAATTAAAAGTCAGTAATTTCCATAATATCGGAGCGAAAAGAATAATGATTTACATATGAACTTATTAAGTAACTCTTTAGATTATAAATTTAAAATGAGAAAAAATTAAAATAAAAAAATAAAAAATAAAAAAAATTATTATTAATACGGTTTTACGAGAATACAAAAAAAAAAAGAATCTTAATTATCAGAGAATTTCGGTTTTAATTAAAAAAAGTTTTATACATAATATTCTCTAACTCCTAAATTCCGAATAATTCAAATCAAATATTTTCTAGCAATATGTTTGTAGTAAACTAAGGGTTTAGTCATAACAGTTGATGAACTGCAAACATTGAAGCAATACTGATGCTGGATAACATTTATACAAATTTAAAAATTTTCAAAAGCCTAATTAGTTTTAATTATAAATATAAGTGGTTGAGTAATATTGTATTGTTTACTTTTAACTAAAAAAAAAATATTAAAGTTTAATAAAATACTTCGCCATTAAAGAGAGAGATAAGTTTAGTTATTAAAATATTTGATTAATTTTATAGTACACCTATCATTTATTACTACCCATTGGATTCTCTTTAACTTTTCATTTGAATTGAATTGATGATTAAAAATAAACCGTTATAATAATCATAAAATATATAATAAAAATAATAGAATAAATTAATTATTAATAGAAAAAAAAAAGTTATTATAATTAATTATGAAGAAGTGAATGAAAATGTAAATTTATGTAAGGGTTAGTAATAATAAAACTTCATATCCATCATAAATTGTTTACCGTAACCGAAAATAAAATTAAAATCTTCTCTTTACTTCTCTTTGTTATTGTATTATTTTACGGGTTTCTTTGAATTTTAAAATTTCTAATATTCTATGCAGATTAATAAAATTAAATTTTTGTATAGATTAGGTCTAAATATGTAGAACCAAATATTATTTATTAATATTACAAATATCCGATTACGTAAAGGAATAAAGTAGATAATTTAATACTAAAAGGATATCTATATACTTACTAATTGATTTTGAATAAAAGAAATTATCATCAAATTATATTTCCAGGATTTATATATTTTTAATTCTTGATTCCAATCAATTGCTATTTCGATATTTAATTCTAGATTGATTGATTGAGTAACTGAATGAGCTAACGGACTATAAAACTTTAAATATTTTTAAATTTAATTGGGATTTTAAGATGATTTTTTTTTTTTTTTTTTTTNACAAAACTTTCATGAGAGACGGGTAAAGGATTTAAAAGAGGGCTGATTAATTAATTTACGGAACTGTATATAACATAATATATTTATTTACGCTTACTAAATAATAATAATATGTTACTTATTTCCGAGTAATATTATTTGTTTTATATTTAATAGTAATATGGAGTTAACATATAATATACACAACAAATAAATATAAATATATAAATATAAATATCATTCAAGTTTTTGACAACCAACTTTTTTTAAAATGATTTATTAATTAAATAACAAACATTTACAAATAACTATAAAATTATTAAAATGTCTACTACTACAACAACAACATTAAATTCAAATCCAACTTCAAATTTATCATTATTTAAAAAATCTTCAAAATCTTCATTATCCAAAACATTAACTAATAATATTAATAATACAACTTCAACAACAAACTCTACAACAAAATATCCTTGGAAATTAGAATATGATAATACTTTAAACCAATTTTATTATATTAATACAGAAGATAATACTATATCATTTGATTTACCTTGTGAAGTTAATCATAAACCTATTACTCAAACAAATTCAAATTTTTTTACATCATTAAAAAGAAAATTTACAAATAATAATTCAGAATCAAATAACAAATGTCAACATTTTCAAAAACAATTTAATAAATTAAAAAAATCAAATACTTTTAATAAATCAAATGATAATGATTCTTTAAAATCATCATCACCTATAATTTCAAAACAATCAACAATAGATGATACAATAAATCATTTAGATGATGATTATATTTTAACAAATAATAAATATAATAATTTCAAGAACTTTGCAGGTACTACTTCAACAACACCAATAAAACCAGATCAAGAAAGTATGATCAGTATAGATTCATATAATTCAAAAGAAAGTCAATTACAATCAGATTATTATTATGATGATAATGAAGAAGAAGAATTAGAATCAGAAGAAGAAGAGCCAATTGAATTTAATTATAAATATTTTAATAATTATTATAATTATTATAATCAAGAACAACAACCAAAAGAAGATTCTATGAAAATGATAAGTAATTATTATATTTATGATGATTCTTCAAAAGATGATAAATATGATATTGAAATTGAAAGAGAAGAATTAAGATTACAAATGTTTAAAGATTTATATTAAGGAAATTGAATTTGATTTATTATTGAATTTATTTATTGTTATTATTCAGTCGATTTATTATTTTTAGTTCTATTATTCGAGGTCATTATTTTTTGGGGGTTCTAGGTATTTTTATTAGGTTTTTAAGTTCAATTCTATTTTATTAATTTTGTATATAGCTATTTGTAAATATTGTGAAATCATTATAAATAAATAAATTAAATAAATAAATAACAATTATTACTTTGATCAATTCAGTTTTAGTAATATATTTGTAGTAAAAAACTTTTATTTTATTTTAATTTAAATATTCAGATAATATTTTTCTTTTTTTTTTTGCAACCAAATTTTAATGTTAAATAATATAAACCAAAATCAATCAATATTTTAAATCTTTAATTAATTCATCCATAATTTCATTTGTTGTTTTACCTTGTTTTATTTGGAAATGATTTAATCCACATAAATAAAATCCAATATCTTCTAGAGCTGGATCGATTTGTGTTTTCAATTTCTTATACCCATAATAAGAATATCCATAACCAGGTAAATTCTCTTGTTTTTCATAATAATTATTGGTTAATGTAGTTATAAATTTTGTATTTATACATCTTGCATTTTTACCACTTATTAAATTAGTCATTATTGTATCACTTTCCAATGGATTATAATTATTGAAAAAAGTAGATGTTGTTGATTCTGGAGTTGATAAGAAAATTGTACCTAATTGAACTGCATCAGCTCCTTGATTCAAATACCAATTTATTGTATCCGTATTCATTATCCCACCAGATGGTACTAAATACGGTATTTTTTCTATACTTCTAGTTTTAAAATATTCTTTAGTTTTTAAAAATAGTGCTTTAGTAGTTAAATATTCATCTTGATAATCACTACTCAAAAAATTTCCACGATGACCACCAGCTTCTGAACCTTGTAATATAATTCCATCAATACCATATTCTAGTAGTTTAATTACTTCTGCCAAAGAAGTAGCAGTTATAAATATCATAATTTCATGTTTTTGTAAAAACTCAATTGTTTGTTTTAAAGGTATACCGAAATGGAAACTTATTATTTTTGGATTTATTGAAACAAGGTAGTCAAGTAGTATTTGAAATTGATCTTTATTTTGTTCAAATTCTTTAAATGAGACATTACCATTCTGAAATTCAATATCATTGATCAATTCTTTAACTTCAAAATTATCTTGAGAATTAATAGTAGTATTATATAAATTTTTCCAATTTTCAGTTTGTTTAGTATTTGGTCCACTTACAATATCATGACAAAAAAAATTCAAGTTAACAATATTAACTCTTTGAGTATCATTTAATTGAGATTTATATTTATCAATAATATCATTTAATTTCCTTATTGAATCTTGTCTTATGAAATTTATAGTAGATAAAGGTATTGAACCCAATCCACCTTTATTTGTAATAGAACTTGACATTTCAATAGTAGATACACCAGCCATTGGTGATTGAATTATGGGGTACTTTATACCTAATTTTTTAATTAATGATTGTTTTGACATTATTGAATATTGAGTAGTTGAACACGTTGTTTTGGTTTTTTTGGGGATTTGAGTTGTAGTAATTTTAGAGATTTAATTAGTTGTTAAATTTAAAATCAAAAGCGGTGTTATAAATTTTGATTATGTAATTCTTAATTATGTGGGGAGAATTTCGAATTACTTTACCACATATATTACAAACTATTGTTTGGAATGGACTTAATATTCCGTTTAGAGCATATATAATTTGGACAGTATAATAAGCCAGAGCACATATTCTACTAAAATGGTAAGGAAGGAATTAGATGTTATACCTTAATCTTAATTATGTATTCTTAACTATGCTTGTCTTAAAAGTAAGCGGTATTAAATTCGGTGTCGTGTCTTGGTTTTTTTTCTACGAAATAGTATATTGTTAAATATGTCAATAATATTTCCACTATTTGATTTACTACGAGTTGAGTTAGTGAAACATTGATTGATTTTTCAAATTGGATTTTAGTGTAGTCTGTTTTCATTGATTTGACATGATCGAGAAAAAAACTATGGTTAGTGAAATTTTACTTTATTGATTAAATCAAAGTAGAGACCATTAGCTTTAGTGTATTAATTCAAAGACCTTATTGATGAAATCAAAGAAGATTATTGTATTAAAGTTTATATATTTATTCAAGCATTATTTGATTAGCAAAAAAATATAGCAAAATTTTTAAATTGTAGAATTTTAAGTTTTGATCTTGATTAATTGTGAAATATAATTTTGAATGTGAATTTTGAACTCGTTGATTTTTAACAATTTTTTAGTAGTAGCGGCGATTAAACAGTTGATGTTGATGTTGATGTTGATGTGGATGTTGATGTTGATGTTGATGTTTATGTTGATGTTGATGTTGTTGTTGTTGTAGTTGTTGTTGTTGTTGTAGTAGTAGTAGTAGTAGTAGTAGTAGTTGTTGTTGTTGTTGCTGTTGTTGTTGTTGTTGACTTTGTTGTTGATGTTGATGTTGATGTTGATGTTGATGTTGATGTTGATGTTGATGTTGATGTTGATGATGATGTTGATGTTGATGTTGATGTTGTTGTTGTTGTTGTTGTTGATGTTGATGTTGTTGGCTTTGTTGTTGTTGTTCTTGATTCTTGATCCTTTGTTGTTGTTGGTGTTGATCTTGCTGTTGTTATTTTTGTTCTTTTTGTTGTTGTTGTGCTTGCTTCTGTTCTTACTGCCGCTGAGTCCAGTTTGATGATTTGAAACAGCTGCACTTCGATCTTCTTCTTCCTCATCTTCTTACCCTCTTTTCCCCCTTGATCTCATCCCCAATCACCACAAAAATCTCTCGTATTATCCATTTTATCACTTTTTTCTTTTTATCCCTCTTCTTTTTATCCCTCTTCTTTTTATCCCTCTTCTTTTTATCCCTCTTCTTTTTATCCCTCTTCTTTTTATCCCTCTTTTTTTTGTCCCTCTTTTTCTTATCCTTCTTTTTCTCCTTTGACTCCTTTCTTCTTTCTTTATCCTCTTTAAATCTCTCTCTTACTTCTCTTATTTCATCTGTAAATGTTTTACGAATTATTTTTTTACAATAATGTATTATAGGATCATTTTGAAAAATTCTGAATTGTTTTAAATAACTTCCAAATATATCTGGTTCATCATCCAAATATTTAGTATCAGTTAATATATCATTAGTATCGTTATTGTCAGCTTCAACATTATTTGAAATTGGAGTATTCGTATTGCTGGTTCCACTGAACAACCTTTCTTCTTCATTACTACCTGAAGTTTTTTCAGTACTATTTACAGGTGACTTTTCTTCAGGGCACAATGATCCATTAGTTGAATTATTATCTGCTGCATCAGTATCACTAAAAATTGGATTATCAAATTTAATTACATTTCTCAAATCACTTGAACCTGTACCATTTTTATCGTTATTTCCATTGGATATTACTTCTTCTTCGTTCATGTAATTTGAATATGTTTTAGTACATAAAGCTTCATCACTTGATTTTTTATCTATTGCATAATTATCACTAGTAATTTGATTAGGTCTTGCAGCATCATCATCCTCAGCTACACTTCCAATGTCATTAGATTCTAAACTAATGCTATCGCCGGTATCACTTATACTTGATTCATATTTTCCAATGTACCTTACTTCATTATCAGATATTAGATTCGGTCCTGATTCATTCTCATCTTCACCAAACAGTAACTCAAAAAGGAATTGAAGTAATGATAATCCATAGACATGTCCTGTATAAAAATATATTGATATAATTATCAAACCAATTATCATTGTCAATGATTTACCTATATTTACAAAAGTATCAACTATTCCTCTTACTGCTTCATCAATTGGTTTGAGGACTCTTGTAATTTCATGTCTAGCATTAATTTTAGTTTCAGCATCATGAGAACTCAAATCTTTACTATTGTTATTTTCACTAGATAATCTTTGTAATATTGGAACGGTGATTGGTGAATATATTTTAGTTTGTAATGCTTCATTAATGGATTTATTATCTGTTGCATCGGAATTTCCTATAATTGAATCATCCTTAGCATTATCTGCAATTTCAACATCGTCAGAACTTGATATATGTCCATCGTTGTTTCCAGTAAACAATCTTTTTTCTTCGGTGTTAGCAGCTGGTGAATTTCCTTCGATGACTGCTTCTGCTTCACCATTTTTTCTTATATTAAATGGTCTAGATACTACTTCCTTTTTAACTTTAATAATTTTAGCATTTTGTGCATTGCTAGAAATTGTTTCATATTCATTTTTGTTACCTGAATGATTTTCTTTGATAAATTTTTCTGCTTCTTCGATTCTGTTAATTACTTTTTCCATCTCTCTAATTCTACGTTGTTCAAACTTCTTATCTACTACTTCTCTCTGTTTCAAAACAGCTCCTTTTTTAATAGTTGATTCATCCTCTTCATCTTCTTTTTTAATTAATTTGACAGCTTTTCCATTTTCTAATATATAAAGTGTTTTATCTCCAATTTTAGCAGTTGAATTGTTCTCATTATTAACACCTCTTGTTGAGTCACAATTGGCCAGATTGTAAACTACTCTTTCATTTGTGTTATTAACTGCTCCTTCTGCATCATCATATAGAATAATTTGAATTTTTTTGTTGACACTTTCATCAATATGCTTTTCCAAATTTAAATCAACGACTTCTTCTGAATCTCTATTTGGTTTTTGTTTTGAAAATGGTTTTTGTTTCAGAGTTGATTTAAACTTTCTTGCAAATATACCTTCAAATGCATCTGTAGAATCAATTTTGAACATTTTAACTCTTTGTGGTAAATTGGAGTCTAAAAGTTGATTATTATGTTGAACAATTATTTTGGTGATTTCATTTTGTTGTTTGATTTTGTGGATTTGATTTTGTTTGGTATCATTAGTTTGTTGTTGCTTGGTAATATTAGTTTGTTCTGATTTGGTAACATTATTTTGTTGTTGTTCGGTAATATTAGTTTGTTCTGGTTTGGTAACATTATTTTGTTGCTGTTTGGTAATGTGGTTTTGTTGTTGTTTGCTGTTATTAGTTTGTTGTTGATTGGTATTAACTTCATCAGCTTTTGGGGTTGAACAGTATTTTTGTTTTTTTGAAATGCTTGATTGATCTTTTTTGGTTAAATGATTTTTAAAGACTTTTTTGATTAATTTTTTTAAATTTTTTTTAGTTTTGGTAATTGACATTTTATACTTTGTTTTAATTTGTTGCATGAAATGTGTAATATGTATGAGTAAAATGTGTAATATGTATGAGTAAAATGTGTAATATGTATGAGTTTTGTTTGTTTGAAAGTCAAAAAAAAAAAAAAAACTTTTTGAAGGAAATGAAAGACTTTTTGATAAATTTTTTCGCAAAAGGATAGGTTTTGCCTTGGAATACTAACATTACAGTATTCAGCAGATCAAAATATTATCTTGTATGAGTGATTATAGGTGAAATCTTGAACTGAATGATTCATTAGATCTTGAAATGCTTATTTGAGTTACACAAAATTGATCGATGATAGCTGGTAGCGACTGTGTCACAAAATCATCACTCTTAATAAGTTGTCATGACCAATTTGCATCTAAAGTTTTTCATACAAATTCAGATAAGCTGCCAAAACTCATCAAAGTCTTGCAAATGACTTCCATTAACCACCAATCTAGATTTAAAAGACCAAAATTCAATTGAGCCTTTAAATATGTTGTAGTTAAGAACAAAAAACACACAAGATTTAAAACACCAACAGAACCCTAATGCATCTACCCAACCTTTAAACCGTCCTTTCTGTAGTAACTCAAAAGATGCAATGTATGTTCATACTGGAAGTTGCTGGTATTGTTTTCTTGCTTTAATGATTCAAAACTTTTTCACTAATTAAATTTTAGTATGAAAAAACATTTGTCGATTTAAGTATTATTCTGACATTGAGACTTATCAATCACTCAATTAATGGTAATGGTAATGATATATGATATAGATTGATATATAGTGCAAAAACAGCCTTTCTTTGATGACATCTTATGGAATAGTAGTAGGTTAAATGGATTATCAATGTTATAATTGATTCAGTTATTGTCTCATCCAAATATTGATGTAATAAATTCGATGATCTCATGGAAGAAGTTTGCCAAATGTTTTAAGGAAAATTAATTACCTAAATTTTTGAGTTATCCAATGCTTGTGATAATGTAGTATGTTCTTATAATGCTTCAATCAATGTCAATTGTTAACCTAAACATTTCTCAAAACCAAACAGATGATGCAAAATTTTGCCCTTTTTTCTGAGATCAATCATTTATTGACATTGAAGACCAAAATAATTCCAGCTTTTAATGTTGAAGATCAGAGAAATCTTATTTAAGAACTCGTTTATTAAGTATTGGCAACTGATTGACAGGTCCGTCAACTTATGATAACATAACCATTTTCAAAGCTATAAGTTCATCGGGGTTTATCAACCAAAATCTTGCGGTATGATTGAAACACCTTTTTGATTTATTCATAGGTGTGTGGTTGATAAGTCTATGATTGATACTGTACCTACTTCAACATATTGTAATTCCACTTGCTAACTGAATGTTTGAATGTTTTCTGTCGAAAAGACGGTACTAGGTAAGTATTGACTTAACGCATACAGTAATATGAACCCTCATTTAAATTTCTCATCCATTTCTTCATTTGATATTTTGATCACTTGATAAACATGAGAACCAACACATTCTTTTTGAAGTAGATATATATTTTTTGTTACCAGTAAGCTATACAATGACTTTAAATGACCCATTCATACTTTGAACAATAACACTGAAGTTAAGGTACAAAATTTTCATGTCAATTCTGACCTACTTTCATAATCAATTAATGAATATTCATCGGTGTTCGATATTTCTATGTCTATGATACATATAAGTGGTGATGATCTTCATGAATAAATAATCTTTATATTGGTCGTTTGGCTAGACTTCGAGTATTGGAATCGTTTTGCTGTGACAACTCAACTAATGGTGAAGTTTCATTCATACAATATCATTCAACTAATAACATCTATCTCAAAGCCTTTCAGCGGTCCATCAACTTCAAACAAATCCAACTCATTTTAACAGTTGAACTTAATTTAATATATACAATGAATCTGCACCTGGCACTAAATCTTGATCTCTTGAAATTTATTGTTAGTTTTTAATAATACTTGATTTTTTTGATTATATTATTAAGATTTCACTTTTGATTTTGTGTCACTTATATTCCTAGCATTTTATTTAGGCAAAACTTATCAACTAGAGCTTCTTCCGTATAATCTATACATGTTTATTAAACTTTTTCCTTAAATACTTATTCCCTATATAAAAATCTATAAAATTGACCCACATCAATAACCAACTTCTCCAAAGTTTCAATTCTTTTCCTCCAATCACCTAATTTTAAAAATATTTTTCTTCAAAACTTATAAAGTAAATAACCCAGTTCTTTTCTTACCAAAAGGATAAACAAATAAAGCAGCAGCAAATAATCCAACACTAATTCCTATAGATACTTCAACCATAGTAGCACCAAAACTTAAACTAGATCCTTCAGCTACAGTAGTAGTAGTTTGAGTCCCGTTCTTATTAGTAATTTGATCAGCTTGTTGTAAACCAGATATCAAAGTAGATTTAGAAGCAATACCAGAAGGAACTTGAACAAATATAGCAGGTAACATTGCAGATACAGCCATACCTTTCCATATTCTTGAATATAAATTACCTAAAATCCCAACGATAAAAGCACCAATACATGCAGTAAATTCAGTTACTGAACTGAAATGTTTTCCTGCAAAATAAGTTCCAATATATCCAACACATGCAATAACAGTCATTATAGGTAATTGTTTAAATTTAGCTTGATTGATTAATCCTAAACATATCGCAAATAATGGAACAAATAATATTCTAAATTTATCATTCATTGAATGACCCGCTAAACATGAATTTTGTGATGTTGCATTATGATCAACCCATCCATATAATGCACTACCTAAAGTAATTCCAAAACCTAAAAATAACGAATAAATAATAGCATAAAACATACGAACTGATCCAGCTACTAAGTTTCTAGATTGTAATTCCAAAGACCCACACAAGATAATATACCCAGGAAGAATCAATGCTAAAGAACCTTGAGTAATAGCACTAAAACAAAATAATTTACCACCACGTATAGATCCAATACCTCTAGATATAAAAGCAACAACTATAGCTGCACTAACTTCAAACACAGATGAATACAAATGAGACATTGAACTCAAATAAAATTGTAAATATCCAACACATAACCCAACACCAAAACTAATAGGTAAATCTATCCATCCACCATCAAATGCAAAAGGTGTAACTGCTAATGATCCTAAACCGTAAAAAAATACACATAACCAAGGTGGGAACTTATTTTTTTCCTTTAATAATTCATCTAATTTCTTACTAGCTTCTTCAACCCCAATCAAATCATGTATAACAGCTTTATAAATCTTATGAGTATCAGCTAATTTTCCCAAGTTTAAACCTTGAGCACACCTAACTAAATGAACTTCAGAGGTTCTAGTGGCTGCATCACCAAATGAAGTTAACATACATCCAGGGAAATAAATAAATTGTCCATCAATTTCCAATACTCTTGAAGTCATAATCATATACTCTTCTAATCTATGTGTTGGAGCTCCAAACATCATTAAAGCTTTACACATATTCATTATAAATCTTTGACGTTGTAAAATATCTGCTATATGGACTGTAATTCTTAACCTTTCTGCTTTTCTGTTGTGTTTTAATTTTTTGAGTTTGATGTTACTTGCTTCAGTTTGTCTCTTTTTAGGCATCTTAGGTTTAGCATTATGAAAAGAAGGTAATGCCTCGTTGGTAAATTTTTCCCCACCTCCCAGTTCGTCAAATTCACTATTTGATGCTTCTTCTTGATCTAACTCTTTATCAAATGAATGACTTTTGAGGTTTTTAGCTTTTGAAAACATTTTACCTTTCATAATGTGAGCTTTATTCATTTCACCTTTCATTCCCTTTTGAACACCGGTTTTAACATCGTGCATTCCTGTTTTTATCTTATGGAAATCAAGATGGGATGTAGGTCTTGAATGCATACTATACTCGTCACTTAAATTTGTTGGTGTATGACTTAATGAACTTGCTGATTTTCCTTCATTTGGATTTTGATATAATTTGAGTAGTGAGGATAATACACCAGCTTGAACATGTTTTGGTCGAGCAATATAATCATCTCCAATATCTTGTAAAAATTCATGATTTTCTTCATGTTCTTGTTGATCATCGTCATGACCTCTTATAAATAAATCAGGATTAGGGGTATAAAATGGATTGTCTCTTTTTTCATCATCTGAGGATTTTCTCTTAGTTGAGCCAGAATTATCTGATGATTCATCACCATTATCTTTCTTTTTTTCCTCTTTTTCTAAATTTTCATTACTTACAGTGGGTGTAATATCAGTACTATTAGCAACACTTGAATCTCTTGAATGTAGCATAGCTTCAGGTACATGTTGATGAATTAATTTTTTGGCCTCCTCACTAAGTTCTTCATAGTTAGCAATAGGTCTCATTTCTATAGCTTCATCTCTATCATTTTCATGTTCTGCAAATCCTACTTTTCTTTCTTCATCATCTTCTGGAATATCAGCAGTTCTTCTACTTGCTCCCGGTGCTAATCCCCCACCTGATATTCCAGTATTTCCAGTATTGAATATTCGACCTAAAAATGAATCATTTTGTCCTCCAATATCATGATCACTTGATGGAATATGATCAGCTAATGACATTTTTCGTAATATTCCTTTAATTCCTCCACTTACTCCTGATGATTTTTTACTTTCATTTGATCTTACAGAATGCATTGATGATTTTCTTCTTGGATCTGAAGTTATAGATTTTCTTGATGATGTTGATTTTGTTTTATGGAGTGGATTATCATGTGGTTGTTGTTGTTGTTGATGTTGTGGAGAGACTTCAGGTTGTATAGAACTAGGTAATGGTCTTTCAGTTGGTGGTTGATGTTCATCTTCAGAAGAATCAGTATGATAAAAATGTTGTGGTGGATTCATTTTTGTAAAATCAGTATGAGTTTCATCATTATAATCATAATCTTCATCATCTTCTGAACTATCCAACATAGGTTGTTGATTTTTTCTAATTTCATCAGCGTTGAATTGGAATTGTGGTAAATTCTGTTGAAATTGTTGTTGTTGTTGTTGAGTAAATCTTGGAGTATTCATACCTGAATTACCTTCTAAATCTGAATAACTCATTCCACCTTCATCATAATCTTCATCATCTGATGATATTTGTGAAGATTTTGACATATTTAATGATGATCTTGGATCTTTTGGAGTATACGAGTCTGGAAACTTTACATTCTTCTTATTGTTTAATTTATTTGAAACTTTTATAAAATTTGAACTTGTTTGCTTTGTAAATTTTGAATTATCTTTTCTTTGATTTTGTTTCCTTACTTCATTAAGATTTAATTGTTGTTGAGGTAGTTGAACTCTGAATCTATTTTGAGAATTTGGACTAAAACCTTCATCTTCACTTGATGATGAATAATTGGTTGACATAATTTGCCTTTGAATTTAGCAAGTATTTATGATTAGTTCTGGTGGTATTAAAGTGAATGAATTAATTAATGTTAATTTGATAGTGAATGAAATATTAAATAGTTTATATATGAATGTAAGATAATGCAGAATTTAAAGATTTTGATTATTTGGTAAAACTAAACTTTATAGATTGAGAAGGGTTGAATTAATAATTTGAATCTGAGATGAAAGAAAAAAAATGATTTATAAGAAGCTAATGAAAGTGTGTATAAATATAATGAAATAATTGAATTCGATTTGAAAGGAGTTGTATGAATTAATTAATTGTATAATTATTCTTGTGTTTCTATTGAAAATGTTTTATTTGTGTTACAGATAATCAATACAAATATTATTACAAGAGAGAGAGATAGATAGAGATAGCTTTTATGTATAATAATATGTCGAATTTAAAATAATTTTTAGTTTTGTTTTAGTTGAGAGAACTACTACTACTACTAAAATGATGTCATTAATCAAAATAATAATATTTCTTATACAAATTTTAAAGGGTAAGTTTCTCCAATTATTTTTATTTTAAAATTTGAACCTTCTCAATAATATTATTATTTAGTATGAATTAAAATTCAAACTTGGTTCTCGAGTTAGGCAGTTTTAGTTATTTATTCATATAATATAAGATGATTATAAAAGACCAAATTATATAAGTACTAAAAATCAATGACATAACTCTCGTATTAAAAAAAAAAGTTTAATTTATTATTATTATTATAAAGCTTGCGCGCAATTAAGAACAATCCAACTTTGTGTAACATAATTTAGTTAAGGTACGCTTAAAATTAATTATTTTTAGTATATTAATTTCATATAAAATAGAATGTTTGATGCATTCAATTAAATCTTGAGTCAAGATAGTCCAATATGGTGAAGTCTGAACTATAGTATTAACTTTGTATTTTGAATTTATAGAAACTCTTGACTAAATTCCAATTTATTTTTTCAGAAGTACAAAATACTCGATCAAAAACACAAAATCAAGAATATATTAATTGCTATTTAAAATTTTATACACTCAAAAATGATCCTCCAAATCAAATTTATATCATTAGTATTGATCGGTCAAGTGTTGTTCCATTTGTTTGGGGTGTAATCAATAAATTTACCTTGATTTGACCTGAATTGAAAATCAACGGGAAAAATATATATAAAAATAGAAACGTAAGAAAGAACGAATAAAAGAAGAATTTAAACAACTAGAAGAAGAAGAAGAAGAAAAAGGTTGTTTTAAAGAATTATATTTATATTTTGCCAGTCTTACTAATCTGATAATACATCTTATCGATTCGTTAATGGCAGCGAGTAATTAACCACTAATTTTAGATAGTTCTGGTTATTATTGATTTTAACTTTTAGTAAATGTAAAACTACATAAAATTTTAGGAGGTATTAGCTTAAATTCTAAAAACTTATTCATCTAATTATGTATATTGAAATAATAAAATCATCTTCATCTATTGTTCTTCCTTTCGACGTTTTGGATATACACCAGTCGCCAAAGTATCAATGACAATTCCACCATTTCATGAACCAACAACACTAGAGCAACAGAAAGAAGCTCAATCCATTTATAAGGGTATGAAAGAATTACAACATTTTTGTATACTTATAATAATTTTTAGCGTTTGTTCAATTATTTTTGTTTGGAATAAAACTGATTGGAAATGTCAATTTAATTGAATAAAATGATAATCTTGATACAAACAGTTCTCAATTGAATGAACTTTTAAACCATCTTGGCTCAATAATGCATGGACTTTTATCAAACATAAAACTCATTGCTCAAAATCGAGGTTTTCACTTTATGATGAACTTATCAAAATGGTCGTAAAGGTCCCTATATCATTCGATCAGATTTAAGATTAGCTGCTATTTTTGATTAAGCAATGGGGAAATTGTATTGGAAACGAAAACGTCTCAAACATAAATTTAGTTAAGTGTCAAGTAGATAGAATCTAGAGCTTCAAGTCTTATTGTATATATTATATCTTTATGAAACTTTTATACACTTTCTTCCCATTGTACACCACACCATTCTTCAACATAACCAACCTTATTTTCATCTAATAAATGATCAGGTATATAATCCTCAAAATCAGTACATACTATAATGGTACCCCAACTCATTCCATTTAAAATATCAGCTACGGACTTGTTAGTATTATTTAAATCTTCTAATTGCATTATTGCATTAGGCATTAATTGTAATTCAAATCTACGTTCACTTGATGGATTATATGCTGGTCTTGGAATATTGAAAGGGTCAGATAAAAATCTTTTTGCAACTTCGTCTTTACCGTTGTATAATAATGGTTTACCATTGAGGTCGTACCTTAATACTTGTCCTGGGTTTGACTTGGTGATTGTTGAAAAATTTTCAAAATATTTATCATCTAACATATTTGATATTTTAGTAGTTTGTGGATCTAATACTGCTGAAGATGAAGATTCTCTTCTTTTTTGTGAAGTTTGAGATTCATTTATGCTTTCATCATCATCTTGTGATTGTTCTATTAAATGCTTGTATTTTGCTAATTCTTCATCTGTTGTTTTATCCTTTTTGAATTTTTCAGATTCTATATAGACAAAATTTCCTGGATATTGTGGTAATTCTCCTTCTACTTGTGTTGGTTTTGGTGGTGGTGGTGGTGCATTATTTGAAGCTATTTCTGCATATGATGATTTTTGCTGTGGCTGTTTCTTTGATGGTTCTTTTTTTGGTTCTGGTTTTGGTTCTGGTTGTTTATCAAATGGGTTTAAATTCAGATTGAATGGATTAGATGAATTTCCAAATGGATTTGACCCGCCAAAAGGATTTAAATTTGCTTCTTTGTCTGTTGAATCATCTTTTTTAAATAAATTTTTAGTAATTTCATCACTTAATTTTTTCTTCCTCAATTCTTCATTATTGCTATTCAATTTGTCTTCCATTTTATCAACATCACTCTTATTCTTATTGATAACTTCTTCATTTTTGTTTATACCTCTAATTGCTTTTATACTACCTTTCTTTTTAGAACAACTTGGATCTTGACATCCAAAAATATATATTACTCTATCATAAAAAGTATTATCAAGTGGTGAATAAGCTTGTAAATATAATGATAGCTTCTTGCCACAATTGTCACATAGCAACAAAGATTCTGCAGGTTTTGAATCTGGGTAAAACCAAATTGGTTGTCCTCCTAAAAATGAATCTTCTATTGTTGGTTGATCTTCTTTTGTAATTGGTCCATCTGTGAAACCCAATAGTACTTTTGATTTTGGTGATTTTGAGTCGTAGATGCTTTCTTCATCCGATGAGTATTCTTCTTGCGATGACATCTTATTATTCTTGCGTTTATATGAATTGGTTGTAAGTTAAATTATATGGAGATGTGAAATAAGATGCGTTTTAAAATGAGTTGGGTTTGGTAGCTCAAAATTTTGCAGCTTAATAATGATTTATCAACTATTATATACAATTTATTAGTCTATAAAATATCCCATATGTACAATTAAACTATTTACAAGTACCTTTTATGCTCGATCTCTTCATAAACTTGGATCAAATCGTCAGCTTCAAATCCGTTCCAGTTGGCAAATCCTAATCCACATTCATTACCTTTTCTTGCTTCAGAAATATCATCTTTTATATGTTTTAATGAAGATAGTGTTCCCTTATAAACTTCTTTACCCTTACGTAAAACTTTAACATCTGAAGATCTTTTGATTGTTCCTGTTGACACTTTACATCCAGCAATTTTTATCTTGGATTTTCCTTGACTTATTGTGAAAATATCTTTTATTTCAACTTCACCTAGTATTTTAGTCTCGATTCTTGGCTTGAGGTGTGATTCTAATTCTTCGTTAACTTGTTCAATCAATCTATAGATAATGTTATGTTCCACGATTTTAATTTTTTCCTTTTCTGCTCTTTGTAGAATTTGTTTAGGGATTTTGGTGTTGAAACAGAAAATTGTAGCGTCGAATGTCTTTGCCATATCTAGGTCGCTTTCAGTTGGTGAGCCAGCTGAATTTGATATGACAACTGATGCAACTTCTTCATTACCCAAACCGTCAATACTTTCTTTTATCGCTTCTGATGATCCAAATACGTCTGATTTTATAATATAATTACATTTGATTTTTTGATCTTTTTGTTTTAATTCAACTTCACTTGAATCTAACCCAGCTTTTTTCAATTCAGATAATTTTTCTAACCTTTCTGCTTCTTTAATCTCTTCTGCTCTTTTAATGTTTATATCTTCAATATCTCTAGATGCTTGAATCTCTTGTGATCTTGCAATTCGGTAGTCTATAACTTTTTTAGCAATCTGTTCCGACTTTGCTTGAATTATATGATCTCCACTATCTGGTAATTCTTTCCATCCCCAAATTTGTACTGGAGTTGAAGGTCCTGCTATTTTGACAGTTTTTCCATTTTCATCCCTCATTCCTCTAATTTTACAAAAAGTTTTTCCAGCAACAATAACATCACCATTTTTAAGTGATCCACGACGTACTAAAACAGTAGCAACATTACCCATACCTTTTAAAACTTGAGATTCTATAATCCAACCTTCCGATGCCACTCCTGAAATTTCAGATTTAAATTCTTGTAATTCACTCAAAGTTATAATAGCTTCCTCTAATTTATCCATGTTTAATCCTGTCTTACCTGAGACTTTAACTGTTTGAGTATCACCACCATAATCTTCAATATCAATATCATGAGATGATAAATCACTTAATACTTTATCCACATTCACACCTGGTTTATCACATTTATTTATTGCTATTATTATTGGTGCTCCTGATTTTTTAGCATGTTTAATAGCTTCTATGGTTTGTGGCATTACTGAATCATCCGCTGCTACAACCAAAATAATTATATCAGTAATTATTGCACCTCTTTCTCTCATCTTTAAAAAAGCTGCATGTCCAGGTGTATCTAAAAATGTAATTTTCTTCTTTGAGATTGGGGTAATGACTGAAAAAGCACCAATGTGTTGAGTAATCCCACCAAATTCACCAGTTACGATTGAAGATTTTCTCAAATAATCTAATATTGTAGTTTTACCATGATCAACATGGCCCATAATTGTTACAACTGGTGGTCTTTCTTTTAGTTGCTCTTCCTTTATTGGGTCGGGAAATAAATCATTTTCATTTGTCTTGGTGGTTATTTCAACTTCTATATCATATTCATCAGCAACCATTGTTGCATTTTCTTTATCCAAAATATAAGAATGTCTTATATCTTCAAATCCTAAATCATTTAATTTCTTAAGAACGTCGTTTATGGGGACTTGCATTATTGTAGCTAGATTCGCTATTGATATGAATGGTGGTAATTGGATTTTGACTACTGGTTTTTTACGATGTTTTAATTTATGAATTTTTCTTTTATTTGATTTGATATGATGTGGTAGTATTGTTTGCTGTTGATTTCGCTGAGTATCTTTGGATTCTGTCTTATTGATTTCTTTCCTCAATTCTTGGTACTTCAATAATTTCTGTCTCTCTATTTCTTCTTTAGTTAATTGAGGTCCTTCACTAGATGGTGTAAAGTGTTTGTTAAATGAATTATTTTGTGATGACTGAGGGCGTCTGTTTTGATTTTGTGGAGCTCCATTCCGGTTGCCATGAGCATGCCTTGGTGCTCTATTTGAAGGTCTATTACTTGTCAGTTTTTGAATATTTGGTTTTGAATATTGTTGTGCAAATCTATTAACTTTTGGTTTATCTGATGCTGTAGTAGAAGGTTTTGTAGTGGTATTTGATTGTGTGACTTTCCGTATTTCGTTCATTATATCAACATAAGATCGCGTTAGTAGTAGCCTACTTGAACATGACTTTTTCGATATTGTATTGAACATTGATCTGTGATTTTGGTTGTAAGAGTTGTTGCAAAGTTTAAAATTTTTCAAAACATGCATATATTTTGCATTGATGCGGCTTTGATAATTGTTTTGAAATATTCTTTATACTAAAAAAAAAGATCAATTTAAAACAAGTTTAGCGAATAATTTTCTTATATATTTAATGTTAGATATTACAATAAATTATATACGTTAATGCAAATTATTATCTTTATGCAAAATTGAAATTAATTCATCAATTTCTTGAAACTGGTTATCGTCACAAGCAAAATTTCTATGTCTATTACTATTAATATGATCATCAAAACAATCATATTTGCAACGGCAATTTTCACAATAACCTGGAGTTGATTCTTTTTCCCTTTTAGCATTTTCCGTGGTTGATTTTCTTTTCATAAATATTCTTCTTTTTAAGTTATTTAAATTTTTTGATGTAACTAATGAAATAGATGGACCTAAACCATTACCTGCTGCTATTGCTGTACTATTTAAACTTGAATCCATTGAAAATTGCATAGCATTTGAAGCTCCATTAAACCCAGAAGCCATTGTATCAATTGGTTTAGATTGAATATTTGATGAGTTCCTAGCTAATGGTTGTCTAAACTCAAATTCTGCATGTTCATTACTTGAGGTTTCATCAATTTTATCAGTACTAGTACTTGTTTCAGCAAATTCATCAGGTGATAATGAAACACCGTGTATAACTTTTTCAGTAGCTATTTTTAAAGCTTGACGATGAGATTTAGATGCTTCAAATTTTCTCAATCTTTTTAATTTTTTCCTATCCAGATTCTGATCAGATGGATCATTTATAAAAGGACATTTACCATCTAATGAAAGATTTAAAATCGGATAATTATCACCCCATTCTCTTATAGCTATTGGTCTTACGGTCTGAGTTAAATCATAAACATATAAATAATTTTTACCAAAATAATGAAAATCATCTCTTTTAGCAGTTGGATCTCTATCAGTTGATCCATAAATCTTCTCTTCTTTTAATAAATCATATAAACGTGAATTTGTATCTCTTGATTGAAGAACTTTTTTGTTAATTCTATTATTGGAATCATCAACAGAACCGGTTAATCCAAGATTTGCCATAAATCTGAATAATTTTTCATAACTCCATACTTTTGTTTTAAATTTGGGAACATTTGAAAAAATATCGTTACTTGGATAGTTGATTTTATCATCATATATTCTTTTTGATAAAAGTATAGTAACATCAGTTTTATAGAATGGAGCTATCTCGCAACCAACATATTTTAAATACTTTATTGCTTTTTTGTATTCCATCAGTTGGGTATCATGTGAACCTTCAAAAAAGACAATTGATTCTGTCATTATTTTTCTCCATGACTGCTGCCATTGTAGTAATTCTTCTCCTTGCAATCTGGTACTAGCTCTTTGTTGTTGATGTTGATGTTGATGTTGTTGAGCTAATTGATATCTTCTCAATTTTTCTTCCTCTTGTTTTTGTAATTGTTGATGATCTTGAGTTTGATTTAATTTTGCTCTTTTAAAATTTTCATTTTGTGGTTGTCGTCTATTATGTAAAGAGTTGAAGTCTATAGGTTGTAATAGTCTAGGCTGTGACTTGGTGGATATTGTAGGTTCGGTCTTGGATTTTATAGGTTGGTGTTGTTTTTCAAGGTGATTGATTGTTTTTTGAGGTAACATTGAAGTAGGTGTGTGGGCAGAAGTTTCACCTAAGTTGATTTTATTTTGTAAAGTTGAATCATTAGCTGTTGAGATTTGTGTTGGTTGAGTTACTCTTGCTTTTAAAGGATCCACTTTAGATTCCACTTTTATAAGTGAGTTGGTGAAGTACTTTGGTTTATCAAGATCATTGGTTGAATTTTTACGTTTAGTGATAGTTTCTCCACTTTTCTCTTTTTGCAATACTTTGCTTTCATTTCTTTCTACTTTTGAAGTGTTCAATGTGCTTTCATAAAATGGATTTGATATAAAAGGTGATTTTGCTTCTTTAGCATTTGAATCTTGAATTTTATCATCATTAGAGTTTGCAACTTGTACCACATTAGCATTTGGTGAGTTAGGTTTTGATTTAGGTGAATTAGTTCTTGATGATCTTTCTCTTTCCTCAATTGCTTTTTCTATACTTTTTGAGAAAGAATTTTTCAAATTTGCAAAATCTTGTTTGGTCATAACATCATGAAGTTTTCTTTTCTTTAGACTTTCCGTGAAATCTTCCCGTAGGTTACCAGTAATTGATTCAATATCTCTTTCTCTTTTCTTAGATCCTTCTATGGATCCTACATCCTTGGTCGGAGTTTTGATCTCAAGTTTCTTCAAGTTTTGATCATCAGATGCAGAATAAACTAAATTTTTTAATGGACTAGTCGTAGAATTTTTTCTTTGAGGTATTGAATCTTCCGTTTTAGATTTATTATTTCCATCAATTTTATCTAGAATTGAATTATTTAATTTATTATCTGAAGAGTGTAATGAAATATTAGATGATGACTTTTTATAAATTTTAAAATTTGTAGGTGAAGCGATTGATGATTTTTTGTTATTCTTTTTACTAGGTAATGTTGGTAGATTAGAATTTGTCTCCTTCAAAGGTTGTCTTGGTCTTAATAATGATGTAAACTTCTTTTTAAATACAACTTGATGATCAGATCCAATTGATTTGTTTTTATTTTCACCGATCCCATCCATTTTTTCTTTAACTAATTTTCAAAGTTCAATTGTATAACTTTATTTCTATAATGATGACATATGATGCTGTAATGTGTATATGCAAATAATTGATTGTTGATATATGAATATTGAGTTAAATAACGTATTAAATTGGTTGCTTTTAATTATAAATCTATAATATTATAAATATTTGGTTGTAAAAAAAAATAATCATTTACTTACTATCATACGCGAAAAATTGTTAGTAAAAATTATTACACTAAATTATACGTAAATAATTTAAATGGTCTATATTTTGTTTTGTTTTATTTATATAGTACTTACTTACTTACTTTTAAAATTACACTGAGAATTAAAATTAATTTTTCTCGCTTGAGATTTAAGTTCAATTCTCATAAATTTTGGGTCGAAAATAATGCGACCGCAGAGGAAAAGCGTATATTTTGCGAGAACTACATTTATACTGCTTACGACCGAATATCTCGCAATCTTTGGCACAGTGAGATAAATATCACTTTTTAATTTTGATTATTCTTCAAGAATTGCAGAATTACTCTACCATTCTGCACCTTTCAACTTTCTCTAGACTTATTTATCTTCCAAAGGCGTGACGTAACTTCTGAATACCCGTCTTAATTTACCAAATCACCTATACTAAACATAATTAACTTTAACTGACTAATTTTGAATTGTTACTCTTCACTATATCAAGTACTGAATAACTAAAATCAATTGACTTTTAAGATATTAAAAAAAAATGGCAATAACTTGAAAATCAATAACTAACTCCGTAATACGTTTATTGAAGCATTCGTGCTCTTGAAAGCTATCGTTTTGATGTCAATAGATTGAATTGTTTGTAGAATTTAAAGACTTTTCAAGTTGGAAATTGTATTTACATATTTTATCAATGTAGGATCTCTTGTAGTCGTGACGTGAAGTAAAAGTTTTCGACATACTTTAGTAAGATTAAACTTTGTAATCAGATTCTTCCTTAATTTAAATGAAAGACCAAAAAAAAAGACGGTTTAATAAACAAGCAAAGAACCAGTTTCCAAAACATGACCTGGTCCACAAGTAATTTGTTTTAGTCTTGCCTGCCAACTCTCTCTATTGAATTTATAAATTCATCTGTTGGTACTGTTTACACTACAAATTAATTCGAGCTACGATAGATACAGGGCTGAATGTGTCACAAAACCATGAGCAAGTAGTTACTTTGGGCAAAGTCTTTGAGACCACCAAGGTAATTGACAAAAAAAGATCCAAATAGTTGGCCCATTTCGGTTTGTCAAATGAATCAAAACAATGTTATCAGCTAAATTTGCAATCTCTTCACCCTCGTGCTAGTTCAAAATTATCTGTTAGGTTTGAAATTGTCAATTTCAATGGGCTAAAAAATAAGTGACAGTTTAAAAATAGATTAAGCCTTCTTTTTAAATAAAAATGTGAAGTGAACGGTTTTACTTTTTTCTCCAATCATGATAATTGAATGCTCCGTTCGTACAGTCTTTTTTTTTAACGAATAATCAAATACTAAAAAATGTCCATCAATTTTTATGGGATATGAAGTTTTGAAAAACACATAAACAAAAATGACAGATTCAACGGTCCATGTTGCGAATTCTGAAACAAATAAAACTTGTGAGGAGCTTGACATTTGGGAAAAAAATCAACCAGAAGATACGTATAGCTTTGTATACGCAACTGTATCCTCAAATGGAGATTTAATTTTGGAAGCTGATTCATTGTATCCCGACAACTCCATAGTTGATCACTTTGAAAAAAATCATTTAGGCAAAGAGGTGGTCATGTATTATCATCAAGAAGTAAGTCAATTGAATGTACCACCTTTCAAATCGACAGAAGAGGCAAGAAAATATTTGATAGATCGGTACAAGAAGTATAGCGACAAGGACTTTGAAGCAAAAAATATTGACATATGGAAGGCTTATAAAGATAATTTGCAAAATTCAAAATCAAAAGATGAAATGAATAACGCTAAAAAAGAGTATCATTTGAAAATAAATGAACTTATGACCTCTTATCAATCCAAATTAGAAATGGAAGGAAAAAATGCCTGATATTAGATGTTTATATTATATTTCAATTAAACCTCATCACCTTCTACATTAAGCGATTTCTATAGCTTTAATAAACTGAACAACTAACAATGAAATAATTGAAGGATTCATCTTGTGATTATTGTAGTACAATTTGAATAGTCAAAAATGGCTCACAACTTGAACAACTCGATTTTTTTTTGGTCTCTATATGATTCATCGTCTAAACCAAACATATGAAGGCTATCTACAAGACATTGCCTTTTGCATTTCTGTATCAACTTTAAAATATTTTTGAATGCAGATGTAAAAAAGTTAAACCATTTATTATTTCTTACTACCACACTTGAGTGACAGACTAAGATAAATTGAAATACCAAAATTTAACTCAATTCTGTTGTTGAAAAACTATAATATCCTCGGAGTTTTCTTGTAACCTTGACTAAAAGATTATTTACACATTTTTATTTTGATGCATCAGATAAAAAATTGCTATTTTTTTGCACCCAAATTTAGCTCAATTTTGTTTTTTTTCTTGCACTAAAACTTTATTTTGCAGCCATATATTAAACACGTACAAAAATTAATTAGACAACAAAACTAAAAAATGTAACAAAATTTAAATTAATTATAGCATCATCATAATAAGTAAGATGAAACCAAGTACAGACGAAGGTAATGTAACCGAAATACCAGAATTTCTAGTCTGAGTTGTAGCTGCACCTTCAGTGGCTGCTCCTTGAGTTCTTCCAGTAGTTGTTTCAGCAGCTTGATCAGTCATTAATGAAGTATTAATTCTTCCTATTTCAGAAGTAAATAGTTGAAATTGTAATTCACTTATTATTGATGAAATTCGATCAGCTAATCGACAATATTCATTTCTCAAATACTTTTCATCATAATTTAAATTTACCTTCTCAAATTCATCACAATTTTCAGCACAATGACTGAGATGTCTAAAGAATTCATTTGGTAATCTACAAACACATGAATAAAATTCATGAACTTCACTTTCTTGCTGTGGTGTAGCAGAACTTCCACATCTTTCCAGTAAAATCTGTTCAGCTGATACGCATCCTTTGCAATCTTCATCCATTAAGTCATCATCTCTTCTATCTAAATTTGGGAATTGAATAAAAGCTAAACTGATTTGACACAATGATAATAGTAAAACAATTAATCTCATTTCTTTTGTAATGAATGAATTTTAAAATGACATGGTGAAAATTTCACAAAGTTTTTAAGGCTTAAATATACTGATATTTATAGTCATATTAATGAATTATGGACCAATTAGTGAGGCTACAGTGAAAAAGTAGAATGTTAATTACTGCAAAATTATTTTATTTCATGCAAATGAAGGTAGAAAATTCCTGCATTCAATTTAAAATTGTTCTAATATCATTTCGTAAATTTTTACCAATTAAGTTAAACTTTATTGGGTTTGTTTATGATGTCAATTATACAGAAATTGTTTCCGATTTAACAATATATATTAATGAAATAGACTCAATGGTCAACGTACCAATATAAAAAATTTTTGTACTACTACAGATAAACAATTGAATACCTTAGTTGCGCCCATAAAACATAAACGAAAAATTTCCCCGGATTTTTGAAAATGTAAAGAAAAAAACTTAAATGTAACAGAAATATATGAAAAATAAAATCACCTTATTTTGTATCAAAATTCTTTACTTTCAACCACGATGTCCATATAATGTTAACAACGATCACTAGACTCAGAGTAAATCAAATAAGGCATAACTCCACAGTAAGCTTATCTATTCTCAATTACAATAAAAATGAAATAACGTTGAAAATTGGAGAAAACCCAATAACTTTTAAAAATGTATTTTTAAGAGATTCATGTAAATCATCAGATTCAATTGATGAATCAACAAGTCAAAAATTGTTCACTACAGCAGAAGGAGCAACAAACTTATCAATCATAGAACAACCACAAATTGAAGACGGAGGAGAAGAACCAACTTTGAAAGTTCAATGGGATAATGATGGTAAAAAAGTAAATTCAACTTATCCATTATCATTTTTATTGAAACATTCAACTGCTAAAAATAACAGGGTTGGTAAGTTTTTCGATAATGACAGAATAATATGGGATAAACACGAGTTAGAATCAAATTTATCGTCTATAAATCATAACTACAAAGATTTTTTAAATAATGAAGAGACATTTTTCAAAGCATTACATAACTTAAATAGGTATGGATTATGTTTCATCAATAATATTCCAATCCCAGAGCTAACCGAGATGAATGACTCGAACACCAACCAATGGCCAGTTGCTAATATTGCCAGAAAATTTGGTTACATAAAACCAACATTCTATGGATCGTTATTTGATGTTAAAAATTTGAAAAAGCAAGCCAAAAATATTGCATACACCAACACGTTCTTACCATTACATATGGACTTGTTATACTATGAATCACCACCAGGTTTACAAATGTTACATGCTATACAGAATTCAACTTTAGGTGGTGAGAATATCTTTTGTGATTCTTTCTTGGCTGCTGAGTATGTTAGACAGAAAGATCCAAAAGCTTATGAAGCATTAACCAAAATTCCTATTACCTATCATTATGATAACAATAATGAGTATTATTATTACAAGAGACCTTTGGTAATAGAAGATAATTCAATAACAAATGATAAATTCCCCAAAATTCACGCTATAAATTATTCACCACCATTTCAAGGTCCATTTGAAATAGGTACTGTGAAGGAAACCAATACAACAGAGTATGAAATGTTTGATGATTTCATTCGTGGTTTCAAATTATTTGAGTCAGCTATAAATGATCCTCAAAATCAATATGAACTAAAATTACCTGAAGGAACTTGTGTTATATTTGAAAACAGAAGAACTTTACATTCAAGAAATGAATTTAATGATTCAAACGGCGGTGATAGATGGTTAATGGGTACCTATGTTGATGGTGATAGCTTTAGATCTAAATTACGTATAGGTTATAGAAATTTTGGATAAACATTAGAATCTAAACAATTTGTGTATAATTATACATTACTTTTTATTTATATAGCTAAAATTATTTATCAGCTTTTCATTTTAGTAGTTGTAGCTGTTGTAAGTACGATTTTGAGTTGGCATTTGTCTTTGTTGTTCTGATTTGTAAACTTGTTTGAAACCATTACATAATTGCATCATATTATTATAATGGAAGTTTCTTAACGAGTAACCTTCTGGTTCAGTTTTAACATGCCATGTTGTAATTGGAGTTTTGACATTAACTTTAAATAACAACAAGAAATTACCAGGATTTCTATGATCGTAACAGAATACGTATGCAGAATTTTTTGGGTTTGCCTTTGTATAAGATTCTAACCATTCGTTAACCTCTGATATACTACCATCTTTAAACTTAGTATGACGAACCATATTGTCGACATTTTTGGACATTGTTTGAATATGTTGGAAAATTAATTGATCTAAATCTTGATATTTTTTACCATCAACATAATATTCCTTAAATCTTCCTTTGGTTTTTTCTTCAATTGATAAATGTTGAAATAAGTTTGTACCAACCTTCCAAGTTATAGTTAAAAAATTTGGACCTTTTGATGATGGACGAATTATACAGTCCCCTAAATTTTGTGGTGCTAAATATTCTTCGGCTTGTTTGTAATTGAAATTACGGTACAATGGATGTTGAATATTTCTAATGTTTGCTTGTTTAGCTTTTTCTTTCGCCCTTTCCTTCATCCAATCTTCTTCCTCAGCTCTTAAGTCCCATTTACCACCTTCTTTTCTAAATTTGGGTATCGATGCTCTTCTTATATCTTCTTTTAATAAACTCATAACGGCACCCAAAGTATCATAATAAAATTCTAATACGACAGCTTGGACAACTTGACCTTGTTGTAAATCCTGATCTCTTGGTATTCTATCTTCTTCAACATTACCTTGTATTAATGATGAAGTTACAACTTTAGCCCATTTAATTCTTGCTTGTGGGTCATGGAAGTTTTTACCAACTTTGACTATAGTAACTGGAACAACAGCTCCAACACCGAAAGTTTCTTTTGTTTCACCTGTTAACATATGGAAATATTCTTGATTATCCAAAATTTTGAAATGTCTTCTTATATCAATATAGTTATTGACTAATTCTTCTTTGATCATTTGTAAAGTTGCAAATTTCTTTTTACCCATTTTATTTTCAATTTGTCTACCAAAATCAATAAGATTTAAATCATCAACTTTTTCAACACCTTCTCTATATAATTGTTGAACAACACCGCCTTTTTCCTCCATATCTTGAATATCTTCTTCATCTAATTCTATTGCATCCGCTGCGACTTTTCTAGCTAATTCATAGTCTTCTGGATGGATTCTAGTTGCGTCTAAAAGTTCGATTGATTGTGAGCTTACATTAGCAGCATCATCAGCAGGAATATTGAAAAATGATGCACAATTCATAAATATAGTTCCAGGTGTTAAATCCAGAACAACTAAATCACTTCTTGTGGCGAGCGTGGAGTTTAAGTTATTAACAATATTTCTTACTAATCCTGATGCTTTACGTGGACCCAATCCAGCAATGAAAGGTAATAATTTAGCAACATTAGGATCACGAACTGCAACATTAATCTCAACACCAGTCATATTTATAATATCAACAAATGCAGATTCTAATGCTTCTTTGACCAAATCAATTGGTATAAGTTTTTGATGTTCGTGAAATGTTAGTGATAGAATATCATCACCTAATGAAACATACTCCAAAATCGGGTTTTGTATATAATGAGCTACTCCAATAACATACTTTACAATTGTTGCCTTGTCTGGATAATCAATTTTAGCAGCACTTGAATTTTGATATAATCTTGCAGTTTCATCTTGACCCCAAATAACATTCACAAGTGGTGGATGTTCAACATTTAAGTCGTGTGTATTCGCAGTTATTCCATTTTCTTCAACGAATTTCTTTACTGTATCAAACAATCTTTTACTGTTAATATTAAATCCTGAAATGGTAATAACATCTGCTTTATCGGCATGTAAATTATGATCAAAAAATTCTTTTAATTCACCCATAAAACTTTCAGCACTTTCAGAATCTCGAATTGGATTAAACTCAGATTTGAAGAAAGCTTGAGCTTTACCATTGTCTTTAACAAATGCACCAACAACGGCATCAAACTGATCACCTTTACCAAAAGTCAAAGCCAATACGTTCGGTTTAGTACCTTTATCATATCCAAATGGTGTAAAAGGAGCTTGATCAATTTTACTCAATATTTTAGCTCTAACTTCCAGTGCTATTAATCTTTCACATTCACGCCTTAAATCTTCTTTTGTATTTTGAGAAACCATTGCACATAATTTTTGAAATGCTATCCTTAAAACAAGTTCTCTTTCTTTATTCCATTTGTCTGAATTTTCTGATAAACCATCTGATTTTAAACAATTAAAAATAGCCTGGAACCAACTTTCGAAATCTCTTGTTTCAACTTTAATAATTGCTAAACCGAGTCTTTCTGCTTCTAGCATTCTTAAGAATACATCTGGTTTTTGAACAAGTTCAGCTGGTGATCTATTAATCGCATATTTAATATCGGCAAAAGGACTATAATGATCTATTGCAGTTTTACCTTTTTCAGTTAACGCTACACTTATTGAACCAACTGATTTGTATGTGTTTCTAACTTCATGTCTGAGTTTTGGATTATGAAAAATTTCTTCAGCAAAAGTACGTCTAATTGCATCTCTTGCTGTTTTTTCCTCTTTAAACAATACATCTGCATCATCAACTAGTCTATCAATGATAAATTCAGGTGATTCTGTGGAATCATCAGTGGCATGGATTCTATATGATGCTTGGAAATTGTTAAAACTTTGATCTTGAACATTTTCACCAAATTGTTTTGCTGTAATACCATATTCTCTGACCCCATCATACAAAATATTTGATTTGATTCTATCATAAAGTGCATATTTTGAATGTTTTTTACCTTTGACTTTGGAATTTTCTTCTTCATTAGAATCAGATTCTTTGTTACTTAATTCTCGAATTTGTTGAGCGTATGTAAATTGAATGTAATCATGAATATCTTGAACTGCAACCATAGTGTTCAATGACTTTATATCCATTGTTAAATCATCATGTAAATCTAAAGCTTGAATTAATTTCTCTATATTTAATCTTTTTTCATAAAGTGAATGATATTCAATATCTAATTTCACAATTCTCCATAAATCATCTTCAAATAATAATTTATGCACACTACTACTTACACCACCTTCTGCATTATCAACTATATGGGAATACAACAAATTATCACGACGATGAGACCAAATAAATGGAACTTCTAAAGAATCCCTTGATACAAATTCAACAACTTTACCAACACATTCCTTAAAAGGTTCTTCTAAAAATGTACCTAAAATACCAGGTCTTTCACCCAACATTATATTTGCAACCCATTGTTTTTCTAAATCCAATTCTTCATCATCAAGATCAATATAATCTAAAGCTGCACGGAATCTTTGATATCTTTCGGGTATATCAATAATACGAATCATGTTATCTTCTTCTGTCAACATCCTATCTTTCAACTCTGAATGTTCAAACACTTCATCTAACGTAGTTGGTTCATCATTACCAGCACCAGCATCTTCCAATTCTTGTGCTTCTAAAGCCCATTCATATTCATTACCATCACCAAAAGCTTCAAATAATTCTTGTAAACTTTTTCTATCAACATTTGATAATCTAGAGTCAATCCCTGATTTTCTTTTCTTCAATCTTTGACGTTCTTCTTGACGTGCTCTTTTTGTTTCTTCGTCATCATCAGAAAATTCATCATCTTCAATAAAATCATCCACGTCTTCTTCGTCAACAACGTCACGATGACTTGATTGTCTATTTCCAAGATCCCTATCTTGTAAATCATCTTCTCCCAAATCATCTGCCTCTTCATCCGCAAAAATGTCATCTACTCCTTGTCTAACTTTTCTTTGACGTTCTTGTTCTCGAGAACTAGCATCTTCATCTTCAATATCTTCATCATTATCTGTTCGTCTTTTCAAACGCTTAAATTTATTGCCTTGATTTGATGGTTTTATCCCAGAGTTTTCTAAAAGTAATTCTAAATCATCCTCGTCTAACGCATCATTAGTTTCTTCTCTATCACCTTCAGTTTCTGGTTCTCTTCTTCTTTTCTTGTGTCTTCTTCTCTTTTTAGTTTCTATTTCTTCCTCATCATCATCGACAATGAAACCAGCTCGTACTTTTTGAATTTCTTCTTCATTGTCGTCATCATCATCTTCTTCGGAAGAATCTGTGACTGAATCATTACGCAAATCATCACCTTCACCTTCAGATCCTGAAAGATCATCGGCTTCATTTCTTATTTCATTTTCTTCCCTTTCCATTTTTTGTTTAATTGATAGTATGAGGCTAAGATTAATGCAAAGATTGAAAAAATGCAGATAAATCTATATGACCAGTATTCGTTTTAAATTGTGATGGAATGCTGTTGATTGACTTACGGGTAATATAACTTAAGTTCTGAATCAAGATTTAATGGATTTAATGACAAATGAAAATGTAGTGACTAAATTGATATGAAAATTCACGTTGAACGACAAAAGTGGATGGCAAAGTATAATCCTCGAGTAAATAGATGGCCGGATATACACGCTGTAATAAAACTTGATTCGTTTTTTCGAATAAATGAAAGGAAATTAAAACAAATGAATGATTAACTTTTTTTAAATCAAAATTGTAATATTCAATTTAACCTATAATAATATACAAAATTTTGGGTAGACAAATAAGTAATTTGTTGGTTGATTGGTTGATTGAAATTACTAATGATGAATATGGTGTTTGATATAAGGTTGGTTGATTTTGTCTTGGTTGTAAAAAATATATTTTATTTTTTTCAAATTTTTTCGATACATGAAATATTACGCAAATATGCATATTTCTGCGCGAAATCTGGAATACATCAACGATTTTAAATGTCCAGAATATATAGTATTCATCGAAAGAAGAGGTATAGGATAAGACTCGCGAAAAGGTTTAGAATTAGATCCACTAGGAGCTAAAAATCAACCAATTAATATTGTACAAAAAAAAAAACCTCCAATTTATTATATAGTGATATCTACTAAAAACTCCCAAATTTTTGATAAACTTCAACAGAACTAAAAAACTCCCAATCTTTTAATGAACTTCACTTGCAGATGATAATGGTCGTCGCTAAAATAGCTTTATTCGAATGAAAACTTTTTTTTCTATCTCAAATAATTTTCAAACTATTCATTGGTATTGCCTATTCAACTTCATATTAAACTGCTTATTTTTTTCATTGATATAATTTCCAACATCCTCATCGTCATCCAATCTTTCTCTCTTTTTCTTATTAAATTTCCTATCTTTTGATTCCTTCATCAATCTACTCATTTCTTCTTTAGTACTTTTACTTGTAACATTGCTAGCGCCTTCCAGTTGTAGTTCCTTTTGTAATCTGTAAGCATCCTTGTCAATTTCGATTGCGTTGATTTCCTTATAATAAGACGATTCAGCTAATTTATTTTGATCTTGTATTCCAGTATTTGCTTTTCTTTGTTGTTTCTCATGCCATCTTTCACATTCTTTAATTGTATATTCCATTAATTTTTCTTTCTCACTCAAATCATCTCTTAAATCCAATGTTGAGCCAACTGAGCCATTATTTGAACGTGCATAACTTAATTCTTGTTGTCTTAAATCTTTTGATACTTCTAACTTATTTAAACGAATTGTTTCTTGTCTTTTCGATTTCAAATCTTCAAACTTTGAAAGCAACAAATCAAGCTGTGTGTTGGGTGTAGTTTCTGCAAGACTTGACATGTTACGCATGTTATATTAATGACATATTACGGTAATCGAATACTGATATAAATTTTAATCTACAGTATTTGGTATTAATTGTAAAGAATAAGCATTTCCTTGTAATCTTGTCGCTACCAACATGGCTTAGGAGTTTAAACACCGAAAGTATAACTTTAATGTTTCATATTTAAATACTAAACAACAACAGGATGAATTGTAGTTCAATATGATTCGTTGAGCTTTTTGAACCAATCTATTAATCTTTGAATTGTGATAACAGCCTTTGTTAATAATCCGAGACGGAGGAGCTTTCGATATATAATAATTTTTCTCTTATCAAGTTGATCTAAGCCATGTAAGAATCCATAGTCTGTTCTTTGACACGGCATCAATTTTCATAGATTTAATGAACTATACATATTCACATAAGTGAAAGGGATTGACGATAATTTTTCTTATCATAGTCAAATGCCGAGACGGTATTTGATCTACAAATACAAAGGTAATAGGTCTTATGGTAATAACCTTATCAAAAAGATCTATAAATTTTAATAATTAAAGTATTTTCGGAATAGTAAATTTATGCGGATCGAGAATTGGTTTCAAAACCATATAAATTGTTTCAATGATTCCCTTTTTTCCACCAACACCTGATTTTTACAATTGATTACCTTAACAACTAATCAACCTTTTAGTTAACGTTATAATCGGTGCCATTACATTTCAATAATTACATCATGGTTGAACAATCAAAAGAAGAAAAATTCCATCAATATATATTAAATTTGCCACAAGATAAAAAAGATGCGGTAAAAGGTAAACCAACTGAAGTGTTAAAACTTATTGATGAATATCCAGAATGGTTTATGAATATAGGTCCTGATAAAGGAGCATTTATTGTTAAAGAAATTGTCAAGAAACAACCAAAAATAATGATAGAAATGGGAGGATATATAGGTTATTCAGCAGTGTTATTTGCAAGTCAATTAATAGCTGATCCAGAAGCTAAATATTACAGTTTTGAGGCCAGTCATGAATTTGCTAAGATTGCTCAAGATGTAATTGATCTAGCAGGATTGACTAAAAAAGTCGAAATAATTGTGGGTAAAGCATCATATACATTGGTTGATTTCAAGGAAAGATTGAAAAAATCATCATCATATACACCAATTGATTTTGTTTTCATTGATCATGATAAAAATAGTTATGTACCTGATCTTTGTCTTTGTGAAAAATTAAATTTTATTGCACCAGGTACAGTTATTGCGGCTGATAATTTATATTCAGCTCCAGAATATAAAGAATACGTTAGACTTTCACCAGAAGAGAAAAAAAGATATCCTGGAAGATGGAATATCATCTATGAAACAAAATCTCATGAGTTCGAATTAAGAGGTGGTCATAAAGATGCTGTTGAACTTACAAAATGTATTGACTACTTATCTGGGTAATTACATGGGTTATGTTAATGAATAAATATTACAAAGTACATAAGCTATAATGTAAATTTGATGAATTGTTTCAAATGGTATACATTAACTCTCTTGACTTCATCATCTAATTGTTTTCATTAAAAGATCATATGTCAAAATAGGCAACCCAACAACATTGTAATAATCTCCAATCATGTCATTGAACAATAGACATCCTAATTGTTGATATTTGAACCCACCAGCTACTTCCAAACCTTCTTCACTCTCGATATATGCATTTATTATGTCATGATTGTTTGGTTTAAATCTGAGTTTTGTCGTTGAATGATCAAAATATTCGGTAATATTATCATTGACAATTTTTATAGTAGTTAATGCAGATATGACCTCAAGAACTGGATGTTCAACATAATAATCGAAAAACTTCTTCTGTTCTGACTTCGTAATTGGTTTCTCAAATATTTTACCATTGGATGTAACAACGGTATCACAAGTAAGTATGATTGTATTGTTGTGGTTATACTGCTCTTTATAAACTTCAAGCAAAGCTTCTGCTTTATGTTTACTTGTTAATTGAACATATTCTAATGGTGATTTATCATGTTTTTCTAAATCTTCAGCAAAATTTGAACCAATTGATATGAATTCATTAATTCCCAAATTATTCTGTAGTATTTCTTGTCTCCTTGGCGATGTTGAACCTAATATAAATTGATAATTCTTTAGTTTTTGGTTTAAATCTGTATCAAACATTTTGTGTATATTTATAATAATCAAGTTGCTTTTTTTTTTACTTAAATTTCAAGTTCTATTGATCAAATCAAGATATTGATCTACGAAATCTAATCACACGACAGCCACTAAATACAATTCCATGTTTAATTTGCATATCTATTCATAATGAAACTTCTATATAAAGAAAATCCAAGAACATTAGCATTATATTCAGAAACTTATAGTTTAACTTTTCGATCCTTAACTAAAAAACAATCAGATTCACCACCAAAACCAATTGTTAATTTAGAATTAGTGCCCAATACTCAGATTTCCAAAGAAGATGGATTTAAAACGTTATTAAAAAGAGAAGTCTTTGGATGTTTAGGTTTAATATATGTTGACGATCAAATATTTTTAGCAGTAATAACTGGTGCGTTAACAAAAGTTGCAACGCCAATTGCACATGAAACAGTTGATAAAATATATTCAGTTGATTTTGTTTCATTGAATAACAATGAATGGGATTTTGTAGAACTAGATAACCAAGGATACCCTGTACTCACAGCTGAAGAAATGGAAGATGAAAGATATAATCGTACACTACATCCATGTTTTGAGTTTAGAAAGTTATTATCTAATGGTTCATTTTATTATTCAAATGATTTTGATTTAACATCAACTTTACAAACTAGAGGTATTGATGAACATATGGAGAATTTAAACCATTATCAACCTCAATATATGTGGAATTCATTTTTAATGGATGAAATGATTAAATATAGATCCAATTTGGACACTCATAATCAATTAATATTGGATGATAATAAATTCTTAACAACTGTCATAAGAGGGTTTGCTAAAACTGTTCCAGTGGGAAGTCAAGATTCGATAAGTATAATATCAAAACAATCATGGAAAAGAGCGGGGACTAGATATAATACACGAGGTATTGATGATAACGGTGCTGTTGCAAATTTCGTTGAAACGGAATTCATTTATAATAATCCATCAAAATCTCACATTTTCACATACACACAAGTAAGAGGTTCCGTACCGACATTTTGGGAACAAGATTCAAGTTTGATAAATCCAAAAATTACATTAACTAGATCACTAGAGGCTACTCAGCCAGTTTTTAATAAACATTTTGCAGAACTTAACGAATCATATGGAGTTTGTCATATTGTGGATTTACTATCTAAAACCAAATCTGCTGAGGTTCAAGTATCAAATAGATATAAACAACTATATAATCACTGTGATAGGAAAAACGAAATTGATTATACTGCATTTGATTTCCATGCTGAAACAAAACAAGCTGGTGGTTTTGCTGGTGCAACCAAACTTTTACCATTTTTATATGATTCAATGCAACAATTTGGATTTTTTTCATATGATTTGAAAAATGAAGAAGTTATAACAAGACAAGATGGTGTCTTCAGAGTGAATTGTTTGGATTGTCTTGATCGTACGAATCTAATAGAACAAGTTATATCAAGAACTGTTTTGGAGAACATTATAAAAAACCAATCAGAATCGTATGCTAATCATGGTCGAGATTTTGCATCTTTGGAAAGTATTATACAAAGACATAATGCATTATGGGCTGATAATGGTGATGCAATTTCACAAATTTATACTGGTACAAATGCTTTAAAATCATCTTTTTCAAGATCAGGTAAAATGAATTTTGCAGGTGCTTTATCCGATGTTACTAAATCTGTTTCTAGATTATATCAGAATACTTTTGTTGATGGTAAAAAACAATCTACGATTGACTTGTTATTGGGTGTTGCTGGTAGATACTCCAAAAAGGTTAAGATTTTTGATCCGGCCAGCGAATATGTTAGTTCCAAATTAAAACAACATTCTCATTTATTTTCTACTGAGGAAAATATCACAATATTTACAGGTACTTACAATGTCAACGCATTAGAGCCGTCAAATAGAGTTGACTTAACATCTTGGTTATTCCCACCTGAAAATGAGATTACTCCGGATATTTATGCAATTGGGTTTCAAGAATTAATAGAATTAAATGCTGGCTCAATATTAAATGCTGATGTTTCAAAACCTCTCAAGTGGGCAGCAATACTAAATGAACAATTAAACTCACAAAGAGAACAATATGCATTATTACGTACTGAATCAATAGCATCAATGTCATTATTTTTATTTGTTAAAAAATCGTCAGTACAGTATGTTACTCAAGTATCTGGTGCTTCTAAAAAAACTGGATTAGGTGGTATGACTGCTAATAAAGGTGCATGTGGTGTTAGATTTGAGTTTGGTGCTACTTCATTTGCATTAATTACATCACATTTAGCTGCTGGTACCACTGCAACTATAGAACGATTTAATGATTATACTACAATTATGCAAGGTATGACATTTACAAGAAATTATTCAATTCAAGATCATGATCATGTAATTTGGTTTGGTGATTTAAATTATAGAATCAATATGTCCAATGCTGATTGTCGTGATTTAATAGAAAGGGGAGCATTTGATGATTTGTTAAGAAGTGATCAATTGAATTTAGAAAGAAGAGATAAAGGAGCATTTAATGAGTTCAATGAAGGTATTGTATTATTTTATCCAACTTATAAATTTGATAAAGGTACATCTGATTATGATACTACCGAAAAACAAAGAGTTCCTTCATGGACTGATAGAATTTTATTTTTAAGTACAAAGAGGAAAAGAAATGACTTGACTCAATTAAATTATAATTCAGTAATGGATATGCTTTTAAGTGATCACAAACCTGTATATGCTACATTTAAATCAAAAGTAGAGTTTATTGATAAAACTAAAAAGACAACATTGGCGAAAGGTTATTATGATGAATATAGAAAAGAACACGGTAATGAATATGATTTAGTTTCAATTGCTTCAACTACTCCATCAATATCATCGTTAACACATAATGATAATTTCACTAATGATACTTTAACAGAGTTAAATTTATTAGATGATTTTGATGCGAATGCTCCCAGATTACCAAGTAGACCTAATCCAAATGGTACTGCACCAAAAAGAGTTCCACCTCCACCAGCAAGTAGGAAAACAACTACAGATCAATCATCAACCACTTCAACAACCTCACCACATCCTAGAAAATTACCACCACCACCAGATCAATATGTGAATGGAAATGATAATCAACCAAAACCACCACCGTCAAGAAAAACCAACTCATCAACAACAGTGGAAGCACCATCTCCAGTCAAAATACCTTTTGGATTTTCATCATCACCATTAATTCCAAGTAGATCAAACCTGGCTTCATCATCACCAATTGGATCACCGGCACCAAAACCAATAAATGCCATAAGTGCAAGATCAAATGATACTACTTCTACAACATCTTTGAAACCAATGATACCTTCAAAACCTTCGGGTTTATCATCATCAAAATTAAAAACAGTAAGTACAGAAGAGTTAGAAAAGAAAACATCTAGTGAAAGTGTTGAAGATAAAAAGAAAGAAAATGGTAAACCATCACCTCCAATATCTCGTAATATGAGAAATATGTCTGATTGGCAACCATTAGTACCTAAATAAATATTTTATAGAAATTTAAATATTATAGAATTCGTAATAACTAAAATTCTATTTTTAAAACTTGTAATATTTTTGTAGGGGCTTATCAAACGTACAAAAATCTAAAAATTAGTATGTGGTACTTTAATATAGACCAAAAAATTTGTTGCAAATTTAAATTATTAATATAGCCAGAGTTTTTACACTTTACAACCAAATTTAGATCACAAGACAAATTAATTAGTATATATATATATTCCTTCGAAAGTCCAATATAATTAATCTTAGTTTTTGCAATGAATTGGATATAATGAATTCAACTTTGGATGAGCTACATAAAGTAACATCCATAGATAGTGGTGATGATAGTGGAAACAACAATTTAAATTCAAGATCATCATTTGATAATCCAGGATTATTAAAAAAAATTTCGTCACCGATTATATCTGATTTACCCAACATTTTCAGTAATTTAAGATCTAATGAAGAAATTAAATCAAATGGATCAAGTAATGGTAAAAGTTTTTTGAAAAAGATTATAAGTGGTAATAGTAGATCAAACGATAATTTAAATGAAGTACCAAATGGACAATATTCTGAATTAGATAGACTTATAAACTCAACTAACCCTAGTGGTGAAGATGTTTTGGAATTACATCCTGATATTTCAAAATCAATTGGTCATGTTAAAATTCCTCATATATTCGATACAGAAGGTATGCCATTGTTGAAAATATCACATAAATCTAAAAAGAGAATTCTACTTTATATTGATCCTACTAAATTTATATTCAGTTGGAAATTAGCAGCTACTACAATGTTACAAAGTAGTAGAATCTCATCACAAAGAATTCATGAATTTACACTAGATGATATTAAACTTTTTTATACTCAACAACAAGGTTCAAATTATAGAGAAGAATTAAGAATCTCCAAAGAGTTTGAAAATAAATGGATGACTGTTATATATTACAACCAAAAAAAGGGCAATTTAAAGATGCTACATCTAATAGCTGATACTGAACATGATTTCAAAAAATTGAGTTCAACTATCATGAATTTGAAAGAGTTGAGATATCATCTAGCTAAAGATTTTTTAGTTGATTTGAAAGATTTAAATGAAGCTCATATTAAATTGATTTTGAATCGAGATGAATCTCAAAAGCAAATTCGGGAATCATTAACTTTTAATGATATTTTAAAGTATGCCAAGAGATTAAATATAAATATTAATAAAAAGTATTTGGAGTCAATATATAATCAAGTATGTGAATCAGATGCAGGTTTAAATTTTGATCTATTCAAGACGTTTGTTTCTATACTAAAACAAAGAGATGATTTACATCAAATTTGGAAAATTCAATCAGATTCAAATCCTAATGGGATCACTTTTAACAATTTTAAGTATTTTTATAAAAAAATACAACATGAAACTGGAGATGAAGATACAATGCAATTGATATTTGACAGATTTCAAGTAGGTGGATATTGGTCGATCGATGAATTGAATAACTATTTATTGTCAAGTTTTTGTAATCCAATTATAAATGTTGAATCCGAAAATTATTTTACTTACCCACTAACTGATTACTTTATATCATCATCACATAACACTTATTTAACGGGAAGACAAGTTGTTGGTGATTCCTCGATTGATGGATATGTTAGAGCTTTACAAAGAGGGTGTAGATGTATTGAAATTGACGTATGGGATGGACCAGATGAGGAAATTGGTGAAGAATCAGAACCTGTTGTTAATCATGGTAGAACGTTTACAAGATCAATAAAGTTCTCAAATGTCATTAAAACGATTCAAAAATTTGCATTTATTACAACTCCATATCCATTAATTATAAGTTTAGAAATTAATTGCTCTTCATCATATCAATTAAAAGTGGTTTCCATTTTGAAAGAAACTTTGGGAACAAGTATGATAACTTCACCAGTAAATAATCAATCTATATTGCCATCACCTGAGGAAATGAAACATAAATTTTTGATAAAAGCTAAAAAGACAAGTCCATTTAGTAATTTAATTGAAACAGAAGGTGGAAGTTATACTACTTCTACTACATCCACCACAACTTCATTCAGTGAAGATAATGGATCTTCAAAATCAAGTACAAATTCAGCTTTTAGTTTCAAGAAAAAATCAAAAGTTCCTAAAATAATAGATCAATTAAGTGATTTAGGAATATATATTCAAGGTATAAAATTTAGAAATTTTTCATTACCAGAATCTAAGATATACAATCATTGTTTTTCATTAAGTGAAAAAACAGTAGATAAAATGTTAAAAGATGAAGTTAAAAAAACATCATTAGATAAACATAATAGAAAATATTTTGTAAGAGTTTACCCATCAAAAATGAGATTAAAGTCAACAAATTTTAATCCTATAATTTACTGGGAACATGGTGTTCAAATGGTTGCAACAAATTGGCAAACTTATGACTTAGGTCAACAATTGAATGAAGCTATGTTTGAAGGTGTTAATAAGAATGGGTATGTTTTGAAACCTCCAGAGTTACGTAAACCAATTATAAAAAGTTCTAAATTTTACAAATTATTGAAACCTGAACATGACAAAATTAAATTTAATTTTACTATTATTAGTGCTCATCAATTACCCAAACCCAAAGATGTTTTAGATGATATTATAAATCCTTTTGTTTCATTTGAAATTATTGGTGTTGATTCAATAAAATGGGATTCTCCATCTATGTCACAACAAACTACATCACTTGTATTAGATAATGGATTTAACCCAATTTGGAATGAAAAATTTAGTGGAATTATAAATGGATCAAAAGATTTTGTGTTTGTGAAATTTATTGTAAATTCTGTTGTATCAGATAAATCAGAAATTCAACCATTAGCACTTTTAGTTATAAAATTAAACTATTTAAAGCAAGGTTATAGATATTTATTTCTCAATGATTTATTTGGAGAACAATTGGTATATTCTTCATTATTTGTTAAAATATCTTATGAATTTGTATAACACTAAAATTAACGATGAGATGAAACAGATTAAATATTTTTTTTTTTTTTTTTGTAACTAATATCTCTTTAACTACTATAACACCTTAAATCAAAATGGGTAAAATAACAGATTCAAAACTAAAACAACGTCATAATCCTTTATTAAAAGATATATCAACGCTGGGTGGTAATTTAAGAACCACACCAAGGACATCAAAAATTAAAAATCCAAAATCCAAAACAAATAAATCAGAAAAGGAACAAGAAGAAGGTTATCTTGATGCAGTAAGTTCGAGAAAAATTTTACAATTAGCTAAAGAGCAACAAGAGGAATTAAGAGATGAGGAAGAGAACGAGGAAGTAGAACCACCACAACAACAAAGATTCATAAGTACAACAATCGAAAGTGATGAAGAAGAATCAGAAGAAGAAGAGAAATATTCAGATTTAGAGGATGAAGAAGAAGAAATAATATATGACGAAGAAGAAATAGAAGTAGATGAAAAAGATGCAGAATTATTTAATAAATATTTTCAAAATAATGGATCATCAATAAATGGAGAACAATCAATAAATTTGGCAGATAAAATATTGGCAAAAATTCAAGAAAAAGAATTACAAACTAAACAACCAACTGAAAAACCTCAAGAAGATGCAGTTTTATTACCACCAAAAGTAATAATGGCTTATGAAAAAATTGGGAAAATATTATCAACATATACACATGGTAAATTGCCTAAATTATTTAAAATTTTACCTAGTTTGAAAAATTGGAAAGATGTATTGTATGTTACAAACCCTGCAAATTGGACACCTCATGCTACATATGAAGCTACAAAATTATTTGTATCTAATTTACAATCAAATGAAGCTCAAATTTTTGTTGAAATGGTATTATTAGAAAAATTCAGATCTTCTATAGAAGATTCAGATGATCATCATTTAAATTATCATATTTATAGAGCTTTAAAAAAATCATTATATAAACCTGGTGCATTTTTTAAAGGATTTTTATTACCATTAGTTGATGGGTTTTGTTCAGTACGTGAAGCTACAATTGCTGCTTCAGTATTAACTAAAGTATCAGTACCAGTATTACATTCATCAGTTGCATTATCACAATTATTATCAAGAGATTTTAATCCAGCTACTACTGTTTTCATAAGGGTATTAATAGAGAAAAAATATGCATTACCTTATCAAACATTAGATGAATTAGTATTTTATTTTATGAGATTTAGAAATGTAACTCAAGATTCTATTGAAATTGATAATGATAAAATTGAAATACCTCAATTACCTGTTGTTTGGCATAAAGCATTTTTATCATTTGCTCAACGTTATAAAAATGATATAACTGATGATCAAAGAGATTTTTTATTGGAAACTGTTAGACAAAGATTTCATCATGCTATTGGACCTGAAATTAGAAGAGAATTATTGGCTGGTAAACCAAGACTTGTGGCTCCTCAACAACAACAACAAGATGGGTTAATGATTGACGCTTTTTAAAATTAATAAATAAAATTAAGAATTTAATTTGAAAATGTAGATTTGTCTTTTATGTTTGTATACCTGTTGCATGTCTATAACAGACTGGAAGTTGCATGTCTATATAATTCTTACCCAGTCTGTTTCTAAAAGTTTTGGGTTTATTGATTTTTAATTGTATTATTTTTGTATGTCCTATTGTCAGAAGTCTTTACGCTTTGTAGATTGATCTGTTGAAAGTTTTTCAACATTTGGTTGCATTTAGATTGCAATTTGAATACTAATGTTATATTTCACAATTACAAATTTTCAACTATAATCTTCATATATAACCAAGTTTCAAATGTTATATTTTCAATTATAAATTTATAACTTTTTTTTTCAACAATTACTAACAATTTGATTCAATTTTTTTAATAATAATTCATTCTAATCTATTACAAATTTCAAGTATATTAAAATCAATGTACGATATACCTACAATTTACGAAAATCAAAATTGCTTTTTGAGTGAAATACTACAAGAAATCACATACCAAAATCACGAGAGCAAACAGGTTTTGCTGCATAAAACCAGTAAATGCATTTTTTTTCCGAATGAAAAGAGTGAATGTAAACATTAAAAATTCTTGTCATATACTTTATAAATTGTGAACAGTATACATTTTTTGTTTTCTTGTACATAAATTTTTTTTTTTTTTTTCGCAGCCAAAAAAAAAACCTAAAAAGAATAATTTTAAACTTTCCTTAACTTCATATAAATTTCGATTGTCCTCAATTTGTGACGTATTTAGCTATTAAATGACACTTACACAAAACCAAAAGTTATATCAATTATTAGAATAATCAAAATAAATCAAAAACTTACAACCCTGAATTTACAACCCAAATCCTAAAATCAATCCAATACTTCTCAATTCTAAATGATCCAACAAAATGAAATATCAAAACTTCTAAAAGCAACACTAACTTCCACAACCAATTTCAAAGGAGTATCAATATCACTATTATCAAAATTAGGTAATCAACTAATAACAATAACAACTACAACAGAAGATCAATTAAAAATATATTCACTCATAGCTTACAATTCTGTAGCATCTACAAATCTAGAATGGAATATTATTGAATTTAATGAATTAAAATGTATTATACAAAAAATTTCAAATAATGATAATTCTATAGATTCTAATGATGAAGAAGAATTGACTTATTATGTTACTTTGTTTTATTTAAATTCTTCAAATGATAATGGTGATGATGGTGATGCTATTGCTAAATTAAAAGTTGATAATTTATCTAAAACTTTAAAAGATGGATTAAAAGGATATGTCAATTAAAATTATGAGTAATGAAATTATAGAGATTTGAATATTACTAATAAGTTAATGGATATGAAAAAGAAGTATAGAAAAATAATGATTAATATATATAAATTTGTATTAGAAATGAAACAAAACATAAACAAAAACTATTTAGTATTATAAACAGTGTAGTAGAAAACCTTTGTAAAAAACAAAATGATTATGAGAAAAGAGCCAAAAAAGTAAAAGTAAGTGGTATAAACTTGTGGAATAATATAAAAAAAAATATGCTATAATTAGTTTTCACCTTTAAGTAACTATAGTTGTTGGTTGGGAGATTTGATGGGTGAAAAATAGTAGGTAGGTATGATTCTTGTTGAAGGATCTGTTTCATTTGGTTTGTTTATTGATTGCTTGATAGGAAAAATGAAGCTAACCCTGATTGATTTAATTTATTTATTTTGTAATCATTTCTTCATCTTGTTCTTCTTCATCTTCATCTTCTTCGTCAACATCTTCAATATTTTCATCCATTAAACTTTCTTCATCAAAACTTTCATCTTCATCATCACCAGAATCAATATTTTCATCATCATCATCTTCTTCATTACCACTTTCTTCTTCTTCTTCTTCTTCACTTTCATACCAAAAATCTTCATCAATTGGTTCATCAATTAAATTTGAATTTTTCATATTTGAATTACTATAAGCATTTTCAATTTCTTCTGGCATTATAAAATCTTCTGGTATATCTTTTTTTGATCTCGCAACTTCTTTTGTAACTTTTTTTTTATATTCTTCAAAATTTTTTCTAAATTCAACACTTGCATCAATATTTGCTGGTGAATTACCATTTGGATCATCTAATAAAGAAATTATTGAAATTAATACACTTTCAACAGTTTGAGCAGGTGACCAAGTTTCACTTTCTGGTTCATCTGATGTTGGATCACCTCCTTGATGTAATATTGATATACATAATCTACCATCTCTATAAATATTGGGATGATATATAGCAGGAGTAAATCTAAATGAAGGAGGAGAAAATGGAAAATCTTGTGGGAATCTCATTTGTCCTTTAAAATATCCTCCATGATATAAAGAATCTGGATTTAATACCATTACTCCAATATTCCATAAAAAAATATTATCATCATCTAATTCAATATGAAATGAAGGAATTCTCTTTTTTGGATCTGTTAAATCTTTAAATTGTCGTTGTAAAATTGCTGCTGCTGATTTTGAACTCATTTTAGTGTGTATGTATGTAATATATGTATGTAATGTTATTGATGTGGTAAAATATTTCTGATTGATTATTTGTATTAAATGAGGATGTTGTTATTTATTTGAATCCTTTTGGTTTAGTAATATATAGTAAATATTTGTTAAAGTGGTGTATATGATAATGTAGTTTTAATAATTTTATTAAAATGAAATGAGTAATATAAAAAAACTGAAGATAAGATATATAGTGTGTATAATGATTTAAAATTAAAAATTACTTTATTTATGAGTTGTTAATGGTTGTTGTTATTTAAAGATGTAGTTGTTGATTATTGATATATACGGTAAATATATGTTTGATGATTAATAATACCAGTAATACTTGTATATTTAGAAATGGTTGGTTGTAAATTAATTATAATATTATAAATTTGTAATAATAAATAATAAATTATAAAATTAAAAATTGTTGATGATTAAAAATCTTTGTTATTTATTTTTTTTATTTTTGTTTCTTTTTTTCTTTAAATTTGAAATCTATCTTAATATTAATATTAATAAATACAAATATTACATATATCCAGAGGGTGATTATTACTATTATAATTTATATAGAGCTTATGTTAGAGTTTATAATAGAGGTTATTATAAAGTAATCATACTTCTACACTTTTATACTTATTAAAATTGTGGTGGAATAGAAGTAGTTGTAAAACAAATATGAATTTATTTATTTACGTTATTGAATAATAGGCAAGTTTCAAAATTGTTTGATTAGAGTATTTTCAATATATTGTTTAAAGGAAACTCTTTTATTATTGCTTATCGATGTTCTTTTGTAGTATAACTTTACTAAACAAAAGATTAATATGATAGTTCAAAATTCATAAAATTCCCATATGATGCTCTTAATACTTAATATTAATATCATTATAAGAATAATGCCATACATAAAACTAAGATGATGATTTAACTTAAATACATAAAGTGGTTGAAAAAAGAAACTTTTTATTCTTTCAATTATCATAAAACTAAAAAACTAAAAAACCTATTGAAAATTAAATTTAAAATTTGACGCCCTATCTCGTTCTAGATTCAATTAATTTACGACCTATTTTTGATCATATTCTTAAAACGGATAAAAAGGTAACTTATTCAATCATTTATCAAATATTTAATATTAATGTTGAATGAGATATTAGTGTAACTTAGTTAGGAACATACGAAAGGTTTTTGCATTTTTAATATCAATAACAATCAATGATATCAAAAATATTGAATTTTAATCGAAAGATCATAAACCAAAAGTCTCCTCAATGATTTGATAAGCTAAGTTTCTTTCTAATTACTCAATTCGTATAAGAACCACAACTTCTTTAGATAACTACTATAACAAATACTCACTTCATTTCCTATAATTTTCTCTATTGAACCACTCAAAGATGAATTCAGAGGTTTTAAATATTAAATAAAAGGCGAAGAGATTTTAATAAAACATTTATACATTGGGTGCAATAAAAATTTACACTCGTTTGACTACAAAAATTGTCAAAAATTTTTTTAAATTTAACATACAACCAAATAATCGATGGACTGTTGTTTCAATCTGAGACTAGCACCTAGACTAGAATAAACAAGTCAAGTCAAGCCAGCATCGACGAATCATTTCCTCTTAAATAATTTTACAACTGTGTTAAATACTAAGTAAAATAAATCCGATTATCGCTTGAAAAGATTGTGATCTGTATAATTTTTATGCAGGAAAAAATATACTATTTTCTAATCTTTTAAGCAACTTGATCTTATAAAATGTTTCAAATTTTAATTTACAACCAACAATAAACTTTAAATAAAAACTACATAGATATACTTTGAAACCTCATAAATCATATGATATAATACTTCGTTCATAACAAGTTCTTAGCACATTCAAAAATGTTCACATCAATACGGTGTTTTGCAACATCATCAAATTCAATAAATCATTATCAATTATTAGATTTACCAATAAATGCATCCATCAAAGAAATAAAATTACAATTTAAAAAACTTTCAAAGAAATATCATCCAGATTTAAATCAACATTTAACAGAAGAAGAAAAAAATTCAAATACTGAAAAATTTGCATTAATGGTAGAAGCATATGATACTTTAAAAGATATTAAAAAGAAACGTACATACGATCAAACATTACATACTGGATCAGGAAATCAAGGTTTTGCATCAAGAAGATCAAATGAATATAATCGATATTATGGAGATGCAAAATATTATTCAAAAAATGGTAAATCATATACAACAGCATCTGGATTAAATACAAAACGACATAAAGTTCATTATACAGATCCAAAATTTCAAGATAATCAATCTAAATTTTCAGGAGAACATAAAAATCATGGAGATAAATTTGATGTTCCACATTTTGATTATGAAAAACATCTTAATAGAAATTTAAAATTTGAACAAAGAATATTGGATAAATATTTAGATGAAAATACCAAGAGAAGAATATTATCACAATTATCAAGATCTGGTGAAGCTATATCTGAAGAATTGAAAACTAAACATTTATTACGTCACGTTAATAATATAAAAGAAAATGATCATTATGAATTAGAACAACAAAAATCAAGACAAAAAAATTATTCAAATGTAAAATATGGAGGTAGTACTACTTATAAAGGAGCTACTACATATCTGAATTTATATCAAAAACCAATAAATGATGATGATAATCCATTTATAAAAGTCTTTGCTGCATTAGGTGCTGGTACATCATTATATATTCTATATAAAATTATTAATTAGACATATCCGCCCCCCTGTTTAACGATCAACTTCTCCAAACACTAAATCCATAGTACCTATAATAGCAACAGCATCAGCTAATAAATTACCTCTTGCAATATGATCAAAAGCTCCTAAATGAGCAAAACCTGGTGCTCTAATTTTACATCTATAAGGTCTTTCACTGCCATCACTAACTACATAAACAGCCATTTCTCCCTTTGGTGCTTCAATAGCAGTATAAGTTTCTCCTTGTGGTACAGCATAACCTTTAGTAAATAAAAGGAAATGATGAATTAATGCTTCCATATCTTCTTTCATTAAACTTCTTGGTGGTGGTGAAATTTTATAATCTTCAACTTTAACTGGTCCTTGTGGCATATCATTTATACATTGAAATATAATTCTTAAAGATTGACGAAATTCAACCATTCTTATAAGATAACGATCATAACAATCTCCATATAATCCAACTCCAATATCAAAATCAACTAAATCATAAGCATCATAAGGTTGTGATTTTCTAATATCAAATGGAATTCCTGAACCTCTCAACATTACTCCTGATAATGAATAATTTAATGCATCATCTGCTGAAACAACACCTACACCAACAGTTCTTTCTTTCCAAATTCTATTATCAGTACATAATTCTTCAATTTCATCAATTCTATCACCAAATTGTGTTGCCCACATATATATATCATCTAATAATCCAGCAGGTAAATCTTGTGCTACACCACCTGGTCTAACATAAGCACTATGTAAACGAGCACCTGAAACTCTTTCATAAAATTCCATTAATTTTTCACGTTCTTCAAACCCCCATAAAAATGGAGTTAATCCACCAACATCCATAATATGAGTTAATACAGACATACAATGATTTAAAATTCTTGTAATTTCTCCAAATAATGTTCTTATATATTTTGCTCTAATTGGTACTTCAACATTTAATAATTTTTCAACAGCTAATGCAAAAACTTGTTCATTTGTCATCATTGATACATAATCTAATCTATCAAAATATGGTAATGCTTGCATATAAGTTTTTGATTCAATTAATTTTTCAGTACCTCTATGTAATAAACCAACATGAGGATCACTACGTACAATTTCTTCACCATGTAATTCTAAAATTAAACGCAACACACCATGAGCAGCAGGATGTTGAGGTCCAAAATTTATTGTAAAATGTCTAATTTTAGTATTTTGTTTTGATACTTTATCTGGTGAATCTGATTTATCCCACATCATATTTGTTTCATCCATTACTTCTGAAAATGTAGTTTTACCAAACATTCCTGATGGTTTTGAATATTTATCAACTTTTCTACCCATTGCATTAAGAGCATTTGCAGTTGTTGGTTCTTTGGGTGTTGTAGGGACAGTTGTTTCTGCATATGATCGACATTGTTGTTGTTGTTGTATTATTGGGGTGACATTGAATTTATTTAGATTTCTTGTGATCGAATTAATATGATTTGATGATCTTATTCTTAACATTTTTGTATATTGACAACAAGTATGTGATTGATTGAAAAAGTGAGTGATTAGTTATTGAATAGTTGTATGTTTGAGTTAAGAATTGAAAATTTTAATGCTAGGTGAAATGAATGAATAGATAAATTGTAAGGTTTGTTTGTTTGTTTGTTTGTCCCAAATTCCTTTGATTGTCACTAACTAATCTTTAATCTCTGATTCTATCTCTGGTTATATTTGATGCTATGAAAAAAAATAATGTATGAGAGTGAAGGCTACCAAATAATTTACAAGTAATATTAATCTCTTTTTATTTAATTGGCTATAGTATCAGTAGTATATAAAAAGTGTACACTTTACACGACCAATTTTTGAAATAAGACCAATTTATCAACATCAATAACTAACAACGATAAGGCAATGTATAGTAGAACAAAATGTGTATATACAATTCGTATTAGCATACGAGATATAGTAATAGTGAGAGCAATTGCAGTAAGTTTTCAAAGGAGATGTAGGATCGGCTTAATTCAAATTAAAATGACAAAAATGATCTTATCCCTTTATTTATTTCAACTTGAGCTGTATTAGCGAATAACGCATTAAATTACTATTGAAAATGAATTTATTGATAATGACTAAGCGGAATTAGTCAAATAACTCATTTCAAAATTTACAAACTTAATACTCAAATTTTTTCAAGTAATTCAAGTCTAAACTCATGTGTAGACTAAATTTTTTGATTTTTACATTTTAAAAGTATACTGTAATGATACACTGTTGAGAAAACACGTCTAAAATCTAATTCGGTATAGATTAGAGAATAATTTTTATTTTAAAAAAAGACGTGCCTTTCGTAGCTACCAATTCCATATACTGCATACAAATAAGAAAGCTGGTTAATGCAAATTAGTAACTTGAGATGGAATATAAGAAATAACTGAAAGGATCCATATCTTAATTGATAAGAAAGAAAAAACCATTTAACCTAGTGATGTTTCGTGATGTTTCAGTGTTCGGTTTGTCTTGTTCATTTGTTTTAAGAGTCACAAGTGTTTTAAATATAAAATTTTAAGTATCAACGCAGATTAGAGGAAAGTTTTTTAAACAGATAGAGAAAAAAAGAAATTTATTCGGAAATTAAAATAAATAAATAGTGTACTGTATATAACAAATTTCAAAATTAGTAAAATGGTTTCAAGTACAATTTTATATACAGTACAATAATAATATAGTAAAATATTTTTTGCAAAATTTATTAATTAAGAAAAAATTGGTACAAAGTACTTCCATTATATGTAATAAATTATTTAACCTTGAGTTCTCTTATTTAAATTTTTTTGAATTTATAATTTCAATTTCCTTTCAATATTTCAATTTATAATTTTCAATTTATAACTTATTTTCTTCTTTTTAGGGTTTATATTTCAATTTCAACTACTTTCATTTTCATTACTATTATTTCATTTTTACTTCAGTTATTAAGTTACACATATTTCAACCCCCATTACCTCCATAATAGGCTTTAAGTTTTTACCATTTTTTCACCGATTTCATATAGACATATACTCAAATTATTTGTATAATAACATAGACTAGACATTATGATAGATATAACATTAACTCCTCCACCATCAATGAATTCATATCACAATCAAAACACTAAACGAAAAAACAATGAATTTCAAGATGATTATAAAAAAATAAAAAATTTAACAACAGAAGATTTAATAAATTCAAATCCAGAATGGCCACAATTTATACATCCAGATGGTGGGATATTAAAAATAACTCCATGGGGTTCAATAAGACAATATGTTGATTTAACAAGTGGTGAAACTATAACAAAATTTGAAGATTGTAATTTTGAAGAATATTCTTTTAAATCTGAACAAGTTGAAAAATTATATCAAACTCCAACTACTCCTCAATCAATATATAATCAATCATTACAACAAACCTCACATTCACAACAACCACCACATCAGCATCAGAAACCTCAATTAAGTCAACAAAGTTCAATGAATTCAATAAACACTTCCTCCCATAATTTTTATAATCAATCACAATCAAATATACATTTAAGTCCAAGTCATGAAGTTGAAAGTTATGTAGTAGATGGGTATCAACAACAACATGATCAAATTTTAGATAATGAATTTCAAATTGAACATGAAAATTATTTTGGAATGAATTGATTCAACTTAATATCATAATTTTTCTGATGTTGATTATTAGAAGTTTGATTTCCATTTTGAAAGTATTATCATCATTTAAAAGTTAAAGTATTTGTATAATTATTGTTTGATTTTGTTTAATAAAAGTATTGTATTATTAGATAATTATATAGAGAAGACCAATTTCATCTATTTCCTCATCCATTCTCAATTGCGCTAAATTGAGCCCCTAGTTTTCAAAATATCGCAGTACATCCAATTAATTTTTGACAACCATATTCATTCAACCTTATCATTATTTCAAATTTTTATTTCAACTTTTGAATTTAAGCTGTCTGAGCAATATGACACTCACTTGGATTAAGTTTAAGCAAAGAACTAATCTTGAGGACTTACAGCCTGAAATTTTAGTGCGCGTCTTAACAATAAATAAATTCTTAGCATCACAACCAGCAAACATTTGTATCAAATGATCAAATTTGATGAACGATATAGAAAGGTATGAAGAAATTAACTTGTGCATGTTTGTATTAATAATCGGGGTATTTGAAAATATTAGATCTCAGCGAGGAATGCAAGATACAATTACAAAACTCAAAATTTATTTATCGAACCCCCTGTGGATTAACTAGAGGTGTTTTGCGAAGTTTTGGTATTGATTGGAGTGTTGTTGGTGAATTAAATCAATTTCCTTCTGTACAATTTAATAGTCAAACTGGTGTAAACAATTAATTAGTGAAACTTAAAGATTAAATTAATCGATGTTTTATGTGAAAATTATTCAATTGGATTGACTTCATCATCAAATATAAGAGTTTTCAGTAGCTTTTTGACAACTGAGAATAACCTCATCCACAAACTTTACATCAACTATAAATCCCGGCAATTTGAACTCTCAACAACTACAAATTTCACCATTGCATAGTGCATCAAACTGGAAAATAATGGATTGTAATTTGATGCAATAGCTCCAGGAGGTACATTGGCAATAAATTGTAAATATGGATTACCTATGTGTTTTATTACACTTAAAAAAAAGTTAAATTATAATTGTTTCTTCAACTGTTTTGGTCTCACATTGTTTTATTAGTGGATTTAAATCACCCTTTACTCATGATTGATCAATGTTATAGGATTAGCAAATGATCAATTTGAAAAATACATGTTACAAATACTTGTTTGAAATATCAATTATATGTTAGGGTTTATTTAAATTTTCAATAATTTGACTAATTTCCTATTTTCGATTTAATTCATTCAGTAATTGTACACAATTTTAACATGATTAATTATATACTTATATTTTTAATAAAGGTTTTTTGTTTCAGTGTTTTATAATTTGATTTGTTTATGGTATTCTTAAGGTTGAGGTCAGAATGATTCAATTATTTATTTTACCTATTTATTCATTCATATATTTAATCATTTATTTACTTTACTGCTCAATAAAATATATTTGAGCTCAATTCAAATTCTATAAGTAATAAATAAAAATACAGTTAGATCAAATCAATTACTACTTAGACTTTGTTAACAATCTGAAAATCACATACAAATATTTTTGTGCTCCACACTACCATGAACTATATTTTATTTTATTTATTTATTAATTCTGGTTGCAAAACATATCAAAATTCCCACTTTTTTATTACTATTTCATTTCAACTATAATTTAAATCCCAATCCAAACGAATTTAAATTACCAAATTTTCAAGCAATCAATTATCTCAGTTAATTACAAATTTATAATTAATACATTTAATTCATTTACTCAACTTTTAACTCAATCAACTTAACTTTTTTTGAAATGTCCTCAAATATTCAATTTCAAGAAAATATTAAAAAAGATACTTCGTTTGATTATCCATCACCAAATTCACCATCAATCTCAAAAAACCAAACAAAAGAATCATCAATTGAGGTTAAAGTTCCTCAACAACATAATTTTACAAAAATTGGAATTTTTAGACCTGCTAAATTTAGTAGACATATCTTTAAACAATTAGAAAATTTACAAATTTCTAAAACTCAATTTTTTAAAGATTTAAAAAAACAATCAGAATCAGAAAACCAAACTGTATTAGAAAATCAATGCAAAGATAATATTGACTTATCTTATAACTTACAATTCAAATATTTTACTGATTTTCTTCATGCTTTTCATCCAAGTAGGGATCCAATTGCTATTGCTAATGCTTTAGACAAAAATGCGTCATTACAATTAGAATATTTTAATGATTTTATTGATGCTTTCAATCAATACAATGACGCTAATATCATCAAAATTAAGGAATACTCGCAATATCAATATTTCAATGAATTTATTCATGTTTTTACTAATAAAAGTATTTCCAACACCAAAGAAGATTTACCTTACCAATATTTTAAAGATTTTATTCAGTTTTTTAACCAATCTTCTGATTTAATTTTCATTAATAATAATAAAGAAGATTTACAATATCATTATTTCAATGAATTTATTCATGTTTTTGCTCAAAGTACTGATCCAACTACAACTACTTCATCATCATCATCAACTACAAATTTAAACAATACTCAAAAAATGGATAAAGTTATTCAATTCATTTATAACCCGAATAAACCTGATCAAAAAAAATTAGGTAAATTAGAAAAATTCAAAAACTTCATTAGATATGGTACTACTAAAGGGAAAGAAACTCAAGATATTCCAAAACATGTAGAAAAATACGTTTTAAATAAAATAAAAATTGCAAAAACAACCAATAATAAAATTGATATTTCATCAATCTCAGAAACTTTGAAACAAGAGCAATTAACTCAAGAAGAGTTAGATTTATGTTTATATAAGATATATTCAAGTGGTTGTAAAAAATCATTACATTCAAAATTAAAATTATTTAAAAAAAATAAAAACAGAAAAGAACCTCCAATTAAAGGATGTTTAAAAAATAAAGAAAATCAAAATCAAAATCTTGAACAAGAAGCAAAAGCTTGTGAAGAAGCAGATTCACAAACAATAGAAAAGTTTATGTCTGAATTAGTTTATCGTGAAAATAGAGGATTAGATCCAATTTACAAAAGAAATATTAAAAACACTCAATTGCAACAAGTTCAAAATTACTATGGTGACAACGTTGAGGTGTATTTAGAACAATAAAGACTAAATAATTAAAAATACAAGAATTTTCAGAAATAAAATTTAAAAAATTTTTCATCAAAATAAGTGGTGGTATATATATGTTGCTCAAGTCTGGCCAGCTAGAGGAATTATTATTAGTATCTACTTATGGGATTCTGAAGAGTTTTTATTGTTCAATCTTTTTATATTTAGTTTGCTTTTTATTATTACAAAACTTAATAAATATTTTTAATTGATTCTATTGTAGTTGTCTAATAAATTTATCAGAATTGTATAGTATAAAATATTGCATCAAACAAGGCTTGAAAATTGCAATCAGTTACTTTCGATATTCATCAATTCTGCAGGTCTGAAACAGACACAAAAATTAAACACAATAATTCCAGTTTTAGAATACAAACAAAAAATAGAGTAAAAAGAGCTACAAATTTCAAATCCATTAAATCATTATATTTTAAATTTAACTGACTTTATTCATTCAATCCAAGTTTCTTGTATCACAGCAACAAACATTAGTAGAACTATTACTATTTGAATTTTCATCACCACATGAATCATTTGAAAGTTTCTTCTCTTTATGTACAATTAATTCAATTAATTCTTAGGATTAGCGTAAACTTCAACTCTGCATTTACTCTGTAAATAATATCTATATTGAAACTTGAATCAACATTTGGATGTGTAGTAAGATTGAACGAGTATTATAGTGTGAACCTTTAAATAGTTCTATTGATAAGCTGTTTTTAGTATTATACTCATCATCAATTATTCATATTCAGCAAATACATGTTCATATAAGAATGCAGATATGACTTCAAAGCAGAACTCCCAATAATTGGACAATAATGGGTCTATTAATGCATTTTGACATGTTGATTTAATCTTAGACATTTGTGTTCACCTCTAATCAAATAAGTCAATAGTAGAGTTTGTTGATTTATGTTGTTGATATATGGTTGTTCTTGATCAAATTCTGGTGCGTTGTTATCTGGATAGGTAAGTTGATTGAAATGTGGGGTATTTGATGCATTCTGATGATCAATCTTATTAACATTATATTTATTATTAAGACTCAATTCAAATGATTCGCTATCATCGATAGCGTTTATATTAATTTGTAATGAGTTTTTGAATGAAGAATTTGTTGAATTATATTATAAATTTAAGGTACTGATATAAATTTAAGGTACTGAATTTAATATCCTTGATTCCAAATAATAAATTTAATATCACTTATAATGTTTAGTTTTAACTATATAAATAATATCATAGTTCAAACGTTTTTAATTACAAATATAATCACTCCTATTCGTAATACAAATAATTATAATTTTAGTCTTTTGTATATATATAATTAAAATTAGTAGTAAAGAAGAAAATAAAAAAGTATAATTTTTATTATTTTTTGATTCAATATTTAAATTAAAATTTTACCCCATATTTATGTTTTCTTTTTTAGTGAATTTGAACTTTTTTTGAAACACTGAATCCCCATAAAGTTTAAATTTATTTTTAATTATGTATATACACTTTAAAGAAAATATTATAAATATTATATATATTAATGATTTTTTAAATTTCTTAATTTTTTTAATTTCTGATGATGTATAATCAAAGTATAACAACATTAATTTAAAAATGCATTTAATTGATTTACCTATAGAATTAACCCAAAAAATGATTCCAAAAGATCAAACATTATTAAATTTACCAATAACTGAAAGTATAAAATGGCTAAATTTATTTCATCCATATGAAAGTCTAACTATACTAAAAGCTGGTTATATGTCAAGAGATTGGAAGTTGTATATGGAAAAATTTCAAAGAAAAATTTATTTAAATTTTGGTGAAGCAATAGATCAAATACATTATTCAAATTTTATAATAATTGATTATTCATTAATAGCTAATCGTATATTGGAGTTTTCAAATCTTTTTCGATTTTTACAGATTTGGACTGGAATTACTGAAGAGCATACATTTATTTGGTTAAGTGAATTATCCTTAAAACCTAATAATTCCAAAAATTTATATGATGTTGAAATGTCTGTTACTGATAATAAAGTTCTTACAACAAATTTCACAAAATTTAAAATCAAATACGAAAATATACTAAAAGAAATTAGACACAAAACTGAATCAATACCACATCATTATCCAATACAAAAAGATCCTTGTCATTTTGGTAGTTTTTTTAATAATTTATTAGATATTGAAATTAATTTAGATTATGATGAGTATTTAAAACTGGTTGATTTGATAAATCAATATACTTCAAATCGAGATTCCATAACTCCCACTACTGCTAAAATTATTATCAATCCAACTAAATCAAGTCCCAAATTTTTCAAACCTAAAATAGTGACTGATTTATTTAAACCAAGACAAAACTTAACAATTGAATATTTTGGTCAAGAAACAACAGTTCAGTACTTGGACGAGTTTACATACTGTATACCACAAAGTCCTGGACGTATAAGTCTAGCATTTGGGAAACTAGATTATGTTAAAGTTTTTGATCTTTTTAAAAATAGTGCTGTAGAGCGTGATTTACGACTTGCGTTTCAAGTTAAAATTAGCAGATCATATTACAATTCAATTCAAAAAAATGTAAGTAAGAAATTTTGGAAGAGAGAATTTTATAAAGATTGTGTGATCTTATGGTATGAACGTCCTAATAGCTTGTAATCACCGTCACATTCTATAGATTAAGCAATAAATAAATTAAATCTCTTAATTTACTCCTGGATTTGGTGTATTCTTTAGTCGCGTTAAAGAAATTGACATAATATTCAAAGTTAGTTAATTTGATTAATGTTTAGTAGTGCTTATTAAAGCTATGACATGTAAGTAAATTCAAATAGCTTCAACTTCATTCCCCTCAAAATTTGTTTACTTCTCTATATACTTAACCGTACTAATTACGAATTTATCGCTGGTCAGTTTTCAAAACTAATATGATGTATCGCTTGTTTCAGATTCGAACTGATGATACTGACAGACTAACTTATCTTTGGTTAAGTTGGTTTTCTATGAAGTTATTTCAACCTTATAAGTTGAAGATGTGAAGCATATTGAATACGAATAAATGGATATCCAAGTCAAACTTCAGCAAACTAGAGACAGAATTTAATTGCCTAGATCTGGCTTTCAAAAATTAGAATAAATAAAATAATTTGAAAATCTTAAAAATAATGATAGTGGATATTTGGATTCTCAAATAAAATTTGGTAAAGCTTTTTACGAGTCAATTGAAGAAAATGAAAGCAAAAAGTAATGTAGAAAAGAAAATTGTAGATACTGTGTAGTTTCATGGTATGAACCCTACAATTCATGTTTACTGAAATTCTCAATAAGAACAAAATTTCAATCATCTTTTATACTTTGGATTTTTACTAAATTCAAATACCTCATGCGTCATCAGTGTAGTCGCCACGTAAATAGTCAAAATAAACATAAAAAAAAGTAAAAATAGAGAATTGTTCTTAAATCCCTGAAGTAAAATAGCAAGTTTGATTTTTAAATCCAAGGAATTTTTAATCTTAAAAACTATTACCCCTTATTGTGTTACACTTTCCGAATTCTTAAACTACCAGACGTAACGAAATTTGATTTGGCAAATACAAAAGCTGTCCATCAAACACATATAATCTTTCAATGAAACTAATAGACTTACCTAATGAGTTATTTCCTAGAATAATTCCAAAAGACGAAACTCTTTTAAAATTACCCCTAGATCAATGTATAAGATGGTTAAATTTATTGCATCCATTACACAGTTTGACAATCTTAGCTGAGGGGTTTCACTCGCTTGGTTACGTGAAGTTTCATATCAGTTTTAATAGAATCATTTATCTCATCTTTGACAAAAGACCTAACCAAATTTATTATTTTAGGTACATATTTATTGATTGTGCGTTAATTACTAATACAATTTCCCAATTTTATAGTTTATTTCGTTATTTTCAAATATGGACTGGTGATCCTGAAAGGTATACGTTTGTATGGTTGAGTCAAATTCCATTAAAACCGTTTAATTCTTCAAATTTATATGATGTTGAATTCTTGAACTTTGATGATCTGGTAATAAGTTTACCCTTTACAATCTTCAGAAATAGGTATATGAGTATATTGAATGGAACTTTGAATAAAATTGAACCACTGCCAATTGGCTATTTCAATAAAAACGTGCAAAATTTTGAAAGTTTTTTTAAAAATCTCAATAATATAGAGTTGAATTTGGATTATGATAAATATCTAAAGGTAGTAATGACAATAAAAGCCTTTGATACAAAATTTGAAATGGTGCCGCAACTGGCGAAATTAATTATAAATCCAACAAAAACTAGTCCAGTCTACTTCAAGCCTGAATTGGTCTATAAAGTTTTCAAGCCAGCTAAAAGCTTGACTTTACATTACTTTGGACAATTTACTACTGTCCAGTATGTTGATGAACTAACTAACTTCAACTACTTGAATCTTGACAGCTTAAATTTAGGTTTTGGAGAGTTAGAGTATTACAAAGTATTTAAAGAAATTGAAAAAAGAAGACGTTTGGATTTTCAAGTTAAACTTAGTAGAACATATTATAATTCGATTCAAGGAACTGACAAAAAAAGACATTGGAAAAGAGAAATTAATCAAGATTTTGTTGTTATATGGTTTGAACCACCCAGTTTTTGTCGAGCTTAAATTGATGCGATATATGTAGAAGCGTAATAAAGTTCTACTCCCTATGATATTGCAACCTAATACCAAAGATAAGTATTGTTTCAGGAAAAAAACGATGTAGTTCTCTCCTCTCTTTTTGTCTCATGGAGTTTTTCAGTGAAAATAACAATGTAAACCAACCTGAAAGTGTTGAGTTTAAATAAGTATCTTGGAAGAAAAAAGTAGAATTAAATTCTACTCTCTAAATTACCCCTTAAATCTAAACATTTGGAAAATTATTGATTTATACTTTCCTAAAATTTGAACAATTTTAGGCATATATTTTATTATACTTTTATATAAAAATTAGAAACATTGTGGTTTAATGTTTATTTTTCAAACACTGCATTGAATTTCAAGTATGGAATTAAAGGATTTACCTATTGAACTCACTGAACAACTAATTCCTAAAGATCAAACTATTTTAAAACTACCAACTGAACAATGTATACATTGGTTAAATTTATTTCACCCTCGTGAAACTCTCATGATTTTAGAAGCTGGCTTCAAATCCACGGAAAAAGAAAATTATCTTAATAAGTTTAGATATAAAATTTACTTTGATTTTGGTGAAGAACCTGTTAAAAAAAAGGGCGCTAAGGGGATAATTCTTGAATACAAATTAGTTACTGGTGTGATTGCAAGGTATGCATCTTTATTTCGTCACTTCCAAATATGGACAGGAAATCCGGAATGGCATTCGTTTGTATGGCTCAGCAAAGTTTCTTTGAAGCATTTGAATCGTCAAAATTTGACAAGTATTTGTCTCGGAAATACAGATTCTGAATATTTAAGTGGTAGTTTTCAAATATTTATGAAGTTTTATCAAGATATATTCACGAGAATAGTTCTGGAGACGGAGACAAGTTTAGCCAATAAAACTAATACAGTTACTCAGACAAATTATTCTGGTGGGTTCTTCAACTGCTTAGATGATGTTGCAATTCAATTAAACTATGATCAATACCAAGTCTTGGCAACTTCAATTGCAGAGTATAAAACAGTAACCCTGATAACTTTGAGAAAAGCACTGATATTCATTGAGCCAACTAAAAATAGTCCAGTTTATTTTCCCGTCAAAATTGTAACCAATTTATTTAAGCCTACAACCGTATTCACTTTGCATTATTTTGGCCCCAACACTTCGGTTGAATTTGTTGATGATTTAACTGTTGCAGTTCCCAAAGTAAAATACAGGATTTGGAAGATTGGATTATGAGAAGGTATACGAAGAACATTCCCGTAATAACATTCAGACAGCCCCACCAATTCAAACCACGGTATTTGGATTTCAGATTAAACTTGACAAAAAATTCTACATTCTGGTTGAGGACAAAGTGTGCAGAAAGAACTGGAAAAAAAAAAATTTACCGAGATTATGTAATTCTATGGTTTTAATTGGCACATTAATTGTTTTACTTCTAAATTTATAATTGCAAGTTTCCCTAACACAGAACTTTAAGTAACTAATTGATCTTGTTGCAAAGGTGCTGTTTGGTATTTTCTGGAAAAGCATACTAGTTTGCTAGGGTCTATTTACAGTGATAATACTGTAGATTACTATTTGATTGTATTGAAGAGTTTAATTCAAGATAAAATCATTTGATCAGTATCATTACTGGTATATTTTGATATAATATACAAAATAAACAAAAAAAATAACCCCCTACAGTATGACTAAATTTTTTTCTCAACCTTAAATTTAAGTTTCTTGATAATTACTAGATAATCGACAAGCGTTATAATACTCAATTCAACTCACTCAATTAACAACTTACTTACTCAATGATGGAGTTGAAAGATTTACCCATTGAGATTACGGAACAAATTATACCGAAAGATCAAACAATACTAAAATTACCAACAGAACAATGTATACATTGGTTAAATCAATTTCATCCGAATGATACTCTTATGATATTAAATGCTGGTTTTGAGTCGGAAGAAAAAGAATTATACCTTGAGAAGTTCAAATATAAAATATATCTTAATTTTGAGAATAAACATATCAATAAACAAGGGAGAAATGCAGTTATTATTGATTACAATATGGTTACAAGTACTATTTCAAAATATACTCATTTATTCCGTTACTTTCAAATCTGGACTGGGGATACAGATTGGCACTCATTTGTTTGGTTAAGTAAAATTTCCTTAAAGATTTTAAACCGACACAATTTACATAATGTTCATCTTAATAATACTGATCAAAGATATTTGAATGGGAGTTTTGAAATATTTAAAAGATTCTATGAGGATAATTTTGTTCAGATTCGTTCGGAGACTGAAAAATTCTTCAAATCAATAGGACGTATAACAGTGAATTTGAATTACGATCAATATCAAACACTAATAAAGACGCTCGAAGAGTACAATCCAAACGAAATAATAGCTTGTAAAACAGCTTGTATCTTTATTGAACCTACAAAAGATAGTCCCAATTTTTTTCCAGTCAAATCAGTAACAGATTATTTCAAGCCTTCTGTTCAATTAACATTATATTATTTTGGTCCTAATACAACAGTGGAGTATACTGATGATTTGATTGATAATTTACCATTAGTCCATTATTTAAGTTTAGGATTTGGACAATTGGAATATGAAAGGATATCAGAATCATTTATTTTGAAACTTGGTGCTAAATATGATATAGAGAAATGGAAAAAGTATGGATTTCAGGTCAAGGTCGATAAAAATTATTATGAAAAGTCATTAGAGGACAAAATTTGGCACAAACTTTGGAATATAGAGATATATGATGAATATGTGATACTTTGGCTAAAGTAGAATTTATCAAATAGAGTTTTAATGAATATTCCAAGATCTGAGTGATACTGATTTTGTCTACTTTTTTATCTCATGTCAAATGTCTATGTATATACTATGAACATTCTTTGACATGTCTCTTTGAATTTGCGATTGAGATTTGAAGTTGAAGTTAATTTTGCATTTAAACGCCAGTAATTTTATTAAGTTGTAGTTCTACTAAATAATTTTCGCAAAATTGCAGAAAAAATTGTTAATACGTACAACAGCAAGAAAGCATCTAGCTTGAAGTCAAATCTGGCTTTTGATCAGCTCCAGCTGACTCGTAATTTATCAGGGTCTTATTCAAGATACATTAAAATAATAGTTATAATTTTGTGTTTCATAGGTTAATAATGTATATTAATTTATAATAAAAAGCAAGAAAAAGAAATTAAACTTTTCGTCTAACCTAATTTTAAAATTTGGTAGCAAAAGGATTGACATTATATTTCCAGGTTATGATCATCTTGATTAAGCAAAAACTACATTTACTTTCTTTAATGAATTACTTATATAATGTCACATCCAGATAGAACTCATCAGTTCACTCATTCAAATCAAAGAAGAAGAGCTTCAGTATTATATGGATCAATAGGAAAAGGTGGATTATACTTGCCTTCTGATTTCATCAAGGAAAATAATCAAACTCGTAAATATTCAATTAAAGACTTTGTGGATGAAAATGCTCCATTATTAGATATTCAGGGGGATTATATAAATGATGTAGAACCACCACTAAAAGATCGTAGAAAATCAAGTATTGAATCAAGAGAATTAATTGAACAAGAACGAGAATTATTGAAATATAATCATATTCCTGTATTGAATCCAGATAATGAAAGTGATATAAGAGAAGCTTTTGAGGAAGCTATAGATAAACACCAAATAGAAGTTACTACTCCTTGGATAGAATTAAATGTGCTATTTAGAACCAGTTTGCCTTCAGTTTTGACTTTCTTGTTACAGTGTTCATTATCAACAGTTTCAGTATTTTCAGTAGGTCATATTGGTCCAACAGAATTAGCAGCTGTTAGTTTAGGTGCAATGATGGCAAATATTACAGGATATGCTACTATACAAGGATTGGCGTGCTGTTTAGATAGTTATTGTCCTGCTAGTTTTGGTGCTAAAAAATATACGTTAGTGGGGATTTATGTTCAAAAATGTACTGCATTAATAGTTACTGTTATGATACCAGTATTAATAGCATGGGTGTTTTTTGGTTATGATTTATTAACTTTAATTATTCCAGATAAAGACACAGCTCATTTATCTGCTGTTTATTTAAGAATTGTTGCTATCGGTATACCTGGATATATTGTATTCGAAGTTGGTAAAAGATTTTTACAAGCTCAAGGAATTTATAATGTTGGAGCTTATGTTTTGTCTTTTGCTGCTCCATCTAATTTGGTAATGAATATCTTGTTGGTAAAACATTTAGGTTATATTGGAGCTCCAATATCAGTAGCTATTAATTATTGGCTTATGGCGATAGGATTAGTTGTATCAACTATGTTTATCAAACCAGAAAATACTCCAACCGGTATAAATCCTAGAAGATGTTGGGGTGGTATAAATTTGAAACAGGCTTTTGAAGGTTGGGGCAATTTAGCATCATTAGCTATTCCAGGTTTAATTATGTTGGAAGCTGAATTTATAGCATTTGAAATATTAACATTAATGGCATCATATATAAACACCAAGTCATTAGCTGCACAATCAATAGGTACAACAATGGCATCATTAACTTATCAAGTTCCTTTTGCTATTGGAATTGCATCATCTTCTAGAATTGCTAACTTTTTAGGTGCTGGATTAGCTGATTCTGCTAAAGTAACTACTAAGGTTTCACTAGCATTTGGTGGAGTTATTTCAATTTTGAATTTTTTAGCATTGTATCTGTTTAGAAGACCAATTGCCAACGCTTTTACAAATGATCAAGAAGTCATAGACATCGTATTGGGTATAATGTGGCTTATTGCATTAATGCAAGTATCAGACGCATTAAATGCAAATTCAGCAGGATGTTTGAGAGGTCAAGGACAAACCAAAATTGGTGGGATAGTAAATTTGATTTCATATTATTTAATTGGTATACCACTTAGTGTATATTTATCATTTTATTCACCATGGAGAGGATCATTACATGGATTATGGATTGGGTGTACTGTTGCTTTAACTATTATTGGCGTTGTTCAAAGTTATTATGCTTTATTTGCTGATTTTAATAAATTATGTGATGATGCTAGACATAGAACTACTATTTCTGATGTATAGACAATTATTTATTTAGGGATTTAATCTTAATAGACGATTTTTTGGAGTTGAAGTTGTACATTCAAAATCGGTATATAGTAAATTATTTCTATGTAGAAAAATAGAGCTAGTGTCGTGTGTTTTTATTGTTTTTCCTGACAGTAAGCTTATATACACCGCTCCATTTCTTGCCAAAGTCATGTTTAATAGTGTTTCATGAGCTTTTCAATTTACACCGAGAGACCTAGGTAGATAAATGACACTATAAGCAAGTTCAAGAAGCATTATCAGTTTACCAAATGTGTAATAATAGTAAATGCTTTTTATTTATTAATATTTTAAATCAACTCTAGTTAATTTAGTTGACATTTTGAGCTTTACACGAACCAAATAACAAATTTTTTCCCCCTTAACAAAAATTCTCACTTTAAATTTAAAAATTATTTTTGGTTGCAAAACATATCAATTTTCCCACTTTTTTATTTACAACCAATTTTACAAAACAATCAATTTAAACAAACAATCACACTTTAATTATATCAAATATGTCTTTAAATTATACTGATTCAAATACAACTTATGCACTAATCATTTCTTTCATCGATTTATATTTTGAAGATAATCAAATTGATCAAACTACCCCAGAATCAAACTGCAACACTGTTTTAAGTGATATATCATTACCTACACCAGAATCAATTCAACAAACCAATGAAAAATTTAACCAAGAAAATTTAGACGAAGCTGAAAAAGAAGAAGAAGAAACTGGAGAAGAAGAAACTGGAGAAGAAGATACTGGAGAAGAAGATACTAAAGAAAAAGAAATTAAGGAAGAAGCTAAAGAAAAAGAAACTGGAGAAAAAGTTCAAGCAGTAATTGAAGAAGAAAGTGGAGAAGAAATAGAAGAAGATATTGAAGAAAAAGAAGCTTCTGAAAAGTATGCTCAAGCAACTATTGGTAGAAACTTTAACTTAACTCAAATTTGTAATGATGAAGAAGATCATTTAAAAAAGGTTGAAGAACAATTAGGAGAAGGAAAACAAGATTATGAAGATACAACATCTGATAAAAAATTTAAACATCCTTTTTCAGAAAGATGTAAAAAATTTTGTAAAAAACGCTTCCCATTTTTATTATCAAAAGAAACAGATGATCCAGAAGATATTTTAAAAGTGCTTTTCAAAACTCATCATAATATTACTATACCTGGTTATGAAAATTTGGATAACAAAAACCAACGTACTTTTGTTTTAAACAAAAAGGATTTTAAAAAAATGAATGACATTTTGAATAATATATATTCTCCAGATGCTGATGTTTCAAATGAAACTCAAAATAAAACTTCAAAAACCAACAAAGTCAAAAATGTCTTTAAAAAATTAAAATGTAAAAAAAGTGGTAAAAATTCAAAATCTAACATACCACCTCCAAAATCAATATTAAAAAATGCACAAAATATCAATTATTCATTAGAAAAAGAAAACTGCAAAGAAGCAGATAAAATTTCCTATGCTCAATTTTGGAATAAATTAAATGAAGATGAAGCTATCAATAAGAAGAGAGAAGATGATGATTATTATTTTACCCCAAGACTTGATCAAGTAAGAAGTTATTATCAATCAATCAATTAAAAATTTATGCTGCTTATAATTCAGGTTCCATCAATCATATTTTGAAAAATTTACAAATTCACAACTTCAAATAAGAATCAATTGGGCAATTCAAAATTTTAACGTGGTTAATATAAAAAAAGGTGTAATCAAGTAAACTAAAAATAAATGAAAAAAAAACTCAATATATATTGCATTAATACTAAAGATAGATTAAGATCTAACTTGAAAATAAAATATAAAAAAATATATTTAAAATTAATGATTAAAATTAAATATTACACTAGTTTGAACTAATAAGATTTCGTCGCGATGGAGAAAATTAATAGATTTTAGAGTAATAACAATGGTGGGAGTTGAAAGAAAGTTATCAAAAACAATAGGGATTAGAATGCATCAAGATTTAATATTGGATCAACATCAAATTATAATTTTTACTACAAAATATAAACATTAAAACTCATTAGCTAATTTCAAATAATTAAATATTATAAATCAAATTGGAAAACTTGGAATACATTTAGTCAAAGTCTGGCCAGCTTTTATTAAGTTACATTTTGGGAATTCAGTTAAATTGTATTATTTTAATTAACTTGTTATATAGCATAATAAACAATCTCTTTGAAAATTCTTCTATTGTAGCTTTCGAACTATTAAAACTCATTATTCGACCAACTTACCTGAAACAATTGACCATCAAGAAACTGTCAAAGCCAGTGCTCGGACTAGTTTGTGCCTGTTGTGCATTACTTTTTACGTCCCATAACGACACTTAGGTCGTTAGAAATCTGAAACATACGGTTTCACAAAAAAAATTAAGAAATTTATTATCTCATTACATTATAGCTAAAATAACTACTTCTTAAATTTCCATACCACAATCTATATACCTTCTTTTTCTTGTATGATTGATATTCAATGGATCACTTTAAAAAATGAACATGTTAATAATTTAAAAATTCACCATTTGTTTATATTGTAGCTTCTAAATAATCTAGTTTTAAATGTTTAACGAAATTCTAAATGAAATAAATGCAAATTTTCTTAAATTTGCAGACTTTAATCATAATATTAAAATAAGGAATATATTATAAATTAGTCGTGTTAATCCTTGGATCCTATTGATAGCTTCTTGAAGAATGAGTTAACTATTTCTTATTTAGTCTATTACAGTTAATTGAATATTAAATGGCTTCATACCCGTTAGAACTTTACACATTAGATCTTGTATACTGTATGTAAGATCAATTATAATCTTTTGTCTTTTAATTGTCTTATCAATAAAAAACTGTGGAAAATTTAAAGAAAGAGAGTGAGAGACACACACTCATAAAATAAATATACTACAAATTAAAACGGAATTATAATTAAATAAAAATGAATAATTAATAATTGAATTAGTAATCTAAATTTTCATTATATATTCAATTGAATCAAATCAACTCAAAGTTGAAAATATTTATTATTAATTCATTTAATTAAATAAATTCAATTCGTAATATGTCATATCCAATTAAATTATCACCACATTTCAAAACTAAATCCGGTAAAGATATTACAATTGGATTCGGAACTGGCACAAGATGGAAAAGACCTTTGTTAAAATCTGGTAAAAATTATAGTGAAGAATTAGTTGATCAAATATTATTAGCAATTGATTCTGGATTTAATCATATAGATACTGCTGAAGTTTATGAAACCCAAACATCTGTTGGTGAAGCTTTAAAAAGAACTAAAGTACCTAGAGAAGATTTATGGATTACTACTAAATATAATGGTGGCTTCAAAACTTTTAAAGCTCATAGTAAGTCAGGTAAGGATTCAATTGACAAAGCATTAAAAGAATTAGGTGTCGATTATATTGATTTATTTTTAATTCACTCTCCATTTTTCACTACTGAGTTAAGTCATGGTCATACTTTAGAAGACATTTGGAGAGATATAATTGAAGCTAAAAAAGAAGGTAAAATTAGAGAAATTGGAATTTCAAATGCTGCTATATCTCACTTGGAAAGATTATTCGCTGCTTCACCAAGTAAAGAATTCTATCCAGTAGTAAATCAAATTGAATTTCATCCTTTTTTACAAAATCAATCCAAAGATATCGTAAAGTATAGTCAAGATCATAATATTTTAGTTGAAGCCTTTTCACCTTTATCTCCAATTACCAAAGCTGAAACAAATAATCTTGAATCGAATTTGAAAAATTTGGCTGAAAAATATAATAAAACTGAAGCTCAAATCTTGTTGAGGTATACTTTACAAAAGGGAATATTACCAATTACAACATCTGCAAATGAAAATAGATTAAAACAATCTTTGGATTTATATAATTTTGAATTATCAAAAGAAGAAGTTGATGAAATTGATAAATTAGGACGTGAAAACCCATTTAGATTATTTTTCCATGAAGAATTTAAAGAATAAGAGTAATAGATATTGAGACATTTTATAGACAACTGAATAGACATAATCTTACTCTGGATTATTTTTATAGATCTTGAATTGCAAGTATATTTTTTTGCAACTAAACTTTAAATTAATCTCGGTTATAAGGTCTAAAAAAAACTTATAATTTCTCTTCACGATTTGAAACAACCCAAAAACTTCATGAAAAATGATCAACCAAAGTTTTCAAAATTAGATAAAAGAATAGGTACATTAGGTAAAGGAATTTCAGGTCAAGTTGATCTATACGAAACTAAAAATAAATTTGGATACGCAGTAAAAGTCTATTATCCAAAAGAGAACTATGAATCAAACAAAGAGTTCAAAATTAGAGTCCTACATGAATATAATATACTTTCCAAGTTAGATCATTGTAATATCATCAAACAATACAAATATGATGTACTGTTACTTGGATCAACTATTAAATTATACATGCCTGTTGGATCACCACATTTATATAAATTAGTGAGAAACCGAAATAATTTGGAACAAGATGAACTACTATGTATTTGGAAACAATTATGTCAAGGTATCAAATACTTGCATAGTGTAAATATCTGTCATCGAGATATTAAGTTGGAGAATATAATTTTTGATTCAGAGTATAAATTAATAAAAATTATAGATTTTGCAACTGCACAAGAAGTTGCACCAGATACTTTATCGATTGGGCTAGTTGGTTCAGAAAATTATGCAGCGCCAGAAACTTTTACAAGTTTGAAATACGATGGTAAAGCTTCAGATATTTGGTCACTTGGGATTATACTATACTATTTAATAAATAAAAAACTTCCATGGAAACTGGCTCAATGGAATGATTTAGATTTTAAACAATATCAAACTGCATTAAATGAAGAATCCAGCAATACAATACTATTCAATTTAGGTTTAGATGCAATAAAAGAGAGTCAACTTTTACAACCAGATCCAAATAAACGTGTATCTATATTTGACTTTGATTATTTTTCATGGTTTGAAAATATTCGGTTTTGTAATTCCATTCATTCATGTGGTTATAATCATAATCAAACTTTTAAATGAAATAAATAAACCATATATCATTGAGTATTAGACTTCTTCATCTTTAAAATTGACTTCTTTATTTCGATTCCTTGGGGTAGTTATCACGTGACTCTATTATGATTCAATTATTTTATGAAAAATATTTTTCGGTCTTTATAAGTAAACTTGATTCACTAACTTGGTTTACAATTTTCATTACCAGGAACAACCACTCATTAGAAATGTTGTCATCAACCATTCGTTCATTAAGGTCTCAAAGAACTACCACTACTACAGTAAAAGCCATAAGAAGTTATGCAGTTTCACCATCAGCACAAGCATTAGTTTCAAAATCAGTACAAGAAATTGATCCAGAAATGGCAGATATTTTAAATCAAGAAAGAATTAGACAAAAAAATTCAATTACTTTAATTCCTTCTGAAAATTTCACATCAAAAGCAGTAATGGATTTATTAGGTTCTGAAATGCAAAATAAATATTCTGAAGGTTATCCTGGTGAAAGATATTATGGAGGTAATGAAATTATTGATAAAGCTGAATCATTATGTCAAAAAAGAGCATTGGAAGCATTTGATTTAAACCCTGAAGAATGGGGCGTTAATGTACAACCATTATCTGGAGCGCCAGCTAATTTATACGCCTATTCTGCTATTTTAGATGTTGGTGATAGAATTATGGGTTTAGATTTACCTCATGGTGGTCATTTATCACATGGTTATCAAACAAATACTGCAAAAATTTCATTCATATCAAAATATTTCCAAACTATGCCTTATAGATTGAATGAAGAAACTGGTATAATAGATTATGATACTTTAGAAAAAAATGCTCAATTATTTAGACCAAAAGTTATAGTTGCTGGAGCTTCTGCATATTCAAGAATTATTGATTACAAGAGAATGAAACAAATTGCTGATAAAGTAGGTGCTTATTTATTATCAGATATGGCTCACATTTCAGGTTTAGTTTCTGCAGGAGTTACTGATTCACCATTTCCATATTCAGATATAGTTACAACAACAACTCATAAATCATTAAGAGGACCAAGAGGGTCTATGATATTCTTCAGAAAGGGAATTAGAAAAGTCACTAAAAAGGGTAAAGAAATTCCATATGATTTAGAAAGAAAGATTAATTTCTCAGTTTTCCCAGGTCATCAAGGTGGTCCACATAATCACACCATATCAGCATTAGCAGTAGCTTTGAAACAATGTTCAGAACCAGACTACAAGCAATATCAAAAGGATGTTATTGCAAATGCTAAACATTTCGCTGATGCGTTAGAATCAAAAGGATTTAAATTAGTTTCAGGAGGTACAGATACTCATTTAATTTTGGTAGATTTAAGATCAAAAAACATAGATGGAGCAAGAGTAGAAGCTGTATTGGAAAGAGCAAACATAGCAGCAAATAAAAACACAGTACCAGGAGATACAAGTGCATTATTTCCATCAGGATTAAGAGTTGGAACACCAGCAATGACAACTAGAGGGTTTGGATTTGATGAATTTTCAAAAGTTGCTGATTTTATTGAAAGAGCTGTTAATATTTCTATAAATTTAAAATCTCAAGAACAAGGTAAAGTACCTAAAGAATTATTAGCAAATTTCAAAAAATTAGCTGATGAAAGTAATGAAGTTAAAGAATTAGGTGATGATGTTGCTAAATGGGCTAGTCAATATCCTGTCCCAGGTGATAAATTGTAAATAGGGTTGTAAATTAAAAAAAAGAATATAATGATACATTTCCATAATTGTTTTGATCTGTAACAACAATTTTGTTTGTAAGTAAGCAGAATTTCTGCATATAAGCAGTCAATGCTAATTTTTAAATATCAACAACTGAAAGCAGTATAATGAATACTAATTCAAACCTAACTCTTGTGTCAAGACGGAGCAAATAATCTAGCAAGGGAAGGGCTAACAGTTCTCTAAAGTTTTATCTTTAATTTTTTGGAACATTAAAAATCTTTACATTCCGGTATACAATTCTGACGTTCCGCGTAAATTGCATTATTATTTTTCAAACAAGATATCAAGATACATTTACAACCAAATTCATAATTCATATCATCATAACATCATAAAAGCAATAAATGATTACCAATAGGTATCTAGAAGATATAAGACGAACGTCATCACTAATATCATGGTCCAAAAATGGTTATATAGTATACGCACCACCAACAAAGACATCAGAACATAATTTATTATTAACTTATCTCGAAAATATTAATGGACATTCATGGCAATTAGCAAAACCACAATTAATAGATGTTAAACTAGAGAATAACTTTCTACCTGAGATATCATTAGTATCATGGAGTACCTTAAGTACAGATTTAGCAGTATCTGATGTATATGGAAATTTTTATATATTTTTAGCAGGTGTTGGATTATTAGAAAGTAAAGATTCTTCACCAAGTTATGAATTAACTTCATATAATCATATGGAAATGATATATAGAGATATTATAAATCAAGATATAAAATCAAATATTAATCCTGGAGCATCAATTATATCTTTTAAATGGTTAAATATTGAAAAACCACAAATACTAAATAAACCTGCAACTTTAGTTAATTTAGATCAATCTTATTTATATACTTATGGAGTCAATCAATTTGCATCGAATTCTATATCACATCCTATACCTACTAAACAAGCTTGTATTGCATTAAGAAGAAATGGAATATTGATGTTATATTATCAAGGTGAACATAAAGTTGAATATCATAAGATATCTATAAATTTAGGAGAAAACTTATTAATTAATAAAGCATCAATTGGATTTACTAATGAAAAACAAATTATAATAACGGTATGGGATTCTTTGAGTGATGATATAATAACTTTTTCATTAGTAATAGATTGGGGATTTTTAGTAGAATCAGCAAAAAGACAAAAAATGGATCCTCATTATCATACACCAAAAGAAAATCAAACATTACCTTCATTATCATTAACCAAAATACATCAAATGAAACCATTGCCTCAATTCCCGGGAGGAGAATTATCAATGCCATTATCTTCAATAGATATTATTACTGCATCAATTGAAAAAGAATCAAAATTAAGTATACTAATAAGTTATGGAGAACTGATGATATATAGATATGAGGTAGTAAATGTAAATGATATCATATCAGATGCATTTAAGAATTCAATTATTCAACAACAACAACAACAAAAACCACTACAGACTATACAATTAATGGACACAATCAAAAGATGTGGTAAAATACAATCAATAGTTAGTGGTCCATCTGATTTACATTCTTTAATACTATATGAAGATGGACATATCGATTTAATAGACACAAAAACATGGAAGATAGTAGGTGATGATGATCAATTCCCACCGAACAATATATCAACAATATTTGATGTAGGTTTTGAATTTCCAAAACTAGAATCAAAAACAAATCATCTAATACTAGCAGTTTCACCAAATATGACATCAATTGTATATACAGACATATATAGTGATAATAATTACCTTACCATCAAACCAGTTGAAAAAATCAAAAATGCAGGTTTTCAACCAAAAGAATTATTTGCAACATCAGTTGCTTTTGCATATAGACATGCGTATGCCTGTTATACAAACACATGTTCAGATGATTTAATAATATTAATTCAATCAGAAGTACAACGACTTAAAGATTTATTATTAAAACAAATGCCTAAAAATTTAGAAAATATAGATTTAATATTAAAAAAATTTGTTGAATCAATAATAAGTGAAGCTCATAAATCTATAAATTTTCAATTAGATGCATTTAGTAAAGAATCAGTAGATAAATTATTATCAAATCCTCCATTACAAAAATTATTATCATTACAATTAATTTTAGGTGAATCTCAAAATAATTCAATAATGACTGATATAGCATGGATAATTTTAAATTTAAGAAGTACAAATTTTGGTATAATGTTTTCATTATCAAGTATATATAGACAAATATCTAAAAAGAAACCAAGTGAAGATACTTTACAAGATTCAATTACAAGAGGTGAATGTATATTATCATTAATTGGAAATATTAAATGGTTAATTGATTTAATGGCTTTTTTAAATCAAGAATTATTACAATTAACATATTCTAAAAATAATCCACAAAAAAAGAATTCATCAATTGTATTACCTATTTTATTAAGTAAAGTTCCAAGATTATTTTTAATGTATGCCATATCATCAATGAGTAAAACTCATGAAATTTTAAAAAAATTACATAAAGATTTATCAGAAAGTAATAAATTATTTTCTCCAATGAAAGAATCACTTAATAGATATTTTACAATATGTAATAATGCACCATTAAATTTAAATTTATTTGAAACTTATTTAAGAGAATGTGATGCATTAATTTCAAAAGAATTTGCAACTAGATTAGCAACTAAAGAAAAAGGTTTTTCATTAAAATTAGAACAAAAATTTGTTTGTCATGGAGAAATAATTGATGATGTAAAAGATATTGCCAAGATGTTAATTGATAGATATTCAATGAATATAACAAGAGAAATGAAATTATCGGAATTATATTTTTATAATACAGATTGGTTAGATATTGGTCAAAAAAAGAAAAACTCAATAATGAAAGAAAATTCATCTATAATAGTAATTGATCAAGAGCATTCCAAACAAGTAATACAAAGACTCAAGACAGAAGAAGGATTAGTTGATGCATTAAGAAAAGTATATATTTATGATGATAAGATAAGAAGATGTACTAGATGTAGATCTATTTCATTGGTTACTGATCCATTAGTATTTGATGCCCCCGTAACTATTGGTTTATGGACAATGGTATTTCAAAGAACTTGTATATGTGGTAATACTTGGGTAAATATCAAATAAATAAAAATATTTTAATCAAATTCATCAATTACTTCTACTTTTGGTTGTATGTTTTTATAATTTTCTCCAAATCTCACTCTATCATAAGATTGTTTTAATTTTAATTCCAAATTATTATAACCAGGTATTAATTGATTTTCTTCCTTTTCATTTAAATTTTCTAATATTTTTAATTTCAAATTCCATAATTCAGTATTGGTTATATTTGAATTTATAATTTCTGTACTTAAAATTTCCGTTAAGTCATTAAATAAATATTCTTTAGTCCATTCATAATTTGACATAACTAGTAACAATGAAAATAATTTATATTTCGATAATTTAGTTAATTTGTTTGGATTTAATTTTGGTTTTATATCTTGCCAAACAATTTGAGATTTTATAAAATTGAGTAAAATGGGAAAATACAAATCATCAAATAATGGTAAATTAACTATAACATCTGTAAAAATTGAATTATTTAAATCGTAAATTAAGTTTGGATTTGATTGACTTAATAATTTTATTTCTATTTCATCTTTATCGAATATTTTAATTAAGTTATAAGTTTTGAAATATTCAAATTTTTCAAGTATTTGTTTATAGTTATGATATGACATTTTAGAAATTAAATTAATTACTTCTAAATTAACTATTTCTTCAAATTTATCATCTTTATATAATTTCAATATGTCAATTAATGAATCATTTATATCTAGTTTGGTTTTTATTAATGTTATATAAAATTGAATTAGTAGTATTAAAAATAATGGATCATTGTTGAATTTCAAGATTTCTTTACTATTGAATTGATATAATGTTGGATCCACATTTTGTAAATTTGATGACAATATTATGAATAAATCTAAATAACGAGATAATAATATAGAATCATTCAGTTGTTTAATTGATTTAAATAAATCCATTGATCCATTTAATAAATAAATTTCATTTTGATTTAAATTTGATATTAATTTTTCAATTGAATTTAATATAGGTATAGTAGTAGATTTATTGAAAAATAATTCAATTATATTTTTCAATATATTATTTGTTTCAATAAATTGTTTAGTTTCATTTTGATGTAAATTTAAATTAATTATATTTAAACATAATATAGTTATAATTGATGAATTTGAATACAAATGTTCTAAAATAAATTCTTTAGGATAATATTCCAATATTTGATTAAAATCTAAAAATGATAATATTTTATTTAATAATTTAATTAATATACCAGATGGATCAATTACTGAATATTCTAAACTTTGTAAAATCTGGTTAATGATTGTAATAAATTTAATTAAATTATCATTATTTAGTATAATTTCTTTTGTTAATATTAAAATATAATCATCAATTAATTTTTCATTAATGGGATTTTTAGTTTCATAACTATTATTAAGATCATTTAAAACTTTACTTGAAATTTCATCTTCCATAATGTAAATTTGATTAATTCTAAAATATTAAAGTTCTGGGGTTGTAATTGTATATGATTTATTGGATTTATTAATAATTAAATTCAAAATTAGATTAAATAGAATATTTATCGTAATTTCATATCTCAGTTGCTACCAATTAATTTTTGATTTGAATTTATAAATCTATGTACAACATTTAAAATAATTATTTAAATATATAAAATATAGTAAGTACATAATAATAAAATCAATTTCCCTAACTAACTAACTTAAAGATTTTACAAAATTTGAAAAAATATGATGATGTTGCAAAATCTTGGCCAAATTTTAGATTATGAATTAATGAATTAATGAAAAAAAAAAAAAGCTTGGTATATTTCATTTCAATTAAAGACCATGTGGGCTATTACATTCAATAATTAAAATAGCAAGATGATTTAAAGAGTTTTATATTTGATCCCTGAAATTTATTGGCCAAGAATAAATTGTTTAAAATAAGAAAACTTAATAATTCTTTCCATCGTAAATATTAAAATTCTTAATAATTGTTTCATAATTGTATAATAATTATAGAATTTGAAACTTAAAACCTAAAAAAATTAACCATCATCATCTTCTTCTTCAATACTTGATAAATTTTAAAATTTTGGTAGCAATTTACTGACATAAATAAATAATATTTAAAAATTAAGACAATAGAAAAAGGCTAAAAATATTTTAAAATTATAAAAGATGTATAATGAGTTAAACATTTCTTTTTCACGCTGCAATGGTTCATAACTATCTAAGAATTATATTGATTATATTATGATGTAGTTATCTTACTTTAACTTTGTGAATTATAAATTGAAAAATTTAATTTATCAATATAAAAGCCGTTCATTATTCTCCAGATATTATATTAAAAAAGATATTTTGATTTTATCATATCAACTAATTAGAGATTCAAATTATATACATATATATATATATATATTGAAACGAATTTCTTATAACAGGTTAAATCAAATCAAAAAACCTTTTTAAATTTTTTTTCATTTAGTGAACTTTTTTATTAATTTAGGTAATAAAAGTTCATTTTTTTTAATTTAGTGGAAAATAAAGTCGTTAAATAGTGAAGATATAACAAATAGAGATGGTTCGTCAATTGGTCAGAAAAATGAAATTCAAAGCAGTGAAAAACAATCGGATCTCACAAAGAATCAATTAAGTAGATCAAATACTATTGATTTAGAACCTTATAGATTATCAATAAAAGATGTTTCTAAATTATTTGAAACTGATTTGAAATTAGGTTTAACTGATTCTCAAGCTAATGCTAATTTACATGAATTTGGTAAGAATAATTTAGGTAAAGAAGAAACCATTTCTATCACTAAAATTTTAGCTCATCAAATTTTTAATGCTATGATCTTAGTTTTAATTATTTCAATGATTATTGCTTTAGCTATTAGAGATTGGATTTCTGGTGGTGTTATTGGGTTTGTTATTGGTATAAATATTTTTGTTGGATTTATTCAAGAATTTAAAGCTGAAAAAACAATGGGTTCATTAAGAAATTTAAGTTCACCAGAAGCAAGAGTTGTTAGAAATGGTATTGAACAAAATATTGATGCTGAAGAAGTTGTACCTGGTGATATTGTTCATATTAAAGTTGGTGATACTGTTCCTGCAGATTTAAGATTAATTGAAAATTTAAATTTAGAAACTGATGAAGCAATGTTAACTGGTGAATCTTTACCAATTGCAAAAGATTGTGAAGAAATTTTTATAACTGATGAACCAATTCCAGTTGGTGATAGGATTAATATGGCTTTTAGTTCATCTATTGTTGCCAAAGGTAGAGGTGTTGGTATTGTTGTTGCTACTGCATTAGATACAGAAATTGGTAGAATTGCAGATTCTTTAAAGAACAGTGATGATAAATTAATTGTTAAAGTTGAAAAACCAAGTTTTAAAAATTATTTTTATGCATTTTGGAAATCAACTTTAAATATTATTTTAAATGTTTTAGGTACAAATGTTGGTACCCCATTACAAAGAAGATTAGCTTGGCTAGCTATTTTATTATTTTGGGTTGCTGTTATATTTGCAATTGTTGTTATGGGTTCACAAAAAATGAATGTTAATAGAAATGTTGCAATTTATGCAATTTGTGTTGCATTATCAATGATTCCTTCTTCATTAATTGTTGTTTTAACTATTACAATGGCTATTGGTGCTCAAGTTATGGTTACAAAAAATGTTATTGTACGTAAATTAGATTCATTAGAAGCTTTAGGTGGTATAAATGATATTTGTTCAGATAAAACTGGTACTTTAACTTTAGGTAAAATGATTGCTAAAAAAGTTTGGATTCCAAATTTTGGTAGTTTTAATGTTGAAAATTCAAATGAACCATATAATCATACTATTGGTGAAGTTAAATTTAATGAAATGTCACCAAAACAAATTGATGATGTTGATGAAGAAATCAGTTTTAGTTCAGATTTACCAAATGATTCAAATCTTTATTTGAAAAATTGGTTAGATACTGCTACTTTAGCTAATATTGCAAAAGTTAAAGAAGTTGATGGTGAATGGGAAGCTCATGGAGATCCAACTGAAATTGCTATAAATGTATTTACAAGAAGATTAAATTATGAAAGAGATGATTTAATTTCTAATAATAAATTAAATTTTATTTCTGAATTTCCATTTGATTCATCAATTAAAAGAATGTCAACTATTTATGAAAATCCAAATGGTGAAACTAGAATTTATTCAAAAGGAGCAGTGGAAAGAGTTTTAGATATATGTTCAAATTGGTATCAAGATGATAAATTAATTCCCCTTACTGAAGATTCAATTCAATTAATTGAAGCTAATATGAATTCATTATCATCACAAGGTCTAAGAGTTTTAGCATTTGCTTCAAAAGAATTAAATCCAACCAAAACAGATTTAAATTCAAGAGATCAAGTTGAAGCTGGTTTAACATTTTTGGGGTTAATTGGTATATATGATCCACCAAGACCAGAATCTCGTAAATCAGTTCAATTGTGTCATCATGCAGGTATAAATGTCCATATGTTAACTGGTGATCATCCAGGAACTGCAAGAGCAATAGCTCAAGAAGTTGGTATTTTACCTCATAATTTATATCATTATGCTAAAGAAGTTGTCCAAGCTATGGTTATGACTGCAAATGAATTTGATTCTTTAACAGATGAACAAATTGATGAATTACCAGTATTACCTTTAGTTATTGCACGTTGTGCACCACAAACTAAAGTTCGTATGATTGAAGCATTACATAGAAGAAAAAAATTCGTTGCAATGACAGGTGATGGAGTTAATGATTCCCCATCATTAAAAAAAGCAGATGTTGGTATAGCTATGGGTATGAATGGATCAGATGTTGCAAAAGATGCTTCTGATATTATATTAACTGATGATAATTTTGCATCAATTTTGAATGCTATAAAAGAAGGTAGAAGAATGTCATCAAATATTCAAAAATTTGTATTACAATTATTAGCTGAAAATGTAGCACAAGCTATATATTTAATGGTTGGTTTAGTATTTATGGATAATGATGGTTTTTCAGTTTTTCCCTTAGCACCAGTTGAAGTATTATGGATTATTGTTGTTACTTCATGTTTCCCAGCTATGGGATTAGGTCAAGAAAAAGCTCAACATGATATTTTGGATTTACCACCAAATAAAACAATTTTTACAAAAGAAGTAATGATTGATATGTTTGCTTATGGAATATGGATGGCTGCTTGTTGTTTAGCCGTATTTGTTATTGTTGTTTATGGAGCTGGTGATGGTCAATTAGGATCTGATTGTAATACTACTTCAGGTACAAATTGTAATTTAGTTTTCAGAGGTAGAGCAGCTGCATTTTCTGCTTTTACTTGGTGTGCATTATTATTAGCTTGGGAATGTATTCATTTAAGATTATCATTTTTTAAAATGCATCCAGAATCTGAAAAATCTTGGGTTATGCAATTAATTGGAGATTTATGGGAAAATCAATTTTTATTTTGGTCAATTATTGGAGGATTTGTTTCAGTTTTTCCAGTCATTTTTATTCCAGTTATAAATGATATTGTATTTCAACATAAACCAATTGGTTGGGAATTTGGATTAGCTATTGGATTTACTATTTTATTTTTATTAGGTGCTGAATTGTGGAAATGGATGAAAAGAATTTATTTGAGGAAATTTATTTCCAAATCTTCTGGTTTAGTTGAAGCTAATGATCCATTTGAACAATATGAAACTTTTAGTAAGAATAATACTTTAGTTGTTTAAAATTTATTTATTGGTGTTGCTATTACTTTTTTAATTAATTGCATTTTTATAATTTTGATGAAAGGTTTTTTTGGGTTAGAGTCCCTTGTTATCCATGATGGATTTTCCTTTTAATTTGTTTAGAGAGTTTTTTGTATATTCATTTTATTACTTTATTTAGATTGTTAACTTTTATGTAATTCTATTCTTAAGCGAGTCAATTCTATTTTGTTTCTAATTATTTGCGATAAATTTGCAGCAAATTTTGACAAAAAATGTCAAACAATAATCTAACAATTTTCCACAACAAACCCCCACAAATCAAAAAAACTCCGAGTACTCATGATTGGTTACTCATACTGCTGAAAATTCATTAGTTTAATTCGCGACTAATTAAATGATATTAGCTGCAAGATTATGTGATTATATGGTACTTTAGTTAAGTTCGTAAATGGCTGCAAGTTTATGTTAAAATGAATTACGTTAGAGATTTCAAGAATCTGATTTTAAAGGGATTTTTCAAAACTTAGATAGGGACTTGTTAGGGGTTTGAGATTTTTCTTGATGGTCTTATTATCAAATCCGTGCTCTACTAGAAACAGTTCAAAAAGTCTTGTCAAGTGTATACTATCTATAGTTGAATTTCCCATTTTTGATTTACCGCTTAGATAATTGATTTATTGATAATAAATTAAATTTTGAAACTTACTGATAAGATAAAATTAACGCGGAGTATTACACAACCATTTAGTCAGTTCTACAAAAAATCACAAGATGAATGAAATCACAAAACTTGAAACGTTGATATATGATAATAATTAGTTTGAGGGCAATCAATAATTACATATATGATATCATTGTGTGTTTCACTTTTAGTTTAAATATATGTGTTCCCCAACTTTCAGAATTATATAATATAATATTATTTATTATCAAAAATAAAACAATATTGATCAATACTTGCAAAAGTTGACTTAGACTCAAAAAATAATATCTTATTATTTTAATTTAATTAATATTATTTATCTTATCACACAATTATTGATTTTTTCAAACTGAAAAGATACGGCTTTCGATTTTGATTATGGACCTGTGGGGTTTGAAAACTTATATAAATCTAATATGATAAGGACCATATGCCAAATATTGAATATTTTTAAGTCAATCAATTTTTAGCTACTCAATTGATAATAACAACCAAATAATTATAAACAATGGCTATTCAATACGAACAATTAATGGGAAGAGAAGATTTCGCTGGATTTGAAGATCCAGAAAAATTCCAAAAATGGGTCCCAAAATTAGATGCTTATAGACAAAAATTAGCAGATGGTGTTGAACCATACAAGGTTGAATTACCAAAACCAATTGACGAATTAGTTAAAGATCAATTTAATGCAAAAGATTATATTTATGATTCTGGAATTTTCAGTGCAAGAGAATTAGAAATTACTGATTCAAAAGGTGCTCAAATTTTAAGTGAAATTGCAAGTGGTAATTGGACTTGTGTTGAAGTTTTAAAAGCTTTTGCTAAAAGAGCTGCTGTTGCTCATCAATTAACGAATTGTTTACATGAAATTTTAATTGAAGATGGATTAAAAAGAGCTCAAGAATTAGATGAATATTATGCTAAAAATGGTAAAACTATTGGTCCGTTACATGGTTTACCAGTTTCTGTTAAAGAACATTATAATTTCAAAGGTAGAGTTACTCATGGTGGTTATGTTAGTTTAGTTGAAGCTGTTACTGAAGAACATGGTGTAACTAATCAAGTTTTAGAAAATTTAGGTGTTGTCTTTTATGTAAGAACTGCACAACCTCAATGTCTTATGCATTTATGTGGTGATAATAATTATACTGGCACAACTAGAAATGCTAATAATTTATCATTGTCAAGTGGTGGTTCCTCATCAGGTGAAGGTGCTTTAGTTACTTTAGGTGGTTCAGTATTTGGTATTGGTTCCGATATTGGAGGATCAATTAGATCACCATCTGCTATGTCAGGTTGTGTTGGTTTAAGACCAAGTAATAATAGAGTTTCATTAGCAGGTTGTGTTTCAGGTTTTGGTGGTCATGATTCTATTTTATGTGTTTGTGGTCCAATGGCAAGATCAGTTGATGATTTAGAATTAATGATGAAAAATTATGTTAATGTTGGTAAACCATGGAATTTAGATGCTGTTACAATTCCTTTACCTTGGAGAGATGTTGCTAAACCAAAACCAGAAGATTTAACTGTTGCTGTTATTAGAGATGATGGATTAGTTAGAGTTTCACCACCAATTAGAAGAGGTTTAGAGTATACTGTTGAAAAATTAAGAGCTGCTGGTGTTAAAATTGTTGAATTCGATCCACCACATACTAAATTAGCTTATGAAACTATTAATAATATGTATACTTGTGATGGTAATGATTATCAAAGAGAAATTTTAGGATCAACTGGTGAAAGATTAGCTAAATTAACTAAATGGTATTTGAATTTTGGTAAAGGTAAAAAACATTATACATCAGCTGAAAATAGAGTTTTAAATGCTGATAGAGATTTCTTAAGAACAGAGTATACTAAATATTTTGTTGAAAATAAAGTTGATTTAATTTTAATGCCAGTTTATAATTCAGTTGCTCCACATTGTGAAGAAATTTACAATTGGTCATATACTACATTATTTAATATTTTAGATATTCCAGCAGTTGCATTCCAAACTGGATTAAAACAAGATCCAGAAATTGATGTTTGGACTGAAGAAGATCAAAAATATCAATATAGATCAGAATTAGAACAAATGGAAAATGAAATGTATAAACCAGAAGAATTTAAAGGTGCTCCAATCGGGTTACAACTTGGTGCCCAAAGATATCACGATGAAGAATTAGTCGCTGCTGCTAAAACTATTATTGATGATATTTTAAAAGTTGATTTATTCAAAAAATAAATCTAATAGTCCTTCTGGATTTAGAATTAAAATAACAGACTCAACTCCTATCTCACATTAATATTGTATCAATATAATTTTTATATTAACTTATTTATGAATAAATATTTGACTCGTAATTAGACATTGATTTTGAATTTTTGTAAGCACTTAATATGAACTGTTTTAGGTGGCTGCAAAATATAATTAAGAAACTTTTCTTGATTGATTCACAAATATCAAATTAAAAAATTGATACTGAGTCAGTGGAGAAAGTGAAAAACTGGTAGAGGTTAGTCAAGAGTCACTTTATTTCACTTGTTAAGTCTTGAATCGAGGATGAGAGATTTTCGATTGACAGCATGTTAGAAATTTCAAAAATGGGTCGATCGATTAACCGGTAAGAAAAAAGCTATAATCACTCCCCACATTCTACTGATCAACAACACTTAAGAGTTGAAATTCATGGGTTTTGCTTCCCGTATTTTATAAATCTTGGATTATTATTTAAGGGTTTTGTGTTTAATTTGGTTGTTTCAAAGTTACTTCTTTGCCCATTCGCTTGTATACATCATCGAATATTCAGGTCAAAGATGAACAAGCCAAACAATTCCATCTAGACTAGATTATGAACTTGTATCACTATATTTCAATTCCTTAAATTACTTATTAAAAAAAGGAGGTTATGGTTATCAATTAATCAAAAATTGATCAAATTTTCTTATCTATTAAATATTATTATAATAAGTAATTTAATGCGTAATCTTTATAAATTTATCAAAACAATTAATTTGTGTAATTAATCAATCAAGCTTATAAATTTATTATCAATGAAATCCAAAGCCCAATAATCTAGACGGAATTATAAAATATAAAAAATCTGATTTTTCATTATGTAATTGTTTTATATATCTAAACTCATTCAATTTTAAGTTGAATTATCATCATAAAAATTCAATCAATAACTCAGATGCCAGAACCAGTTCAATTTGAATCATTATTAACAACAGAAGATTTTCAAGGTTATGAAGATCCAGAAAAATTTAAAACATTTGTACCAAAATTAGAAGCATATAGAAAAAAACTAAATGATGGATTAATAGAAGAATATAAAGTAGAATTACCAAAACCAATTGAAGAATTAATTGATGAACAATTTAATGCTAAAAAGTATCTTTATGAATCCGGTGCATTAAGTGAAAAAGAATTAGAAATCACTGATTCAAAAGGGTCCAAAATATTAAAAGAAATAGCTGATGGTAATTGGAGTTGTGTTGAAGTATTAAAAGCTTTTGCTCATAGAACTGTTATCGCACATCAATTGACTAATTGTGCTTTAGATTTATTTATTGAAGATGGGTTAAAAAGAGCTCAAGAATTGGATGATTATTATGCTAAAAATGGCAAGACAATTGGTCCATTACATGGATTGCCTGTCTCATTAAAAGAACATTATAATTTTAGAGGCAGAGTTACTCATGGTTGTTACGTAAAATTAGTTGAGAATGTTACTGATGAACATTGTGCTACACTTCAAGTCTTGGAAGATTTGGGGTCAATTTTTTATGTAAGAACTTCACAACCTCAATGTCTAATGCATTTATGTGGTAATAACAATTATAATGGTCTTACTAGAAATCCATACAACTTATTATTATCAAGTGGTGGTTCATCATCTGGAGAAGGTTCTTTGATTACATTAGGTGGATCAGTATTTGGTATCGGATCAGATATTGGTGGATCAATTAGATCACCAGCTGCATTTTCGGGTTGTATTGGATTAAGACCAAGTAATCATAGAGTTTCATTGAAAGGATGTGTCGCAGCAGCAGCAGGTCAAGAATCAATTGTGGTTGTTTTTGGTCCATTAGCTAGATCAGTTGATGATATTGAATTAATGATGAAAACTTTTATTAATGTTGGTCAACCTTGGAATTATGATCAAGCTATTCCTCGTATACCTTGGCAAGAAGTTTCTAAACCAAAACCTGGAGATTTAACTGTTGCTGTTATTAGAGATGATGGGTTAGTTAGAGTTTCACCACCAATTAGAAGAGGTCTTGAAGAAACAGTTAAGAAATTGAAAGCAGCAGGTGTCAAAGTAGTTGAATTTACTCCACCACATACAAAATTAGCTTATGATACAATTAATAAAATGTATAATTGTGATGGTAATAAGAATCAAAGAGAATATTTAGCTGCTTCGGGTGAACCTTTAACTAAATTGACAAAATGGTTTTTGAATTTTGGAGATGGTAAAAAACATTATACCAGCGCAGAAAATAGAGCATTAAATGTCGATAGAGAATTTATAAGACATGCATATCATGATTATTTTGTGGAAAATAAAATTGATTTTATTTTGACTCCTGCTTATAACAATGTTGCTCCCCAACAAGAAGAAGTTTATAATTGGTCATATACTGCAATGTATAATATTTTAGATTTACCAACATTAGCTTTCCAAACAGGATTATTCCAAGATCCTGAAATTGATGTTTGGACTGAAGAAGATAAAAATTACGAGTACAGATCTGACTTAGAAAGATTAGAGAATGAAAATTATCTACCTGAAAAATTCAAAGGTGCTCCAATTGGTTTACAATTAAGTGCAAGAAGATATCATGATGAAGAGTTACTTGCAGGTGCTAAAACTATTATTGATGATATTTTAAAAGTTGACTTATTTGGACCTTAAATAGAACTAGAGTATTAGATTTCAATGACACGTATTTATATGACTTTTAGACTAATCAAAGTTCGTAGACATGTTAATTATGAGACTTATTATATTGAACGGAATTTGATTGCCTTACTTAGTAATAATCAGATGCGCTTAATTCCAAATCTGAATTTTGATTCAAAAATAAAACACAAAACTCAAGCGGTTAATTTGACAAAAAATTTGGCCCCACAGTTCAAAAGTTTGAAATAATTTTGTCGATGTTTCATGAACTGAATTATCTCATTTCAAAATATCATTTTTTTGTAATAAAATATGTCAAAAATATCTGATCCACAACCATCTGCTAGTAATTTTTAAAAGAAGGAAGACTGAGTCCGTAATATCAAGTTTGGTTCTTACTATATTTTGATTAATATAATAATTAAGATTATCAAAGATTACTAATCCTTTTTTGTGTAACGTCAATTTATTATCAATTTTTCAACTTTTATAAATAGAGCTTCAAATAATAAATTGTCAAAATCTTGAACCATTGTATAAACGACTGATATTAATCATAGGATCAATTACTTTCAAGTTTCGTATTCCAATCACCAATGTCATTTGAATCATTTTTGACTAAAGAACATTTTCAAGGATATGAAGATCCTAAAAAATTCAAAGAATATGAACCAAAATTGGAGGCTTATAGAAAAGATTTAGAAGATAATATATTAGATGAATACAAGATAGACCTACCAAAATCAAGAGATGAATTAATTAAAGAACAATTCAATCCAGTTGAATATTTATATTCTCAAAAATTGTTAACACCTGAAGAATTTGAAATCACTGATACTCCAGCTTTTCAAATAGTTAAAAACATATCAGATAAAAAATGGACAGCAGTACAAGTATTTAAAGCTTTTGCTCATAGAGGTACTATTGCTCATCAATTTACAAATTGTGCATTCCAATTATTCCCAAAAGAAGGTTTAGAAAGAGCAAAACAATTGGATGAATATCAAGCCAAGAATGGTAAACTTATTGGTCCATTACACGGTTTACCAGTATCAATTAAAGAACAAGCTAATTTCAAAGGTAAAGTAACTCATGGGGGTTATGTTGGACTCATTGATAATGTAACTGAAAAACATGGTGCAAGTAACCAAATTTTAGAAAATTTAGGTGCTGTGTTTTATGTAAGAACTTCACAACCACAAACATTGATGCATTTAGATTCAGGTAATAACTTTACAGGATTCACTAAAAATCCATTCAATTTATTACTATCAAGTGGTGGTTCATCTTCAGGTGAAGGTGCTATAGTTGGATTTGGTGGTACATCTTTAGGTGTTGGATCAGATATTGGAGGATCAGTAAGAGCACCAGCTGCTTATTCAGGATGTCACGGATTTAGACCATCAACAAGAAGATTAGGTACATTAGGTGGTGTTTCATCAGGAGCTGGACAAGAGTCAGTACCTGCTGTATATGGACCATTTGCAAGATCTATGGATGATATTGAATTATATATGAAATCTTGTATAAATGATGGTAAACCTTGGGATTTAGATGCTTGGGCTATTTATGCTCCATGGAGAGAAGTTCCATTACCAAAACCAGAAGATATAACAATTGCAGTAATGAGGGATGATGGATTAGTTAGAGTCTCACCACCTATTAGACGTGGTATTGAAGAAACAGTCAAGAAATTAAAAGAAGCAGGTGTCAGAATTATAGAATTTAGCCCATTAAATACAAAATTAGCTTATGAAACAGTCAACAAAATGTATTCATGTGATGGAAATTATATGCAAAAAGAATTACTTTCAAAATCAGGGGAGCCATTACAAAAATTGACTAAATGGGCATTAAACTATGGTGATGGTGCAAAAGAATATACATCAACCGAAAATAGAAAATTAAATGTTACTAGAGATAATTTAAGAAATGAATATAATGATTATATGGTTGAAAATAAAGTTGATTTTATATTATCACCAACTTATAATAATGTTGCTCCACATTCTAGTGAAGTTTATAATTGGTCATATACTGCATTATTTAATATTTTAGACTTACCTACATTAGCTTTCCAGACTGGATTATTTCAAGATCCTGAAGTTGATGTATGGACTGAAGATGATAAGAACTACGAATACAGATCAGATTTAGAAAAATTGGAAAATGAAAACTATAAAGCTGAAGAATTTATTGGTGCTCCAATTGGTTTACAATTGACTGGTAGAAGATATAGAGATGAAGAAGTTGTTGCCGCTGGTAAATTAATTGTAAATGATATTTTGAAAGTAGACTTATTAAATCATTAAATAGAATTTATTTAGATCAACACGTTTAAGTTTTGGACCCTGCTCAAAAAATCTATTGATTCAAAGTCAAATAAAGTACTTCTAAGCGTCCTAATGTAAGATCTTATCTTATCGTAAATTGAAAGCCGCACTGAATAATACAAATTTAGGAATAGCTATTCCGCTTAATTTATATTCAGAACTTTTGGATCAATACAAGCGAAAATTTAATATATAAACAACACAATTCTGGAAACCCAATCCCCTGAGTTTGTATAAAAACAATATTTGCTTAATTAATTTGATAATCATCCAATTTTCCAAGTTAAGCAAGTTATAATATCTCAATTTACATTAAAAAATGACAGATTTCGAACATGATGAATTATTCAAATCATTATTAATAAAAGACGACTTAAAAGGCTATGAAGATCCAGAGAAATTCAAGAAATGGATTCCAAAAATTGAAAAATATAGAAAAGTTTTAGCTGATGCAATTCCTCAAAATCTAACTATAGAATTACCCAAGCCAAGAGATGAATTAATTAAAGATGAATTCAATTCAATTGATTATTTATATACTGAAAAGATATTAAGTTCTGAAGAATTTGAATATACTGATTCACCTGCATCAACGATATTATCAAATATAGCATCAGGAAAATGGACATCAACTGAAGTATTTAAAGCTTTTGCACATAGAGCAATTATTGCACATCAATTTACAAATTGTGCAGTTGAATTATTCATAGGTGAAGGTATAAAGAAAGCTGGAGAATTAGATGAATACTACAATAAAAATGGTAAGACTGTTGGGCCATTGCATGGTTTACCTATATCATTAAAAGAACATATTGGATTAAAAGGTAGAATTGGTCATTTAGGTTTAGTTTCATTGTTGGATAATATAATGGAAGATGATGCAATAACTGCGAAAGTTTTATCTAAATTAGGAGCTATATTTTATATAAGAACAAATGAACCACAAGCATTATTACATTTGGATTCAGGAAACAATATTACAGGATTAACTAAATGTCCATACAACTTATTATTATCAAGTGGTGGATCATCATCAGGAGAAGGTGCATTGGTTTCATTTGGTGGATCAGTTATAGGTATTGGATCGGATATTGGAGGATCAATTAGATCACCGGCTGCATTTTCAGGATGTCATGGGTTTAGACCATCATCAAGAAGAATTTCAGCTAGGGGTTGTGTAGGTAATAATGAAGATGGACAGGAATCTGTTGTTGGAGTTATTGGACCATTAGCTAGATCAATTGAAGATATTAATATATTTATGAAATTTTACATTAATGAAGGTAACCCTTGGAATTTGGACCCGTGGAGTTTACCTATTAGATGGAGAGAAGTTGAAGTACCTAAATTATCGAACTTAAAAATTGCAGTATTGAGAGATGACGGAGTGTGTAGAGTTACACCACCTATAAGAAGAGGGTTAGATACAGTTGTTAATAAGTTGAAACTAGCAGGAGTTGAGATTGTTGAATTTGCACCAAAAAATGGTCAATTAGCTTATGATACAGCAATGACATTATATAACGCCGATGGAAATCAAGCATTACGTGAATTATTCTCAGCAAGTGGAGAACCATTATCAAGATTAACTAAATGGTATTTGAACGTAGGTGAAGGTGCAAAAGAATTGACAGTTACAGAAAATAGAAGACTTAACTCAGTAAGAGATAGATTAAGAGAAGAATATAATGACTTTTTATTTGAAAACAAAATAGATTTTATATTAGGTCCAGCTTATAATAACGTTGCACCACAATCGGAAGATGTCTTTAATGAATCATACACTTTAATTTACAATTTGTTGGATTTCCCAAGTATGGTGTTCCAAACTGGATTATTCCAAGATCCCGAGATTGATGTTTGGACCAAAGAAGATGAAACCTATGAATATAAAACTGGATTAGAAGAATTAGAGAATAAGAATTATAAACCTGAAAAATTTAAAGGAGCTCCAATAGCTTTACAATTAAGTGGTAGAAGATATTTTGACGAAGAAGTTGTTGCTGGTTCAAAAGCTATAGTTGATTTATTAGAAGTTGATTTATTGAAACATTGATTGGTTTTTTTTAATTAGAATTTAGTGTAGTCTGCTTTCATCGATTTGACATGATCAGGAATAAAACTATTTAATTGACTTAAAATCAAAGTAGGGAATTTTAGTTTTAGTGTTTTAGTGCAAAGAGACTTTACTAATGAAGCCAGAGGAAATTAATTAATTTTGTAATTTTGTATTAGAGTTTATATATTTGTTCAAGCATTACTTGACTAGCAAAAAAATATAGCAAAGTTATAATTTGTCGAATTAAACTTTCTATTAATAGTGAAAGAAAAAAAAAATTGCGCCCCAGAAGTGTAATTTCATCCCGTCCTATTTTCATCCCAAGCTTTATTTCCTTAAACAAGAACAAGCGAAGTTTCAATGAGGATAAAAAAATACCTCGTACTAGAAGAAATTAGACTAATTTAGTGTATGGCGTTTGAAATTTTGTTTCAAAGTTCAGAAACACCATTAGATCTTGTTTCATTTTTTCCAAAAATTGCGGTATGAGACAAATATTTGAGACAACGATCTACTCAGACTAAAACTTACAGAACTATCTGAAGTAGAAATTTATTGGTAAAATGTTGTAAATTTAATATCTGGATCCGTCGTTACGTTGTTCATCTAGATCATTTCTCAAAATAGAGCGTCTTATTAACTTTACTTAAATTCCTCATCATTTAATGACTTCGGGTTGTACACACTTTTTTACATTCATAGTTCCTTATCGTGGCCAAAAAGGGTTCAAAATCCGGAAATCTGTGTCAACTAAAGGATATGATTAACTTGTAGTATCTAACTTAATAAGATAATACTTTATATTTAAACTTTTATTACATAACTTGATATACATTCATATTCCAAATTTTTTTAATTGTTTTTAAAATTTTAGCAATAAAGTTTTACTTCGTTTAAATTTATGACATAAGTTTAGTTACATTATTATTACATATTGTACTAACTATCTATATACTATATAGCATTTTTCTAAAGTTTTGTGTAATTGAAACGTTGATTTCGTATTTTTTTTTAATTGTGGATTCCATTAGATCTTTATAGATAATTCAATTGTAATGATATAATCTTGGTCTCATATCATTACTTGATTTATTTGATTATACTGAAGATCACATAAACTTATTGAACCTATCTCTGATTTTTTGCAGGATAATCTAACTTCTTGAATTTTAACCATTTTTTAAGTTAGCAAGGTTGATATTCATCATCAAGAATTTAAAAATTTTAAACTTCATGTTGTCATAATTTCTACATTATCATAGAATTTAATCTATATTATAATATATCTTTTAATTTTGGTAATTATATAATAAATTAAAAAATAAAAATAAAAAAAAAACTTTAATTCTTATGTCATTAATCTTAAAAATTTAAAATCTATCACTAAACTTTAAATTTATTTATTATTATTCTTTATTTTATAATTAAATGATTTTATGGAAATCAGACCAATTTTATAACAGAAAGGCATGGGGTTTTAATATGATTTGTATACTTGGGATATTCAAAAAAGTAAATCAATATAAAAACAATTGAATTTTATCATGTTTCTTCAAATTCAATCAAATTTACTTCATATCATTATATTCCATAGTATCATATTACATAATTAATTATACAAATATATTACAAATGTTAGATATCATAAGATTTCAACAATATTTATCTAATGATAAATATCTTAATGAGTCATTGTTAAGTGAAAAAGAATTTAATTTAACTTCATTAACACCAAATACTTTATTATTAAAATTATCAAAAGGTTCAATTACTTCATTAGAATTAACTACAGCTTTTATAAAGAAATATATGATTATAAATAATTTAATAACTATGGATCCAATAATAAAAACTCATATAACAAATGCATTAGCTCAAGCAAGATTTTTAGATTGTTATTATAAAGCTACAAATTCATTAATGGGTCCATTACATGGTTTACCAATAAATGATGATCAATTATTACAATTTCAAATTAATTATGGTATAGATGATGAAGAAATAGATTCATTGGGTCATATAAGGTTAAATATGGCTACTTATTTAAATTTATTAGGTAATGATGATATTTTTTCAAATGATTCTTATTCAAAAAATTATACTCATTCTTCATCAAGTTCAAGTTTATCTTCATTAAATAGTTCATCATTAATTTCATCAAGATCTTCATCAAATGATACTACACCTTTAATGTCACCAGGGATTAAATCAATAAACTATGATTAAGTATACAAATAAGCTAGATGCTAATTTATCTTTAATTCTTTGGTGGTTATAGTTTCTTTTCATTTCAATTGATTCTATTTTCTTACTTACATAATTTTCACAGGTTTGAAAATACTTAATAATTTTATAGACTTTTCATTTAATTAAAATAAACATTATCTATTTTAAAAATTCTAATTTTCAAAAACATCTACATATTACCTTTATTTGCATGTCGCTTGCTTCTTTCAATCATCTTTCAATTAAGGTAGAAAATTACTTACGGGAACTAACTCACAATGTCAAAATTAAACCTTACCTGACCTCCCCTAATAGTTGAATCTATGATCAAAAAATGATATTTATAACTACTGGTACCAGATTCGAATTAAATAATTGATCGTCATCCTACTTGCATAATTAAAGTAAACTTAAAAATTTGGGTTATTTTTCCAATTTATATAATTTTTCAAAATTTGCCATAAAATAAAAAATGGAAATATGTTTTGTTTAAAAAACTTTATTTTTTAAATTTTTTTTTTTCTTTTATTGATTTAATTTTTATTTTAATTTTTTATTTGTGTAATAATATTTATTAATTCATATTTCCATTTCCCTTTTTTAATAAATAACAATAAGAACTCTAAATAATAATATAAAGTATTATTAAAACATCAAGAGAAGATTATATAATTTAATTAAAATCATATAAGAAAGAATTGCCGGAATAGAAGCAATCAAAAGATAAATTTTTGATTTATAATAGTTTATAAAAGTTCGTCTTCTTGTTTTATTTCATCCCATATTTCCATACACTCTTATTCCAATTTTTAAAATTCCATTTATATTGTTTTACAAATATCCATTACAAGTTTTACTTTGCTAATGCATTTCCATCAAGTCAATCAAATAATTGGTATTCTTCCATTTTGTTTGTTTTTTTCTTGTTATTTTACTAAAACATTTTTCCATTACTGATCAAATGAATTGACAGATTTCCTACTTTTGCTTAAATTTACTAAATATAACCAGAATTTATTAAAGTTTTAGTTCTTTTTTTAGTGTTGACTATATTAATCTAAACTTTAAAATTGGATTTATAAAACTTGTTAAATCTTCATAACCAGTTTTTGCAAGTAGTCAAATTTCCATATAGCAATAATAAATAAATTTACGGATTTTATCATTGCAAAGAAATATTTACAATTGAGCTTATTGACTACTTACTTTGCAAGACTAACTCACAAAAGCATTTTTCCATTTAAACCAGATCACAATAGATATATTCAGTCGGTTATGAAAAATAATAGACAGTAGTTTTGTTAATCTGATAATTTGTTATTATCTTAACTATGGTGGAAGTACTATGCTCTAAATTTCCGTTATCTTATTAATTCATAGCAATATGTTTCTGTTTGTTGAATTTCCGTAAGATTTATCTCATTTACAGTTCGGTTCAGTAATCACCTTCTTTGCTTCTTGAAGAATGTTTTACGCATTAATCAGTATATAGTCTCAATCATAAGTCTATAGCTGTGCTCTATTAAACAAAGAGCCCTAAAATCTAATAGTTGCAATATTTATTAATTTTGTATGTGATGTCGTAATTCTTCAAAAATGTCATGAAATATGAAAATATGAAACAAATAATGACAATTTCTAAATTAGTTAATAATTGATTTATTCAATGAATCTTTTGATACTCATAGTGTTTTCATATCTATAAGTTACTACAACAACGATAACATGGATTACGATGAAGACGAATTAGATTATAATTCTCAAGATGAGTTGGATCAATTTGATGAAGATAAATTAACTAATGAAGAGTACGAATTATTACATGATATACTACCACAATTAAAATCAAAATTAAAAAATTATAATGATGATATCTCAGATTTCGACTTGAAAGAAGCATTATATTACAATTATTTTGAACTTGATCCATCAATTGAAGAAATTAAATCAAAATTCAAGAGTATGTATAATTTACTTTCAACCAATTTTTCAATTTGATCATCTTCTTAAATTCTTTTTTTTTTTTTTTGTATAAAATGGCAAACGAAAAAATCAGAGATCAATTTTGAAATCATTTAATATTTTACAACCAACTTTTAAAAGAAATCAAAAATTAATGTCAAAACTAGCTCAATTGGCAAAACAAAGAGCATTACAGAGGGAGAAAGAACTACAGAATAACAATAGTCAGTCAGAATCACAAGATTCAATACTACCGTCAAAACCACAATCCAAATTAGCAGCACTTGCTAAAGCAAGATCATCAAATCAATCATTACAATCAAATGTATCAAACACTTCCATTTTAGATCAATTTTTATCAAATCCTTCTTCTTCAACCGTAACTACAGAACAACCAAGATCATCGATACTAAAGTTTAAAAGAAAGAATATAGACTCTAAAGAAAAATCTCCAAGTTCAGTACCATTATCAACTGAAACAGAAAAACCAACTACTACACCAAAGACAGAACAATCAGAACCACATATCTCATTTGATATATCATTAGATGACTCCATAATACTAAATACACCAAAAGATAACGTATCAATCTTTTGGTTTCAAAATACAGAGAATGATTTGAAAAGAAGAAGGTTGGAAAATTCAATATATGACTCAATTACTAACATTCCATCAGAAAAAATTAACAAAACTAAAGAAAGTTTTAATAAACCATCACCGGATGATGAAATATTAAATGCTCAAAAACAAGCTTTTGATGGAGTTGGAAAATTATCAATAAAAGAAGAAACTATAGAACCTACTTCTCAATCAATAACTCAATCACAGTCCAAAAATAAGGTTAAAGATTCTAAACCATTCAAGAAACTAGATATCAATGATGAACTCACCATCAACCCTAATAATAATAAACCACATAAATCATTCGTAGTCATAGGTCATGTAGATGCTGGAAAATCTACATTAATGGGAAGATTATTATTTGATTATGGAATAGTTGATGCTAAAACTGTAAATAAATTAGTTAAAGAAAGTGAAAAAATTGGTAAAGGATCATTTGCATTAGCTTGGATAATGGATCAAACAGAAGAAGAAAGAAATCATGGAGTTACAGTAGATATATGTGCAACAGATTTTGAAGTAAAACTGAATAGATTCACTGCAATTGATGCACCGGGTCATAAAGACTTTGTACCACAAATGATTGGTGGTGTTTCAAATGCTGATTTTGCTTTGTTGGTGATTGATTCAATTACTGGAGAGTTTGAAGCTGGATTTGCATTAGATGGACAAACTAAAGAACATACTATTTTAGCTAAAAATTTAGGTATTGAGAAAATCTGTGTAGTTGTTAATAAAATGGATAAGGAAGATTGGAATGAAAACAGATTTGATGCAATAAAGACACAAATGTTGGAATTTTTAACAAGTGATGATATAGATTTTAAACCTGAACAAATTACTTTCATACCAATTTCTGGATTAACAGGTAATAATGTTGTCAAAAGAGATAATTCCATAGAATCTTTCAAATGGTATACAGGTCCAACATTAGGTCAATATCTTGAAACTGTACCAATAGAGAAAAACTCCAATAATTTGTTAGATGAACCATTTTATTTTTCAGTTCATGATGTATATAAAGACAAAGGTGAATTAAAAGTTATAGGTAAAATTACAAATGGTGTTATACAAGCAGGTGAAACAGTTATTGCATATCCAAGTGAAGAAGCATTACAAGTTCAATCAATAAAATCAGGTCAAAATTTAGTTGATTTTGCCATATCGGGTGATTTGGTCACATTATTATTTAAAGTAAATCAATTATCAAATGAATCAATAGATAGTATAAGAATTGGTGATATTTTAACTAAAACTAATTCACAAATCAAAACCACTAAAAATTTCACAGCATCATTACATTTATTTAACATGGATAAACCATTATTAGTAGGCATGCCATTTGTATTATTCAGAAATAGTAGTCAAGTACCAGCAAGAATCACCAAAATTATAGATATAACAAATTCAACAAAGAAGAAGAAAAAAATTTTACATTTAACTTCTAAACAAACAGCAATTGTTGAAATTGAAATTGATGGATCATTACCACTTACAACTTACGAAGATAATTCAAAATTGGGTAGGATAGTTATAAGGAGAGAAGGACAAACAATCGGAGCTGGGAAAGTTACTAATATTTAGCATTATTAAGTTATTATAGATTTATTCTAACATAGAATTGCTTGTAGTATTAAATACTATATAAATTTTAAGAAATCAAATATAACAATCAAACACCCCAACGAGACGCAAAGCAAAATAATATAATTCGAACCCCTTTTATTCTTTCTCGTAGCTTGATTCAAAGTCTTATTACCTTGTTTAACCTCGTATTCAACTTGAGAATGATTATCTATAAGATTATTAATAGTCTCACCTTGTTCTTGAATTTTTAAATTTAATTCATTTTGAATATTTATAATATCTAGTATTGAATGTTGAATATTATCTACTTTTTTTAATTGGGTTGATTTATGTTCTAATAATTCTTTATTTTCTAATTCTAATTGTTGGATTTGTTCTGATGAAAATTGTGGTGGTTGTGATTCATTTTCAATTTCAAATTTTTGATTTATTTCATCTAATTTTATAAATTGTGAGTCTTCTATTTGATTAAAATTTAGCTCATCATCATCATCTATATTTTGAAAATTTAAAGAATTGATTTGTTTTTCACGAGTTTGTCTCTTTCGCTGAATTTTTTCGAATTTCTTGGAGATATTAAATAATGATTCACTTAAAAAACGAATTATAGTCGATCTATGTTCTGCTATTGTATTAAAATACTGTTCTTGATCGTCATCTCCCCCAAAAAACCACGTTCTTCTTTTTTGTATATTTGAAGCAATTAATTCTTTTCTTTTCTTTTCGTAATTCTCCAAGAAGCTGATTTTTTTAAAACATTGTTGAATTTTAAAATTAAAATCTTCATCTATTTTATCTTTTAGTTGTGAATTATTTTGAGTTTCTGATATTGATAGATATTCCTTTTGGATTTCAATTATGAATTGTGTTAAATTTGACAATGTATCATATAATTCTATACATTCTTTTATAAATGTATCTTTAATTATGTATGGTGGTTGTTGATTTTGTTGATGATTTTGAATTTGATGTAGTTTAGTTTTATTTTGTGGTTCTGATTGTATTATATCTATGCATTGATTAAATAATGGAGTCAAGTCAGTCATTATTATATGATCATAATTTTTATAATTAATGTTGCTTGAATATTTAATAACTTGATACTGGAAATGTAAAATTCAAATCGATGTCAGTTTTTATTGACTTGTCGTGTCAATATATTATTTTGTGTCATATAATTTTATCTTGATCTCTCATCTCATTAATAATTTATTGACATATTTATTTTTCAACCCATTATCGAAGGATCAAATCAAAAACTAACACATAATGGCCAAAAAACAATCATCTAAACCTACCAAAGCTCCAGCTAAAGAGACAAAACCAGTGGAGGAACTTTCACAGTTACCATCATCATCAGAATCAGAATCAGAAAATGAAGTATTAGATGAAGAAGTATATGATTTATCATCAGATGAAGATGAAGAAGAAGAACCACAACATATGGAATCAAGTGATGAAGAAGAAATAGAAATTCCACAAAACACAACATCATCAGGTCATAAAGTCAATAAAGTAATAAAACCAAAAGATACAGATTCATCCAAGACAAAAAAATCATCATCATCATCAACTAGTGGAGTAATATATATAGGTAGATTACCATCAGGATTTCAAGAATCAGAATTAAAAACATATTTCAAACAATTTGGAGATATTAAGAATTTAAAATTATCAAGAAATAAAAAAACAGGAAAATCAAAACATTATGCATATATAGAATTTGAATCATCAGAAGTTGCCAAAATAGCAGCAGATACAATGAATAATTACCTTTTAAATAATCATTTAATACGTTGTGAATATGTTGCTAACCCACATAAAGATGTTTTCAAAGGTTCGAATAAAAAATTTAAAATTATACCTATTCATAAAATTGCAAAAGCTAAACATGATAATAAAAAGACAAAAGAAGAATGGGAAAGAATTACTATTAAATTTGAGGAATCCAAACAAAAGAAAGTTGATGAATTAAAAGCTAAAGGTATAGAGTTTAATTTAGCTGAAATATTGTCATAGGAAAATTCATGTATAATACGTTTTGATCACCTATCAAATTTGATTTGTTCTACTAGTTAACTAATAAAGTTTGATTCACATACTGACGACAAATCGTTTATCTTGAGCAACTATTGTTAATTTTTCTACAGCCAAAATTACAAAATTTATTCTTTCGAATGAGTAAGAGGTAGAGTAGAACCCGTCCAACGATGTGATCATAATATATATAAAGACTATCAATATATAAAAGACTAGCTTTTCGTGACTAGTATGTATTTTATATATCTTTAACTATAATTATTTCGTAAAATTAAATCGAAGTCAATTTATAACCAAATCGAGTAAAAAAATCCCAATATCGTTAAATCCGTTATGTAGTATTATTATCTAAATTTGATGAATTTAAGAAGTAAATGAGTTTAGCCTATCTAAAAATCAAATCAGATCAAATCAATTCAGATCAGATGATTGAAAAATAAGATTCTATCTTAATAAACTTTGATCAATGAGGAGGGATTGTTTGTTAATGAATAGTATTTAATTGTTGAATTACATATTAAAATTACTTTTGTGGTTGTGAAAATAAATTTACGACTTGCTTGTGATAAAAAAACATAGAGATCAATAAATAATTATCGAACCACTTTCATACTAACATTAATCGTTAATTCAAGTAGAAATAAGTCCCCCCTCTTATCAACAAGATCTCAAATTAGAATATTTATATAAATTTTCTTATTAACATTATCGTTAGAAAATAATAAATAATTTTTAATCTTTTAAATACAAAATTGAAAAATTTATTCCAAAAAATAATTTTAACAAAGAGAACAAAATTAAAAAAGATAATACAAAAAAAAAAAAAAAGTCAAATCTTTTTGAACTCATTTTTTTGTTTTTTCCAAAAGTTTTTAATTATAAAAAGATAAACAACAATTGTGATATAATTATTCAATATTTTGCTATAAATCTTATTTTATATTCAACTTTCATTTCAGAACTAACTTATAATTCATATTTAATATTTAAAAATGTCAACTGTTAAAGTATACGATTACGAAGAAATTGCAAAACATACTACTCATGATGATGTTTGGGTTGTTATAAATGGGAAAGTATATAATGTATCATCATATATTGATGAACATCCAGGTGGTGAAGAAGTTATATTAGATTGTGCTGGAACTGATGCTACAGAAGCTTTTGAAGATATTGGACATTCAGATGAAGCTCATGAAATTTTAGAAAAATTATTTATTGGAAATTTAAAAGGTGCAAAACCTGTAGAAACTAAAAGAGCTCAATCTTATTCTACTCAAGAAAGTTCAGTTAATTTCCCATTAATTGCAGTTGTTGTATTTTTAATTGCTTTTGGTGCTTATTATTATAAAACTAATTTTTAAAAAGACTTAAAGAAGAAGAAGAAGAAAAAGAATTTATAGAAATATAGATTTTTATTTAATGAGAACATTGTTATTTATTAATATTAAAGTTTGGTTTTAATTCAATTTGATTTCTTGTTCATCTTTTCTATAATTGAAGTGATTGATAGAGAACAATATTTGAATATACTGGACGTGTTCTTAAATGCGGCTAATTGTTTTGATCTATCGACTTAGAGTCGTACAAAATTTGGATGTTTTTTTATTTTTTAACGATTACATACTAGAATAATTATACGACAAAATTCATGGATACGAACCAATGTTATGAAGACCCTGTTTAATCATTCTTTTCTTGTATATTCCTCTCTTGTATTGATTTATTTTATTTCTTCTACTGTATTTATTCTTTTTAAGCTTTACATGCTCAATAACGGAACATATAGGATTTACCCAGTTATCAACTTGTTATCAGTTAGTAAGCAAATTTCACTCTGTTATTATTGGTTAAAATTAAAAATAAGCGCGTTTTTTTCATTTACCAAAAACAATGAAATTATCAATCACAATTGTTAGGGAGGTTAATCTTGAATCTGAGAAATCAACATTACTGAAACGGTTTATATTAAAATCTAAGAGAGGAGCAGCTATAAAAGGAAATAAATTTGTTGGTCAATCAGTTTTAGAGAAATTGATAAAAATTTAATTCAAGATCAAATTTCAGTGTTGAAATATGGTTGATAACTTTTACAACAAGCATTATACGGGATATTGCACTAATTGCAAAAGATATTTTGGTTAGATGATGTACTAGCACCTAATATTTATATTGATGGTTTAACAACGGTTAATCAAGAAAATATATCTGAATGTTTAGATGGTATTGGGTGATCACTGGCATAAAGTAAATGAATTGGAATAAGAAAAAAATGGTATCATAACTGCTGGATTGCAAACATTATTAGCTGAATACAATTTTTGCTGAGTAAATTAGAATATACTAGAAGGTTTCAAGAAATTTAATAGGGAGATTAGAATTTAGAGGTCAAACTGCTTCAATATACCCCATAAATGTTGGAATTATATTTATGTCAAATTTTACATTTATTCTATGTTTAACTCGAATTTTTGTTGACCAAATGCGAGATTTTCAAGGCCAATTAGTAACCACGTAATTATAATTTTCCCATTTTTTGAAATTAAAGTGAAACCTGATAGAGTGGAGAAATTCTTTCAACGACTAACAATTGAAGAAGGTTTTCATAGACTAAAACATCGTTGGTTCAGGAAGTCAAAGTTACATACAAATTAATCAAAATTGTAAATTTTTGGATAATGTTAAAAAAAATTGATTTCTGTTGGAAAAGAATTCGTTAGAGGCTAAGTTAATAAGAGAATTGATGAGCTTCCTTAAAGAATGCTTAATTTTATTAAATTATGTTATTTTTCAAAAAAAATTATACTCACAAATTCAAAGGTTCTAATAGATAGTATTTAAGATTCAGACAAAATCATCGAATTTGATTTGCTTTATTATTATGTCAATTATGGTAGATTAAACAAGCAAATTTGCAACGGCTAATTTCAACGAGTACATAATGAAAAATAGGTCTTAGTAGCTGCTATAGTTGTAAAATGAAAATACAAGTTATTGGAGAAATATGATCAAAATTTAAAAATTTTCATAAATTTGCATTTAATCTATTCAAAGTTCTTTTAGACATTGAAGTTCAATCGATTAAAAGCTACAATAGAAATAAAGTTGATTGAGTAGAAAGTATATAATAAAATAAAATAATATAAATCAGTTGTTTACAATAATAAAAATTCCAAGTTGGCCAGGCTGGGGATTCTCCTTAATGATAAATTTCCAATTATGATTATATTTATTTAATTATTTTAATTTTAGCTAATTTTGAGTTTGGGATGGTAGGTTGTTGTAGTAAATGTTTATAATTTTTTGATTGTTTGATATTTAATATATTTTTTGGTTCTATTATGATTTGATTGTTCCATGTTGTATGCTGATACTATAAGTTTTACATTTTTAACGTCTTACTATTTTGACTTTAAGCTTTTTGTCTTCTATGTTAATCCAGTGACTATCATTTTTGCGAATTATTTATCTTCAAAACTAATACTCCATTATTGTTGTTAACCAGTAACAATTAATAAATTTTTTTATATATATCTTTCATTCGTTTGTTGATTCTTCTTAATTGATAAATCAGTAACAATTAATAAATTTTTTTTATTTTCCATTCGTTTGTAAATACTACTTGATTGATAAACCGGTGACAATTAATAAATTTTTTTCATTCATCTTCCATCCGTTTGGCAATACCTCTTAATTGATAAAATTTTGACAATTGATAACATTTCTTTTTCCAACTTCCATCTTTTTCTTAATACCTCTTAATTGATAAACCTGTAACAATTTATAACATTTCTTTATCCATCTTCCATCTGTTTGTTAATACCTCTTAATTGATAAACCAGCAACAATTAATAATTTATTTTTATCTATCTTCCATCTGTTTGTTAATACCTCTAAGTTTTTAAATCAATAACAGTTAATAAAATTTCTCCACTTAATATCCATTTAGTTGATGATTCATTTTTAATGTTAAACCAGTAACTTTCAATATATTTAAAAAAAATTAACAACAAGTGTAAAAAAATGTAAAAAAGTGTAAAAAAGTGTAAAAAATAAGTGTAAAAAATCATCAAAATATAAAATGTATTGATGGAAGTTAAATTCTAAGTCCCCTGAATTCTTAATGAATTGATTGATAATATGTTCTGACTTGATCAAGTCTTGGTGTAAAATAGTAATCTTGTTCTTCTCTTTCATATTTTAAAGCTTGTTCGTCATTTAAGTTTTTTAAAAATTCATCAATAGAAATTTCATCAGCTTTTTTGCAATTTTCAATTTCAATTGAATAATTATCATTTTGGGTGGTTTTAATAATTGGAACCAAATTTTTTTCTGCTCTTAATCTTCTTTTTTTTGATCTTTTGTCTTTGAATTTTTTGTAATAGTTGGAAATTTTGGTTTTTAAATTAACTTTTCCATCTTTAGGTGGGTAATATTCATTTAAAATTTGATGCATTTTTTTAAAATCCTTTTTGTTTAATACAAAAGTACGTTTGTTATTATTATCAGATGTTTCATAACCTGGTGTAGTAATATTGTGATGAGTTTTTAAAAGTACGTTTAAAATATCTTCTGGTTCATCTGTTTCTTTTGATAATAAAAATGGTAAATGTTTTTTGCAAAAATTTTTAATTTTTTCTAATTTTGATGAGTTGAAATCTCCATACCATGTGTCTCCAGAAATATCATAAATTGATGTATTTGATACGTTTTGGTGAAATGAACTTTTATATTCATCAAATTTTGAAAAAGCTGTAATTTCACTTGAATTATTTTCTGCTTCTAAAAATTCAGTTAATTCGTTTTCTAAAATATTTAATTGGGTAAAGACTTCAATAATATCGATTTTTTGATTGATTGATTCTGGTGAAGGTAATGATTTATTACTTGAAACAGTATTAGTGTTAGATAATGTATTATTTTTTTCCTTTTGGTGATTTTTTGAATGTTGGTTAAAAAAAGTAGTTTTTGGTGCATCAGCTCCAGTGAAATCGACTAAATTTGAAGACATAATTGATAAAGTTGATTGATAAAATTGTTTGCTTTGATTGATTAAATTGTTTGTTTAAATTGATTGTTTTGTAAAATTGGTTGTAAATAAAAAGTGGGAAAATTGATATGTTTTGCAACCAAAAATTATTCTTAAATTTAAGGTGAGAATTTTTGTTAAGGGGCAAAATATTTGTTATTTAGTAAGTGTGAAACTCAAAATGTCAGCAAACCTTAATTAATATATAATATAGAATATAGCCTATAAGCTACAAGTTTATAAGCAATACAGATCTATTCCGTATGAGACCATTACAAGACTATCTTATAAGAGGATGACTTTCTGCAAAAAGATTCTTTTGATATAGCGAGTAGTTTAATTGTTTTTATATTACTAAAACTATAAATTTCTAATTACAATACGATTATTTTTAGTAAATATGATTTTCATACAATTTTCAACCTACAAATCACCTATGAACATTTAGCAATCTTCTGCATTCTTTAATCAACATCTTCCATATTTGAGACATCAGCTGGTTCTTCAGTTGAAGCAGTTGTAGTTTCTTCTGGTTTGGCTTCAGTATCTTCATCATCTTCATCAATATTTAAACCTAATGCAATTAATCTGTTGATTCTATGAGCAAAATTTGAAGGATCATCTAATGAGAAACCTGATGATAATAAAGCAGTATCAAATAATAAAGTAGTTAAGTCTTTAACGGTTTTATCTTCTGGACCATCTTTTTCAACTTTAACTTTTAATTCTTGTACAATTGGTGAGGTAGTTGATAATTCTAAAGTCTTCTTAGATGACATATAACTTGACATAGTTGAATCTCTTAAAGCTTGAGCTTTCATAATTCTTTCCATATTAGCTGACCAACCAAATTGACCAGTTCTAATAGCAGCTGGTGAATCTTTTAAAGTATTTGAAACAACAACTTTTTCAACTTGATCACCTAAGATTTCTTTAACAGCTTTAGTTAATGGTTCGAAATCTTTGATATCAGCTTCTCTCTTGGTTTTTTCTTCTTCTGATTCTTCTAATTCATAATCTTTTGTGACATCAACTAATTTTTTATCTTCAAATTCTTTTAATTGAGTCATAGCATATTCATCAATTGGATCAACCATGAATAAAACTTCAAAGTTTTTAGCCTTCAATGCATCTAAGAATGGGGATTTTTCTAAGGCTTTAATTGATTCACCAGTAATGTAGTAAATATTTTTTTGATGTGGTTGCATTCTAGTTACATAATCTTGTAATGATGTCATTTCTTCAGTTGATTTAGTTGAGTAGTATCTTAATAATTTAGCTAATGCTTGTCTATTTTGACTATCTTCATGAATACCTAATTTAATATTTTTTGAGAATGCACTATAAAATTTTTCAAATTGTTCTTGATCTTCTGAAATTTCATTGAAAGTTTCAATCATTTTTTTAACAATATTTTTTCTAATAACTTTTAAAATTTTGTTTTGTTGTAACATTTCTCTTGATAAATTTAATGGTAAATCTTCTGAATCAACAACACCTCTAATGAATGATAACCATTCTGGAATTAATTCTTCGGCATCATCAGTAATGAAAACACGACGAACATATAATTTAATATTGTTTTTCTTCTTTTTTGATTCAAAAGCATCAAATGGAGCTCTTTTTGGAACGAATAAGATAGCTCTAAATTCTAATTGACCTTCAACTGAGAAATGTTTAACAGCTAATGGATCTTCCCAATCATTTGAAATTGATTTATAGAAAGCATTATATTCTTCTTGAGTAATATCTTGAGGATTTCTAGTCCATAATGGTTTAGTTTTATTTAATTCTTCAGTTTCAGTAACTTCTTCTTTAACTTTTTTAGTTTTTTCCTTCTTGTCACCTTCTTCTTCTCCATCTTTAACTTCTTCTAATTTTGGTTTTTTATCGTCGCCTTCTTCAACTTGTTTATCTTCGTCTTCAGTTAAGGTTTCATCAACTGGGATTTCTTTTTCAACTTCTTTAGTGACAACTAATTGAATTGGGTAAGCAACGAATTCAGAATGTTTTTTAACAACTTCTTTAATTCTTTTTTCTTCTAAATATTCTAATTGATCTTCTTTTAAGAATAATCTTAACATGGTACCACGACCTAATCTTGGACCAGATTCATCTAAAGTAACAGTGAATTTACCACCTGCATTAGATTCCCAAATATATTGTTCATCATCATTATGTTTTGAAATAACTTGAACATGATCAGCAACTAAGAATAATGAGTAGAAACCAACACCGAATTGACCAATCATAGAAACATCAGCTCCAGCACTTAAAGCTTCCATAAATGATTTGGTACCTGATTTAGCAATAGTACCTAAATTATTAACTAAATCAGCTTTTGTCATACCAATACCTGAATCTCTAATTTCTAAAACTTTTTGACCTGGTTGTGGGATAATTCTAATGAATAATTCTGGTTCAGTTTCTAATTGTGATGGATCACTTAATGCTTGATATCTAATTTTATCTAATGCATCAGAAGCATTTGAAATTAATTCTCTTAAAAAGATTTCTTTATTTGAATAAACTGTATTAATAATTAAAGACATCAACTGAGAAATCTCAGCTGTGAATTCATGAGTTTCAACTTTTGAATCAGACATTTTGATATAATTGTTTTATTATGGATCAATTGATGAAAAAAATGTAGTTTATTTTGAATTGCCAAAAATTTTTTATAAATAAAAATAATGGAAGTTTTTCAATTTAATTTATATTTATGTACTCTGTAAATTTTTCACGCAGCATTTAAACTATGTAAGTATTCAAAGAATATTCTATGTTATTCTATTAAATAAATAATTAATTTTTTCTCTTAGTGAGGTTTTTATTCGAACGAGAAATGATTTAAAATGGAGTAAAATTTAGTACGAAGTTAGTGGCAAAGAAAATTGTAGTCCATGTGGTAGCTTTACTTAATTGAAAAATTTGAATCATGTATTTTGTTAAGTATGAGGTTTCAGATAATACTAAAATATATGAGAATGATCTAGAAATTGTCTCAATTGCGAATACATGTTCATTTGGTCCTGAGGTTCTAGTACCTAAGACTAACGACAAAATATTGATCTGAGGGGCAAAAATCACTCAACTCATAAATACTAAGCTTATAATAATTACATGTTTAAAAATTACAACATTCATATACACACCTATTATAACTCTACTTTATCATCTAATCTTACATCCATTTTACCATTAGATTGTAAATATCTTTTAACATCATTAACAGTAAATTCACCACGATGAAATAATCCAGCACCTAAAGCAGCATCAATACCGCATGGCATTTCAAATACTTCTTGAAAATGTTGTGGATTACCAGCTCCAGAACTTGCAATAACTGGTATAGATACTTTTGATTTTATTTGATTTAATAATTCCAAATTGTAGCCTTTATTTGATCCATCATAGTCTATTGAATTTAATAGTATCTCTCCTGCTCCTAAATTTTCACAAGCTAAACAAAGTTCTAGAGCTCCTAATTCATGAAATTTTCTACCTCCTTGTGATGTTACTTGATAATAACAATATTTTTCTCCATTTGGTCCATATTTTAATGGATCTGTAATTTTTATAGTTTCCATCGTAGTATCTTCTGGTGAATTTACATAAAATCTTTTTGGGTCAACTGATATAACAACAGCTTGATTTCCGAAAGTTCTTGAAATTGTTTCTATTGAAGATTGACCAGTTTTTTGTTTATTGTTTGCATAATAATTTTCAGCAATAATAACAGCATCTGATCCAATACTTACTTTATCAGCACCTGATCTAAAATATAAATCAGCAACTTGAACTGCAGGTATAATTTTACCAGTTTCTGGATCTTGCATATCTTTTATACCACCACCAACAGTTAATGGAACAAATATAGTTTCTGCTGATTTTTTCAAAACTTGTAACATTGGTAAATCTTTTAATGGTGAATTCCTAAAAGATGTAATATTTAAAAAAGTAATTTCATCAGCTCCTTGTAAATAATATTTTGTTGCTAATTCTATTGGTTTACCTAAGTTTCTTACATTTGATTCTCCTTCGGTTGTGGTTTCTCTAACATTGTATTGATCACCTTTTGTAACCACTAAATCTCCATGATCGTTAGTTCTAACATCCAAACATGCTATTATCCTTCTTGTTAATCCACTTAATGTTGTTTCCGTCCCGCTAGGTATTTCTTGTATATCTGATTTATGAACTTCTGGGAATTTTTCACCAAGTAAAAAAGATTTTATAATTTTTATACCAGCAATACCTGATTTTTCTGGATGAAATTGTGTTGCAAATAAATTCCCTTTGTTTATGGCAGCTATAAACTTTTCTGATCCATATCTTGCAAATGCAAAATTCCAACCTTGGTTTTCCAATTGTTTTATTTTTATATCATTATCTTTAGTAACTATTACCCCGTATGAATGAACAAAGTAATATTTGTTATTTAAATTTAAAGAAAACAATGATTTGTTTTTAGCAATTTCCTTCCCGTCCACTATTACATTTTCTATACTATTCCATCCAATATGCGGTACTGATTTTTTTATTCCTTTTTCTTGAAATACTGAATCATTGATATTAAATTTTTTCAATTGTAAATCTAAAACTCCTAAACCTTTATCATTCGGACTTTCCTCAGAACCGTCTATAAATGCTTGTAATCCAACACAAATCCCCATTAAGTCTCTTCCATCTGCAATATATTTTTCAATCAACTTATCAAGTTTTCTTTCATATATTTGTTGTACGAAATGACCATAATTACCTACACCAGGAAATATCAATTTTTTTATCTGTTCATCATTTGCTTCAAATTCTTCTTTGTTATGGATGAAAATTATTTCATAAGTTGGATCAATTCTTTTGATTGCATTTGAAAGGGATTGTAGATTCCCACTTTCAACATCTATAACGTGAACTAACTTTGGCATTGATTTGTTATACGTTGGTGAAGTTATACACATTTGAAAAATTCAAAGACCATATTTGTAAAGTGGTTTCAGTGAGTCATCACGTGATTTACGAATGAGTCAAATTTCTATAAAAGTTATTACAAAATGACCTGCATTAAATAAAAATTATATAACTCTATGAACTTTTTTAGCTTCAATATGAACTCCAAAATGAATACTTGCATCATTTGAACTATGTAAGTTCTCACCATCTTTAAAAAATTCACAATATTCATCAAATTTACCAACTAACTCAAATAATTTCATACCACCAAATTTTATTAAAAACTTATTAACTTCAGTAGTTGAACTCAATAATGATATACTAAATTTAACATTTCCTTTACCAAAGATTTCATTCAATTCAAGTAAAATTACTTCCACAAAATTAGGAATTGCTTCAAAATATTTAAGCAATGAGAAATCAATATAATTCCAAGCTGTGGGGAATTTTCCATCACGAAATTGCAATTGAAATTCTTCTGTTGTTTTTGAACCAAAATGAATTGAATTACATATGAATGAACCACCGGGTTTCAAAGTTCTACAAAATTCTCTCAATATGGTTTTATAATTTTCTTTCTTAACTTGAAATGGTAAATCTTGACATTGAATTAAATTAAATGTATTGGTACTTATTGTTGATAAACTCTTATTGTAATATTCAAAATTCATTGGTTTGTAAGTGAAAGCATTTGATGGGTCTGGAATTTCTCTACGATTTATATGAACAAATTTTGATGATTGATTTTCAATTAACTTGTTTAATTTGACTAATGAATCCATACTCATTGCATTGAATTCTTGATACGTTGATAAATTTAATTTACTAAAAAATTCGTCAAATAATTCTATATCACTTTTGGTAAAATTAGTTTTAATCTGTGATTCTTCTAGTTTTCTATATCTATCATAATCTTGAAGTATGGAATTGTCCTCGGTGTAAATATGAGACTCTATGAATCTAACAAAGGGTACAGTAATTGCTAAATACCAACCATATTGAACTGAATTTGCAGAATTATAAAGTAAAACTTTAGGACTTTCCTTGTTGTGACTTTTAATATGATCTTTGTAAGTATTAAACAATTGAACCAAAGGACGTTTATCAATCAAATGATTATTATGAAATTTCATAAACATATCAAATCTATACTTTTCCAATAAAATATATTCATATGATACTTTTGTAATACATTCTAGTAATAATTTGATTTTTATTGCTCTTGTAGTTTCAGTAGATACAACTCCAGTTGTTTCATCCTTTTTCAATGAATATAAAGCATTTGCAATAGTTCCGAAAACCGATTTAAATTCATAATGTTTTTGCTCTATATCGTTTAAGTCCAGCGTATCTGATAGCTCAGGAAGATTTATTAAGTATCTAACATAATTAACAAAATTGCATTGAACTAATTCCTCATGATTATATAATTGCTGATTTTTTGATGATTCTTTAATTAAAGTTCGTAAAAAAGTTCTTGTTTTGGCATACAAATAATAAGCTAAAATGTTTTCAGTGGATGATAAATCATGAAAGTTTGCAGGATTATTGAATCCATTTTTAGCTATTAATTTTTTGGCTCGTTGTTGTCTTATAATAAATCTAAACAATGAATGATTTCTGACTTTTGCAAAACTTAATGCATCACTTGAATGATATGATCCAACCACTGACAAAAAGCTATTATACCTAAAAACTTGATAAGCAGGAGTTAATAATACTTTTTGCATTTCTTCAGGCGAATTAAAAACTGATAAATCTAATAATGGTTGGAAAGGTAGAAATAATTTTGAATCAGCACTTGTTGGATCTGGGAAATATGAATTATTTTGAGAATGTATACTTGAACCTGGAGATTCTGAACCTGGCAGAGCTGTTAATGATGCTGTACTATCTTTTCTTTTCAGGTTAGATCCTAAAAATGATAATTTCCTAAATGTATGTTTAGATTCTTTTGAACTTGTAAATGTTGAAGTTAAATTTAATCCTGTATTACTTGATGATGGAGTTAATGAGTTATTTCTATGGAATGCATAATTTTGTAAATAATGAGGGTGTTGTTGATGGCTATTACTCAGTGATGATAAGATTGATGCATTTGAAGTTGAATATGCTGAATTAGTCCTTGGTCGTACAGAATGTGGGGAGTAAGGTATTGATGTATGATGTGAATAAGTTGCTGATGGTGTTAATGGAGTAATTGGTGATATGGGGGAATTGGATGAATTGTTTGGTTTTGGAGCAGCTAGAATTGTATTTGATGCTGATGAAGATGGTGCTGACATTGATTTGTATTGTTTAAAAGTATCTGTGTCCATAGATTTTTTATAATTGGATGCAATTAACGATGGTGTTTCTTCTTCAATTTGTGTAGGACTTTGAGCTGTTGAAGTAGTGGGTAATGACTTTGCTGTACCTGTTTGTTGTAATTTAGGAGTTGCTTCTCTATCAATTGGAGGTTCAATTTCACTTTCATTATCGAATCTATTTTCGACACTCAATGAAGAAGGTGATTTAACAGGATTTAATTGAGGTCTAGCACTTGATTGATACAGATACATTGACATTCCATCTTCGTTATTGTAGTGTTGTTCATTGGAATATTCGGAATTTTGATCATTCATTGATACTGCAGAATTTTTTGATGTAAAATTTGACAAGATCGATCTTGAATCCTCATTATCTTTTGATTCTTTTGATTCTTTTGAACTTGTAGATGATCTACCACTAATGATACTCCACCCACTTGATTTTTTTTTCTTTTTCCCAGAATCATAACTACTACCCCTAGCTGTTGAATGTGAACTATGTTTACTATGTTGATCTGAAATTGATGCATTTGAAGCTGCTGCTGCCGCTGCTGCTTCTTTTCTTAATTTTTTCTCCTCTTTCTTTTCATCCTTCTTTTCTTTATGTTTTTTTAATTTTTGTTGAGTTTGATAAGATACTGTTGGTACCACAAAAAAACTCATTTTGTAATAAATGTTTGTGTTGGATATAAAAAATCTAAATAATTCTAATGTAACATCTATCAATTGATTCTAATTAATTGGAAATTGATGATCAACCAATCAATCAATTATATATTTTATATTCTAAAGGATAAATAATAATAAAAATCAACTTAATAAGGAAATTTGGATTATTGTTGTATCTTTGGTTATGATAAATTAATATTAATATATATAAATAGAAATTATTAATATAAATAGAAATGAAAATATTAATTAACACAAAATTAAAGGAGAGAGAGATACAAAATTATTATTACTGTGATCATGCTACCAAATTTCTTTTTGTTTCATTAATAACTACAAACTAATGTAATAGATCACATTCAGATCTCGCATTGATATACCTAAAATTGATTATTATATTTATAAGAGTCTTTACTAAAAAGAAATATTATGGATAATCATTTTAAACAAGAAGTTAATATATAAATATGGAAATACTAAATACCAAAGTCATGTAGAAATATATTTATTATCATCCAATTCTTGTAAAAATTGTTTCAAGTTTGATAATTCCGAGGTATCATAATTTTCAAGACTTTTATATTTAGGACCTAATTTGAACCCAGTCATAGCTTTCAACATATCTATTGAATTTTTGTAAAAAGCTGCTATAGTTTTAGGGTAACCAAATGTAGTCAATTGTTTATTATGTACGCAACCATTTACTGGTGGTTTCCCATTCATTCTTTGTATAATCCATGGTCTTGCAATTGCTATTCCAATTAATGATAATACTGAATGACCAGATGATTTATCTTCTACGAATTCACCAGATTTTAAACCTAGTGAACACCAATTTTCAAAACTCTTGAATGAATCTTTAATTGGTACAACTTTATCTAATGATCCATGATATATAAATATGGGAATATTTGGTACAAGATATTTAGATTGATCAACTATATTATTCAGTTTCAATATTGATCTCATAGGTTCTTCTCTTAATATTGAAATACCTCCTGGAAAAAATGTATTCTTACCTTTAAAAAATGATGTTAAAATCCATTTTATTAATGCATCAAAAAAACATTGAGCTTTATTGAAAAATTTATCAGCTAAATCTGGATTTAATCTTTCCCAATAAAATTTCTTTAGTTTAGGGTATTGATTTGATAAACCAATTAACACATTTGGAATTAAACCAGCAAATAATGTACCATCAACTATTTCAACCATGGATGTAATATTAGTCGTAAATGCACCCAAAACTGCACCAATTAAATTCTTCTTCAAATGTGGAGCATATTCAGGTTGCAACATAGCTGCCCATCCACTAGCAATTGTGCCTCCTGAATATCCCATGAGTATTGTATCAGCGTCATGATTTATACCCGTAAACTTTTTAGTTGTCAAAGTTGCAGTAAGTGAATTCAAAACAGCATATCCAGCTTGTCTACCAGCAGTATAAGCACCTTCAGGACCTTGATAATCTGGAATCACTACATAATATCCTTGTTTTAGCATCACATCAACATTAACCATTTCAGATTGTGTTATTAAAGTATTTATGTTTGAACCAAATTGAATTGCATATGATGGAGCACAATCAGGATTTCGCGAATCTTCAAAAGGTTGATAACTAATTAATTTATTTGGATTTGCATTAAATGGTTTTATAATAGTTGCAACAATTACATTTGGTTCATTAAATGAATCTTCTGACCTTACCATAATGTGCCATGCATTTTGAACTTTCATCGGTGTGAATACATTTGTCAATCTATGAGGTACTTCTCTTTTTCTTACAATTTTACCAACTGGCGCTGATTCAAAATCTGGTGGAGGAATGTAAAAATCATCTTCTGATGGTTTAATTGGTCTATTGTTTTCACTTGCAAATGAAATTGCCGAAACTGTAGTAATTAAAAAATAATAAATTGTTATCAAAAGCATTCTTGTTTGTGCATTTTGTAAAGTAACATTGTGACGAGATCAAGCATGATTATATATAGTGAAACAAAATCTTTTTGTAAATACTTTGTATGACATTGCATTGACTTGCGAAACACTTATCTTGAACATAAACGATCTAGTTAATAATGCACGTATCTAAAGATTTGGACCCCTGAATTTACCGACCTAACTAAGCATAACAAATAACACCAGTCCTTAATTTTGAGCTGTAATACATATATAATTGCCATCGCTGATTAAGGTCAATACAATCCAAATCAAAGATGACCTTCCGATTATAATCATTGCACAGCAATTTTGAACATATGGCAAACAAATGGATGAGGGACAGCACAGTTAAATAATGTGGTAAATTATATCTTCCAATTGCCTAGCTTTAACTTTACTAGTGATACTTTTTTCTTGGAAATTTTAAGAAAAATTGAGATCCATAGCACCAGATCCAAAGAAAAACAATACTAATTAGTGACAATAAATATACAAATAACTCGTAAATTTCTGCTTTAAATTTATTGTTGACTAAGCTACACAACATGTAAATCAATATTATTTAGCTTTTCACCTAATTCCATAAAACTTGCAATTTCTGTATTATCAAATTTATCAACCGTATCATCTTTTAGTTTTGGACCTAATCTAAAACCTACTAATGCTTTTATAATAGTTTTGATAAATCCCAAAGAATATTTAAAAGCCCTGGGGTAAGCAACTGATGTTATTCTCTTTTTATGTGTACATCCATCTACTGGTGGTTTGCCATTCATTCTACCTATTATCCAAGTCACTGCTGGTGATGTACCAATAACTGTTTGAACAAAATGACCACTTGTTTTGTCTTCTGAAAATTCTCCAGATTTTAGACCTAATGAACACCAATTGTTGAAAGTAGTACGAGCATCTTCTACAGGACAGATTTTATCTAATGAGCCATGATAAATAAATATTGGTATTTGTGGAACAAAATTAATAGACTGATCTACTATATTGTTATCATTCAAAATTGTCTTTAATGGCTCTAAATTAAGTATTGAAATCCCATCTGGGAAAAATGGATCATGTCCACTGAAAAATGTTGTTAACATCCATTTCACAATTGCATCAAATAAACACTCACTAGTATTATAAAATTTATCAGCATGTTTTGGATTGAGCTTTTGTCTTATGAACTCTTGTAATTCAGTATATTGATGAGCTAGCCCATTCAATACGTTTGGAATAATACCAGCAAATATAGTTCCATCATTTACTTCAATCATAGCCAGTGTGTTTGCGATCATTCCACCTATAACTGCACCAATTAAATTTTTCTTCAATTTTGGTGCATAACTAGGTTGTAACATAGATGCCCAAGCTGACAGAAATCCACCACCTGAATATCCGTAAATAATCGTATTAGCATCAGGATCTAAACCAGTAAGCTTTGAGGAACTTAAAGTTGCTTTTATAGTATTTAAAATAGCATAACCCGCTTGTTTTCCAGCACCAAATGCAGAATCTGGACCTTCATAATCTGGAATTACAACATAATATCCTTGATTTAATAAGATATCAATATTAAACATTTCAAGCTGAGTGGCCATATCTTGAAAAGGTGAACCCAATTGGATAGCATATGAAGGAGCACATCTACTAGTAATACCATCTTCAAAAGGCTGATAACTAATTAATTTCTCAGGATCTGCATTATATGGTTTAATTATAGTTGCTGCAATAACATTAGGTTCATCTAATGAATCTTGTGATCTAATTAAAATTTGCCATGCTCCATCTACATTAATTGGAACAAGAAAATTGGACAATCTACCAGGTTCTACTCTTGATCTCAAAATGGTCCCAACTGGTTTTGACTCAAACCCTTTTGGAGGATTATAAAATTCATCCTCTGATGGATCTTTTGTAGGATTTCTACCAAAACCTAAAGCAGCAATTGAATTTACCAACAAGCAATAAATGATAATGAAAAACATCATTGTTTACATTGTGACTCCAGGTTATCTAATGAGAAGAAGTGTGTTTATTTATAGACAGAATTGATAAAATCGCTGTATCCCACCTTGCATTGACTTGCAACATACATTATGGAAATATTGGTAATGATGACTGAGCTGAATATATGTGTTCGACCAACTCAGCAGCACATTATGAAATATCTTGTCCACTTTCTATTAACTGGCTCTTAGCTATTGGTTTATTACACTATTTGGCGATGATTCATAGTTATTGAAATTGGTTTTTAGAAATTACTATTGAATTAATTAGAATGATTAGATTATTATACTAGTTCATTTCATATTTGACAAAACTTCTAATAATTTTCACATTGCATAAACATACAAATTCAGTTTTGGAAACAAAAACATCGTACCTAATTGAAATTGCATTTCTGAACCCTTTCAAGGTATTGCTTAAGCTAGTGACAACTCTTCACCTTTGAGTATGGAAATACATGCACCAATAAACTAACAAATCCAATTTTTCAGCTGCTTATCTAATTGATTAAAGCTGTAATTAATTGTAAAAGATCACCATTCACTGAGCTAGACCTTTGTTGGAGTAGGTATTGAGACCAAGAAACAACAAAGGTTATATGTTTAGATGGAAATTCCTAGATTTTTGTATCTTGGAGTTACTGTATTTGAACTAATTCTTTGCTCCACCAAAACATTATATCGACATAACTTCTGAAGAAACTTGTAATCAAGTCATTTTTAAGAAAAAGTTTATGAATCACCTTTAATAACATAACAAAGCATAAACGTTGATTGAAATTTGATAAGGTTGTTGTAGTTGTTAATACTTGGTTGTGTATATACCATTTTTTAGATTAAAATTTTTTAGTATACAAAGTTGGTGATCTTTTTTTCTGATTTATAAAACCAAGTACTAATTTAATACAAATATAAACCAATCCAGCAGCAATGGTCAAATTAACTCAAATAGATGATGAAACTCAAACTGTATACCCAGATGGAACAACAACCATAAATAAAGTTGAAGTAAATGAATATGATGAATCAGATTCAGAATTTTCAGATGATGATGAAGATGATTTTGATTTGGCAAATGAAACAATATATGATAGAATTGTAGCATTGAAAGATATTATATCTCCACAACAAAGAGATGCTATTTCCAAAATTGCCTCAACAGTATCAACTTATTCATCATATATAGCTTCAAATAGTGGTAAATTATTATGGGGATTAACTTCAAGCTCACTTTTATTAGGTGTACCATTAGCTTTGGCTATATTATCAGAAACTCAATTACAAGAAATGGAAAAAGATATGAGTTTACAAAAATCCGCTCAAGATGTTTTAGCTCCTGGTAGTGAAGATGCTTTTGGTGAAAAGAAAGCTATCGCTTGATTGGTGTATGTGATTACTTGTATATATTATATATTGTATAACATTTATGATATATAAAAACTGTCTAATAAATTTTTGTCTAGAATTTCTATTTTAATTAACTTTTTTATGTTTTATGGATAAGGCATAAATGTCTAAATATTGAGTTATTTCTGTTATAATTTCTGCAACAAATATTCCATGAATACCTAAAGTTACCCCAAAACCTAACCAACTTATAGCATTTAATACTTTGTTTTGGTTGTATTTGTAAATGTTTATCAAAATTTTACTCAAAATTAATTGACCTAATGGTACAAACATTGGAGTTTGAATCATTGGGAATTGTTGTAATGTTAAATGAGCTAAGATGATTCGACCAACACTGAATGCGATAGTACAACCAATTGATAAAATTAGTGGGAAACCATAGTCTGTTACAATGGTTGGGTAAAACCAGAGATAGACTATAAGTAATCCATAATATGCAAAGAATGGTATTAAACCTTGATAAGCATTTTTAATTTCAAAGTTAGTCTTTTTGTTATCTTCGCCATCTTTGTCTTCATAATATTTTGCAACATTGTTCATTGCTGAAATGATATTAAAATACAATGACCCTAAACCTAAAACAACATAAATCAATGAACTATTAATTTGGTAAATTCCATAACCAAATGAAGTTAAGTTTAAATCAAACAATTCGATATTCCAAATATCTGGTCCAAATATACCAGTCAAAATATAAACAGAACAAATCATTAATATACCTTCAACAGGACCTGAAAATTTAGACAAAAATAATTTATGAGTATGATATTCTTCCCAAGTTGATGTATAAAAATTACAAACTGATGCAAATTGTGATAACATTAATAATCCTCCATATCCCATTTTCATAACACTACCAAAAACAATAGCTCCTAAAGTAGTATTTATAGCATCAATTGAATGATCAAATAATTCACCCAATGGACCACTTTGTCCTGTTCTTCTTGCATGACATCCATCACATCCATCAAATGTTTGATACATAAATAATCCAATTGCGTAAAAAAAATAACACCATCTTGGGGATGTCTCATTTAAGTAAGGATCATAGTAAAATACAACTAATAAATTTGCAATAATCCAAAATAATCCTAATAATGTAATTAAATTTGGTGCCATTGAAGTTGGAAAAATTAAAACAAACCAATTCCACCATTTTTTTAATACATATTTTGATATTAATGAATGATCTTCTGATTGATATTTGTATAACTTTAAATTATGTAATTTATCTGTAGGTATGAAAAGTCCCATTTTTTTGTTGTGATAAGGTAATGAATTATATTTGAAATTTGTGAATAATTAAGATGATGATGTTTATATATTTGGTCTACTTCAAATTGATTAATATACCCAAATAAAGTTAAATCAAAAAAATTCCCTAGTTTAAGTAAATAAGCCAAGCTTTAATTGATGATAAGAATTTCAATAAACTTTCAATTGACTTAAAGTTAAAACTTAAAATAAGTTTTTATAAATGATAATTCTAATAATATTGTTATTGTGATTTTAAATTTTCAATGTTTCATTGGTAGCAACTTTACAGAAAATGAAGAAAAATAAAATTTATTTTTTTAATAATTTATCTCACGTTTTTCGCTTATGATAATTTCATTTATGTTGCTATTATTAACACTGGATCTATGAGTTGTTAAGATAGTATTATGAAATAATCGAACTTTTGCATCTAGATAATCTTATAAATTTCAAAGAATTTCAATTGAATTAAGACAATAACTATTATAAGATTAGTTAATTGAATTAATAATTTTTCTCGAATTTGGTTGCAAAATGCTAATGAATTATGCTGCAAATAAACTCGAAAAATACAATTGACACTGCAGCTCTATGAATTAATTTGAGAATATGCATATTCCAAACAACATATTCTATCAAATCAAAGAGCCACGTCATTTAATTATTAATCTTTTACACTAATGCTCCCTCGAGTAGTAACAATGCTACCGCGTGTAGTGACAAATAGACATTTTCTGACATAGAAGAATTGACAAACTATAACCATAATTTTAATTCACTTTATTAGCTATATAAGCAACTATATAGTATTGAGAGTCGGAAAACGTCACCCAAAATTGTCATCAAATTATGATTAGAGATCTTCCAACTCTAATGGAGTTAATCTTAAATAAGGTTTGATGATTTAATCAAATTTCATAAAAGTCAATTGATTTCTAAAATTATTACCACTATTAACGTCTATACTGACAACGGCATAGTTTAGTATAAGCACATAGTTTATTAAATACACAGTTTCAAGACTCGATCCTAAAGCTTTTTGCATTGTTTCTCATAACATTGATTATAGGTGATTCATCAACTGTAGTCGTTGTTTAAGTTTGTTGATTTTGGCTGCAAATCTTATTGGTTTATTACAAAAATGGTCATTATTTCATTGACTTGTGCACACCAAGTCTTTTGAACACAAAGAAGTTATACTTTTACGTAATTGATACCATTGACTACATTCTACAGATTGTAAATTGAGAGAGCATACCTCATAAGTTTATGAATTGAAAATTTATATGTCGGAGTTCATATAAACTTTTTCAGCAATTTCAAATTGTGTTAGTATTATTCCACATTATTGGGTATTCCTCTGCATACCTTTCCGTGATACTTTTGAATCACGATTTTTTAACCTTTTTTCTCAGTAGATTATCAATTAGTAGTGTTTTAGAATATTAGTAGTATTTTAAAATAAAAAGATTAAGGGCTTGGTCCAACTGGCATAAATTACTATTTTTCAACATCAAAAATGATGTGAAAAATTTTGAAATTTGTTAAACGATAGTAAATTTCGTCGAAGCTGATAAATTTTTGTCTTTTAATTATTTACCTAGAGTTGATGAAATCTATTTTCGTTCAATGTTTCAGTTTTAATTTAGTGTTAAATTCTATTTTGAATTCTCGCACGATAATATTTTTAAATTCTCATGCAATTTTGGTGGACGAAATAATATGTGAGAACAAAATTCCAAATTAAAGTCATCATTTTGAATATCATCAATACCATCAATTTTTGTTAACAACGATTAAGTTTAAGGATGTCAAACCAACAAATATCACTAAAGAAAGTCATTTACCATCGAAGACTCTTATAAAAATAAATTATTCATTAGTGGGGCCTCGGATATTAAAGTTCAACGAAAATCATATAATTTTCGAATACAATCATGTCTCGTAAATAGATGAGGACACGATGAAAGTACGTTCAACTATGTTATTCTCTGTTACGCAACATGTTGATCTGGCTTGCTTAACAAAAGCTTGATCAACAAAGCTTTAACAGAGACTTTTATATCAAAAATTACTAACCAAGTAGTAGTCAAGAACCGTCAGAGTCACACGAACAGCTTCTTGAAACTTCGGAAAAGAAATGGATTTGTTTACTTCAAATTTTAAGTTCTTATTGTAAGCATCTCGATGTTTCAGTTTCATGTCTATTGATATTGACATCATTTCATAATACTTACAAGGTCTGAAATTTCACTTGGTAGTTTTTTTCTGACTTGGTTGCAAAAACAAAAATTATTTTATTAATGTTTAAAAAAACTAATACATTTTTACCATTTATATTTATTTATCAATTGTTCACCTAATTTATATCATATTCCATTACTAGTCTTTAATTTTATTCTAATTGTGCCTACTCAACAAGGTTTCAGAACTTAAACATCATCATACCCTTTCAAAACACCTAAAGAATATACGTATAAAAAAACATTGTGATATATATCAATAATCAACAACACGTCAAATTTTTTACCATATTGTATTAAGTTTCATGATTCAAGTATTAGAAAGATATGTCAGATAATCAAAATCAAGAAGAATTAGAAGGTCTTGCAAAGTTGGAGTCATACAATATTAGAAAACTTGATCATAAAGTTGGAGGATATTTTTCAAATGTCCGTACAATGACTTCATTGGGTCCATTAGACTTAATGGAATTATGGCATGTGTTTGGTGCAGGCAGGGAATGTAAATTTATGGCCATCAATATAAAAACAGGAGATTTGAAATACAAGTCTGGTAAAATTTACTGTCTTGGGTTTGAAGAGGATTCACCTTTATTAGAATTAAGTATAAACCCTCATAAGGGTAGTTTGGATTTAATTATTTGTGCAAATCAACAAGTTTTTGCTAGAAATGGAACAAAAATAGATGACAGTAGATACAATCAAAAACTTGATTTCACTTTGTTGGATGATGCTTATCATTTACCCTTTTATAAGGATCGAGTATTGGTACCAGAAATCTATTTTAGAGCTCAGAGCATTATCAGGGGTGCCACAGAAAATGAAGAAGCTGCTGAAGCCTTACGTCGGTGGATAGAAATTCTCGGTATTGATATTTCTTTGACACAAACATTTATTAACTTGCTTGGTTGTTTTTGCAAATATGGTAATATATATGCAAATAAAATTGTGGTTAGTGGAAATTCTAAAGAATTTCTTAAAGCTTTGTTCAATAAGTTGGGTTTTAGTTATAAACATCTGGGTAACGATTTACTTTTATCAGCCTTTGATGAGAAGAATAAGATTCTTATTGATTACTTTAGACATTTATTTAGAATTAATGCTGAAAATCAAGTTGCTTCTGTTACTGGTGGAAAGGCCAGATTGATACCGGAACTTATTTTCAAGTTGGATAAAGTAGCTGCTTATTCATTCTTACTGGGTATGGGTTGTAACAATGATGATTACAAGGAGAAGATTGATATAACCACAAATCATACTATGCTAGTTGATCATATTCAAAGATTGGGAGCTCACGCAGGAGTTTTTTATTCCGTGCGCAATACCCCTAAATTTTGGAGAATTACCATATATTTTGAGTTAAAGGAAAACTCATTTCCAATCTTTACCCCGGATAGGATCAAAAAAATAATGGTGAAAGAAAATTTCATATACTCAATAAAGTTTGATCAAGAAGATGAATTTGATCATTTATTGGTTAATTCAGCCTTTAGGGATGAAGAAACACTTTTGTTTACAAGAATGGATAGACCAGTCTTATTAAAAAGTTATAGTGACGGTCATCATTCAAAATCCTGAGTAAGTGTTTTACATTCAAAACTCTTGTTTTGAGAGTTTGTCTTTGGTTCTTTGGTTTCTTTTAATTTGAATTGTTTCGGTTCTTAATTTTTATATTGGTTTTAGTTTTTTACATAATTTCGGTAGTTTAATTTGAAAAGTTCAATAAAAAGTCAATTCTTTGTTTAATTGCAACCGTTCGTAAACTTTTGAACGTATAGACGCTACTCGTAATTGGCATCAACTTAGCATTGTTTACCAAGAGCTCAAGATCAGACAAAGGAGTTTATTTTGAACCTACGTTGCATGAGATGCAAAATGTTAAATTGCTTGACTTCAGACAACATAAAATCATAGTAATGAATTTAAAATTTCCGGTTTTACAACAATTTTTATACTCAACAAGTTTCTCTTTGTCTTCAGATTTTAAGTATCAAAAACACGTATATTAAATAGTTAAACTTTAAATTTAAAAAAAAACCACGAAACAACATCAATTTTCTCATAAGTTTACCGACATTTCAAAGATGACCGAAAAGATTTCCTTCAAACCTAATAGTCGAAAAACAACTAAAAACACCACTAAAAACACTCTAATCTATACCTAGTTTCAGTAACTAGCAGCAACAATCATTACACTTTAATAGCATATGCAACCAACACTTTGACCATGCTTACAAACTATCAGCAAGAATAGTATTAATACCAGCTGTGCCATCTTCATTTGATTTTCTAAATATTACAAAACCTGTTGGACTTTTAAAGGAGTACAAAATATTTGGAGCAGTATAAATTTGTGTATCCCTTATGTAATAAGGTTTAAGACTCAAAATCGACCTTTCTCTTGTGCAATCTGTATAGGCAACATCCCAAATTCTTTTTGATCCAGGAACATATCTTATGTATGGACTTTTATCAATCAATGCATTATAAGCTTCTTTAGAAATAGGTCTTTTCCCTTTTCTTACTTGAACTTTCTTATATGTTGTGTATTCTTCTTTGGGATCCTTCATATAAGTCCTAGTTGAATGACCAGCATTGGTGATTACTCTTTGTAGCCATTTTCTAAATTCTTCTCCTGATGTGGCAACCCTATTGTAACTGTCATTGCGGCCATCGGCCATATTCAATCCTCTTAGGAAACAATTTAATTCCGTTTGGCTTAAAGAATTGAACCATGTTAATTGATCTGTAGGTTTCACTGAAGCAATATGAACAATTGAGTTGTCTGGGTTTAGTGTACAATGTTTGTACTTCGACCCAAAAAATTTTGTAAATAATATTCTCCATTTGTGATTTGTTATTGCAATTGTAAATATTTCAACAACATCTTCTTTTTCTTGCTTGACCTCAACATCTTCTTTTTCTTGCTTGACCTCAACATCTTCTTTTTCTTGCTTGACCTCAACATCTTCTTTTTCTTGCTTGACCTCAACATCTTCTTTTTCTTGTTTGACCTCAACAACATCATCTTCATCAGTTTCATTCATTAAACTATCCACGTTGTTTCTTTCCAGTGACTCATCATCTAATAAGTTTACAACAGTTTCATCTTCATCTCCAAGTATTGCTTGACGGATGTCTTCTGCATGTCTTCTAGAAATGGCATCTTCATAAACATTTAATGAATCATATTGAACAATATCATCAGCTGCAACTGCATTATTACCTCTATCAGAAACTACTTCACCAAGATTGGTTGGTACCACATAGTCTTCTTTCGGTAAAACAACTCTTCTATAATAACCTCTAAAATCTATACCAACCCTCATATTTAGAATTTTTAACAATCTTTCAATATATATGATATCACGTTTTTTATGTTGACTTATCTGAACTGCTGCACAATTACCAGTACTTGTGAAGTGTAAAGTACCATCTCCACAAAAGAAGCCGAAATATTCCATAAAACTTAAAAATTGGACATACAGAATTAGTCCTAAATATTCTCTAATAGTTTGAACATTGCTTCTGTAATCTTTGTCAATAACCCAGCCGTTGTTTGACATACTTTTTAATTGGTATCTATCAAGCTTATAAACATCTTCTTTTTCATTATAACTTCTTTTAATTCCAACTCTTTCATAAGCAATTTCCCTTTCTTCTGTTGGTGGTACTTCAACTTTGAATCCATTTACAAAGTCATAAGGCTTTTCGGTATTTGGTTGAACTAAGAATTTTTGATTTTTTGAAACAACTAAATTTTTATAATTTCTCAAAGAATGTGGACACAAAGTTGAAACCAGAACTTTTTCTAAAAAATGATACTCTATTTGATTTGTATCTTTATTATGACAACCAATTCTAGTTGTTTTAAAATCAACTTCACTTACCACTTCGTATCCATGCTCAGTTAAAATATCTGTTTTGCTGTCAACCCCGTTTGCATTTTCATCATCAATAGGATTATATTCTTTTTGCACCCCACTTCCAAAATTCAATTTCTCATCTTTAAAGATCCAATCATCTACTGGAAGATTTTTATAATCCTTAAATTCATCATCATAATCTACTTTATCTATTCTTTCATTAGCAAATAAATTATAATCATAATAAACAGTTGGATCAAATGATGAAATTTGTTTAAATATATCATGAGACAATTCATGATGTCCCAAGTTCTTGAAATCTAATTCAACCTCATCATCTTTCTTTGCCGTATACCTTGTTCTAGCTCTAGCTTGTTTGTATATTAGGTCATTTTCTTCCAATAATTGGTTAGTATCTAATTCATCAGCATTATCTTCAAATTTTTTGCTAAAAATGTTTTTTATCAACTGCAACTTGTCACCTTTGTTTCTAGAAAAAAAGTTAAGTTTTTGATGATTTGGTGATGATAAGTTCAAATTCAGCTGAAATAATGAAGTAAAGGATTGTTGGATGGTTGTTGTTGGGGATCTAGAAGATGGAAGCGAAGGTGCTTGAATTGTTTGTAAATTAGTTGGAAAGATGGTAGTAGCTGAAGGTGCACGAGGTTGTGAAGATGAGGAAGGTGCGTTTAATCTAGAAGCTGATTGAAAAAATGATGTAATTGGACTTTGTTTTGCTTTAAGTTGTGTTGGTTGAAGTGGTTTTTTTTTTGAATTTGAACTTGAAGTGGTTGAGGACCGGAGTGGAGCAACAGATGATGGAGCAACAGATGATGGAGCAACAGATGATGGAGCAACAGATGATGGAGCAACAGATGATGATGAAGCAGCAGATGATGAAGCAGCAACAGATGATGAAGCAACAGCAGATGATGAAGCAACAGCAGCAGATGATGGAGCAACAGCAGATACTGAAGCAACAGCAGCAGATAATGGAGTAGCAGATAATGGAGTAGCAGATAATGGAGTAGCAGATAATGGAGCAGCAGATAATGAAGCAACAGCAGATGATGAAGCAACAGCAGCAGATAATGGAACAACAGTAGATGATGGAGCAGTAGCAGATGATGGATGATGTCTTTTGGCTGTTGTTTTTGAAAAAAATGAAGAGATTGATCTCTTTTGAGACAATGCTCGTTGTTTTGATGGTGGAGTATTTGGTATTGATGATGTTGAGCTTGATGGAAGAAATGGACTGTTTGAATTTTGTTCAGCTAATGATTGTGGTTGTGCTGGTGGAAAAGAAGTTATTCTAGTATCTTGTGTTTGACTTGATGATCCTGGAGCAGCAACTGATGAAGCAACAGATAATGGAGCAACAGCAGCAGATAATGGAGCAACAGCAGCAGATAATGGAGTAGCGGATAATGGAGTAGCAGATAATGGAGTAGCAGATAATGGAGTAGCAGATAATGGAGTAGCAGATAATGGAGTAGCAGATAATGGAGTAGCAGATAATGGAGCAACAGCAGATGATGGATGATGTCTTTTGGCTGTTGTTTTTGAAAAAAATGAAGAGATTGATCTCTTTTGAGACAATGCTCGTTGTTTTGGCGGTGGAGTATTTGGTATTGATGATGTTGAGCTTGATGGAAGATGTGGTCTGTTCGAATTTTGTTCAACTAATGATGGTGGTTGTGCTGGTGGAAAAGAAGTTATTCTAGAATCTTGTGTTTGACTTGATGATCCTGGAGCAGCAACTGATGAAGCAACAGATAATGGAGCAACAGCAGAAGATAATGGAGTAGCAGATAATGGAGTAGCGGATAATGGAGTAGCGGATAATGGAGTAGCAGATAATGGAGTAGCAGATAATGGAGTAGCAGATAATGGAGTAGCAGATAATGGAGTAGCAGATAATGGAGCAGTAGCAGATGATGGATGATGTCTTTTGGCTGTTGTTTTTGAAAAAAATGAAGAGATTGATCTCTTTTGAGACAATGCTCGTTGTTTTGATGGTGGAGTATTTGGTATTGATGATGTTGAGCTTGATGGAAGAAATGGACTGTTTGAATTTTGTTCAGCTAATGATTGTGGTTGTGCTGGTGGAAAAGAAGTTATTCTAGTATCTTGTGTTTGACTTGATGATCCTTTCAAAGGTTGTTGTAATTCATGGAAATTGACATCATCTGTCAGGGAGGTAAATTGTTGTGGAAGTAGAACTGGGGGTTCCATACTGGTGAGATCAACTTGATTATATGCTTCATTTGCCGCGGAATGATTATTTGAATCGTCATTGTCCCCTGTGAGATCGATAACACTTAATTGAGAAGAAAGATCGTTGATGATTGAAGATGATGATGAAGAGTCAACGACTTGTGGTACCATTCTTTTTTTGTTTACGGTGAAGTTATCATCCTCCTCCAGTGACGAGTCTCGAAACTTCTTATTCCTGGTTGAATCTTTCATATTGAAACGTTGATTTGATGCTGTGAATGATTTTGTTGTTGAAAGGAAATAGTTTTTGGTGATTTTTGAATTATTTGTCTATTATGCTGGATTAGATATGTATAATGAAGAAATAATATTGATTAGGGTTTGATTTGGTGAAAATGAGTGATTCGTTGAAAGTATGAAAACGAAGTTAAGTATCAAAAAAAATTAATTTACAATTTGAAATTATGAACAACACTTAATACTTGTAATATAATAAAATCAAATTTTCATAAGTATAATAAAATTAATGCAGTATGTGTTACTCCTTAAATTATTTGTTATTAAAATTGAAATTTTATTACTGAGCATTCGTGTTTCAGATTCTCCGTAAGTATGGTAAAATACTGCATATAAAGTCACACTATAATATAAATTTTCGATGTAAATATTATAACTCCATCATTTAACTCACCAAGCATATTTAAAGATATAATATTAATTTCGCCCATAGATCAGCTTCGTATCATGAAACATCTTTCTTGGCACGCTTCTCATTCAAGTGTTAATTTCGAATGAATAATAAACTGTAATTATTATTATAAATATTTGGCAGTTCTTTACGAAAATGCATTTTATCTAATGTGTTTTACAGATATAACACTTTTCACTCAACTAGAGAGACATAATTTATTTTGTAATTATTACTTGACAAATTCGACGTTCTTCAAATCTTGATCAAAAAAGTTTCTACTATTATTATCCTAAATACTGCATACTAAGTAACCTGTTTTTAATAGTACACATGCATATGCTTCAATAATTTCGTCTAAATTTTGTACTATGTTTGTTTCAGAATTTCGTATATAATAACAATAAAAATAAAATTCAAATTGTCCATCCTAATAAAATCTCTGTTTATTAATTATAAAATGTGGTTAAGCTGACTGGACATTGAACTTTTCGTACATCCAACACTTGAAGAGCGAGTATTTCTAAAGTCTAGCTCGTTCATTTTCCTCGAATTGTTTATCCCAAATGATTTTTGTGTTAGTTTGATATTATTTATTTAATTAAAATAGCCTGTACGTTTGAATTTTAAAATAAGGTTTTGTTAGTACAAAATTATAAATTATAATACTGTTTCTGTCGCTTTGGGTTGTCCCTCCACATTTGGGCTGCCCCCAGAACTAGATATTGATCTTATTATGACTGTGAAGAAATTCAAGCCATATTTGCTGAATATTGTTGTCAGTAATAATTCCGCTAAAAGCATAATTCTAAGGCTAAAAGACCCTTAGCTGAGACTTAGGAAAATAGTACTAAATGGTAATAAAGAGTACAGTTTAATACTTAATATAACACCTTTACTTTCATCGTCTTTGATAATCTTAATGCAATTTGAGTTGTTTAACTGAAAATGTTTTTATGCATTTGTCTATTGTACTTTTTAACTATTCTGATCTTTTATTACAACTGCTCGACACAACAAACGTCTAAAAACGTTGCTACACTAGCATTAAAGGGTAATAGCAATCTTTCAGTCTTTGGATCACTCTGAACCTCTTTAAGGTCAATGTATATGTTGGTATACGATAATTTACACCAGCTTTTAAAACTTAATTTCTTTGTTACAAAACCACTAGGTCAATTTTGGTAAGTAAAATTTAATAGAAATCTCTTCTTTTGAAACAAAATCAATGATTTTTGGCTTGTTTAGTACGTTATTTTGAATCTGGATTAGTCAAATGCTATACTTGAGTCTGAAACTTTTCGTAGCTCCAAGACGATTTTTCATCAACATCATATCGAGCTACTCTGAACACTTTGAAAAACTCATATCTAGCTATATGGAACTCAGATATTGCATTGCGTCAATCTGAGGTAGATTCTGAAAAGTGCCCTCTATATCGGCTTCTGTAACGACTGAAAACATGTGTCGAAGCTGCAAATTTTGCGGAGGATGACTAGGTAGAAACATAAGTCGAAAAGAAATATTATAAAAGATTCATTTTACACTCTTAGAATCTAATTCTTTATGTGTGGAAGATCGTTACTTCATAATTCTCTTTTTCTCTACATGTTTGATAAATAAGAAAATCACCTCCCCACAACTCACTGAGACGATTCAACGCAGCAGAGAAATCTAAATCTACTTCATAAGTGCTATTTTATTACTACTTAGTTAATCAAATTTGATAATTTATTCTTCAAGATCCAAAGGAGTTAATCTTAAGTATGGCTTGATGATTCTAAATTTAGGAAACAAGGTTTTAGCTTCTTCATCTGACACTGCTGGGCTTACAATAACGTGGTCACATTAGAATTGGTCAGTATCTCTGGTTAACAAAACAGACATTGTTTCTTGTTGTTGTTGAAGTATATCATCTTGAAAATAGTATTGTTGATGATTTAAAACAAAAATTGGTAGCAACTATTTTTTTCGCGCAAGAAAAAAAAATTTCAAATCTGGTAGCATCAAAAAATTAAACTGTGGATCTTGATAAACTATTTTCATGATAATACTTCAACAACTCTAGAACAATGTTAGTAAAATAAAAAATACATACCCCTTGACCCAGTTGATTGGAGTGGTAACTCTATATTTATCACCAGTTTGTAATGAATCAACAATTCTTAAAACTTCAGCAGTGTTTCTACCAGCTAAATTTGTATAGTTAGTATCAAATTAAATTAAATGAATCAATTGAGCCAATTCTGAATAATCTAGCATAATTGCAACATACTTGAAGCTGGGTAAGATAAAATAGTTCTAATTTTCTTTTTTGGATCAATGACAAAAACTGATCTAATAGTTAATTGAAGACCTTTATTATCAACATTAGTAGCATCTTGATAATCAATCATATCATAAGCATTAGCAACTTTTCTTTCTGGATCAGCAACAATTGGGAAAGATAATTTTGAACCAGTAACTTCATCAATATCTTTAATCCAAGCTTTATGAGAATCAGTATTATTAGCTGATAAACCAATTAATTTAACATTTCTTTTTGCAAATTCTGGTTCTAATTTAGCAAAAGCACCTAATTCTGTAGTACAAACTGGAGTGAAATCATCTGGATGAGAAAAAAGAATAGCCCATGAATCACCAATATAATCATGGAATGAAATTGGACCATTTGATGAATCAGATTGGAAATCTGGAGCAGTTGAACCTAATCTTAAAGTTTGATTTGATGAAGACATTTTTATAAATTGAATTGACCTAATTTAAATTGAATACAATAATTGATATCGTTGTTGTTTAAAATAGAAAAAAAAATCTATAAATATATATATAAATTTTAGATTTGTAGGAAATTAATTAATATAAATAATAATAATAAAACTGAAAAATAATAAATCAAAACCACAAGGGGGAAGAAATAAACAAAGTAAATTATTGAAAAAATTATAAAAGTAATATTACGAAATTCAATTAATAATTTTACACAATATACAGACAAACTTAATTTCAATTTCAGTCTTAGTTTCACTTCTTGGACAAACTTTGAAAAAATATCTATAATTGAATTGCGGCTCTCCAGTAGGGTCTATCTCAACCCATACCTCTAGTCGTTTAATCTATTACAGCTAGTTTCTGAATAATGCTTCAAGAAATTCAACGCTGAGGTGTCTTTTGGAACAACAAGGCAAAAAATTTTGGGAAATCTTAATCAATACTTCTCAGATTCTAATTTTGATCACCAATTTAATCTAAAATCAATATTGTATAAAATCACGTGACCATGTGAGTTTAATAATTATTCAAATCATTTAGAATATTCTGTTTCAAATTAAGACTAAGTTAAATTTGGACAAAAACAATTGAAAAATAAATTTGCAATTCATCCAAGAAAATGTATGCAATATCGCAAAAATAATTATGGCACAAAAACAACTGGAGTTACTACACGACTAGCTTAAGTAAGGTTGATGAATAGACCAAATGTGAAATAACTCAACTCTAAATGAACTAACCACCATTGAGACTCAAACTAATCAGCCAAGGAAAAGTGGACGTATACTCACTTAAATTACTCAACTTATTGCAGAAAATAAATTGACCCATCAGCGGATAAGGTATTAACCGCTCTTTCAGATATTTTCGAGAATTCAATGCTAACGACAAACAAGTTGCATCAGACAACCTACAAAACCAATGCTATTTTTCGATGTTTGGTCGAATGATATACATGGAAGAATTGATTACTTTCAGCTTCATCAGCTTCATCGATGGTACCTACGTCTTGTCCGTACTCTGTAAGTGAATAATAATTTTTCTTTAAAATCTATATGCTTTACAATTTATCATCATCAGAATCATCTATGTCAACACCAAAATCATCTAATTTTTCACCTTGATCATTAGTCCAATTACTTCTTTTGGATTCAGTTCTTGGATCTAGTATCTTTTTCAATTTCGAGTAATTTTTTATATTTTTGAGTTCTTCATTTGTTGGAGTTTTAACTTCAATTTCATGATTACCACCATCTGGAGGCCAAGGTAAATTTAATTGATCATCCTCTTTATAATCTATTGATGGCTCCAAATCATGCCCATTCTCTGAAGGTTTTGACCATGGTAATAAAAACAAGAAGGGCCCACCTAAAGCTTTTGTTATATTTTGCCATATTCCATAATCATAAGGAAAAATCAAATCATCAATTGTGAAATTCTCAGGTACTTCATTTGATGATTCTTCTGTTTGTAATGGTTCCTCTCTATAATTAGTCCAAGTTGTTAATTTTGGTAATTCTTTATCATGAAGTTTTCTATAATTTAATTTTATTGATTCCCATAATCTATTACTATCAAATTGACTTTCAATTCTATCCCATTCCCATATTTCAATTTGAGTCATTCCTTTACAGATATTAATAAAACACCTTATAAATAATAAACTTATACTAATTAAAACAAATAAATTTATTGGAGTTAATGCAATAACTGCTGCTAATTCTGATCTTTTGATTAAATAAATTGGTAAATCTGAATTATTGTAATATTCTATTATACGATTAACTTGCTGAGCAAATAAAAATGAAGTACCAATTATAACCCAAACTAAAAATCTCATAAAATGTGGTAAATTTTCATGACCAACACAATTTAAAGTCCAAGGACAATGATGATCCATTGATAATATACACTTTTTACATTTGGAGCAATGATGAGCTCTGGGTGGTTTGTAATTTTTACATTTTGAACAGTACCTTTTCCATTCTCCTTGTTTAGGTTTATAATTTGTTGGTGGACCTCCTGGTGATTTAAAAATTGCAAGTATATATGATATCCAAATCATGGTGACTATTGATTGAAAACATATTTGTTCATTAATTGTTAGATGATGATATAGTATGAAAATATGAGAACCATATGACAATACAGCAATCACGATACTAGGTATTATAACTCCCAACAATGGCCATTTAAATTGTAGAACCATATCTTGAGTAGTTGTCGTGCGCAAATTGATAAATTTGAATTTGGTTGTAAAAAGTGAGTATTAATTTTTGTTAGTGGCAATTTTCATAATTATCACCAAACTTTATTAGATAAAACTACAAAATGGTATGTATAATCGCTGAAGCTTCAATTGAGAATTGTATACTAACAAACTAACAGACTTCAATTGGTACTGGTTATGATTTATCAAATAGTGTTTTTTCACCAGGTATGTTGATTTTTATTAATACTTTTCATTTTCATTTAGATTTACTAACTATTCATAGATGGTAGAAATTTTCAAGTAGAATATGCAATGAAAGCAGTTGAAAATGGTAGTACATCAATTGGTATCAAATGTAAAGATGGGATTGTTTTGGCAGTCGAAAAAATTATAAATTCAAAATTATTGATACCAAACAAAAACAAAAGAATTCAAACAGTTGATCGTCATGTTGGAGTAGTATATTCAGGTTTATTACCAGATGGACGTCATTTTGTCAACAGATGTAGAGATGAATCACAATCGTTTAAATCAATATTTAAAATTCCAATACCAGTACCTAATTTAATGGATAGAATGGGGATATATGTTCAAAATTATACATGTTATAATTCAGTTAGACCATTTGGTATAGTATCAATAGTTGGAGGAGTAGATGATGATGGACCACATTTATATATGATAGAACCAAGTGGGACATGTTGGGGTTATAGTGGAGCGGCGACTGGAAAAGGTAGACAAATTGCAAAATCAGAATTAGAAAAATTAAATTTTGAAGAAATTACTTGTAAAGAAGCAATACCTATAGCAGCAAAAATAATAAAATTAGCTCATGAAGATAATAAAGATAAAGACTATGAATTAGAAATTTCTTGGATAAGTAAAGAGCATACTGGTGGTAGACATCAGTTTATACCTGATGATTTATTAGAAGATGCAAAAAAACAAGCTGATGAAGAAGATGATGAAGAAGAAGATGAAGATGAGGAAATGGAATCGTAAGTTGTATAGCTATTTTTAAGTAATAGAATGTCATAAAGTATTGAATTTTGTTTGTAGAGTTTTTACTTTTCTTTAATTGAATAAATGTAAACAAATAACAAAAAAAAAAAAATACGAAATTGATCTGAAACAATTTCAAAACTACAACTATAAATTTTGATATATATAACTACAAATGAAACTTTAATGCACAATGTCGGCTGAAACAGATTCTATTGAATCTCCAATTGCTTTTAAATCACCACAAGATTTATCAATTTCAATGGATTTTTCTGAAGATCTGGTTATACATTCACCAACACAAAGAAATATTTCAAGATCGTCAAGTCCATTTATAACTCATCCAGAATCCCCAAGTAAAAGTCAAGAAGAATTAGTGGTACCTAGAAATATATCACCTTGGAGACAATTCCGCTCAATAAAACCGAGCATTACTACAACAACATCATCTTCAATTTTTCATAATAAACCTGACCTTGGGCCAGATGCAAATAACGTATTTATAGATACAAATTCTAAAGAAGAGGAATTGAATAAAAGAATAATCAATTACAAGATCCAAATTAAACTAATGAAAAATTTTTTACAAGATTTAATTGAAAAGAATAAACTAGATCCAAAAGAATTAAAAAGTATAATGCCAATTGAAGAATTTAAAGACGCGTCGTTGTCATCAGCTGAAATTGAACTAAATGCATTAAAAAAAGATTACGATGAATTATATAAATTAAATCAAGATATGTTTACAAGTTTTGGAGAATTTGAGCAAAAAATTAAAGTTAGAGATCTAAAATTGAGAGAAGCTGGTAAATTACAAGAAGTCATTTTGGAAAATGCACAAACACATGGAATCGAACAAGATCTACCTATTGACATACAACTCAAGAGATTACTAGATAAACTTAATTATAAATCTGCTCAAACTATTATATTAACTCCACCTTCATCAGATAATGGTAAAGATACAGATATAATTAAGCAACTTGAAATTGAAAAATCAGATTTATTCAAGCAATTAGAATCACAAAACGAGGAAATTACTGAATTAAAGCATAAATTAGAGTTAGCTCAGAATCAAAATCACACGAATTCTTCAAATAATGTACATATTCAAAATGAGGAAACTATCGAATTAAAGAATAAACTAGCTAAAGAACAAGAATTGACTAAGCTGTTGCAAACTCAAAATGAAGAATTTATCATTTTGAGAAACAAAGTACTCAAAGATGAAGAATTAACTAAACAACTACATGCACAACAAGAGGAAAATGACAAATTAAGACAAAAGATATCTGAGGATGAAGGTTCAAGTGAAAAAATAAAAATCAAAAATGAGGAAATCAATAACTTGAAACAAAAAGTAGCTTTCAATAAAGATTTAACTAAAGACATTGAAGCTCAATCTCAAGAGATTAATGATTTAAAACAAAAACTAGTCAATGAAGATCAAGTAGATGTGGTCAAACAATACCAAGCTCAAATTCAAGAACTCAACACTAATTTAGATTCAGCTAAAAAAGCATCTCAAGAATATCAGCAACAACTACAAGCATTACAAAATGAACATGTAAAACTACAACAACACGCAAATAATTATAATCTTCAAGAACTGAGTCTAATGACTGAATATTTAGATTTACAAAATGCTTATTCAAAAATAATTGAAGAGCTTAATTCAACAACAGAGTCATTATCCATTTTAAAACAATCAAACGACAAAGCCTTAAATGAAAAATCAACCGAGTTAAGAAATCAACAAATTAAAATTGAAAATTTAAAGAATGAACTCACCAACGCAATAGATAATCAAAGAAAAAATTATTCAGAAAAAATTCAAACATCATATCAAAATGAATCACTACAAAAGGAAAATGAATCATTAAAATCAAAGATTGATAAATTAACCGAGTTTATGCATTTCCAACAAAATGATAATAAAAATCAAGACAATATTAAAAAATTATCAATAGTTGAATTTCAATACAAAGATTTACTCACATTTGACATGACACAATTTTCAAAATTATTAAAATCGTTCAATAAAGTAGCAGAAGATGAATCAATATTAAATCCAACAAGAAAATACGAAAAAATAATGAGAAAATTATCAAATTTTACACTTGATGAAAAAGATATAAATTTTATAAGAGAAAATCATAAGTCAATTTCAAATTATTTTGTAAGAGCTACTGATATGATTATCAATGATCATGTAAGATTATTATTAAAAGAAAATGATCATGTCTTACAGAAACAAAATGAAAGATTGACTGAACAAAATTCACAACTACTGAAAGTAATTGAAGAGTTGAAAAGTGGTGGTGGAACTGATTCTTCAATCACTGAATTAAGGTTTAATGATATAAGAAGAAGATGGAAAGCTGAAAGAGAAAGAAGAATTTTTGAAGATAGTGAAGCTCAAAAGAAATTTAGGGAACTAGAAGACGAGATTGCTAATAGATAAAGAAATATGTTAAGTAATGTTTAAAATAGCTAATAATGATTATAATGATTTTTACTGTTTTAGATTTGTAGCATTTCACACTACCACTCTTTATTATTTTAATTTTTTTTTTACTGTTTAAAAATTTTTCAGTTTACGATCTACTAAAAACAAACTTCAATAAATAAATTCACCACTAAAATGTCAATTAATGAAGAAGATTATCTTCAACTTGAAGAAGAGATCAACTTAGATGATATTGATTTTTCAGATTTAGAAGAACAATATGATGCTGATGTTGGCTTAGATAATTATGTAATAGTTGATGGAGCACCAATTGCACCAGAATCAAAAGTTCCAGTTTTGTTAAAAGTCTTGAGAAAATTATTTAGTAGTGCTGGTGAAATTGTTGAAGGAGATGAAGGTATGCATATGCCCTTGGAAAATGGTAAATCAAAAGGATATCTTTTCATTCAATACAAGACTTCACAAGAAGCTGATACAGCAATTAAAAAATTACATGGGAAAAAATTAGATCAAAATCATAGATTATTAGTTAATAAATTATCAGACATTGAAAAATTTGGTAATATTAGCAATGATTTTAAAGAACCAGAAATTGAACCATTTAAATCACATGGGTATTTAAATAGTTGGTTACAAGATGAACAAGGTAGAGATCAAATAATTTTACATTTTAGTGATACTGTTGGTATTTATTGGAACAAAAAATCAAATGAACCAGAACCATCAGTTGAACCTAGAAAAGGTTTTACTTCAAAATATGCAAGATTTTCACCAAAAGGTACTTATTTATTTTCTATTCATCCTCAAGGTATTCAATCATGGGGTGGAGATAATTTCCATAGTATTAAGAGATTTTTCCACAATCAAGTTAGATTAATTGATTTTTCTCCAAATGAAAAATATATGGTTACTTTATCACCAGTACCAATTACTTTACCAGATTCAGCTCATGAAAGACAACAGTTTCCATTCGGACCAGAAAGTGAAGGTCATAAATTAGTAATTTGGGATATGAATACTGGTGAGCCAGTTAGAACATTTGCATTACCACCACATTTAGAACATCAAAAGGAAATGCCGTGGCCATTAGTTAAATGGTCATATGATGATAAATATTGTGCACGTCAAGGACCTGATGCTTTAGCAATTTATGAAACTCCAAGTTTTCAATTATTAGAGAAGAAATTAGTTAAAATTGATGGGATTCAAGATTTTGAGTGGGCACCAGCTGGAGTCAAATTACATAACTCAAGACAAGAGGAAGGTGAACATATCTTATCATATTGGACTCCTGAAAGTACAAATCAAACTGCAAGAGTTGCAATTATGCAAATTCCAAGTAGACAAGTTTTACGTACTGTTAATCTTTTCCAAGTAAGTGATTGTAAAATGCATTGGCAAAGTGAAGGTAAATTATTATGTATAAAAGTCGATAGACATACAAAATCAGGTAAAACTATATTTTCAAATCTTGATTTTTTCAAAGTTAGTGAAAAAGATATACCAGTTGAAAAATTAGAATTAAAAGATGTTATTGTTAATTTTGCATGGGAACCAAAAAGTGAAAGATTCATTACTATAAGTAGATTAGATGATGGCAATCCAAATCCTGCAATTCCAAAAAATACAATTACATTTTATGCACCAGAAGTTACAAAAGGGAAAAATGCAAGTACCAAATATAAACCTTATAAGAAAATTGAAAATAAACATTCAAATACTGTTATTTGGTCACCAAAGGGAAGATACGTTGTAGTTGCAACTATTTCCAGATCATCAGGAGAAATTGAATTTTTTGATGTTTCATTTGAAGATGATACTAGCAGGAAAGGTAATGCCACTAATGTTAAATTATTAAAAACTGATAAATATGCTGGTATGACAAATATTTCATGGGATCCTTCTGGAAGATTTGTTAGTGCTTGGTCATCAGCTTGGTTACATGCTATAGATAATGGTTATAGATTATATGAATTTACAGGTAATGGATTAAGAGATGAATCAATAGATCAATTTAATGATTTTATATGGAGACCAAGACCAGAATCATTATTAACAAACAATGATAAAAAGAAAGTACGTAGTAACTTACGTGAATATTCAGCACAATTTGAAGAATTAGATGCTATGGAAGCTGATGCTGCCGTAAAAGAAGCTATTTTGGCAAGAAGAAAAGCATTAGAAGAATGGAGAGCTTACAGAGCTAAACATTTCCACAAAAACACAAAGACAAATGATGTTCAAGCTGAAATTATTGAAGAAATTAAAGAAGAAATTATAGAAGAAAAAGAAGAAATTGTTGAATAGACAATAAATAAATAAAAATAAATAAATAGAACTTCTATTTAATATATACAAGTGCATCCTTCTAACTAGATTTAGTCTTTAATTGTAACCCATGCCATTGTTTGATCTCATCTTTTAGTAAATCATTAACTAATCTATGTTGTTTTATCATTGGTAAACCTTTGAACTTAGAACTTTCAACAAATATAGCAAACATTGATCCACAACCTCCAGATACATCTTGAACTTTTAAATTGGTTGGTTGGAATTCTGAATTTAATATATCATAAATTTTGGTTTCATATTCGCCCATATTTTGAGTTGTATATGATCTTCGTATTATATTTGAAAATAGTAGTCTTTGACTTGTCTGCCTTATTGTTCTATTTAGCTGGAGCATTGTTAATTAGTGTTACTGATAAGTAGATGATTATTAATGTAGTTGATAATAGAAATTAAAAATCCAAATAATAATAATCTTCATTGCGTGGTAATTGGTAGTGCTGAAACATGAATGTTTTTCAATTCTGATTCAATTTAATGATTTGGATGCAAAAACCTATTAATTCAAAGTAGACTAATACAGCAGATAAAAGAGTAAATTTTGGGATTTCTTCCTCTAAGATTTTGAATCATACGATATTTTGTTAAAAGCTCTAGTAGAAAAATGGGTTTAAATTGAGTTAACATAACGGAACCACTGTTTCGGACTTCATTAATTGATAGATCGACGGTTAATTTTTTTTAAGTGTTAACAGATTGTTACAGATTTTAAGGACTTGCCATCTTTAATTTGGTTGTCTTTACCTACTAATTGGCTTTTTCAAAATCTATGAATTGCATTGAATAGTTTAATAATAGAATTTAATAAATCAAAAAATTAAATTTCAAATCGCGAAATTAACTGGACGCAAATTCCGAATTGTTTTTGGACATTTAAGTTCATTCAATTAATTTAATACAAAACAATAGAAGAATGAGGTATGTATAAACTACTCAATTAATATGAACGAGCTCAATACTAACACCCAAATTTAGTGGTAAATTTGTTAGAGCCTCAAAGTATCGTCATGTCTATGGACAACCATCAAAAAAAGAATTATGTTATGAAAATTTAAAGATAACTAAGAATGCATGGGATTCAAATATTATTCAAACCAATGGTAAATATATTTCAGTTAATTGGGATGCTTCAGGAGGTGGTGCATTTGCTATAATTCCAATAAATGAAGTTGGTAAAGCTCCAGATACTGTTTCATTATTTAGAGGTCATAAAGGTCCTGTTTTAGATACTGCTTTTAATCCTTTTAATGAACAAGAAGTTGCAAGTTGTTCCGACGATGGAAAAATATTAATTTGGACTATACCTGATGATTATTCATTTCATAAGTATTTAGATGAAGAGGAGGAAGTTAAAGACATTATTGAACCAACCAAAATTCTTGAAGGACATTCTAAAAAAGTTGGATTGATTAATTATCATCCATGTGCTGAAAATGTATTGGCTTCAAGTTCATTAGACTATACTGTTAAAATTTGGAATACTAAAACTGGTAAAGACGAAATTTCTTTAAAACATAAAGATCTAGTTACTTCATTTGCATTTAATTATAATGGTTCATTATTAGCAACGACTTCAAGAGATAAAAAATTAAGAGTTTGGGATGTAAGAAAAGGTGAAATTATTTCAGAAGGTGCTGGTCATAGTGGAGCAAAACCATCAAGAGTTTGTTGGTTAGGAAATACTGATAGAATTGTAACAACTGGGTTCTCAAGATTATCTGATCGTCAAGTTGGTATATGGGATATAAATAATGTGGAAAAGGGTCCAATTGATGGATTTTTGGTGGTGGATGCATCATCAGGTGTGTTAATTCCATATTTTGATGAGGATACCTCAATATTATATATTGCAGGAAAAGGTGATGGTAATATTCGTTATTATGAATATGAAAATGACTTGTTATATGAATTATCACAATATGCATCGACAGATCCACAAAGAGGATTTGCAGTAACCCCAAAAAATAAAGTCAATGTAAAAGAAAACGAAGTAGTCAAGAGTTTCAAAACAGTGTTAGATAATTCAATCGAACCAATTAGTTTTTATGTACCAAGAAGGTCAGAGTTATTTCAAGCTGATATATATCCAGATTGTCCATCAAGTGAACCAGCAATTAGTGCAGAAGATTGGTTTGGAGGTAAAGAAGTTAATGGGCCAATTTTAATGACAATGGAATCAATATTTGAAGGTAAGAAACCCGAATTTAAAGATAGTAAACCAGCTACAAAAGTATCAGAAGCTAAAGAACAAAGTGATAAGCAAAAGGCTGAAGCAAGACAAAAGGAAAAAGAAGAGAAGGAAAAACAGAAATCTACAATTAAAGTTGAACCTAAAAATATTGATACTCAAAAGGATGAACCAAAAAATGTTGATGATGTATTAAAATCATCAAGTGAAATTGGAAATTTAATAAATAAAGTAGTTGATCAATCAGATGACGAAGATCCAGAGCTTGATTTAGATGACAAGGAAGATGATTGGGAAGAAGTTAAAAAATCTGATGTTAAATCTCTTTCATCCTCAGAAAGTAAGAAAGAAGATCCGAAACAAGAAGAAACAAGGGAGGAAGAACCAGAGAAAGTAGAATCTAAGAAGGAAGAACCGAGGAAAGCGGAAAGTAAGAAAGAGGAACCAGTAAAAGAAACCAAGAAAGAGGAACCTGTCAAAGAAACCAAGAACAAAGAATCTGAAAAAGAAACTAAAATTGAAGAGCCAGTACAGGTAGAACAAATAAGTAAAGAAGCAGTCAAACCAGTAGAGACAATTAAAGCAACAGAAGTTTCAACTTCAAAGAAAGAAGAATCACCATCATCATCAACCACCACCACCACAACAGCGAAACCAACTTTAGGTTCAGCGATTGAAAAATTATCAAATTTAGTAATTAAATTAGAATCACAAGTTGAAAAATTAACAGAACTGGGATTAGAAAAAGATGAAAGATTGAAATCTTTAGAAGATAAAATTGAACAATTACTTAGAAAATAAATAAATCATTGCTAGTTTATAAAACATATATTATAAATGTATATCTAGTTGTAACCTTATTTTTTCAATTCGTAAAATCTTTCAAAAACAAATTCTATCAAATCGTTTGAATTGAAAACCACATTACCATTAAACATCTCTAATTTGTGTTTATTTTCATACTGTAAATTTAAAAAATCATCTATTGTTAAAATTTGAGAACCACCACTTAATACAATTTGATTTTTAGTAACTTCAATTGTAAATTTTCCAATTTGATAACAACTAAATATAAATTCTAGTTTTGATGAATCTCCATAGTTATTTTTAAGTAGAATATTGGAATCTTTTAATTTTTTAACATTGACTTTATATGATCCAAATTCTGGTAATCTATTTCTTTTTCTCAATTCACGATTATAAAAATATTGTTTACTGAAAATAGGTATAATGTTGAAAATTTTTTTATCTTTAGGTTTCAATTGTGAATTTTTCAAAATTAAGTCAACATGATCTTGATATTCTCTTAGTTGTTTACCTAAGAATTTTTGTTTATCTGATATTTTTTTCAATACTTGGACCGACATTTGAAGTTGTTCTTTTCTCTTATTTCTCTGAGTATCTTTTTGTTTAATATCTGATACTATTTGGTTCAATAATTCTTGAAATGAATTCTTTCTGGTGACTTCTCCCATCAATTCCAATTTTAAGATATTTTCCAAACACATTTTTTTCAAATCGTGGTATGTCATTTTGTTCAAATTTCCAACTGATGTATTGTGATATGGTTTTGATTTCGTATCTTTATCGTCTTTCTCTTCATTTTTAATTTGTTGAAATTTTTGTTCATGCTGGGGTGTAATACCTGATATCAATAATTCTAATAAATCATCTCCGTCATCTTGTACCCTGATAATGTATAACAAACAACGTTTAGCTTGTGTGAACAATAAATCGGTTTTGGAGTTCAGTAAAGATTCTGACTTATCAATTGGATTTAAATATAATGTTAATGATGACAAGTCAGTTAATGCAATTAAATCATTTGGTGAACTCATTAATTTATCTAATTCATTTATAATATTTGTCAACTCGTCATTTCCATTTGACATGACATTGATGTTAGTGAATGCGATTTTTTCTAATGAAATCATTGAATTGATCTTCATCGTTAACTTTGGTTTTTCATTACTAACAATATCATCAAACTCATTTAATTTATAAATAGCATCGATATCTCCACTAATATCAATTATTTTTGAAGTAACTTCCGTTATTTTATAAGTAGTTGAAGCAATATATTCATTTAATGGCTTTAAAAAATTGTCATTAAATGGTTTCATACTAAATACTTGTAACATAACTCTATTTAAGTAACGTAAATTACTTTGATCCTTCATTGATAATTTTTTCGTGAAACCAAAATTTTGAGGTAGCTGTAATATAGCCCCGAAGTAATGTTTCCAAAAACAGACACCTGCTACTGCTAAGTGTTGAGATTCATTTTTGTCTGGGAAATAAGATTTTGATAATAAATAAGCTTGGTTACAGATCAATTTTATATGAACTGGTATTCTGAAAACTATTGAATCAATTAAATTAATAATATCCGAACAATGTTCTCTTAAACTCATTAAATTTGAAACAAACTCTGACGCTACATTAGGTAATTTGATCGCTTCTTGTGGTGACAAGCTTTTGTTGTTTTCACTATACCCATGCACTCTAATTTCTCTTGTTATAATATTTGAATGAATTATAGTTGGATCACTTTCAAAATTTAATTCTTCATCATCAATTAAATTGTTTACATATTTCCCAAATAATGATTTCAAGTGTTGTCTTTGGTATGAATGATTATTGAATTTGGTTAAAAATTCTGTCCAAAATGTATGCTGAGATTTAGTAATATCACTAATATTGTTCAACTCTCTAAAATCATTTTCCATAATTGCTAATATTAATTTCATGAGAAAATATTCTTCTCTGCTGTGATGACTTATTGATGAATTTGCTATTGGGAATAAACTAAAGATATTTTCATTTAGTGATTGGTGTGATTTGGAGTCCTTCTGTGAATAATCTATTGATCTAAATAAGTTGGCAATATAAATTGGTTTTGTTTGTAAAATATAAAATAACGATTGATACAATTCCACTCTTTCTCTTGATGATTTATTCAATCTTTCTAACTGTTTGGAATCAGTAGCTTGAATCAGACGTCTAAATGAGCTTCTCAGATTTGAAAATTCCTCAATTGTTATTTTGTTCTTTTCCAATAAACTTAATTTTAAATCGATGTTTTCAATTGAACTTTCCAAATTTTCATTTTGTTTAGATATTTCAATAATAGAGTCCTTATCTTTTGAAAGTTGAAATTCCTCTTGGAAATCTGCATCATTTTGAGATAATAAATGCGCAAATTTCCTAAGCACCTTGAGTGACGCATTATTACTCATTAATAAAGAATTATAATCATTTTGCGCTAAACTTCTTCTTATGATGGCTTGAGCCTTAATAACATCTTCAACATTTTGATGGTAATAGTTGTCAATAAAGTTGAGCTCAGTTCTTATTATATTACCCCTGATTTTAGATTGTAATGTAATAAATTCATCGACGTGATTATATGCATCATCTTTCAAAATTTCTTTATTAAATCTAGTCAAAACACCTCTAAATAATGATTGAACAGGTATGATTGATTTATTTTCGTAGTAAATTAGTTGAGATTTCGTTTCATTCACTTGTTTTCTAACTTTGTTACCTCTAAAAATGGAATATAATTCATTTAAAATATCATCTTCGTGGAGTAAAGTAACCAAGACGTTATTGCACAAACGAGATCTTGAAATACCTCCTCTTGCAATACTTTGAAATTCTGTAATTGATCTTTTATTCGATCTAACAATTTGATGCTTATAATTTATGTTATGAATAACTAAATCTCTTCTTATCAATGATTGTAGTTCTATAAGTCTTTCAGGTTCAACAAATTGAGTTTTGGAATATTTTTTACTTAATTTACTTCGACAAATTGATTGCACTTGTACAACTGGATCCATTATTTCATCTTTGTTTGATACTAAAATTTTCACAATATTGTTGACGAATTTCATTCTGATGATGGATTGTAAATCAACAACTCTGGACTTACAAAATTCAAGCGCCTGCTTGTTATTAAAAAAGGTTTCTCTTTGTACTTTACCTCTGCAAATGCTTTGAAGTTTAATAATTCGATTATCCTGAACTTGAGGCTTTTTGGTAGATACTAATTTTCTTCTGATTATCGATTGAAGTTCAATAATTTCAAAAGTATATCCTCTCAATTCATCTCTATGTTTATGAGTTGTCTTTCTCCTAGTAAAACTACCTCTTATAATTGAACAAAATGTAGTTAGTTCTTCTTCATATGATTTGAGTATGATTTTTGCAACAAACATCGAATATCTAAGATTTGCACCCCTTGCTAATGATTGTAACTTAATAACATCAACATCTTTATCATCCAAAATTGTAGTGTATGTAACTTCTGAAGTTGACTTAATTTCAAACTTCAAATCCTTAGTTGAGCATTTAGTCAGTGAATTTCCCTTGTCATCTAAAAAAGGATTAACTTTTTCCACTGTTTTTGATTTAGCCGGTGATGCTTTTATTGATGATGATTTGATTGGTGATGATTTAATTGGTGATGACTTAATTGGTGATAAAATCTTATTCATATATTTTGGTTCTTCATCTGAATCTGTTGTATCAGCGCTAGAAAAATTAGGTAATGGAGCATTAATTAATGATCTATTTGCGAAAATTATATCATCATCCAGAAACTCCAAATGCAATTTTGTGAGGTCTTTTATCAAAGGATATCTTGAATCATTTTTATGTAAAATATAGCTTAATGCATGTAAACAAAACCAAACTTTTGGAACATTTTTTGAATCATATAAATCAGTTAATTCGAATCTGAATAAATCTGGAATATTTAAAAATTCTGAAAGTTGGAAAAATCTATTTATATTTTCGGTATGTTTAAATTGTAGTTTTGAATCATTCATAAAAACAATTTTTTTTGTAGGTAATATACAATTTGATAATTTTGCTAAATAAATTCCATTTTTTATATATGTGATTAATTCTGCTGGTGATTGATCAATATCTTCATTTATTATAACTTCTAACCATTCTTTGATTGCTTGAATACGACATAAATATTCATAACCTGATGAAGTTTTTGATGCATTTTTATTTGGTGAATTAAAATTATATGGTCTTTTTGATGTTGGTGGGGTATCTATTATTTCCTTTGATGCCGAGCTTTTGACTGGTGATTTACTCAATAGGTCTTTATAGTTTTTCTTTGCCCAACTTGGAGTTTCATCTTCTTCTTCATCTTGAAATCGTCTATCCAATGATGTTTTTGCTGTTGATTTGAAAGAAGATATAGTTGCTGATGGTGAATTAAACATTGATTTTAACGTGGCAGTTGAATTACTTTTTTTACTTGGAGATAGTTCTAGTTCTCTTGCTAAATCATCTAAATCTTGGTCATCATATTTTTTACTCGAGTTGAAAGGTGATGATGAATTTAATCTATTTGCTGGTTTTAAAATATTATTATTCTTATTCGAGAATAATTTATACAGTGACATTATTGACGCATGTGACGTAACGATTACTCAAGGCAGATGATTATTGATTGATATTGATAATTTGTAGTTGAATATTAAGTCTGATTAATGATAAAATTGTTTCTCTTTTCTGTTAGTAAAGTTTTATTGAATAAAATAAAATATTTATGTTTCATCCTAAAATGGTCAAAATGTAAACAAAACCAATTAATTAATATATTATTATATAAAACATTTGATTTCTGGACCAGAATTACCTAATTGGATTAATGAACCACTTGAAATCCGAGAAAAAGTTCTCAATTGATGTAATTAATAGTTAAATGAATGATTCAGTCGACTTCAAAAGCTTTGAAAATGAAAATCTCAAAACCAAAATGAAACAAAAACTCAAGGTCAAAGCGTGATCAATTGCTTCCGAAAAAAAGTCGAAACAAAATTCAAAATGTTGATAGCCTTTTAGTTATACTTAACTTTGTTCGTTTAGATTTTCATTTTTCATGCATTAAAGCCTGAGATGAATCTATATGGTATGAATAAGTTAATAAGTTGACCATAAGGCAGATAAATGACACAAAAACTTGTCACAAATCCGCATAAGTTTGATCAAAACATTTTACGAAATTGACAATCAATCTACATTTGTATCTCCTGATAATTAAATTAAATGATTAAATGTCGGGTACAGATTCAATTATTAACAATGGTATTCAATCAAACCTAGAAAATGAGGGAATCCAACACAACAACTTGAAGCTATACGGCTATTTAATACTAATATCAACTTGGTTACTTTTCACAATTACAATAATTTCATTTTTCAAAATCTGGAAATTTATAATATATCCATTAAATTCAACGCCAATATATGATGATTTACTTTTGTCTTTGGAAAGTTTTGATGATGTTTTAGTAAAATTATGGTGTATTTATATTGTATTTTGGTGGTGGGCTTTTATTTCATGGACTGGATTAAAATTATTTAGACATTCAAAAGGTATACAAACATAATGAGATCAACTTATTCACTGACTTAATATGTTGTCATTTTTATTGATGAAAAGTTTCATTGATGAATCTTGTGGAGTCCCTTTGGCCGAGCTTGTAACGTATACTTCAAAGTTAAAAGATGTTGAATATTCAAGAGATTAGATAAATTTCAAGGTGTGTAATTTGATCGCACTTCAAGTGTTCCTTCATGAGCTACTACATTTGACGGCAAAAAAAAATAGTCTTCTTGTGACTAAACCGTTGCTTGTGGTGACCGTTGACTTCCTTTTCCTGAGATTTCAGATAGAGCTTTATCAAGTTGTATCAAGGGCCACCTTATTTTGGTTACTCTCATTAAAGTTCTTAACAGGATTTTATACAATAAATGTTTCTGAACAAATCACTAAGGAGAATTCTCCAGGTCACTAGTATTGTGGTTATGTATTATTCAATATACATAAAGATAGAAATTTTACAGTTCTTATCAAATTGTTTTAAAAATAGTCGTACGAAAATGCAATTAAGACGGCAATTATAAGTCAATTGAATCATTCAAGTCGTCGTATTCATTAAGGGCTTTCACTATAAAGTTTTGCTATTAAAGTAAACTATTTGGATAAAAACTCAATAGTTTTATTAAACCTGTCAAATTCCATCTTTAGATTAGGTAGTTTAGTATTGATTAAATCAAATTTCAATAAATACTCATAATATTCTTTGTTAAACTCATTAAAATCAATACTTCCCAACCCACCATCTCCTTTCTCTTCTTTTAATCCAGCTTCTTCAATCTCAGTGTTAATATTGTTAATAACTTCACTTACTTCATTATCAATTTTTGAAACTAGTTGGAAATACTTATCTTGAGCTCTTTTGGGTAGTGTTCTTTTCAATTCACCAATACTTAGTATCATATCATCATATTCGATTAATATATTTCTTAATTTATCATTAATTTCAATATCAAATAGTTCAACATTTGTATCATTATCATCAACTTTTAGTATTGTTTTTATAGATTCATTACTTAAATCTTCTCCGTCTATTAGTAATGATTTCAATAAATTTTGAAATGAATTTAATAAATAAATCTCTATATCTTTATGAATTTTGGATTTGAGTGGATCTTCTGATGTTGTTGGTAAATGTAAATCTAATTTTGATATTGTTGATGTTAGTATGTTTGAATATAGAAATTTTAATTCTTTCTTTGATATTTTAACTTTTTCATAATCGTCTTGTACATCAAAAGTTGAGTTCATTCTTGAGAATACAACCTAGTGGTACTAATGTCTATGGATTGATGGTTGTAAATTGTTTGTTTACTAAATTGATTCTGTGTATATGTTTTTTGATCCAGAAGTGAGCTACCAAATTTGGAGTCACTTGGTAGTGCTGCACCACTATAGTTGTTCAAAATTTAACGATAGACTTTTATCAAAGCAAGACCAATTCATTAAGCAAAGAAAAATCAAATTCAAGTAATTACTACCAAAATCTAAATCACCAAATACGCAATTGCACTTATTATGTCAGAGACTTTAGGTGATGAATTTTATCCATCTTTTGCTCCATTCTTAGGATTCGGAGGTTGTGCAGCAGCAATGATATTATCATGTACAGGAGCAGCAATAGGGACTGCAAAATCAGGAATTGGTATAGCAGGTATTGGGACTTTTAAACCAGAGTTGATTATGAAATCTTTAATACCAGTGGTCATGTCAGGTATATTATCAGTTTATGGGTTAGTTGTGGCTGTTTTAATAGCTGGTGGATTATCACCAACTGAAAATTATAGTTTGTTTAATGGATTTATGCATTTAGCTTGTGGATTAGCTGTAGGGTTTGCTTGTTTAGCTTCAGGGTATGCAATTGGTATTGTGGGGGATGAAGGTGTTAGACAATTTATGCATCAACCTAGATTATTCGTTGGGATTGTTTTAATTTTAATTTTTGCTGAAGTTTTGGGACTTTATGGTATGATCATTGCTTTGATATTGAATACTAAAGGTAGTGGATAGTTTTTGAGAGTAAGTAGAGATTTTAATAAAAGAATTTTAAAAATTGACTATTTTGGTTTATATATTACAATCTTAAACTTTTTTTTTCTAACTAATTTCCATGGCATCTTCATTTTTTGGTTCTTCTTTTGCAGGTTCTTCTCTCTTGGATTCTTCTTGAATTTTATCAGTATTTTCATCATTAGTTTTCCCAATTGTTACGTTACCTTGATCATCAATATATTGAGATGAATTTTTCTCCAAATATTGAACAGATCTATCAGAATCCAAAAATAACATATATGCTCTTTTGATATCTTGTAATTCCACTTGATTTGATCTCTTCTTTAAAGCAATTTGTTGAGCAACTGATATTAAATTACTTGAATATCTTAAACTTGTTTCTTGACCAATTTTAGTTAATAAAGCTAATGCGTCAGCACTTAATTCAACTTCTTCTTCATTCGATCTTATTGATAATATTGTTCTTATTTCATCACTTGTATAATGAGTTGTATGTATAATTATTGATCTATCTAACAAATCTATTGGCATACCATGTGGAGATTTATAATCAGTACCTCTTGTTTTACTTATACCTCTATTTGTGGCCATTATAACAATTGGTGAAAAATCATCTTCTAAAGCTCTATTTATAAATGAAAAACATTCTATATCTAACATATGAACTTCATCAATAAATAAAACACCAGGTATAATTTCTGCTTTACCTTCTTCTTTCCATTCTGCAACCTTTGTATTTATTTGATCTCTAACCTCTGATCTTATCTCTCCCGTGTCACCAGAGAATAAGGCTAAAAATCCTTGTTGTCTTGAATTTATTACATCAATTTCATGTAATGATACAGTATGTACAACTTCTTTTCTCTTTTGTAATTCACCTTCTGGACATTGTACAAATTTAGTTTCTGGTCCCATTGCATCATAATCTCTTGCTCTTGTGAATGATTTACCTAATTTTGTGATTTTACCACTAGCTTTATCTATTGATATAACATCTCCTGCTAATACTTTTTCTTTTGTTAATCCTTCAATCATCTTGTTTCCTAATTCATATATTGTTTCCATATCTGTTGTCTTAATAGTTAATTTCCCTTGTTTATGACCACCAGTGATTGATCTATCAATTTGAATTTCAACAACTTCTCCTTCTATAATCTCAGTTTCTTCTTTAATTCTTATCCCAATAGATTTTCTAAAAGCTTGAATTAAGGCTTCAGTTTTCGATAATTCTAAACTATATATCTCAGATGCAGCAATAGCAGTGAAAGGTATATCACTGCCCAAACTTTGCGATAATCCCATTGCAATTGCTGTTTTACCAGTTGATGGTGGTCCGGCAATTAATACAGCTCTTCCAGCTATTTTACCTAATTGAACCATTTTTAATACTATACCCGCAGCTTTTCTGGCTTGCAATTGCCCCACCATTCCTTGGGCATTTTCTTTGGGTTGTAAGTTATCATCTAATCCTAAACCTGTTATATGGGAATGAGCTGCTATTAATGATAATCCATTGACATCTTTTGTTGTGACTTTTGTGTTAATTGGTGTGGACTAAAGTATAAGGTTGTTAGTATTCAAATGCTATTAAAACTCAGGCTAAAACTGAAACAATATATACATACCATCGTGGATTAGGTGATGATGATTGTAGTTGATCTTTTTGATGGAATAACGATGAATTTTCAATACATCATTTTTTCAGACAGTTTCGTGAGGCGAGAGCTACCACAAGAAGGTTGGTTTCGAGAAAATCTTCAAATCTGCGAGACACTTATTAAGTCTATTTAGAGCCAATTAATGAGAGAGAATGACCGCTATTGATGATATATATTCAATTTCATGAAATAACTATACAATTGCCTTTAACTCCAAGCATATAATATACAATTTACAAAATAATAATATCAATTAGCTTGAATCTCACGTGACTACGACTATTAAACAAATTGAACATCACTAGCTAAGAAGAAATAGATTCTGAAAAAATAAATAGCTTAGTTAATCGTTCGAAATCTGTGTATTTATCAAAGGCTAGAGGAAAATCTTTGTAGTGTTTTAAACTTAGTTTAGCGTCTATATAAAAATGAAGTTTTATAGATACCATATTTTGTGTCGTATCGTTTTATCAAAATGCGCGACCGTGAGTGAAACATATCAGTAGTATATTTAGTTAGTCGTTTCAGTTACTATATCAGAGTAAATTAAATGGTGTAGAATGATCCATGTGATTAATATAAAAAATACCCTGCGTTTAACGTATTGATATTCAGGATCAATTCCTAGTCAAATCTATGATATATGAGTCTTATACTTACTAGTGAATATTCAGTTCCCATTAATAAATTCTTTACGTGGATTGGAAATACAATAAGACTTTCTAAATCCAAGTTTTAAATTCTTTTCAAGTAATACTGCGTATTATAATGTGACAGAATCACAGCCATTCTTCATTCATCGAGAAACCTGGTTAACTCTTTCAACAAATTACTTTTATTTAAATCTTTTCCAATGAAAACCAACTTGTTTTCTTCAACACCATCGACTAATTTACCGTTTTCAATTATTTCATATGTATCTCTGACTCCTTGAACAACTCTAACGTCATCTTTGTAAACCAATAATCCTTTTAATCTGTGGATTTCAATATCCTCCATCTCCCACAATAAATACTGGAAGAATTTCTCCACTTTATTGAATCCAGTTTCATCTTTAAAAAATGGGAAGTTTATAGTTATTGTTGTTATTCTATGATCATGAAAACTAGCATGTGTCTCAACAAATTTTGAATTAACATCAAATGCATGTAGATCTAAAATCTTGTCTAAATCTATATCTCCAAAACTTGTAGGGTATATTGGAGCGGTTTGATTTATACTTTCTATTCTTTCTATTATACTTTTGGAATCTTTAATTTTATCTGATTTGTTTAACAAAATTGTATCAGCTAATGCAATTTGCAAATGAGCAGTTGTAACTCCTTCTTCTACTTGTTCTAAATCATGTTCTTTATGCCAATGACCTCCAACATCATCCAAACATCTTAAAATATTTTCTGAATCAACTACCGTTATTACACCATCAATATATATATTAGATGCTAGTCCATCATCTAACCAAAACATCTTTGCAATTGGTGCGGGATCAGCAATTCCAGTTGTTTCTAGTAATATATAATCAATTCTTTCCTTGGAATTTTCTATTAGATTCTCAATAGCTGTAACTCCATTGTCTTTAACAGTACAACATAAACATCCATTACCAATATCTAACCATTCCTCAACACTATCATTTTTATCTTGAATCGTTACTGACTTTTCTATTACTGATGAATCACCAAATTCGTTTAGTATTATAGCTAATCTTTTCTTAGATTTTAATCCAATATGTTTCAATAAGGTTGATTTTCCAGATCCAAGATAACCTGTAACTATCGTTATTGGAATTTTCCTATTTGAAGTAGTTAATGGAGTCAGTGACGAGGATGAAAATGGAGTAGATTTGATTTTCTCTGTTTGTATTATTCCATCTGATGGTAAATTTGTAACTAATTCTGGTATTTCATCTTCCATACTTTGAAGCCGTACTAAAAATATAATAAATTGCAACAGTTGATTTTTTTTCATTTAGTTTTTGCAAAAACACCTTAACTTTACAACCAATTGATTCATGTTTAAGTTCAATAAGGTCCTTGATGCTGCGTTGGTGGCATTGATGTCTTATCATCTTGTCATTTCACCATATACTAAAGTTGAAGAATCTTTTAATATTCAAGCAATTCATGATATTTTAAATTATGGGGTATTTCCTTCAGATGTAATTGAAAATTATGATCATAAGCAATTTCCAGGAGTTGTTCCAAGAACATTTATTGGGAGTTTGATAATCAGTGCTATAGCTCAACCCATTATATTTGTTGGCTCTTTTTTTGGTTACGATTTGTTAGCAAATCAAGATCAATTGCAAATTGTTGTACGTGCAATACTAGGATTAATAAATGTATTGATGTTAATTCGTCTTAGAGATAGCTTAAATAAGATTACATTCAGAGATAGGTCTAGTAAAACTAAAGGTCTAATAGGATTCTGGTACTCAGTTTTATTATTATCACAATTTCATATCAACTATTATTCATCACGAACATTACCAAATTTTATTGCTTTGCCATTTGTCAACTATGCTTTAAGTTTACTATTAGTTGGTAACATTGCTGGTTTTACTTGGCTAGCTGTGGTTGGAGTTATATTTAGATCTGAGGTTGGATTATTCGGAGTAATAATAGCTATTGTTTCTTCATTAGGATTTGGGGAATCAAATATTTTTACAGATTTATTATTTTTATTTGTTGGTACTGTTTTTGGTAGTATTGCCTCAGTTCTTATTGATTCATATTTTTGGGGTAAAATTTTAATACCTGAAGTTGATTCATTCATATTTAATATTATTAATGGTAAATCACAAGATTGGGGTGTTGAACCATGGGGAGCATATTTTAAGAAATATTTACCACAAATTTTTAGACCTCCAATCATACTTGCATTAACAGGTCCTGGTCTTATTAATGATCCTGCTGATGATGGTGTAATTAATTTAAAAATCAGACATCCAGCTAGAAATTCATTACGTATTTTATTCATTTCATCAATTATATTTATTGCTGTCATGTCTTTTCAACCTCATAAAGAATGGCGATTTATTATATATACTATTCCAATTTTCACATTACAAGCAGCTAACGGAATGGCAAACATCACAATGAAATGGAGTTCAAGTTTTTCAAATAAATTTTTAACAATTATAATATCAATTATGATTCTCCTTAGCTCAATCTTATCATTACAAATGGGTTATGTGTCAAGCTTCAATTACCCAGGAGGTCACGCATTAGCTTTCACGAATAATTATATTAAAGATGCGACTAATGAAGTAAAAATCCACATGGATGTTCCAGCTTGTATGAGTGGTGTTACAAAATTTGGTGAATTACATAAACTAGATGTTTCATATGATAAAACTGAGAACGATGAAAATTTAGATTTGAATCAATTTGATTTTGTTATTACGACAGATGAATTAGAAGACTGGAAATTACTAAAAACTATAAAAATATTTCAGAAAGTAACTCTTGACACTATCTTTAAATTATTAGCTGCTCAAAAAATTGATAAAGCTACGTTACCAATTTTAATCAAGTTGATTTTTCAAGACTTTTTAAACGGATCAAACGAGACATTCAAAAACTTAATTAGATCAACTATTATGCTTGAGGACTATTTACATATATATGAGAATAAACTGACCAAACTAGAAAAATTGGAAAAGGTTAAGGGATTAAATATAAACGAAAACAAAGAAAACTTAGATAAAATAAAAACTTCATTAATTGTATAGTACATTAATTAACTTTTAACTTATTTGGTGGTGAAAATTTTACTTCATTCTCATCATTTACTGGGAATTTTATTGGTTTTATTCTTCCCATTCTTTTAGCTGTAGATAATAATGAGATCTCCGGATCATCAAATGACAGATTACTTGCAGGACTAATTTGTTCTGGACTTTTATATTTTGGAGGTGATAATGAAACAGTATAATCAAGTTTCATTGGTAAGGTAATCTCTTTCTTTTTTGGAGTAGATGATGCACGAGCTCTACTGAATCTTTCTCTTAAATTATTTATTTGTTGATCTCTGATCCTCAAAGAAGTTTCTTGTAATTTTATGGGACTTGTACCATTTGTTGATTTTGGTGTGGTAATTTTTCTAGGTGATGGTGGTTTATTTGGTGTTGGAGGTAAAATATATTTTTGTCGTTGTTGTTGATAGGTTCTTTTTGCAAGTGGAGATGAATGACTTACATATGTTGAATCAGCTAGAAGTTCCTCTTCTTCTTCAAGTTGTTTTTCTGTACATTTTTGAGACCATAAATGGAAAGCAGTTCTCTTGAGTCTATTGTTTTTCCTTTCTTGGAACGATTCGCATAATTGATAATGTCTTTTGATGTTTTTATTGAATTGAAATATCCAACTTTGGACTTTGCTTCTTAAAAGATCAAAGTTTTTTTCAGTAAAATGATCATCAGCTTGTTCGTTCAAGTCATCCACTAGGTCAAGTTTGTTTCTCCATTGAACATATAATTTTGCTATCAATTTATCTGATATTTCATATAAACGATCTTCTAATGCATATACTTTCTTGGTCTTTTCATACCAATGTGAAAAGAAAAATGAAACTCTTGGTATGAATAACTCTAGTCTATGATTTAGTTGATCAATTTTTATCTGAGTTTCAAAATATCTTGTCCTGACTATGCTTAAGAATTTTGATTTTAAATTTAATTCTGCGTTTTGCTTGAAGTTTTCCAAAAACTGTTCAAGTTTTTGTTCCTTGATAATGTCAAGTTTTCTTTTCCATATCTGAATCATAAATCTTATTGAAAATTTGTCTGAAAATGATAAACCATCAATTTCTCTGTCCCACATATGCAATTTCTTTAGCCAATTTTGAAAAATTTTATGAATGTAAAAATTATCAGCCTCAATTTGCAGTTCTTCAATATTTTGTTTTACCATCATCAATTGATTTAAATACTTTTTCTTTATGTTCATGTCAAAAGTTGAATACGCCAGCTTCTGTTTTATGATCAGATCTTGATACTTGTTCTCTAAGAGCTCCATTACATTCTTTGCTATTCCCTTATTCCTTAAAGAAATGAAGTTACCTGCTTTTGCTTGATTTAAAATAATTTTGCAGTACTTTCTCATCACCAATTTCTTCTTTTCGACATTCAACAATCCTAATTTATGTTCCATAATCCATTTCTTAATAAATGTTTTCATTAACGCTTGCTGATCCATCTTACGAACTTTTATCATACTTTTGGTTTCAAGGTTCCATTTGACCAAAGTGGAATAAGCTATTTTATTTATTCTATTTTGTAAAAACCAATTAACCTTCATTTCCAGTTGTAAATCATTTTTCCAAACTTTAAAAACAGCTAACCTAAGTTTCTCTTCTCTTTGTTTGATAATTTCGTTGCATTGGGTGTTCATTCTTTGAAGATTGAGCCATCTATTGAAACAAACTTGAACAAGCACTTGCTTCCTGTGTTGGATAAATTGATATAATCTTTTATTTAAATCAAAAGCATTTGAATTGCCTTGTAATCTATCACCCCATAATAAATAATAATCAAGTAAAAGACGAGACTCATGAGCTTTAATAAAATTATCACACTTATATAAAATTGTATCTTTATTTTGTAGAACCAGTTTCGTTCTGCTCTTCCATTTTTTCAACATATTCAATATAAGTTTCTTGTTTTCCAGATTCTGAACCTCGATATAATGATCTGAAATAATACGTGATCGATTTTGTATAATATTGATGTACTTCAGTCGATCACGAGCAGCAGCACGTACCAGCATTTCTCGAGTTTTATTCAAATCACACATAAGTTTTTTTAATACTCTTTTCTTCAAGCGTTCTTCACTCTCTAAAATTGCAATCCCACTTAACTCATCGTATAGCTTAGCGTTTTTAATCCATTTTTTTAGGTATCTCAGTAACTTCTGTAATTTATAATCCACAAGTTCCAACTTTTGCACTTCTTCACTTTTATGCATCCATAATTCTAAAGTGTTTTTCTTCATGGACAGTACTTTTTTAAATTCCAAATAACTTAATCTCATTAAAAGTGTAGATGAATTTGAGGTAAAAATCGATTGTAATTGTATGAATTCTTCAATTGCTATTTTGAAATTCTCTCCAGCTTCCAATTCAATTATGTCTGAGACTGAATCTTCAATTTTTTTAGAATATTCATAATCATATTTGCAACTTAATGCTGGAAATAATTTGCGAAAACGTAGGAAAGTTTTATAAATTTGTATAAAGTTTGGATTAATAATAAAATCTAATGCACTCAAATCATTTACCACTTGAGAAAGTTGTGGTAGAATCATACTTTCTTTTGGTCCGCCAAGGTACTTGAGATTAATTTTTTTTAATGATCTTGGAAACAATCTTGCCAAGTTGATATCAATTCTCTCAGCATCGTAGAAGCTAACTCCTTCGTGTTTTTTGAATAAGTTTATAATGATCCTTGATAACTGTGTAATTGGTAAATCTGGTCTCACTATTAATAACTGAGAAATTGTCTTGTAAATTTTTGAAAAATTCGAATTACTGACAGTCAATGACAACGGGAGTAATATCTCTACTTCATTTTTGATAGTTGAATCATTTTTGTCTATCCGTATATGAGAATTAATAAGATTGAGGATTAGATCAATATTTTCTGGAATTTCCATTTCATTACTTTTGTAGTAATTCAAATCATATAAAAGACAGTGGTTTAAATGATCAATAACATAATTTTCAGTATAATCTTGCATTTCTAATAAATTTTCAACAATCTCTAATAGTTTCTGAGCTGCTTCTTCATAATGATTTATTGGATTCTCAATTAAATAATGATAAATATGATGTAAAGTTGAATCGTTAATGAATGAAGATTTTAAATATTGAGTGATATGTTCTATAGATATCGGATCATCATTAATATTCCCATGACACCAAACTGAAAAAGTCCCAATTGTTTCAATATTTGTTTTAATTATTAATTTTAAAGAAATTTGATCTAATTGTAATAATATTAATAATTCTTTAATTAAATTATTTAAAACATTTTCATATTCTTTTAAATTTTCAACTGCTTCATAACCATACAATTGTTCAATCTCATTAAAAATATTAAGTAGTTGTTCTTTATAATTCATTATATCATCATATTGAATGTTAAATTGTTTGTTGAATATAAAAAAAATGAATGGTAATGTAATTGATTGTAAATAAAAGATCGCGTATATATTTAGAATAATTAAGAGAGAGTTAATTTTGTGTTTATTCATTAAATAAATCTAATTTTAGAAACTTAATTATTTAATCAAAAGTTGTATCAAAAAGATTAGAATAGATTAAGATATACTTACAAAGAAAGAAGATTATTAAAAGTGCTGCAGAATCATCCTTATCAAAGATTTTCAAATCCCTCAAATGGGAGTTTCAATAATGATAAAAGAAGATCTGTAAGTTATGATACTCAAAGAATTAAATTACCATTTGTACAAAATTTAAATAATAATAATTATTCAAATCAAGATTTACAATATCAATCACTACAACAACAACAACAACTACAACAACAACAACAACCTAGAGTTGCATCTGATGGTATAATATATAATTCATCTTTGGATATTCCTTATCAACAATATCAATATCAAGTGGGATCTAATTTAATAAATCAAGATTTATTTAGTGGACAAGAAAGTCCTGGATTAAATTTTAATGATAATAATAATAATAATCAAGATGATGGGTTTCCCTTTGATCATACAAGACTAGATTCAACAACTATAAGTCCAGTGATTGAATCACCGGAAGGTGGGGATTCTACAATTATTGGTGATAATTATTCTCCTCCAAAATCAATAGCAACAAGTTTAAATTCAAATATGATTGGATCCATAATTGGAAAATATAATTATAGTAAATCTACAATAGATTTGGAAAGAAAAACTACTCAACCAGATTTATCACAACAATTATCTGCAGATTCTAAAAATTTCCCTTATGGTGGTATACATTATAGACATAATTCTGATACATCAACTTTATCTAATCAATCTACAACTGATCAATTAAATAAAAGTAAGAGGTTTGTAAGATATGCTATGAATACTCAATCACAATCTACCAATGCTTCTAAGAAATGGGAAATTAATAATGTTGTGAAATGGTTAGAGAAAAATCAATTTAATAAATCATGGCAAGATACTTTTAAAAATAATGAGATATCAGGAAATAGATTTTTAGATTTGGAAAATTTTGAGAAGGATTCAATGATATGGAAACAATTTTCGAAATATTTGGAACTTGATAATAATATAAATTCAATTGATAGGTTTATTGATTTACTACGGCAGGAGTCAAATAATGAAGAAAATGACGAAAATATCTCCCCAGTTAATTTGAAAAATGAATATAGAAAATCAACCCCAGCTTTTACAAAACATATATCCAGTTCATCAATATCTTCAACAAACTCATCTACGTCAATACAACGACCTACATCATTCATAGACAATAAACCGAAAGATCAATCATTATCTCATCATCTGTTTTTTAGGAAAAATAATAATAGCAAAGCTGATAAAAAGAAGAATCCAGCGGATGAAAACAAAAGACAATCGAAATTAGACTCAAAATTGACTGGTGGTATCATCAATACCATTAGGAAATATGGAGGTGATAAAGCTGTTGGGATGGTGAAATCATCAACTTCATCTAATAAAAACGAGAGAAATAGCGGCTTATCATTCTCATCACTGAATATTCCACCAGCATTAGAACCAAATATTGATATACCTCCTATACCAATGCAAATACCACAATTTCCAAAAGAGCATAGAAAATCAATGGATAGTGCTCAATCAGCAACATCAGTCCCTTCATTTCGTATTGATAATTATTCAACTGGACAAACTACTGCACCACCTGCTATAGATGAAATTTATGCACCAAAGCCTTTATTACAAGAAAATTTAACCACAACTATCTTGGTAAGTAGAGATAATAAAACTTTTGCAGCAATTTCATTATCTAGTAATGAAATAAGTAATGGAGTATTAGTGCGGAAAAAGATCATACAACAATTGGGTTTATTCAATATTGGTACAATATCTATTCATTTGACGGATTTTAACTCACAAGAAGGGGAAGCACTACCTGATGAACTTATAAGCCAAATATTATTAACTCAAAAATTGACCAAATTTGTCATAAAACAAGAAATAGAATCACCACAAGGAACTAACACAATATCTACAACATCATCAGATTCAAAATCATTTGAAACAAGTAATGAACATAGAACATATCCAGCAACTCCTCAGTATCTTTTGCAAAATATAAATGATCCATCAGTTGATTATTTGAATTTCAAAGAGCAGCAAGCTAATTTATCAAAAATTATAGAAAATCCTATAAAATTATCACCTGCCAAAAGTCCTGAAAAAAGTCCGTCGTCAACAAAATCTGTATCTAAACAAACTCAGACTATTGAAACTTCATTTGTTAGTAATACACCCAACAAAAGTAATCAACATCATCATGGTTTCCCATTAAAGTTCCCCTTTGGATCAAGTTCAAAGAAGAAAACCCCTTCTTTACAAATTGATACCACAAAATTCAAACATTCTTCACTTTCTCCAGATTCAACTTCCTCATCGTCATTCAAAGTGATTAGAAAAGGAGTTAATGAAATTGATTTTGATCAAAGAAGAAAATCACCATATGAGAGAAAAGCACCAAAATTAATCCCCAATATCTATGCATCATCTGTGGGGGATATGGAAAAATCTCCAATATCAGCAACAACTGTATCAACATTTAGAGATGATCCTAATTTGATGGTAAATAAATCATTTAGTAATAGAAGTGAAAGATCTGATTCAATTATAGCAAGAAGGGCAGCACCACCTCCACCAAATGATCGTAAAAATCAACTTCTGATAAAAAGACAAAGTTCAATTAAAAATAGTTCAAGTTTAAGGAGAAAATTAGAACCTACTGATAGTGATAATGATAATGATAATGATGATGATGATGATCTTGATGACTTTTTTGTCAAACCAATGGTCGATAAAACTGTTGATATTCTGATTACACTGAAAACAGATGAAATTGAAGATTCAATAAATTATTCTGATTCAGAAAATGAGTTTTTCGTCAAACCATTAAAACAAAAGAAACTGATGATGATTGTTAGACCACCTATTGAAGAAGTTTATGATAATTTAGAAAGATATTTCCCGTATACTAATCTTGATAAACCTATAATAGATGTTGATACAAGTTCACCAATTACAATCCAAAAAAAGCCAACAATATCAAGAACTTTTTCAAATGCTAATATTTCACCATTAAATTCAAATTTAAATGGTCCTAGAATAAGAAGAATGAAAACTATTAGAGGAGTTGCTAATGAAGCTAGAAAAAAAGCATTATTAAGAAAACAAGAAAGTCCTCCAATAACATTTGCAAGTGTTTCAAGAGAAAATAGTTCAAGATTGACAAGATCAAATACTAAAATGTGGGGTCAAAAAGTCGTTGAAGTTACAGATAAAGAAATTGAAAAAGGAATTGTAAGTAAATTAAAAAATAAAAATGGAATATTTCAAGAAATTGCATGGATAAAAGGTGAATTAATTGGAAGAGGATCATTTGGTGATGTTTATTTAGCATTAAATGTTACAACAGGAGAAATGTTAGCAGTAAAACAAGTTATGTGGAATAAAAATTGTGATTTTATTTCTGATGGAATTGAATCATTACATAAAGAAATTGAAACAATGAAAGATTTAGATCATAAAAATATTGTACAATATTTAGGTTATGAACAAAAAAATAATATATATAGTTTATTCTTGGAATATGTTGCAGGAGGTTCAATTGCAATGTTATTAAAATCTTATGGTAAATTTGATGAAATTTTAATAAGAATTATAACAAAACAAGTTTTGTTGGGATTAGAATATTTACATGATAATAATATAATTCATAGAGATTTAAAAGCTGATAATTTATTACTTGATATTGATGGTACTTGTAAAATTTCAGATTTTGGTATATCTAAAAAAAATAATGATATTTATAATAATGCAAATATGTCAATGAAAGGTACAATATTTTGGATGGCACCAGAAGTTATTGATAATTTAGTTGAAGGTTATAGTGCAAAAATAGATATATGGTCATTAGGTTGTGTTGTATTAGAAATGTTTGCAGGTAAAAGACCTTGGTCAAATGAAGCAGCAATAAGTGTAATATATAAAGCAGGTAAAGAAAAAAAAGCTCCACCAATACCAAAAGATATTATACATTTAGTTAGTAAAGAAGCTGAGAATTTTATAAATAAATGTTTTATAATAGATCCAAATTTAAGACCAACAGCAGAAGAATTATTAAATGATCCATTTGTTAATAGTAATATTAAAAGTTTTAATTTTGAGTCAACAGAATTAGGAAGAATTATAAAATTTAATAGTAAAATATCAGTATAAAGTTGAGAAATTGAAATAACGAGTATTTAATTATTTATATTATGTATTTACATGTACTATTTGATTCAATTTAATTTTAATTCATTAATCATTAAAACAGTTTGAAAAGGTTCAACATTAAAAGTTTTAGTTCTTCTACATCTTTGTTTTTTTCTAATAACATGATATAATGGTTCTCTTGTAATTTCAATAACATTAGCTTGTAAATTATAAATTGATGAATCAATTCCCTTATCATTATTATAAGTATAATTTGTTGAACCTAAAGTTATAACATCATTTAATTTTAAATTATCACCAATTTTAACATTTTTTAATTTAAATGGTAAATAAATTTTATCACCTTTTGTAACTAAATATGGCATATTATATAATCTAAAAATTGCATACAAATCTCTTGAACCATTTGATGATAATTTTAATGTTGATATTGAATCTGTTATATTTTGAGATATTGGATTATTATTGGTGGTGGTTGTTGTAGTAGTAGTAGTATTGAAATTTGTTGGTTTTATTGTAGATGTTGTTGGTGTTGTAGAAGTGGTATTAGTTGATTGATATCGTATTAATGTATTAAGTATATTGTTAGATTGAGGAGGTCTACATATCCTCGTTATTGATGATTTAAACATATTTTAATTCTAAAATTGAAATTTGGTTGTAAATATTTGATTGTAATTTTACATTGGTTTACTTTATAAATTTTTTCTCTTTTCATAAGTAAAAGAAATTAACTACTACAACCTGTATATAAGATTAAAAATTTGTGCTACCAAATACTGCGAATATTTTTTGCAACCGAGAATTCAATTTTTTGTTTTATTAAGTATTATCAACATATTAAGTATAATAATGATGATAACATTAGTAGTATTTGTAGAGATACAATTAAAATTTTGTGAAAAAGATATCCAAAATTTATATCCATATATGATAATCACTATTCAGCTTTAATTCTGTAGATGACTATTTTCTCACTCATGAAAAATCATATGTATTTTAAATACTGTTCAATTATTAACTAAAAAAAAATTAATAATAGTTCAAATTCTAAATTCTTTTTTTAATTTTTAATTTTTAATTTTCAATCAACAAAAAAATAAAAAAAAAACTTTAAAAGTTAAAATTCCAAGAAGAAAGAAATTTCTACTAACTAAAACCTACCATCAACTCATATTATACATTAATTAATTATTGCTAGTCGATCAATAATAACTAGTACAGTATCAACTTATATTACTACTTAATTCAATTAATAGCTTTGTTGGTAGTCATAAATTTTTGATTTTGAGTTTTTTATCAATCAAATCTTTTTTTTTTAATTTTTTTTTACAACCAAAAAGAACAAAAAATAAAACTATTTAATTAGATATATTCTTTTTCAACAACAACAACATATATACAAAATTTCATTAGCTATAATATCGATATTAATGGTTCAATTTATTAAAAATCATTAATACCACTAACTAGAGAAGAAATCATTTCAAAAGACAATACAAATAGAGCGACTTTAATCACTATCATTAAGTCTATATTCTATTTTAACCAATTTTTTAATTTGAAGGACATTCTATACATATTTAATCTAGCCATTCTTTCATTTATCATTTATTCAACCAAAATATTCTCAATTGATTCGTTTTTAAACTTATACATTAGCATTATATTCAGATTTTCAATATTTTTTCATTTGATACGTTGTATTATATTTTTTGTTTTTTATTATTTTCATTATCATTAATTTAATTATTTGCACAGTTTTTCATATTATAGATTTCACTTTAAAAAAAGAGTTTATTATTATAAAAGTTTTATAAAATATGTCAGGATCATTTTGGAAATTTAGTAATGGATTTACTTCACTATCTAATATAACAACTTTACTTGAAAATTTTAATATCAGTCAAGAACAACAACTGGAACAAGAATTTGAAAATGATGATCAACAACTTAATAATGATGATGATGAAAATAATGATAAGAATAATGATAATAATAATAATAATGATGATGATACAAAGACAAATAAAAAATCTATAAAAGATCAACAATATGATGTATTAATTAAATTGTTGGATGAGAATGATTTACTTCAAGAATTATTATCAAATAATCCAATGTTATTAGAATTTTTAAGAGATGAAAATGTTTTAAGTATGTTGGTTGATATAGTAATATCTGATGAATTTAAAAATACTGAAGAAAAAGAAGAAGTTAAAAAAGATGAAGAGGACAAACCAAAAGAAGAAACAAAGGAGATAAAGTTGAAAAAAGAAGATGAAAAGAAAGAGGAAGATACAACTACTAAAGACAAAAGCACAGAGACTGAATTAAAACCTGACAAAGAAACTAAATCTACGAAGGTAACACCTTCCAAGAAAGACAAGAATGATTCCGAAGATTCTCAAGATGAAGATTCACATGAGGAAGACGATGATGACAATGACGATGATGATGATGAAGAAGAAGAAGAAGAAGAACTTCCTGAAGACAAATTTAGGCGAAGAGCAACTTTAGCATCAGAAGTTTTAAGTGCAGATGTTTGGTCATTAACAGATACAGTAATGGAATCAACTTCAAATTTAAATAAATTATGGGGGGTTTTAGATAGTAAAGAATTACTTGATATAAATGTTTCAACTCATTTTATGAAAATTATGGAACATTTATTAGATATGAAATGTGATGAAATGATTACTTATCTTATAGAAAATCAACCAAATTTAGTTGATAAATTTATAAATCATTTATCAAATCCTCCTTTAATGGATTTTTTATTAAAATTAATATCAACTGATAAACCTGATAATTCAACTGGTATAATAGATTTTTTACAAAATCAAAATTTAATATCAAGATTAATTAATGCATTAGATGTACCAGAAGATGAAGAGGATAAAAAAATTAATCATGAATTACAATTAATAGAACAAAGTTCAGCAGCTGATTTTTTAAAAGCTTTAATAACAATATCTGCAAATTCTACTGCTGATAATTCAACTATTGGACCAAATGAATTAACAAGAGAGTTAGTTTCAAAAGAACAAATGACTCGTTTATGTGATACTATGTTAAAAGGTGGATATGCTTTAGCAAATGGAGTAGGTATAATTATAGAAATTATAAGGAAAAATAATTCAGATTATGATATTTTACCAGTCTTGTATATAACATTAGAAAGTCATCCACCAACAGGAAGAGATCCTATATATTTAGGTCATTTATTAAGAGTATTTGGAGAAAGAATACTGAAATTTAATGAATTATTAATAAAAGATGATCTTGAATCAAAATTACGTACCCCATTTGGAGTTATTGAACCTTTAGGATTTGAAAGATTTAAAATTTGTGAATTAATTGCAGAATTATTACATTGTTCAAATATGGCTTTGCTAAATGATAATAAAGGATTTGATGTTGTATCTGAAAGAGATGAATTAAGAAATAAAATGAAAGAATTTGATCCAATAAGTTTTAAATATAATGAAATCATTGTATTGCCTAATAATGAAAATGAAAATGAAAAAACTACAACTACTACAACAACCACAGATAAAGATGATGAAAAAAATTCAAATTCTGAAGATTCAGGTAATAATTCAGCTAATGATACAACTGAAAATTTTAACAATATCAATGAAATTGGTGAACTTGATGAAGAAGAACCACATGCAAATTCGAATTTATCTGAAGAACAAATACGATCAAATCCAGTAGTTGGAGATTTCTTGAAAATTGCCCTTTTTGATACTCAGATAATATCAAATATTTTATCAATGTTTTTCCGTTTTCCCTGGAATAATTTTTTACATAATGTTGTATTTGATATAGTTCAACAAGTTTTAAATGGTTCAATGGATATTGGATTTAATAAATTTTTAGCAATTGATTTATTTCATCTGGCTGATATCACTAACAAAATTATTGAAGGTCAAAAATTATGTAATGATTATGAAACAAGTCATAATGGATTAAGATTAGGATTTATGGGACATTTAACTTTAATAGCTGAAGAAGTTGTTAAATTTGTACAATTATTCCCATCAAATACTTTAAGTGATTTTATAAATGAAAAAATTGAAAGTGAAATTTGGGAAGATTATGTTAATCATGTTTTATATGATACAAGAGAAAAATATAATGCAATATTGGGAGGTAATAATGAAGATGATGAAGATGATAAAGATGAAGAAGAAAATACAACATTTGATGAAGGATTAGGTGAAATTATAGAAGAAGTTAAAACAGGTTTAGTTTTTCATGATGATGATGATGAAGAAGAGGATCATAAAGAAGATACAAATGATAGTTTTGATAAAGATGATGACAATGATGACGATGATGATGATGATGATGATTATGAATATGGTGATAATGAACAAAAACACAAGAAATCTAAATTAATTAAAAAGGAATCACCTAAAAAGGATTTATTAGATAGTGATGAATCTGAATCAGATGATGATGATCAATTTTCAAATTATATGTCACAACAATTAACTAACAAAAATCAAGATCGTGAAGATGAATTAGAAAGTTCGAGTGAAGATGATGATGAAGAAATAAAACATGATGATGAAGATGATGATGATGAAACTGACGAATATATAGATCCTAATGATGATGGATTATCATATAAAAAATCAAATCCATTATATGATCATGATAAAGAATTTGCATTAAATACAAAGAAAAAAAGCAAAAATTTCAAAAAGAAGTATGCAAGTTCAAGCAGTAGTTCAAGTAGTTCAAGTGATGATGATGATGATGATGAGGAAGAAGAAGAAGATATAAAACTTGATCAATCTGAAACACCAAAATTAACAAGATCATCAAGTAAAAATTAGAGATGATATAAAGCCAAAAGCCAAAGTAATAATAATAAAATTAATACAAATAATGACAATTTTCTGATGCATTAAACTAATAATAATCATTTAATGAATTAATGAATATATATAAACATATATAAATTTACATATAAAAAATTTATTTTTAATGAACTGTTGCTTTAAAATTTACTCTACCTTCTCTTTCCAATGGTGGAACTTTTCTTAAAGTATTTATTGTATTATTATTAGAAGATCCTCCATTAATATTATTATTAGAATGACCATTTGTTGAAATTGAATTTGAATTTAAATTATCAGATGGAGGTACACCACCCATTAAACCTTTACTCATTGCAAAACCAGAAGATCTTTCAACATTTCCTTCACCATAAAATTCATCTTCTATTGGATGCATTAATACAGTATTTTTATTAGTAATAGTAATTAAAGTATTAGTTGGAACACATAACCAATCACCTCTTTCAAATGTTAAAGGTTCACTTGCAACAAATATAACATCTTGTGATCTATTTAATCTTTCCATTTTAAATAAACCAGGTTGATATTCAAAAAATTTTGATCCAGTACTAAAATGTAATGAAGCAGCTTCATCTGTTTTTGAAGTAATATATCTACTTACAACAATAGTTTCTCCATCAGTTGCTGCAAAATTTAATAATGATGGTTCATTAGTAACTTCTAATTGCCAATTTTTTATTAATTTTATAGTTTCTAATATTGCTTTCTTTAGTACATTATGCAGAAATTTAGTTTCTTTTGATTCAGGATTATATCCCATTTTATCTAAAGTATCTAAAAATAATGCAAAACAACATTCAGAATCAGTTGATCCTTGAATAAATAAAAAATATTTATCTTTTAAATGATTTATTAGTTTTTTTTTAATTAAATGAAAACATGATATACCTCCATTATGCATAAACATTAATTTCCCATATGAAAAAGGATGACAATTAGTTTCTGATAATACTCCTTGAGTTGAAGCTCTAACATGACCAAAAACTAAATGAGATTCAGTACAATTTGATAAATTATTTAAATTAACATTATTCCATGCAGGAGTAATAGCTTTAAAAATACATGGTTCATTATGTTCAGTATAATAACCAACACCAAATCCATCACCATTTATTGGATTTCTCATATCAAGTCGTAGTCTTGAATCAAATGATTGATTTATTATTGAATGAGCTGGTTTTGTTAATAAATCTGATAGTACCATCAGTTCTCTTCCTTTATATATCATGAAACGACACATTGTTTTATTTAGTGGTTGGTTGGCTGTTTGGTTGGTTGAATAAATATTAGTGGCAATAAATTTATATTGTATGTAGTAAAGATAAGAAAATCTATTATCTGTTTATCAAAAATAAATTTGAAATATTTTTTCTGTCTCTTTTTTTCAATCCACAATTATATTTTTATTATCCTCAATATCTTTATACATTATATAATAGTTTGGATTTGATCTAAGTTGAAGAAAGAATTTGAATCTTTTGAATAGTAGATAATGATAAAGATGATTTTTGATAATTCTTATTAAGATATTTTGGATTTGTATAAAGTAAAAATCTAAATATTGCAGTACGGATGTGACTTCTATTCATTCAAATATTGCAGTACGGATGTTTTTATTATTCATACACTTAGTTAATGAGAAAGAAACATTTTATAAGTAATTTTAATACCAAATTTATTACAAATTATCCCCAAACTAATTGACTTTAAAATTTAATAACTTGTAAATTTCTTGTGTTCTCATTACTAACATCTGAAACACTATTACTCCATCTTTACTAAGTAAGTTTTCCAATTGGATAGGTATTCAGTTAGATTAAATACTCAAATTTACGGAAATATGTTATATAATTTATATACTTTTTAATTTTTGTGTTTTCTTCTTAATTGATTAAATTTAATAATCAATTGCTATTTATTGTAATCTCTCTCCCCTTAATTATTATTCTATATAATTCTATTTTCTATTAACTTATATTTGAATTTCAATTGTCATAATTGTCCTCATTGACCAATTGAATAATTTTAATCATTTCTACATTATAATTGAATAAGAAGCAAAATTATTTATTTATATATTATACTTTCTTCTTCTTTTTAATATCTTCAAATCTTATTTTCAACTTTAAAATTTCTTTTAATTTTATAACAATCCATATCAATTGAGATCAAATTCATCTTCAATTCCAATTCATTCAATTAACTCAATTAATTAACTAAAAAAAGATGTCATTATTTAGAACTTTACAATCATCACCAGCTACTATTACTTTATTTCATAATTCAAAATTACCATTATCAAATAAAATTTATGATATATTAAATAAAACTTATGAAACTTTACCAGAAAAACCAAAATATGATTTTCAAATTGATTTAATGAAAAATAAAATGCCAACTTATGATCAATATCAAATATTTATAAATAAATTTTTAAAATCAGAGCAATCTAAATCTATTTTACATAATTGTTTTCCATTTTTAAATGATAGACAATCTACTAATTTATATGATTCAAATGGTAAAACAACTACAATTAAGGGAATTGATTGGTCAAATAAAATTTTTACAAAACATGAATATGAACTAATTTATGAAACTTTTAATAAATTAATAAATGATGAAAATAATAAATCAATTGATACTAATCCTGCTGATATTTTTAAAGCTCCTTTAGTTGTTGATTGGGATCAAGATTTATTAGCAAATGATGAAGAAACTTTAAAAACTATATTATCAAAATATACTAATCAATAAATGGAGAAGTCATTGATATTGTATTAGTGTTATCCAATTCTATATAAATTATAATATAAAAATATTGTGATTGATTGTAATATTGTTGTTACTTTTATAATCTCTATACTTCTAATTTTAAAGTATGGGGTACGGATGAAATTTCTCGCGATAAACTTCTAGGTGAAAAAAATAAATAAATAATTTTTACAACCAATTTTCAAATTTATCAACAACTACTTACAAACAAGAATACAATGAGTGTTAAAAAACAATATTTATTATTTTATAATGGTATATCAGCATTATTATGGTCATATATTTTATATAATTGTATAATTGATTTAAATAATGGTTTTTTCCCATATTCAATTAATGATACCGATGATTCTTGCAGCTTAGATTACGATTATGACATAAATAAAATAGTATTTAAATGTAATTCAACTCAAGATATTATACCTCATAAATTTATAATAATAACTCAAATTTTTAATTCAATTTTGGAATTATTACATTCAATTATTGGATTAGTTCCCTCACCAATTGGTACATTATTATTACAATCATTTGCAAGATTAATCATTATGATTGGTATATGTCTTGTTATACCAGAATCACCAGCTAATTATAATATATTAATTTTTTCAAGTTTAATATTTGCATGGTCAACTACAGAAATAATAAGATATGGATTTTATTTTTTAAAATTGAAGAATAAACAAGTACCATATTGGTTAATTTGGTTAAGATATTCTGCATTTTTTATATTATATCCTTTAGGATTAATAAGTGAAAGTTTAACAGTTTATAATTCTTATGATATTATTAGAAATAGATTACCTGGATATTCAAATTTTTTAAAATTTGCATTACCTTTATATTTACCTGGATTTTTATATCTTTATAATTATATGATTAAACAAAGACAAAAAGTATTAAGAAATGAACAACAAAAATTATTATAAAAATAAATTTAAATCTGGTGCTTTATTAAGTATATACAAATCCAATAGATATTTCATTTAATTCATCAATATTATAAAATTGTTTTTCATCATCATCATCTTCTTTTTCTTCTTGTGATTCTTCTAAATTATCTGTATTTTCTAATGATAATAATTGAGTCTTTTTTCTTAATTCAACTAATGAATCAATTTGAATTCTTGTTTCATCTGATAAATTTGTAATACCTTTTAACATTTTAATACCATCTAACCAAACAAATCTATTTACTTCTGAATCAGTATAAAATGATAGTAGTTTTTTTTGATCTTTTCCTAATATAATAACTTTTTCATAAGATATAGTACCCTTTATAGATATTAAACTTGAATGTTTCTTTTTATCTTCTTCACCAATTGATTCACCAATTTGTATAGATTTTAAATCTTGAATATCAATAACTTTAATACCTCCAGTAATTTCTAATTCTTCAATTGTTGGATTTGATTTTGGTTTTTCTATAAATTCTTTATAATATATTAATTTTCTATTTGGTGATAATGCAATATAACAATATTTTGAAGAATTTGAATTTAATTTCTTATTTGAAAATAATGATTCACCAAATAATTCAGTATAAACCCATGAACCTTTTAAAATTTGAATAATTCTTTGTTCTGATACTAATTTTAAAACTTCTTTTTGTAAATTGTTATTAAATTCTATAAATTTAGAATTCCATTTATTTGAATCATATTCATTTATTTTATTAATTTGATGATCTCTCATTTCTTTTGAATTTGTCATATCTAAACATTGTTCTATAGTTTTACCTTGACTTAATTTTAATTCATAAATATCAATATTTGATTTTAATAATTGTAAAATCTTGTCGATATCTGTTTGATTTAATTCAGCTTTTGTTTCTTGCCATAATATTAAACAATTATTCATTGTATAATAAATCATTAATTCCCAACTTAAAATTGATGAATAAATATATGGATAAATTTCTTTTTGTTCAAATATTTCAATCCACATTTTAGAGCATTTTTCAATAAATAAAGATAAAGGAAAAGTTCTTAAATGATCACTCATCATTAATTCTTCATGAAATCTTTTTTTAAATGTAAAATTTGGATCTTTTAAAAAAATTTTTAAATCCATTGCTAATAATATTGTAAAATTATCTATAATAAATTGTCTTGGATTATCTGTAAAACCAGCTTTTATATATTCTTTTGTTGTTGCTAATGTACCATATTCATTTAATGAAACTTCTAAAAATATGAATAAATTATTTAACATTGTTTGATGAGCTTTTATTGATAAATCAAATTTTATTGAATTTAAATATAAATTTAATTTCATATATGCAATTTTTAAATTTTCAACATCTTGATTATTTGATGTTGTTGTAGTAGTAGTAGTAGGAGGAGTAGTAGGAGTAGTTGTGGTGGTAGTTGTTGTAGTAGTAGTAGTAGTATCTTCTAAATTATCTATAGTATTAAAAAACAAAACATGTTTTAATCTACCAGCAATAGTTATAATTCCAGTATAATTAAATTTTAAAGCTTGATTAATTAATTCAGTTATAAATTTTATTGAATTATAAATAATCTTTGAATCTTGTAAAAATAATTTTGATGTAATAATATCAATAACATCTAAATATTCAATTAAGGATTCATAAAGTGGTAAATAATTTTCTAATTTATTTGATATAAATATTTGTCCTGAAATATCCAATACTGAAATTTTTAATATAGCTTTATAAGTTTCTGAAGACATATTAATACTTATAATTGAAAATAATGTTTTAAATAATTCATAATCTAATATTGAAATAAATAAATCTGATGATAAATTAATACAATCTAATAATTTTGCTAATACAACTATAGAATTAACTTTTTCTTGTTTATCTTTCCCCAAAATATTAGTTTTTAAAATATTTGCATAATTTATTGAAGTTGTTTCATCTAATTTTAATTTATTTATATTATTTTTACTTAATATTTCATTCAATTTATGATTTATACTTCTTGATGATTCAGTCATTATTTATTAAATGGTAAATGTGATGATGAAGTAATTTCAAAAATTGAATTAAAATAAGAGGAAATGGATAAAATTAATGAATTAAAGAATGAAAATTAAAAGTTGAACAAAATTTCAAAAATTTTTTTATCAATAGAAATATGAAACTTGTTTGAGATCAGAATTAATAATTTTTATTTAATTTTAACAATAGAATAAATTAATCAATTTACGTAATTTTAATTTAGACGAAAATAGAAAATTAATTAATTGAATGTTTAGTACTGCATATTACAAAATTGGTCTATGTCCAGAAGTAAAAGTCAGAAAATTGTATAATTTGACATTAAAATTAAGTTAAATTTTAGAACCCACCCCCCAGAATATTTTAATTATATTTTAAATACACAATAATAAAAAAATTACGATTTTTTTTTTTACAACCAAATTTACAACAAATCAAACTTACAATATTCAATTAATTTAAATTATATCCTTCCTAATAATATACTAACTCAATACAAATGAGTTTTTTGAAAAGGAATAAATCAAAAATTAATTTAGATTCTGCTGGTCAGAATTATTATGAAGAACCTCCTTCTCCAACTACTAATTTAGTATCAAATGATCCATTTTATGATCCTTCTTCAAAAAATAATTCAAAAATTAATTCTAATACTAATAATAATACTACTACTACTACTAATAATAATAATAATGATAATGATAATTATTCACCAAGATCTTCAATTATATCAATACCTAATATAGCGAATAATTTAAATAATCATACTTCATCAATTGGTAATAATTTAAAAGATAATTATAAAGGATTTCATAGACCAAAAAGTATTGGAAATATTCCACCATTATTACATCCAATAAAACCAAAATTTAAAAAGAAAAGTAGTTCATTATTTAATAAATTAATTAATTCAAAAAAAGAAGGTGGATATGAAGAAGAATCTGAAGAATATACTACTTCACCATTAAATAACACGTCTAATAACACGTCTACTAATAATAATAATAATCATAATACAACTAACAACAATAATACTAAATATGTATCATCATCATCAGATGGATTATCATCACCTCCTCAATCAATTACATCATCAAGAGCAAATTCTATAACTTCAACAGAAGATCAACCTATGACTTCATTAACATCATCAACAAATTCTGAACAACGTAAAAGTAATTCTTCAGCTTCATCATCAAATCAATCAAAACATAAATTTAGATTACCTTCATTAACTGATTATCATCCTCAACATGGTTCACAAATACTGGCTCAACTGTTACAAATGACTCAAGTAGATCCAAGACATCATTCACAACCTTCTCCACAATTACAACCATCACAACCACATCATCAACATAGTTCACATTCTTTTTCTTCATCATTACCTACACGTTCACCTGAAAATGTAATGTCAATTGATTTAAATTTAGATGAAATGCAAGATATTGTTAAATCAAATGATTCAATTGTTACATTACCAAAACAAAATTGGAAAGCTCCTGATAGTTGGGATGTAAAAACACCTAAAATAGAAGAAGAAATTGAAGAAATAAATAAATTAGAACCTATAGAAAAAACTTTGCCATCACTTTATGGAACTCGTCAAACTCATGTTGTTAATAATACTATAGATCCAAGACCAAGTCATATTGTTAAAATTTATAAAGAAGATAATACTTTTACTACTATATTATGTCCATTAGAAGTTACAACTACAGAATTATTAAATATTGTTCAAAAGAAATTTTTTTTAGAATCTGCATCAAATTATCAATTATCAGTTCATGTGGGGAATTGTGTTAAAGTTTTAGAAAGTTTTGAAAAACCTATTAAAATTCAAATGGGGTTATTATTACTTAGTGGATATACTGATGATGATAATTTAAGAATTATTGGTAGAGGTGATTTATCATTTGTTTGTAAATTTGTTGTTGAAAATATTTATTTAAGAAGTTTAACTCATGATGAAGAAACTATTTTATCAAAAAATTATGTGGATGTTAATATATCAGCATTAAACTTAAAAAACATTCCTATTATTTTCCATCAACATACTTATGAAATAGAAAAATTAAATGTTTCAGAAAATCCATCAATTTATATACCATTAGATTTTATTCAATCATGTACAAATTTAACAAGTATAAATTTTTCAAGAAATGGTTGCTCGAAATTTCCAATAAATTTTTTAGAATCCAAAAATTTAACTCATTTAAATTTAGAAATGAATTTTATGGATGATTTACCTTTAAGAATTAATATGCTAGAAAATTTGACTCACTTAAAATTAAATTCAAATCAATTGTCTCAATTACCTACAACATTTGCTGACTTGAAGAATTTAGTTTCATTAAATTTATCATCAAATTATTTTAATAAATACCCAGAAGTTATAAATGAATTAGAAAAATTAATTGAATTAGACTTATCTTATAATGATTTATCATATATTCCAGAATCAATAACAAACTTAAAAAATTTACAAAAATTAAATCTATGTACAAACAAATTTGGTAAAAATATACCAGACTTCTTTAGGGATTTGAAGTCATTGAAAAGATTGGATATTAGATATAATCAAATTACAAATGTTGATATACTAGGTGAATTACCTAATTTAGAAGTGCTATATGCTTCAAAAAATTCAATATCTGCATTTTGTGACAAGATGCAAAAATTGAGATTATTACATTTTGATAAAAATCCAATAACAGAATTACAATTTGTTTATAATTTACAAATTCTTAATATTTTAGATTTATCAAAAGCTAAAATTACTTCAATGCCATCGGAATTTATATCAAAAATCCCAAACATTGAAAAATTGGTTCTTGATAAGAATCATTTAGTTACACTACCTAATGAAATTGGAAACTTAACTAAATTATCATATCTCTCAATTTATTCAAATAATTTACAAGCATTACCATCAAATATTGGAAATCTTACAAACTTACAATATTTAGATTTACATTCTAATAACATTCAATTACTTCCTGATGAAATCTGGAATTTAAATTCATTAATGTTATTAAATCTTGCCAGTAATAATCTAAGTTCATTCCCAAAACCTCCATTTGCTATTGCTAAAAGAATATCATCATCAACTGATCTTCGAGAAGTGCCAGCATCTGGTTCATTAGCTGATAGTCTTTCATCTTTAATAATATCAGACAATAGGTTAAATGATGAATGTTTTGAAGCTATTTCATTTTTAGTTGCATTAAAAACATTGAATGTATCTTATAATGATTTGATTGAAATACCCGAAGGATCAATTTCAAGAATGCGAAGATTAACTGATTTAATTTTATCAGGTAATGATTTAACTACAATACCTGCAGATGATTTGGAGCTGATAAAGACATTGAAATTGATATACCTTAATAATAATAAACTTGTTTCATTACCTGCAGAATTAAGTAAATTAACAAACTTGCAACACCTTGATGTTGGATCAAATCAATTAAAATATAATATATCAAATTGGCCATATGATTGGAGTTGGCATTGGAATAAAAACTTGAAATATTTAAATTTTTCAGGAAACAAAAGATTTGAAATTAAACAAAGTCATGTAAAAAATCCAGAAACAGGTGAAGATTTTGATAGTTTATTAGTGCTAGATCAATTAAAAGTTTTGGGTTTAATTGATGTTACTTTGACTACAACCTCAGTTCCAGATCAATCAGTCGATAAAAGAATTAGAACTACTGCATCAGAATTAGAAAATGTTGGTTATGGAGTTAGTGATACAATGGGTCAAAGAGTTTGTGTTTCAAATAGAGATTTATTTATACAAAAATTCAGAGGAAATGAAAATGAATTATTAATTTGTTCATTTGATGGTAAGCATGGAGCACCAAATCAAGGTCATCGTATTTCATGTATTGCCAAAAATATGATTACAAAAAATTTAACTGATGAATTGAATAAAATTAATGATAATCCGGACCAGATTCATATTGCTTTGAGAAGAGCATTCTTGTTGTTTAATAAAGAAATTAATGGAGTTTTATTATCTAAAAAAAGTCATACTTTTACACCATTACCACAATATTCAAAAGATGTTTGTGATTTAAATCTTATAGATGATTCAAGAGCTGGTTGTGCATGTACAGTGATATATATAAGAGATAAAAAGTTGTATAGTGCAAATATTGGTGATATTGAAGCATTACTTTGTCAAAATAATGGTAATTTTAGAGTTCTTACAAATGTTCATAGACCAACAAACCGTTTAGAATTTGAACGTATTAGAGCTTCAGGTGGTTATGTTTCAGGAAATGGTGATTTAGATGGAGATTTGGCTATTTCAAGAGGTGCAGGATTTTTTTCATATTTACCACATACTCATTCAGGACCTGATGTTAATGAATTAACTTTAACTCCAGCAGATGATCTAATTGTAATTGCAACAAAAGTTTTATGGGATTATATATCTTATGAATTAGCAGTTGATATTTTAAGACAAGAAAAAAATGATCCAATGATTGCTGCTCAAAAATTAAGAGATTTTGCCATTTGTTATGGAGCAACTGATAAAATCACTGTTATTGTTGTAACATTTGGAGGTAAAAAAGTAAAACTGAATGCATTATATAACAATTTAGGACGTGAAGTTGATTATTTTAAGAAGAGAAGAGATAGAGTGGGTGATAGTTCATTGAGAAGATTAGAAAGTGAAATTGAACCACCAATCGGAGAATTGGCTTTGGTATTTACAGATATTAAAAATTCAACTTTATTATGGGATGCATATCCAGCACCAATGAGATCAGCAATTAAAACTCATAATTCTATTATGAGACGTCAATTAAGAATTATTGGTGGTTATGAAGTTAAAACTGAAGGTGATGCATTTATGGTTGCTTTTCCATCTCCAACCTCTGCTTTATTATGGTGTTTTAATGTTCAACAAAATTTATTAACAGCAGATTGGCCAACTGAAATTTTAGAAACTGATCAATGTTGTGAAGTTACTGATGGTAAAGGTAATGTGATATATAGGGGATTATCAGTTAGAATGGGAATTCATTGGGGATCTCCAGTATGTGAACCTGATGTTGTTACTGGTAGAATGGATTATTTTGGACCAATGGTTAATAGAGCTTCACGTATTAGTGCAATTGCAGATGGTGGTCAAATAGCTGTAAGTTCGGATTTTCTTGATGAAATGAGAGCTTTAACTGCAATTCATGATGATATAAAAAATAATGTTAAAACTATAAGTGATGCTTATCAAGGTAATGAAAATGCTGGAAAAATTATTGAGAGAGAATTAACATCAATTGATGATCATGGGTCTAACTTCTACAAAATTGGAGAAAGAAAATTGAAAGGTTTAGAAACTCCTGAATTGATTACTTTGGTATATACAAGTAGATTAAAATTAAGGTTTGAAATTTTCCAAAAGAGATTAGATGTTGATGAAAGTCATAGCACTAGAGTGATTGGAACAATACCAATTGAATGTATTACAGCTATTAATAATATTTCATTAAGATTAGAAAATCTATTATCATTAATTAATGGTGGTACATATACAAAAGAAGGATTAAAACAAAATCAAAAATTAGTTGATGTTAATGTTCAAGATTTATTAAATTCAGTAACTAGAATTGAGAATTCTGTTGCAACCTTATATTTAAGACAAGTGGTAAACAATAATGGTGGTGCTGGTTTTAATACTCAACCATTATCTCAAGTTTTAAATGAATTAACTGCATTATTGAAAAATCAAATTACTCCAACTTCTTAGATTTACCAAGTACTTTTTTCCTTTGTTTAATCATATAGGTATAAAGCATATAGAAACCTGGAATATAAGTAATCAAAATAATTTTTAAAAACCAACCATAGTAAAAACCAGCATCATTTAATGATAATATAATTTGATAAAGTTCACTAAATACACCAGTAGGATATAATACATAAAAAGTAGAATAACGTAACCAAGTTAACCAATCAGGTACTTCATTTCTTAAATTTTGAGCATAATAAGAATATCTTATAATTTCAGTAACTGACCAACTTAATAATAAAGTTATATAACTCCAATGATAATTTGCAGGAGAATTCGGTAAAAACTGATGAATACCCCAAACAATTAATAATCTTGAAAAAACTTGAGTAACAGTTGTAAAAATTGGTGATTTAACTAATCCAATTAATGAATTTATAATTTCAATTATTGCAAATGATTGAATTATAGTATTTATGAAATTAGTTTTAATATAAACATATGGTTGACCTAATGCAATTGATAAAAATATAGTATTGAAAAATACAATTGACCATAATGACGCAGAAAGTGAATTATAAATGACTAACCATCTATTTGGTTCTGAAGTTGTTTTTGGCATTGTGAATGTTGAAAGAAAGTATTGAATTTGAGATTGAATTCGGATTTATTAGAAATTAAAATTAGAGTTCATTGTCTTTTCTTTATGTCTCAGAAACTGAAAATATGTTATACAATTTGATTTATTAACACTACACACCTGAAACACTGCAAATGTATCATTTTTTTAAATGTTTCATAAAGTTTAAATGTATATTAAGTTTACTTATTGAATTTTCAAAATTGAGTTTATTAGACATTTTTATTAAGAGCATGAACATTTTTAGTTGTATTATGATTCAATTCATTGATCTTGCTTCAAAGATTTTTAGAATAACATAAAACATATTTTATTTTTATTTTTTTATTTTTCGTATAGTTAAAATCCCCTTAATGAATTTTAAAGTATTTTTTAATTTTTTTAGTTGCAAATTTACATATCAACAAACATCTTTTTACAAACTTACACCAATAATACTTAGTTAATCTACATTAAAATGCATCCCCAATTCACTAATATTAACTTATGTATTGATCCTTTAATTACAGAAACTCCATCAACCAATTTAAATTTCAAAAACCAACCTAACGTTTTATTTGATTTTTCACCAGTTAACCAATCCAAAGAAATTAATTCAACCATTAATCCAATTACTTCACCAAATGAAACTTATAAATCAACCACCAATATTCATTTTTTTACAAGACCAAATAAAAATTTTACTTCACCATCAACAAGAACCAAAAAATTCCCAAACAATTTGTTTAATTTAGACAAACCAGTTTATCCTGCTTTGGATGATTTAATTAATTTAGAAAAAACAACCCCAACTCAATTCATCTCATTACACAGAATTGAAGAATTAAATAAAACAAAATCAATTCCAGAAACAATTGAAGAAGAACAAATTAGTCTCAATTTCCCTATTTACCATCAATTGAATAAACTCATCAATTTTGAATATAAATTTTATCACGAATTTTTTAGAACATCAAATGAAACCACAATTTTATCACAACCAACTAAAGCTGCAAACACAAAAGATACTGAAAATGATAATAAAAACATCACTAACATTTCACAAGAATTAATAGCAAATACACAACCAACTAAAATTGAAAATACTAAACATGCTGAATCTGATGATCAAAATATCACTAACATTTCACAAGTATCATCAGCAGTATTACAAACAACTGAAGCTGGAAACACAAAAGATATCAAATCTGAAAATATCACTAACATATCCCAAGGATCAACAGCAAAATCACAACCAACCAAAGTTGAAACCACAGAAGATACTGAATCTGATAATCGAATCATCACTAACATTTCACAAGTATCAACAGCATTATCACAACCAACTGAAACCGGGAATACAAAAAATGATGAAACTGATGATATCCCAGAAACTTTACATTTTCAAACAGAAAAACAGTTAAGTCATAATTCAAGTGAATCCGAAAAATGTAATAATGCTAATGGATTAAAATCAATTTTGAAAAACAATTGCAATGAACATTATGAAATTGAAATTGTTAAAGCTAATAAACAAGATTTAATACCAATCGAAAAATTTGTCAATGATCTTAATTCAAAAGCTTTATTTTCAAGAGATAAAGAAAATATACCATATTTTAATAATGAAAGAAAAAAACAATTATTATTTTACAATGAATTTTGCAAAATTGATGATGAAACATCTAAAACTTCACTCCCAAATGATCTTAAAAATAGAAAAACAGTTAGATTTGGATTATTTAATGAATTAATTGATGCAAATGACAATTTTGTTAGTTTAGATTTGAAAGACTCAGAATCAGGAAGTGATGGTAACAATTTTAATAAAATATACAAGAATTGCTTAGAAACTAGAAGTGGAAGAAGTACTCCTAAATATGCTAATTCAATTGTCCCACACCCAATCAATTTTAAACCATCATCAAAAAGATCTTTGAATCTTGAGGGTGCAACAATTATTATCAGTGATGATGAAATGAAAATAGTGCATAATCAAGAAAATGAGTCAGATGAAAATGAAGATGTTTCAGCTTTAGATTTAAATGATGTTGACACCAACTATAATCAAGAACACAAATATCTCAAAACTGAAAATTCATTATCACACATCCATTTAAATCACATTGAAAATAAAAATACAGATGATGATTCAAGACTCTATAAAAATTACAAACAGGAGGATTTTTTATGTGATGAAAATCAATGTAGTTTGAAGTCAAAGAATAGATTCATGATCAAAGCTCGTCCTGCTGGAAACAAAGTAAAAGTAGACGAATTAATAATCCCAAGAAATTCAAAAGTCAAATTTAAAGGTTTTGAAGGTAGTCGTGATAATTCAAATAAAACCAGAAGATTTAGTAGAGAATTATTTGATAAATTTGTTTCAAAATTATTCAAAAGAAAGAATAAAAATGATACATTGAAACCTATTTTAAAAAACAGGATTAATCCAAATTACCAACATGAATTAAAATTACTTCAACATCTGGAAAGTGTATCATTGGATAGATTTTTGGACAACTTCAAAAACAAATGGCAATTTAATAGTAAAAACCAAATATTGTTCCACGGTTTTAGACATGAGCAAGTTAATAAATATAACTTGGATAATAATTTACTTTAAATAAATCCATACTTCATTCAAAACTATTGATATCAGATCATTATTGTTCATTAAAAGTTGCATCATCAAAAGGAGTTAATTCATTGGTTTAAGTTTGGTAAAACAAATTGCATTATCAGATTCCTTTTTTAAAACCTTACCTCAATCATTTACCACCATACAAATGGACTCTTCGATTGTTGAACATACGATAAGTTTTTTCAAGTTTTAGTTTCATATTACGATATATAGTATGTGGATCATTGAATTGATCATCAAAGGAAATAAGTTGAATTCAGCAAAATAATTCATGTTGTTGACAAATTAAGATTGATAATTACCTTGAACCATCAGATCAAAGAAAATGTAATAATATTTAAAATTTTTACCTAGGATTATACTTCAAAGTTTTACATCTCACATATTCAAAAATAAAAATTGTTTCACAAATTATTCATTAATTGTTTCTTCCATATATTATATTGTATTTGTTAATAGTACATAATTAAATTTCAGATATAAAATTTTAGCTCCAGACATACAACTTCCTTAACATCAATATTAAATATCAATATTAAAATTAATAATATTCAACTTTTAAATTCAAAATTAGAAATATTCGAGTTTACCAATCACATTTACTCAATCATCAACATTGTCAAATTATGATCATAAATTTATAAATTACAACGACTGGCCACCGTTTCAATTTTTTAGATTCAAATCATAAATAAAAAGATTAACACTACCATTATCTTACTACATCAAATTTCAAATCTTATTTTTAATTATTTTATATGAATTAATTTTTATAGATATCAAATAAATTCTCTTATTATAAATTGATTTTGTAGTGATTTTATTTTCGAGTGATTGTTAGCATTAAGCTAGAAACCAGAAAAGCATTATCAATACTAATTTACAAGTATTGCTCTCAATAAGTTGCACTTTAATTTGCAAAATTTGGTCCAAGTATAGTATCTACAAAGTAATAAATTTATTACTTAAAGATATATTTATTCAATCTAAACCTAGTTACCTTATACCTAAACTTTTTCAAAATTCAATAATTATTGCACATGTTGTACTGATCCAAGTTGCAAATCAAAATGTCTAACAAATTTCTAATGTTTCAACTAACCCAATCCCAAATATTAAATCTGCTGAACAGACCCTTGATATAGATTAAGCGGCTGTATGAAAATTTTACTTTTTAAGTTTAAAATTCATGACAAGTTTTGAGTTGATAAATTTATAAATTGTATAACGTAAAATATAGAGTATATTATATAAATAGTTAATCAAACTCATCAAATTAATGATTGGTTATGTAAACTATAATTGAACAATCTACTTATTTATTATTGATTACAATTTCTACAATGTTTTGTGAGTAATTCAGAATAATACTAACTAAAATAAAGAATTTGTACATTCAATAATACTAATAATCAACAATTATTAAATCAGCAATCCAAGTATTCAAAATCTGATTTGCTTTCTTTTTTAAATTTGTTGAATTTTTGTTAAATTGTTTCAAGTAATTGAACATGGTTCAACATTTTATCACTAAAACACATTTCAGATTTACCTTTTATATACTAACCAAATATTTTACAATCTAATTCCAAATTTCCACAACAATTATCAATTTTATTATTTGAAAATATACCTGGATCTAATGAACTTTTCATCTTTTGATCCTCTTCATATCTTAATTTCAAAAGTTTTAACATATTTAAAATTTTATCTTTCTCATTTGGATCATATTTAAAGTTCAAACAACATGAACCTAAACAAAAACTATAAATTTTTGTTTCTTGATTTTCATTAGTTTCTAATGAATTTATTGAATTTTCAAGTTTTTTACAATCTTGCTTTGTTATCGAGTATATCTGATTTCAATATTTGTTGTTGATTATTAAGATATTGAACATTATTGTAATTATCAATATAATTTTCAATTAATTGAGTTTCTAATTGCTTTTGTAATAAATTATAATAATTTTTTAAATTTCTGTTTGTTGTTGTATTTTGCCAAATTTCAAATATTGTTAAATTGTTTTTTGATCTCTCAATCATTAAATTTCCAATATCTCCATATAATGTTTTATTGTTTATAACTCCATTATGAATTATAAATTCAGATAATATAACTGCATCGCCCCATTTCGAACCTATAAGAGCATGTTCATATAATACATAAGCCTCAGCTAATAATGCATAATTATCAAATGAAAGGACTGAAACATTTAGTTCAGCTCCATGACCTGGATCTTTATCAATTACCAAAGTACCACTCATTATTCTTTCTTCTTTAAATGTACCATCTGAAATTTGTTGAAGTAAATCTTCATATATAATAGCTTTAACATTCATAAATAATTGTAAGAATATAGTTGCAGAATATAATAAATATAACATTTTTCTATTATTTCACATTGGTGGTAAAATTAAACTGTAGATGGGGTAACAAAACCAAATTTGTAACAATATATATACTTTAAACCACTTGTTTGAGACATATACAAAAAAGTCTAGGATAAGTCAAGTATGACACGTATTTCAATTAATTTTGAACAGCTTTTAGTCAATTCAATTCGAATGATGACTTGTTAATAATCACAATTGCATGAAAGAACAATAAATTATCTAAACGTTTAGTTCAAAATATTAAACTTCAATTTTATGCAAAATTCCTAACCAAAAAGCCAACTAAATAGTAAAGTTTTGGTAATAATTTAACAGTTCAAAACAATTATTTAGTCACTGCATTTCTAGCCCATAGTTAGATTAATATTTTATTGATGAAGTAAATTGTACAAGATATATTAAGTATATGATCAGTAATTTTGATTCACTATAATCTAATCTTAATGTCTTAATTGATTCCTTGAAATGTAAATTACTATGAACTCCATTATTTATAGATTTAATCCAGTTGTAAATGGTTGAATCAATATAGTTAAATTTGTTGACATGGATTGCTAGATTTTAGATTCATATATATGACTTATTCAATAAGAATTTCTAATCAACATTGTAGATTTAAGAGCTTCAGCATTAAAATTATATTCAACAATAATTTTTTTTTTCCAAAAATTCAATTAAACTTGAGACAAATTTATTGACAATATGTAAAAATATGTTATATATAGTGTTAAATATTACAAATAGTTTAAATTCAAATAACAGCAGTCTTATATTATGGTAATTCTTACTTGTTAATTTGTAAAACTTAAATATTCATAGATTTATATAGATTTTCATAAATTTGATTAGTTTAACATCTGTAACACAATACTTGATATTATATACTAAGATTAAAGTACTAATAATTCAACATTACATACTAAATTATTTTCGCAATTCTCAAGAGAAAAACTAACAAATTTGTTAGCGCGAAAATTCTCAAGAGAAAAGAAAAATTCTCAAGAGAAAAAAATATCCAATTCTCAAGAGAAAAATCATTTTTTGTTAGTAGTGTAAAAAACTCAAAATTTATTTCACGCACTTAGTGAGTGTTTTATATGTCTTAAAATTTTAAGTCAATAAAATTGAGGTAGTATAAAAAGTAAATTAAACAGTTCAAATTTGATGAAATCATTTAATAAAAGTATCAATTAATTAGTTGAAATGAAATGTTATAAGACTGTTTAATAATTTGAGCTTTTACTAATAAATTGAAGTGTTTTGATGAGTACATTTCTATCAATATTTTACCTGAATAAAATATGCTTAAAATTAACAAACTGACATACTAAATTATTTTCGCAATTCTCAAGGGAAAAACTAATAAATTTGTTAGTGCGAAAATTCTCAAGGGAAAAGAAAAATTCTCAAGGGAAAAAAAATTCAATTCTCAAGGGAAAAATTATATTTGTTAGTAGTGTAAAAAATTCAAATTTTATTTTACGCAGTTTTAGTGAGTGTTTTACATGTCTCATGAAATTTACGCACTTACAGTTTTGGTGAGTGTTTTACATGTCTCAACAATTTAAAATTACGGTACGGATGTTGCGGTACGGATGTTGCGGTACGGATGTTGCGGTACGGATGTTGCGGTACGGATGTTGCGGTACGGATGTTGCGGTACG